GCCGCCTGCTCCAGGGAAGGCTAGAGTCTGCACCCCACGTGCATTTCACCCGGCGGTCGTAACCGGATCATCAGAAGGTGAGTCAGTTTTTAGATACAACCGTCAAGGCTGTTATTGGTTGATTGGTCCCTGTCGGGGTATGACCGCTAAGCGGTTGGTTGTATTTTCTGCCTCCAGCGTTTACTCTGCTGAGAGGAGTGGATTTAGGAAACCAATGAAGTTTATCTTTTTCTTAGGAAACATGGTCTAAAGGACATAAAATAGGAGAGAGAGAGACCCAAATTAGATGTTATACTGAATATTCTGTATAAGTAAAGTAGGAAAGTTCTGAATGAATGCAGTTTCCGTGCTGTTACTCAATCAGCGCTTCGCTATGGTCGACAAATCATTCAAAATAGAAAGTGGATGTGCTGACGTATATTCTCTAATAGTCATTACAGATAGAAATTAGGTTTGAAAGATTTGCCTCTGTTGACATAAGTGATTTGGTTAAGTCTGTAAAAACAGGTCTAAAGTAACTTGGTTGATGGTATCCAAACATAGGTATAGTTAACCACCCTGGAAGAACACGATCAACTTATTTTAGATTTTGCATCGGAATATAGCAAACTACCAATAATCTCCCTTGGGAGAATCAGACCTAATAGCATTCCAGACCCGTACATATATATGCCTTTTACTTTATAGGTTTTTCAACATATATTTTATGACATGTTTACAAATGATTCAATTGGGATCCCATTCAATCAAATGACTCTTGCACACAAATTGTTTTTAACTACGTAACCAAATCACTTATCACAACAGAGTCTGGCATATCTTTAGTAGACAGGACTAAAATTTAATGGGTTTATTTAAAGCCTCTGTCTCTTTTGTCCCCTTCTCTAGCCACTCTATGTCCACCCAGCCTCTCTGCATGTCTCTCTCCCAAATATGGTCTCTTTTCCCCTCTGTGTTCAGTCCTAGTTTTTTTTAACTAAAAAGTAATTTTGCTTTTAGTCTTATTTTAATCATCTGGATTGTTTTAGTTGACGAAATTACCAGTGGTCAGCCGGTGATGGGTAATGGGAATGAAAACACAAGCTTTTAATAAGAGAAGAGACATAACTGTAGCATGTTTGCCCCCATCCCTGCAAACACGTATCTGTCAAGATTGATTCAGTTTAACTTTCTGTAACCATGTTAAATGTATCCCATAAGCCATACTACATGGGCTTTGCTATGGTTTCAAGGAGTTTAAGTTTGCCTGCAAATTATAGACCTGTGAGCTTAACTTCTGTGACTGGGAAAAGGGCTATTAAGGGATAATATTCAGGAATTCATTGGGAAGAACTTTGTTATTAGCAATAATCAGCATGGCTTTATGAAACATTGGTCATGTCAAACTAACCTAATTGCATTCTACGAAGAAGTAGAAGTATAGATCAGGGTGTTGCAGTGGATGTGATCTACTTGGATTTTGCCAAGGCATTTGATACGGTTCCTCACAATAGGTTTGTCTTCAAAAAGAAATTGGTCTAGATGAAAATTCTTGTTCTTGGGTAGACATTGGCTTAAGGATAGAGTACAATGAGTTGTCATTAATAGTACATTTTCAGGCTGGAAAAAAGTGGTAAGTGGTGTCCCTCAGTGCTCTGTTTTGGGACCCCTTCTTTTTAACATGTTTATAAATGATCTTGAAATTGGGCATTGAAAGCCATGTTTCTGTGTTTGTAGATGACACAAAACTTTAAAAAAGTAATAAAATGTGAGCAGGATATTGCTTTGCTGCAGAGGGATTTGGATAGATTGGGGGACTGGGCACTAAAACACCAGACTGATTTTCCTCTCTAGTCGGTTCTTACATTGGCTTCCTGTATCCTTTAGGAGTCGGTTTAAGGTACTAATTCACACCTATAAAGCACTAAACAATTCTAGTCCCTCATATCTCATCACAGAGTGGTCTCTCCACTCTGCCCATGACCACCTCTTGTCCGTTGTTCGCACCCGTACAGCCAACTCACGTTTGCATGACTTCTCATGGGCGGCTCCCTTCCTATAGAATAGCCTGCCTACCGCCATCAGACTCTCCCCTAGTCTTCAATCAATTAAGAAGTACCTTAAATCCCATCTCTTTAGGAAAGCTTATGGCCTCCCAGAGTAACCTCTACCTTACATACCGGTCTCTTGCTCTCTCCTAAAGGGCAGCACTCTTTTCTCTCCTCCAGCTCTGCCTCACTCCCACCTTATTTGATTGCAAATTCCTGTCCTATTGTGTTTTACACCCAACCTGCTATAGAATGTAAGCTCGTTTGAGCAGGGCGCTCTTCAACCTATCGTTCCTGTAAGTTGTCTTGTAATTGTCCTATTTATAGTTAAATCCCCCCTCTCATAATATTGTAAAACGCCAAGGAATCTGTTGGCGCTATATAAATGGCAAAAATAATAACGTAGAGAAATGCAAAGTTATACACTTCGGGGTTAAGAACACACAAGCAATTTACACCCTAAATGGTAGTGAACTAGGGATAACCACACACGAGAAGGATTTGGGAATTGTTATAGACAACAAATTAGGCAGCAATATGCAATGTCAATCTGCAGTTGCTAAGGCTAGTAAGGTTTTGTCATGTATAAATAGGGCCTTAAATTCTCGGGATGAAAATATAATTTTGCCTCTTTATAAATCGTTGGTAAAACCACACCTTGAATATGCTGTGCAATTTTGGGCACCTGTTCTAAAGAAGGAAATCATGGCACTAGAAAAAGTGCAGAGATGAGCTACAAAATTGATAAAAGGAATGGAACATTTTAGTTACGAAGAAAGATTACAAAATTTAAATCTCTTTAGTTTGGAAAAACAGCACCTCAGAGGGGATCAAATATATTCGAGACCAGTACAAACCTTTATCTGGAAATCTATTAATAAACGGGGCTATACAAAGGACATGAGGTCACACATTTAGGCTGGAAGAAAGGAGATTTCATCTAAAGCAAAAGGTTTTTATTACAGTAAGAACTATAAGGATATGGAATTCTCTGCCTGAAGAGGTGGTTTTGTCAGTCTATACAGATGTTTAAACTGCAATTGGATAAATACCTGCAAAAACACAACATACAGGGATATAATTTCTAATTAGTGGGGTAATAGCTGCTTGATCCAAGGAGACATCTGACTGCTATTTTGGGGTCAAGAAGGAATTTTTTTCCTAGTTTGTTGCAAAATTGGAAGCGCGTCAGACTAGGTTTTTTGCCTTCTTTTGGATCAACAGCAAAAATATATGTGAGGAAGGCGGAACTTGATGGACGCAAGTCTCTTTTCAGCTATGTAACTAAGTTCTACTGAAAGATACCGACAACTGAACTTTTATAATTTCTTCCTTGAGCTAGATTGTAAGGATTGAGGCAATGATCAAAGCTCTGTACAAAAACAAAATCTTGAATTTGAGTTATAGGTCTGTTCAAGCATAATTTTGCGTTCATATTAAGTGCACCCAAAGTTACACTTTCAACGAGCTTGCTCATTTCAGTTTTAACACATTGAAATTTGCTAGATTGGTTTGCTGGGCCTCTTACCTTTGAAGGAAAGACAGTATTTACATTAAAGACTAGGAATACCTCCAGTGACCACCACTCAGATGCATCTCCGATCTGCCTCCTTGACAGTCTCAGCCAATCCAATGATTTCCTATGGGAAAGCATTGATTGGCTCACAGAATCACTTAAGATGTCAGCCAAGCAGGCAGATCAGGGGCAGCAGCAGACTGGAGTAAATGCAAGATTTGTACTATATTTAGAGGGCTCAATGGTGTTTTTAACACTATAGGGTCAGGAATACATGTTTGTATTGCTGGCCCTATAGTGTTCATTTAAAGGACAACTGTCCCCTCAACAATATTCTTTTAGTATGATCCTTTCATCATGTATTGAAAGGAAATAGATTTTTTTATTAAATTAATTATATGTAAACAAAAAAAAATATAAAACAAAACTACCTTTAGTATATGACCAGATACTCAGTGGTGTACCTAGGATATGGCAGGCATTATACATTCCCTAGGTGTTACTTGAAGGGTTCAGCTCTGTTTGGGGCCATGAGTTCAAAAGATCTTCCTGCACAGCTCTTTCAAAAACAGCCCTCCCTGGAGGTTCAATTCCATGCTCCGTGAAGGTGTCAGAGTGACGGCACCAGGTCTCCCAGTGTGCACTCACTTCCTCCAACTAACTAAAGAGAATTATCATACCTCTCATTTCAAATGGGGAAAATACAGGAATTTTATTTAAGGACCTTTTTTTAATGAAAGTAAAGGGCCATATTATGGTGTTTCCCAGCTGTGCCTCCAAGATGGTGGATGCAGCCTGTAGTTTTTGACCACTGAGGAGAGGTGTTTTACTCCCCTCCTCCCCCCCTCAGTATGAGCTGAGCAACTTGACCCTGCCCTCCTAATCAGTAACATCTCTCTTATTATCTGTATAAATAAGAGGAAGGTTTTAAGTTTTTTTTTTTTTTTATGGGATTGAGTGAGAATAGATACTTCGAGGGCATCTACTAAGTAAGTTGCTTTGTGAAGAGGTTGTGTGGACAGTGTAACACTTCAGAATGCTGCATAACTTTCCCCCCTTTGTTTAGCAAAACAGTTTTAATGGGAAGAAAAAAACAGCATGAATGAGGCCAAAATTGATCAAATACACTTAACTTGTGATGGTGGGCCAGTGCTTTGGGTATGTTGCTGGTAAACTGAAAGGTGAAAGGCATATAGATGGGATTTAAAACAAACTTTAATTGCAGTTGTACCCTATGAAAAATCATGGACCCCCTTGGAGTGAACTTTAAATTGGTGCATGCAAAACCAGGATATCACACACCTTGTGTGAAGTACAGCTGCACTGATTTATATACACTGTGTTTCAGTTGTACTTTCTAGAAAAGTGAAGGCATAACAGACTTGCAAATATCAAGGGACACATCAGCTCAGCACGGCACCTACCGGTTAGCACAGCGGTGACGAATTATGACAACGTTTTGAGTATATACTGACCACCATCAGTGGTTTATGTTTTTATTAAAAATCCAGCAGAAACCAGAACAAAAAACATGGACATGGGTTGCAAGTTTATTATATACAAAAAAAATTAAGCTATTAAACATAAAAATATTCGTTTTCTTCTTTTACTCGTTGCCTCTTCTACTTTTCTTATGACTTTTCTTTGACCTGAAACAAACAGGGAATGAAATATATTCAGTACAGACTCTAAACATTTGCATACTCTGTATAGCTTAATTTAATATGAAGCGGTAAGAGGAATGAAATGGCTACAAGGAAATGCTTCATTAACGTGCTGCAAATAAGAACACTATCCAGAGGATATGACCAACCCATGTGCTTACTCTTCCTCAAACTAATTGGTTTCTAGAGCACCCGAGATTGAGTAGGTTATTAGTTTAAATTTTGAGTCATGAAAACTAGATTGTGGAATACAAAAAAAAAAAAATCTTCATTTATTTTAATCCCTTAAGGACATGTGACATGTCATGATTCCCTTTTATTCCAGAAGTTTGGTCCTTAAGGGGTTAAAGAGCCACAGTTTCAAAACAAAAAGTAAACCAAATAACTGCAAAACTAAACTTACCTTTCAGGTGACTTGGAATGGCTTCTATGTCTGTGACTTCGATGATGTCCTGTTAGGTGACAAATACAAATCATGACTTTCTAGTATTGCCGAGGCATGCAGCTGTTACATATTACCACCAAAAAGCAATGTGAGAAACACAATATTATCAAGTACCTGGAGATTTAGATTTGGATCGGTGGCGTCTCTCTCTGGACCTACTGCGGTGTCTCCGTGGACTTTTACTTCGGTGTCTTTCGCGCCGAGGAGGAGAAGGGCTGTCAGATGAGAGAGTTAAAATTCAGTTTAGTGAAACAATACTGAAAATGCTGAGTGCAAGAAGCTTTCTAAGGTTCCTTTCAGATGTGGCTACCTCAGAAGCAGAGTAAATCTTGTGGCAAGATGATTTAACCAGGCATACTTACAATGTTGCAGTGTAGCATCTAGCACACCTGTATATATCTTTCTCTGGAGAAAACAAACAAATCTACATCTCATGTGAGGCATGCAGGTTCCGCAACTACAGAAAAACACAAACGTACTTCTGGATCTCCTCCATAATGAGGGAAGAAATTCCTTGATCCATAGGCAAGATTAAATTTAAAGTAAACATAGTTAGGACACACAGAGTGAGGAAGTGAAGATAACCACTGGTGCATTTCGTGCCTCACCAGCACTGCAGAGACTGAGGTGAGGAATAATATCAATGGTGATCTTCACTCTTCCCTTGTGTGCTAACTATAAGTTTGTCTTTAGAAACATCTTGATCCATAGGAAAGGATGAATCTAATCTCATGATGGAGGAGATCCGGCAATCCATTTAAGTTCACTGTTGCTGCAACTGTTAATTCTCTCAAAAGGAAGTAAGAAAACCTGATCTGGAACTCAGTGAAATATGCCCCACAAACTCACCACAGTAATTCTGGAAGTTGCAATCATGTACTAAATATAAATGGGTGACTATAACAAAATCATGAGCATGCACAAGTGACATCATGTAGATAAGCACATTCACCAAGTCTTTAGAAATCAATGACCAGCCATTGGGTAAAAGGTCTCAATCAGTTCCCAAAACAAGTGAAAATTTAGGGGAGGTTTAAAAATTGTGAGTTTGGGGAATTCACGGGAAATGCATGTTTTAATTTCATTTTGTGCTAACCCAATAAGATCAATTAAAACAGTTGTAAAGGGGAATTAAATCTGTGTGAGGATCCTGAGTGAGTAATTAGAATTTCTAACCATTATGTAAACCTACCTCCTCCTTTTAGGGGAGCGACTGCGCCTGTAATATAAACAAAAGCATGGAATTAACAGAGCTCTCGATACACTATAAAATCAACAATTAAACAAAGTGCACTTTATAAAATACTCCGTTACTAGGATATATAGTGTCAGTTTACAGGAAACTACTTTTTCTGATTAAAAAACAGTGCCAAATAACTACAAAAGAATGACCCATATTACATGTTTTTAAATGAAGAGAATGTTCAGTGGATGTGTCTGCGGGGTCAATAAAAAAAGTGCAACTAAGCTGGGTAACTGAAGAAATGAAACAGAAGATCAGAATATGGAGAATGGCCAAAAACTCAGTAGCTTGCGATTTGTTTAATCCTCAAGTCTCAAATAGGTTTTTGCTCATATGTGTCATTGTGAAGAGATCATTACTTCACTTGCAGCCCACACATTATCATCTGTGATTACTGAACCTAGTGCAGTGAGAACCAATATTTTGAATCTTGACTGCTCTGGGTTTGGCTTTCATGGGGCCTCGTCAGTAAGGTGTACAATCACTGTCTATATTAATATATATATATATATATATATATATATATATAAATAAATAAAAACAATACATTCATTAAGAAACACTCACTATTTAGATTTTACACTTTACACCACGTGAACATTAAAAGTGGTCTTATCTTATTTCCCTTGGCACGACAGTCTCTAAATCGTCACACTGCGCACAGTGAGCACCTCTTCATACAGATGCATAGCGTGGAGAAGCTGAACTAGTAAACCTGCACACATTCTGCTGGCCAGTTTTTCTTACCTCCTAGGTGAGCGACTGCGGCTTCTTCTATAGCGTGGAGAGGGTGATCTACGTGGCCGGTCCACGTCTCTGTAGCTTCTTCTGTGATGCTCTGGAGAAGGTTCTCTCCCCTACGGAGCAAAAAATAAAGGTCAGTGAAAGTGGTAAACTAAATTACCTTATGTGTACATTTTGGGTATATTTTACAGGTACATAAAAAGAAAAACTAAGGTTCTCAGCCCTTGTCCACCAGCACATTTGATTGACTGTCGGACGTGAGCACCTACTTACCCAACTGAAGTTCATGCTGTTTTTGTGCAATGATGTTACCAAGCAAAACACTGATCTTCAGTCGCATGTGCGCATGAACCAGAGCAATGGTCAAGTAATTGGCATTTCACAGGTGGAAAATAGCTAGGGGCCCAACAGCATTCCTTTAAAGCTCAAAGTATCCGTTTATTGTACCATCGTGCATGGCTGTAATACCATGTGAAACTTATACCACTTTTTAATCAAAAAATAAAATATAAAAATCCTAGTTTTGTTTTTCACACACACACCTTATCATCATCATCTTCTTCATCTTCACTGGACTCCACATCATCCATGTCTTCCTCCAATGCACTCACCCGCGGATCAAGCTGTTCAGTCTCCTCCAGAACATAACGTTTCTAGAGAGCATAATAATAAACCATATATCAGAAGCACTAAACATGTAACATTTTTTTTCTGTAGTATTTTTTAGCTTCCTGTACATGGTGCATTGGAGTAGCCCTGTGAGGTATACCAAGAAGCATTGTAAAACAGATTAATGTGAACTACTACATTTTGCATCCTCAATATGCTGAAAAGACAGCATACATAACAGAAGTGTCAATTAGTCAAATCTTTCAAGTGAAAAAAAATCTTACACTAAGTGCATATCAAATGAATTAAGTGTTATCCAAATGCAAAGTGCACTATTTGCAATAAAGTGCATCAACCAAGAATAAGCAATATAACTTGCAGTGCAAACCAATTTGTGTAACATTTGTCACAACTGTGCACAATAGATAACACTTAAAGCACATTTACCTTTAATTCATTTAGTTAATTGTTTTTAAAGGCACAGCATACTGTTTATATTTTTAGTGTTTGTTTTTAGTAGTGAGATTGTTTTGTGTTTGTTTCTAGTAGTGAGATTAAATCAATGCAGGAGCACCTGATAAAATTACTTTGCATGCTTAATTTGAAAAATATAGCGCCTCAATCACTTGCTTTTGTATTTATAAGAAAGAAAAAAAAAAAAAAAAGTTTTTGAATGCAAAGAAAAAAAATTATACAAAAAACAACGTACCTGTAATCGTGGTAGTATAATATCACATACTCGTTCACTGTGCAGGAGCTCATCAATGAATTCATCGACATGCATTAGTTCGAAGTCTGCCAAAGAACACAATATTTGTGCATTATAAAAAAAATATTTTAACACAAATCTACATAAGTCCATTATTATAAGTTCCAGATTGCAAACTATTTGCTTTTCATTCTACATACTATATCAGATTTTTGAATCTTAATGAAACACTTGAGCTACATGCACAGATACTAGCATCGACTTGTACTTTACCTCCATCCCGGTTTTGTGTTTTGACTTTACGATAGTCGTTATACAATGGCTCTAAATATTTGTAGCAGTCACTAGCAGTGCCTGTCAGGCGCATGTACAGAGCTCCCAATGTACGTACATACCTAGTAAGAAGTTTAAAAAATAAAAAATGAATTGAAAATCATTAAAAAGCAGAAAACATTCTACAGCAATATTTATTCCGAGGCATACAAAATTTCTTATTACTCTGGAGCTCCGGCTAGAAACTGGATCAAGGACTCACTTGAAATCTTCATTCTTTATAAACTCCACAATAATGTCTTTTTCTGGCTGGATTTGGAGCATCTTCAGGGTCAGACACAGGAAAGGAGTTGGCTTGATGTTTCCTCCAAAAACCCCTCCGACAAATTTCAGCTCCATTGCCTTATCTACCACCAGCTCAGCTGACAAAAGAAGCAAATTTTAGTTCAATGTCTTAATATCATATTACTACCAACAGAACAAGTACTATTTCTATACAATGGACCTTGCTGATTGATTCTGACTTTTTAATTTAAGTTTTGTTTCCTCTAGACCTGCGGCATTCTGTCCTTGGTGTCAAGTGAAATATTGGGCTATGTCAATTGTCAAGCCTTCAATATAGGTCTCTATGGCTCCCTTCAGGTATGATAGACGCTACCGAAAGACATCTGTTACCAGGCACTTAGCTTACTTCACAGGCTAGATCAAAATTTTTAGCTAAAATATGTATCTCATCTTTATTATCACAGAGAATGTTCCTTAAAATGATACCTAAATTGTAATCACCTGGTTAAATCTCCCTAGTTGACTGAATAATCCTGAAAGAGCATACTATTCCACTTAGGTTTTCCTTAGTACATCTTATGCTCCTAGATATTTTTAAGTGACAAGATGAATAATAGGGTTAAGCATTGGGGCCACGGTTGATCATTAGCCACTGGCCAATTAAAATGTAGTAGTGGTTAGTAGAAATTCACCCCTGGTGGGCATGCTATGGCTTGTAGTGGCCAGTAACTCTGAAAGTTTAGCTAGTAGCATAGGACTTCAAATTGTAAGCCCTGATATAGGCAACATTAATAAAGCATGACTATATAATATAATATTTATATAGTGTAATATATATCATCTCCTTTTTAGCAGATTAACCAGTGTTTCTCCACCTTTTCAGGCTTTGGTAAACGGTGAGTAAATCATTTAGAAATAATGTGGGATTCAGCACCCACATATTACAGTCACCATAACAACTACATATCCTTGAAGTGGCTATGGTGTCTAGAGCAATAATTCTAGTCCTAATTGGTTAGGTTCTGCGTGATGCTGTCATGGGTAGCCAGGAGAGCTAGCAATGTTATAGGGGAGTATAATGTGATTCTGCCATGTGGAGCCAGCAGTGTGACAGGGGAGTATAATGTGATTCTGCCATGTGGAGCCAGCAGTGTGACAGGGGAGTATAATGTGATGCTGCCATGTGGAGCCAGCAGTGTGACAGGGGAGTATAATGTGATGCTGCCATGTGGAGCCAGCAGTGTGACAGGGGAGTATAATGTGATGCTGCCATGTGGAGCCAGCAGTGTGACAGGGGAGTATAATGTGATGCTGCCATGTGGAGCCAGCAGTGTGACAGGGGAGTATAATGTGATGCTGCCATGTGGAGCCAATGCGATAGGGGAGCGTAATGCGATAGGGGAGCGTAATGCGATAGGGGAGCGTAATGCGATAGGGGAGCGTAATGCGATAGGGGAGCGTAATGCGATAGGGGAGCGTAATGCGATAGGGGAGCGTAATGCGATGCTGCCATGGGTAGCCAGCAATGTGATAGGGGAGCATAATGATATAATGATAGTATAGTAACACGGTATAATGTCAGGCTGTATAATATTAATGATAGTATAGTAACGCGGTATAATGTCAGCCTGTATAATATTAATGATAGTATAGTAACACGGTATAATGTCAGGCTGTATAATAACGCGGTATAATGTCAGGCTGTATAATATTAATGATAGTATAGTAACACGGTATAATGTCAGGCTGTATAATATTAATATTAATGATAGTATAGTAACACGGTATAATGTCAGGCTGTATAATATTAATGATAGTATAGTAACACGGTATAATGTCAGGCTGTATAATATTAATGATAGTATAGTAACACGGTATAATGTCAGACTGTATAATATTAATGATAGTATAGTAACACGGTATAATGTCAGGCTGTATAATATTAATGATAGTATAGTAACACGGTATAATGTCAGGCGGTATAATATTAATGATAGTATAGTAACACGGTATAATGTCAGGCGGTATAATATTAATGATAGTATAGTAACACGGTATAATGTCAGGCGGTATAATATTAATGATAGTATAGTAACGCGGTATAATGTCAGGCGGTATAATATTAATGATAGTATAGTAACACGTGTATGTCAGGCTGTATAATATTAATGTGATAGTATAGTAACGCTGCATAATGTCAGGCTATAATATTAATGATACTATAGTAACACGGTATAATGTCAGCTGTATAATACAATGATAGTATAGTAACACGTATAATGTCAGGCTGCATAATAATATTAATGATAGTATAGTAACACGTATGTCAGGTCATAATATTAATATTAATGATAGTATAGTAACACGTATAATATTAATGATAGTATAGTAACACGTATAATATTAATGATAGTATAGTAACACGGTATAATGTCAGGCTGTATAATATTAATGATAGTATAGTAACACGGTATAATGTCAGGCTGTATAATATTAATGATAGTATAGTAACACGGTATAATATTAATGATAGTATAGTAACGCGGTATAATGTCAGGCTGTATAATATTAATGATAGTATAGTAACGCGGTATAATGTCAGGCTGTATAATATTAATGATAGTATAGTAACACGGTATAATGTCAGGCTGTATAATATTAATGATAGTATAGTAACACGGTATAATATTAATGATATTATATTAACACGGTATAATATTAATAATGGTATAGTAACACGGTATAATGTCAGGCTGTATAATATTAATGATAGTATAGTAACGCGGTATAATGTCAGGCTGTATAATATTAATGATAGTATAGTAACACGGTATAATATTAATGATATTATAGTAACACGGTATAATATTAATAATGGTATAGTAACACGGTATAATGTCAGGCTGTATAATATTAATGATAGTATAGTAACGCGGTATAATGTCAGGCTGTATAATATTAATGATAGTATAGTAACGCGGTATAATGTCAGGCTGTATAATATTAATGATAGTATAGTAACACGGTATAATATTAATATTAATGATAGTATAGTAACGCGGTATAATAATATTAATGATGGTATAGTAACACGGTATAATATTAATGATATTATAGTAACACGGTATAATGTCAGGCTGTATAATATTAATGATAGTATAGTAACGCGGTATAATGTCAGGCTGTATAATATTAATGATAGTATAGTCAGGCTGTATAATATTAATGATATTATAGTAACACGGTATAATATTAATATTAATGATAGTATAGTAACGCGGTATAATAATATTAATGATGGTATAGTAACACGGTATAATATTAATGATATTATAGTAACACGGTATAATGTCAGGCTGTATAATAATAATGATAGTATAGTAACAGTATAATGTCAGGCTGTATAATAATAATGATAGTATAGTAACACGGTATAATGTCAGGCTGTATAATATTAATATTAATGATAGTATAGTAACGCGGTATAATGTCAGGCTGTATAATATTAAAGATAGTATAGTAACGCAGTATAATGTCAGGCTGTATAATATTAATGATAGTATAGTAACACGGTATAATATTAATGATATTATAGTAACACGGTATAATATTAATAATGGTATAGTAACGCGGTATAATATTAATATTAATGATAATGATAGTAACTCGGTATAATGTCAGGCTGTATAATATTAATGATAGTATAGTAACGCGGTATAATGTCAGGCTGTATAATATTAATATTAATGATAGTATAGTAACGCGGTATAATGTCAGGCTGTATAATATTAATATTAATGATAGTATAGTAACGCGGTATAATGTCAGGCTGTATAATATTAATGATAGTATAGTAACGCGGTATAATGTCAGGCTGTATAATATTAATGATAGTATAGTAACACGGTATAATGTCAGGCTGTATAATATTAATGATAGTATAGTAACACGGTATAATGTCAGGCTGTATAATATTAATGATAGTATAGTAACGCGGTATAATGTCAGGCTGTATAATATTAATGATAGTATAGTAACACGGTATAATGTCAGGCTGTATAATATTAATGATAGTATAGTAACGCGGTATAATGTCAGGCTGTATAATATTAATGATAGTATAGTAACGCGGTATAATGTCAGGCTGTATAATATTAATGATAGTATAGTAACACGGTATAATGTCAGGCTGTATAATATTAATGATAGTATAGTAACACGGTATAATGTCAGGCTGTATAATATTAATGATAGTATAGTAACACGGTATAATGTCAGGCTGTATAATATTAATGATAGTATAGTAACACGGTATAATGTCAGGCTGTATAATATTAATGATAGTATAGTAACACGGTATAATGACAGGCTGTATAATATTAATGATAGTATAGTAACGCGGTATAATGTCAGGCTGTATAATATTAATGATAGTATAGTAACGCGGTATAATGTCAGGCTGTATAATATTAATGATAGTATAGTAACACGGTATAATGTCAGGCTGTATAATATTAATGATATTATAGTAACACGGTATAATGTCAGGCTGTATAATATTAATGATAGTATAGTAACACGGTATAATGTCAGGCTGTATAATATTAATGATAGTATAGTAACACGGTATAATGTCAGGCTGTATAATATTAATGATAGTATAGTAACACGGTATAATATTAATGATAGTATAGTAACACGGTATAATATTAATATTAATGATGGTATATGATGTCAGGCGGTATAATATTAATATTAATGATGGTATATGATGTCAGGCGGTATAATATTAATATTAATGATAGTATAGTAACGCGGTATAATATTAATATTAATGATAGTATAGTAACGCGGTATAATATTAATATTAATGGCGGTATATGATGGGAGATGATGTCAGGCGGTATAATATTAATATTAATGATGGTATATGATGTCAGGCGGTATAATATTAATATTAATGATGGTATATGATGTCAGGCGGTATAATATTAATATTAATGATGGTATATGATGCCAGGCGGTATAATATTAATGATGGTATATGATGTCAGATGTATAATATTATTAATGATGGTATATGATGCCAGGTATAATATTACCGATGGTATATGATGTCAGGCTATATAATATTATTATTAATGATGGTATATTGCGTCGTATGTATAATACACGATGGTATATGATGCCAGGCATAATATTAATGATGGTATATGATGTCGTATGCATAATATTACCGATGGTATATGATGTCAGGCGTATAATATTAATGATGGTATATGATGTCAGTCGGTATAATATTAATGATGGTATATGATGTCAGGCGGTATAATATTAATATTAATGATGGTATATGATGCCAGGCGGTATAATATTAATGATGGTATATGATGTCAGGCGGTATAATATTAATATTAATGATGGTATATGATGCCAGGCGGTATAATATTAATGATGGTATATGATGTCAGGCGGTATAATATTAATATTAATGGCGGTATATGATGTCAGGCGGTATAATATTAATGATGGTATATGATGTCAGGCGGTATAATATTAATATTAATGGCGGTATATGATGTCAGGCGGTATAATATTAATTTTGGTATATGATGTCAGGCGGTATAATATTAATATTAATGGCGGTATATGAGGTCAGGCGGTATAATATTAATATTAATGGCGGTATATGATGTCAGGCGGTATAATATTAATGATAGTATAGTAACACGGTATAATGTCAGGCTGTATAATATTAATATTAATGATGGTATAATGATGGTATATGATGGGAGATGATGTCAGGCGGTATAATATTAATATTAATGGCGGTATATGAGGTCAGGCGGTATAATATTAATTTTGGTATATGATGTCAGGCGGTATAATATTAATATTAATGGCGGTATATGATGTCAGGCGGTATAATATTAATATTAATGGCGGTATATGATGTCAGGCGGTATAATATTAATATTAATGGCGGTATATGATGTCAGGCGGTATAATATTAATATTAATGGCGGTATATGATGTCAGGCGGTATAATATTAATATTAATGGCGGTATATGATGGTATAATGATGGGAGATGATGGCAGGCCCGGCTGTCTCTCACCAGTGAGCCCGAAGCATTCCTCTTTCCAGTATTTGGACTCATAGATCCGAGTGCGGATGATTTTCTCCACCAAATACTGCGGGTTGGTACCGTGAACGCTGTGCGCGTCTTTCACCGTCCGGTTCGCCATCTTCCCAGAAACCCTGCTCCGGTGCGGCTCACAACGTCATCAAACGGTACAAGGCCGCGAGCCAACAGTCACTTCCGGCGCGGCTTGCATACGTCATCAAGCAGGTACCCTCCGCTGCTCCTTGGAGACAACTTCCGGTGAGTCTCCACAACGTCATCAAGCTGAGCCGCAGGTTCTCTGTAGCCACTTCCCCGTCGGCTTGATGACGTCAGCTTAGCTTGAGCCTGCTGGCGGGAAAACCCTGCAGTGTGATCAGTCTGACTGATCGAGGGGCGGGGCGAGCAGCGCGAAGCACGCTGGGAGACAGCAGGACATCATCTCACTGTAAGTACTGTGAGAACTGAACTATGTGTCACCTTCATAATATATCCAGCTATCCCACTCCCATAATATATCCAGCTATCCCATTGCCATAATATATCCAGCTATCCCACTCCCATAATATATCCAGCTATCCCATTGCCATAATATATCCAGCTATCCCATTCCCATATTATATCAATCTATCCCATTCCCATATTATATCCAGCTATCCCACTCCCATAATATATCCAGCTATCCCACTCCCATAATATATCCAGCTATCCCATTCCCATAATATATCCAGCTATCCCACTCCCATATTATATCCAGCTATCCCACTCCCATAATATATCCAGCTATCCCACTCCCATAATATATCCAGCTATCCCACTCCCATATTATATCCAGCTATCCCACTCCCATATTATATCCAGCTATCCCACTCCCATAATATATCCAGCTATCCCACTCCCATAATATATCCAGCTATCCCATTGCCATAATATATCAAGCTATCCCACTCCCATAATATATCCAGCTATCCCATTCCCATATTGTATCCAGCTATCCCACTCCCATAATATATCCAGCTATCCCATTCCCATATTGTATCCAGCTATCCCACTCCCATAATATATCCAGCTATCCCATTCCCATAATATATCCAGCTATCCCACTCCCATAATATATCCAGCTATCCCATTGCCATAATATATCCAGCTATCCCATTCCCATATTATATCAAGCTATCCCACTCCCATAATATATCCAGCTATCCCATTGCCATAATATATCCAGCTATCCCACTCCCATAATATATCCAGCTATCCCATTGCCATAATATATCCAGCTATCCCATTCCCATATTATATCAAGCTATCCCATTCCCATATTATATCAAGCTATCCCACTCCCATAATATATCCAGCTATCCCACTCCCATAATATATCCAGCTATCCCATTGCCATAATATATCAAGCTATCCCACTCCCATAATATATCCAGCTATCCCATTCCCATATTGTATCCAGCTATCCCACTCCCATAATATATCCAGCTATCCCATTCCCATATTGTATCCAGCTATCCCACTCCCATAATATATCCAGCTATCCCATTCCCATAATATATCCAGCTATCCCACTCCCATAATATATCCAGCTATCCCATTGCCATAATATATCCAGCTATCCCATTCCCATATTATATCCAGCTATCCCATTCCCATATTATATCCAGCTATCCCACTCCCATAATATATCCAGCTATCCCACTCCCATAATATATCCAGCTATCCCATTCCCATATTGTATCCAGCTATCCCACTCCCATAATATATCCAGCTATCCCATTCCCATAATATATCCAGCTATCCCACTCCCATAATATATCCAGCTATCCCATTGCCATAATATATCCAGCTATCCCATTCCCATATTATATCAAGCTATCCCATTCCCATATTATATCAAGCTATCCCACTCCCATAATATATCCAGCTATCCCATTCCCATAATATATCCAGCTATCCCACTCCCATAATATATCCAGCTATCCCATTCCCATAATATATCCAGCTATCCCACCTACATATATCCAGCTATCCGGCCCTACATATATCCAGGTATCCCATTCTATGGCTATATCAAGCTATCCCACTCCCAGCAATATATATCCAGCACACCTACAATATAATTCAGCTATCCCATTCCCATATATTGTATCCAGCTATCTCACTTCCCATATTGTAATAAGTTTATCCTGCTCTATTGTATCCAGCTATCTCCATTCCTATATATTGTATCAAGCTATCCTACTCCCATATTGTATCAAGCTATCCTACCTCTATAATATATCCAGCGTCTCATCTCCTATATATTGTATCCAGCTATCCTACTCTATATTGTATCGTTTATCTCAAGTTTCTAGTTGTTGTATCCAGCTATCCCATTCCCATATTATATCTAAAGCATCCCACTCTATATTCAAGCTATCCCGTTCCCATATTGTATCTAGCTATCTCCATTCCATATTGTATCAAGCTATCCCACTCCCATATTGTATCAAGCTTATCTCATTCCTATATTGTATCAAGCTATCCTATTCCCATATTGTATCAAGCTATCCTACTCCTATATTGTACTGTAAGCTATATATTGTATCAAGCGCCCCATATTGTATCGTATCCTGCTCTATATTGTATCAAGCTTATCCTATATTGTTCCTTGCTCCATATTGTATCAAGCTTATCCTGCTCCCATATTGTATCAAGCGATCCCTCTATATTGTTCCCATATTGTATCAAGCGATCCCGTTCCCATATTGTATCAAGCGATCCCGTTCCCATATTGTATCAAAGGTAACATCTATAGTCACCTAAATTACTTTAGCTAAATAAAGCAGTTTTAGTGTATAGATCATTCCCATGTAATTTCACTGCTCGGTTCACTGTCATTTAGGCTATGATTGACAGAGCCTGCGTGAAAAAAAAAAACTAGATTCATTTTCAAACAGACTTAATTTACCTTAAATAATTGTATCTCAATCTCTAAATTGAACTTTAATCACATGCAGGAGGCTCTTGCAGGGTCTAGCAAGCTATTAACATAGCAGGGGATAAGAAAATCTTAAACGGAACTTGCAATAAAGAAAGCCTAAATAGGGCTCTCTTTACAGGAAGTGCTTATGGAAAGCTGTGCAAGTCACATGCAGGGAGTTGTGATTGGGGTTCATAAACAAAGGGATTTAACTCCTAAATGGCAGAGGATTGACCAGTGAGGCTGCATGGGTATGTTCTATACACCAAAACTGCTTCATTAAGCTAAAGTTGTTCAGGTGACTATAATGTCCCTTTAAGTTATTCCAGCATTCTGTATTCCAGCTACTCCTTGATGACAGTCCCAGGGGGAACCGAAATGTCAACTTTATTTACTTTTTAATAGAATAGTGTAATAAACAGAATATTGCATTTAAAGACCCAGAGTGCTGATATGTGTAAATAGAAATAGCTTGCACATACGTTCTTTAAATTAAAATTCTCTGCTTTATTGAAGAAAACTTTAAAAGTTGCAGATCAACGTTTCAGGACTTTCCTCAGGATCATAAAATATATACTATTAGTAAGGATATATTTGTTAATATGATAATAGTTGAACACTTCAACCCTCGGTCAGGCACAATGTGAATAAGAACAGGATCGGGCGCATTGTGCCTAATAGGCCACTTTTACAATACAAACTTTACTCAAATAAAATCATGTTTATTATTCCATTTGCTCTACAACATTGGCGAAAGCCATTTCTGAGCATTTATTACAATACAAAGTAGCATGTTCCATACATAATTCACATTTACAAAACAACAAACGTTGGCTGTGCCTGTTGGATCAGTTGCACCTGACCGAGGGTTAAACATATGGTGTGCTCTAAATGTTTCAGATCGTCATTGCCTGTGTTTGGGTAACCTTGTATTTCCTTACAATTACTCTATATCATTGGTTAGAACGACAGGCCAAATTTGTTGGATGATTTTTTTTTCCAGGAAAAATATACTGTTTGTGTCTCTTGTTTTCAAAATTGTTACACATTTAAACAGAAAAATATGCAAGTGAGTAGTATACCAGTGATTGATTAAATTTTTATTGTACATACAAAGATGAAGGTATTTTAAGACTGGTAATACCTAAGCTTAATGTGGCGCTCATTTCACTCTTTCATGGATGCTAAATTCTTTCTGAGTTACTATCAGTTCTTTAAAGAACCATCTAATACAGGGGTTCATAACGTTAGTCCTCAGGACCCCCTACCAGTCCATGGTTTAGGGATTACCTGGGTGTGTCTAAGGTGTTTAGAAAATGGGGGGAAAAAAACACCTTAGAGTCTAAGGTGGTTTTTTTTCCCCCTTTTTCTAAACACCTTAGACACACCCAGGTAATCCCCAAATCCTGGACTGGTAGTGGGTCCCGAGGACTGGGTTGAGAACCCCTGATCTAATACATGCTAAGTGTCAGCACATTGACTTCTTGTCACTCTACAAAAAAGTATCACTGGCTATTTAAAAAAATTGCTTCTCTGAATTCCAATCTGGAGTCAGTGTTTGCTTAACCATTCCAGTTAAAAAATATAAAAAAGAAAATCCAAATCTAAAAATATTTAAATGCTAAAATCCTTTATTTTGGGTGCATATAACAAAACATGTCATTTTGGTTACGTTTTTCAACAATGGTCACTTTTTCACACGATGAGATTTTACTTCCCAGCCAATCTATTTTAAATGTAGTTTTGCAAGCTTGTTGTCAGCTCATCACAGCTCGCCACATATCAGTGTTTAGTGAATGGGTATCTTTCTAGTTTTTCCTATTGTAGGCATTTTACATAACTTTACAAAATTCAAAACATTGTTAACTCTTCACATGCCATGGTTCTGGAAGAGAAAAGAGCCATTGTCATAATAAAAGATAAAGGAATGGTTTATTTAAAGTACAATGTACATATTTTGTTTGCAACATAATAAACAATAATTTTCATCATGAGACCTATGTAGAGAAGCTTTGCTTTATTTCCTTTTGTTACTGTGTTTTGCATTGAGTGTATATTTCCATTAAGTGTACACACCCAGGACTTTTTAAAGTAAATCAGTTTTGCAGCTTTATGCAATTGAAACCGACTATTGTACTTCGGTTCCTTTTGGAGAACTTTTTATGCATTATTTATGGAATATTTATAGCGACCACTTTTTGTGCAGTTAAAATTATGGTGTGTTGTTTTTTCCCTCCTTCATTGCCTACAGAAACCATGACAAGGTATTACACACGGATTAAACGTCGCAGACAGTACAGCTGGTTTGGAATACCCCTGAACAAGAACAGAAAAGTACAGAACGTTCAATATGGGTAAATGCCTCCAAAGTAATATGTATATCTGCATTGTATATGAATATATCATAGAGTTCTTCAATGGCTCTATCATATTGTTGTTCCTGCTGTTTAGAATGAATTCACAAAAATTTGAAGTCTAGCAAATAACCCTGATAGTAATATGTGATAGAGTTTAGATTAGAGCAAAATCTATCACAAGCATTGCAGAGCTTCATGGCAATTAAGCCTTAATCCTTTACTGTATGTTGTATGCTTAAATATTCTGCGATGTGTTTTTAGGGGACTTTCTATCAAGTCAGATGCTAGTGAGGAAGTCACTGTAACCCCAGGAGAGTTTGTTCTAATAGAAGGTGATGATGAAGAAAGGCCTTTCGTAGCAAAACTTAAAGAACTCTATGATGACGGTAAGAAATGTTATTTAAGTATATTGCGTACTTTGTGTTATGTTATAGGCTAATGTCTAGTGTTTATTTTTGTTCTTTTATTCTAGGTTCTACCAGTGGTTCGAATAAACATGCCACAGTACAGTGGTTTTTGCGCTATGAAGAGGTTCCTTATAGGAAGAGGAAAATGCTTGGGAGAGATCCTGATCCACGAGAAATCTTCCTCTATGATGTTTCTTGTGAGAATGACATTGATGCAGAAACTATTATTGGAACAGTTCAGGTAAAATCACTCAGCAGTTTGGCTTTGCCCTGTTTTTTAATATGCATTCTTTCAAAAATGATTTCCAGTACCAATCAGTCATTCACGGTTTCTTTTCTGGTGTTTTAAGAAATCATGTTTAACAGTGATCATTGTTTATCTGCATAAGAGTAGAAGAAATTCGGGACGTGGTTTGCAGCCGGAGCAAGATGGATGTTTCCAAGTGAAGCTCCACTGGAACCACGAGGCCAATAGCTAACTTCAGCGATTAAACACTAACCTAAGCTGGGGAATCCACAGGGGAACCGACATGGATAAATGTGCTCCGAAGAAACAGCCTAAAAAGCCGGCGGAACAGGGCACCACAGTGTCCGACATGTTCGCGCCGTCCAATTCTAAAGCCACTACTCCCTGAGGTGCCAGAACACCAGTGGCACATTGAAAGGGCCCAAAGGGCGCTCCGGCAGAAACGGGCAGAGGATAAGCGCCCTAGAGACATTATCATCAAATTCCTTTACTTTCAGAAGAAGGAAGCGCTCATGAAGTGTAGCTGTGAGGGCCCAATCAAATATGGAGAAGTTGAACTTGCACTGTTTCAGGATTTAACACCAGCGACTCTACAGAAACCGAGATTGTGGCGTCCGGTGACGGTACTTTTGCAGAAGCACAGGGTGAGGTACGCGTGGGGCTTTCCTTTTCGGCTACTAGCGTTCCAGGACGGGCGCACTAAGACCCACGTAGATGGCGATCCTGTGGAGTTCCTACGGAGCCTAGGGATCCAGGACCCCATTGAGATGACGGCGCTTCCCCCAGTGGTGGAGGAGCTCCAACCCCTCCCGCGTGAGTGGTATGAGGCCCGTGTAGATTGACTAGCCCGGGCGTGCCTGCGACTAGCGGTGAGGTGATCCCGATCGGAGCGGATGCAGGGACGGTTATGTGAGCAGATATTGGGTGAGCTGATGTTGGGGCCCAGTTCCACCCAGGGGTAACCCTACAGGGCGGGGTACTCTGGTACAGCCGGGGGAGATTATAGTGATCGGCCTCAGTGTAAGCAGGTGGGGAGATTCAGGGGTATGTCACCCCATGTTGGGTAATCTAGGGGTGCGATGTCCTGCTGCCTGTTTTGGGTGGTGAGGATTGGGGGTCTCTGGGCACTGCAATGTTCATCTTTTTTGGTATCGAAGCGAGATGTGGGGGTCCCTCCCTGTCGCCCCCTTGTTTGGGGGCTTAGGAGGTTCATGCTGACTTGGACTCCTCACTTCCTATGCCCAGTAATATATATTTCTATGTTCAGTGTATCACAGTAATTTTCATATTCATAACTGTATAGGTTGGGAATTGGCTGGTAATCATGTTTGACTAATGTTTGACCTAATGATCGTGCTTGATTGTTGCCGCGTGAGTGGGAGACCGTGTCAATACCCACGGTCTGGCCTAAGTTTAGCACTGCACACTCAGAGTGGAACTCCGCTGATTGGCCGACGCGTCCTCCGATGGGGGATGGAGCTGCAGGGGCCTTGTCCTGGGGAGGTACAGGGCTGGGGCTGGGTGTCTGACCCTTCGGTATCAGCTTCTTTTTTGGTTCTCGGAGGGTGGGGGGAGGTGGCCGGACTCAGCTCCGGCTACTATACCAAGGGAGGCCTCTGGGGGGAGAGATCCTTTTGGGGTCTAAAGGTGGGCGACAGGCGGGCCCTCTTGAGACGCCGTGGGTGGGTCGTAAAGCGCTCCCTCCCTTACAGGGTGTACCCGCCCGTAAATACCTGGTTGTCTCTGTATTTACTGCATATAATTTTGACTGTAATGTGAGCTCTGAATAGGATTAGTTACCATGCTATTAGCCTACTATTGGTGCCTAGGGCTCAGATCCGCAGCGAACAGCGTGCTGGCGGACCTTGCTGTTAGACGTTAACTGGAACTGCTGCCAGTATTACATACGGTCACAAAGTTGCTATTTAAGCCGTTTAGCATTGAAGGGGTCAAAAAAAAAGGGAGGTTATAAAACAAAAAAAAATTTAAATTTCATGCATACAACAAATAGTTGTAGATAACTGGTGTTTATACTGTATAATTAATCGCACTCTGCAAGGCTGCTACTACTGCCTTATTTGCGAGTTATAGCCACACAGGTTATAGTGTTTCTTCATTTAGTTTCAGTTGGCACTTAAATAGTGCCCACATTGGCTGGCCCATGTCCCTTACACCCCAGGGCTCTTTTGAAGTACTGGGGCAGATGGGACATTTACCCCAATCGTGCCTGGCTAGAGGTAAGACCAGGCGATTTTTGTACAAAGTTTTTTTTTTTTTAATTGTTTTTATTCCTTCTTTTCTATCCTAGTTCCCCTCTATCCCTTCTTCTTTCTACCTTTACCCATTCCTTACCTCCTCTGGGTTGGGCAGGGGTGGTGGTCGAGGGAAGCCCTGGAATCTGGACTAGTAACAGACTTGACAGGATGTCAAACTATAGAGGTGCACCACAGACTAAGACATGAATGCTAAACTAGTATCTCTTAATGTTAAGGGCTTGAACGCCCCTAAGAAAAGACGGCTTATGTTTAGGGAACGTAAGCGTATGAATCCGGATATAGCCTTCATACAGGAGACGCACTTGATTTAATCGGCCAAGTTCGCTCTTAGAGACCACACCTATAGCACCACATATGAATCGAGAGCCCTTAACAAGAGAAACGGAGTTGCCACCCTCATACATCATAGATGCCCGATCAGAATCAGCGAGGTTAGTATCCGGGGGGGGGCGCTTTGTACTGGTGAAAGGAACCTTGTATTCACACATGATCCATATTCTTAATCTGTACGCTCCCAACAATCCGTCCAAAGAATTTTGGGCGGACCTCATCCGCACTGTCAACGCACTCCCGCACAGAATGGTGATAGTGGGAGGTGATTTTAACGCAGCTCTGTCCCCAGTAGTTGATAGGGGGCCCTGTAAAGGAGTCCCCTGGTCCCACAGGAGAGGCGGACCAGACAAACTATTGCACACATTCATGCAACAGTCAGGCCTTATAGATATTTGGAGAGCTCAACATCCGGACGAGAATGACTATACGTTTTATTCACCGCTACACATTCCAGAATAGACCTATTTCTTGTAAAACCCCCAACTGTTTCCATTGTTTCGGAGTCCACAGTGGGTTCCATAACTTGGTCGGACCATGCGGAATGTCTCTATTACTTTAGACAAACTAAGTGCGGCGACACCGTGGTCGTGGCGGCTGAATAGCTCGCTACTGCAGGATTCGGAAATAGTTGAGACTATTCCTAGAGAGTTGAACGAATACTCTCTCAGGGAGGCAGCATCGGGGGTATCAAAAGCTGTAATATGGGCAGCGCATAAGTCTGTCATTAGAGGTATACTGATCAGAGAAGCGACACTAAAGAAACGTCGAAAATCTCAATTATTGGCATCTCAGTTAGAAGCTTTAAGAACGGCAGAACAGCGGCATAAGTCAGACCCTACACCTACCAATTTGCAGGCGGTACAAGAAGTAAGGCATGCTATCTGGGAAACGCTCCTAGATGACACCGCGAGAGCTATAGTGTGGTCAAAGCGGACCTTCTATGAAAAGGCCAATAAAATGGATACCTTGTTGGCAAGATCCCTTAGACCACCACAACGGAACACACACATCACAAAGATCAAGAATACTGCGGGAGTCTATCAGACGAATACCACAGAGGTTGCCAAAGTGTGTACAGGTTTTTACACCGAACTATATAACCACTCAAGAGGTGCAGTCACGAACCCACAACGGAAACTGGATGGGATACGAGATTTCCTCTCTCGGATACCTCTCCCAAAACTGGGTGAGGCGGATGTGGCAACACTCGGGAATCAGATTTCAGTGGAGGAAATAGATGCAGCAATTTCGGCCCTGAAAAGGCACCTGGCCCAGATGGCTTCGACGGAAGCTACTATAAGATATTTAGAGAGGAACTCCTGCCCCACCTTGAACTGTGGTTCAACGACCTTCAGGATGGGGGGATCCCAGACTGAGATATGTCACTAGCGAATATAGTCTTATTGCCCAAACCTGGGAAAGATGACTCAATCCCAGAGAATTTTCGCCCAATATCATTAATCATGATTCCAAAATCTTAGCAAAGTTGTTAGTGATCAGTCTGAACCCAATTCTCACTAGCCTGGTCCACCCAGACCAGGTGGGCTTCGTACCGGGTAGGCAACTGTTCGAGAATACGAGACCCAACATTGATCTTATAGGGAGACAAAGGCTGCAAACGCCGACGTTGATGCTGTCACTAGACGCCGAAAAGGCGTTTGACAGAGTCAAATGGCCGTATCTATTTGAGATGTTACACCATTTCGGCATGCCGGCCCGGTTTATCACGATAATCATAGCCTTATACGCCAACATCAGGGAACAGGTCAGGATAACAGGAGCGCAATCCATCCCTTTCCCATTGAGCAACGGTACGAGACAGGGTTGCCATCTTTCACCGTTGCTGTTTGTCCTATCATTAGAACCCCTCAGGCCTCTCTCATGGGAGGCAGCAGCAACATCAAATAAGACCTTGTTTCGGTGGTTTACCACCCCAGTGACGCTGTGCCGCATGCGTAAAAACCCAACAGACTTGTGCTGCAGGGGCTGCGGACATAAGGGTGCGTATATTCATATGTGGTGGGAATGTCTAGTGGTGCAGATATACTGGAAATGGATCGCAGCATTGTTGTGAGAAGTGTTCAGCAGGGAGGTGAAGCTAGACCCATGGGTGTTCCTATTGTCAAGATCCATGGATGATTGGACAAGAACGGAACAAAACCTCCTTCACAAAATAAACCTCGCCGCAAGACGAGCCCTAGCACAGGTTTGGCTACAGAGGAACACTCCTACGATAGCAATAATAAAATATAAAATAAAGGATACCTTTTTAATGGACAAATTGACAGCTCAGGTCAGAGGGACTACGAAGAAATTTGAAAAAATCTGGGACCATTGGATCAATAGTACAGGAAGTAATAAAAAAAGCAGACTGGACCAAACACATAAACCATACAACCGCACCACACAGGGCACTGAAGAGACAAGTTACAGACCGCTTCACCTAAGCCCATCTCTCTTTGAGGGAAACTTAGGGGATGCTTAGGATAGATGAAGTCAGTAAGGCAATGCAATCCTTGCGACACTTATCATTGGGCGGCTCCCCCTGGACTCCTCCTCCCACCTCCCCCCTTATTCATTCTTCCCATGCTCACCCCTAACTACTTCTCTCTACTTCCTCGGACTCTCGAGGACGCTCTTTCTTTTTCTGGTTCCAATCTTTTGAACCATCTTTCATTTTCCTTACAATTGTAAGATCGTGCATAACGGGACTATCAAGGGCATACAGTAAAGCTAGAGAAGCAAGTGCAAATATGTATAGTACCCCTAACTGTTCTCAGTGCAAGCTACAGCATGGTAGTTACATGTTTTATTTTACTACGCAAACACCAAGTGGGATGTCTTGAGATCCTTAACCCCTTAACGCCGTTACGGCGTTCTATGCCGTCCCGCATTAAATGGGCTTGAAAGCCGTTGCAGCGGCATAGAACGCTGTAACGGCTTTCAGCCCCAGGAGGTAAGATTTACTTACCTCTGCCGCAATCCACTTCTGGAGTTCTTCCTGACAGCCCTGGCAGCCCTCCCACGGCAAATGAGGCCGTGGATCTGCCAGCAGGGGGACTGTCTGAAATGTCAGTCCCCCTGCTGGTGGGAAGTATTAAAAATAAAATATAAAGTAAACATGTTAAAATAAATTGTGTGTGTATATATGTGTGTGTGTGTGTGTGTGTGTGTGTGTATATATATATATATATATATATATGTATGTGTGTGTGTGTGTGTGTGTGTATGTATATATATATATATATATATATATATATATATATAGTGTGTGTGTGTAACGTCATACATAATGTAGTTTTAATAATATAAGTACATATATTAGTATTAAAATACACTTAGAATGACGTTACATATATGATATATATTATATATTACATCTATATATATTTTATTTATACACGTATAATTACAATAATAAATAAAATAATAAAAGATTTTAAAAAAAAATTTAATTATACATATGTAATCTCATTCTAACTGTATTTTGTTATTAATATACACATTGGTAACAAAATACACTTAGAATGACATTCTATATCTATATATATAAAATACAAATAACTGCAAATAAATATATATATATATATATCACTACATAAGTGTACACGTCTTTAAATACATATATATGTGTATATATTAAAATTCTTCGTGTATATTTAAGTAATATTTTAACATAATTATGTGATTTAATTAGTTAAAATTTGATTGACATGCCTGACAACCCAGGCAAAAAGTGCAGAGAATTTGAATTGCAATCACTATATTTAACCCTGTAACTTTCCAAGACACCATAAAACCTGTACATGGGGGCTACTGTTTTACTCGGGAGACTTCGCTGAAAACAAATATTAGTGTTTCAAAATAGTAACGTGTATTACAACAATGATATTTTTAGTAAAAGTGACGTTTTTTTGCATTTTTGACACATGAACGGCACTTTTACTGATGATATTATTGTTGTAATGCAAGGTATCATTTTGAAACACTATTTTTGTGTTCAGCATAGTCTCCTGAGTAAAACCGTACCCCCCCATGTACAGGTTTTATGGTGTTTTGGAAAGTTAGTCAAATATAAGGCTTGCATTTCATTTTTTTTTTTCACATTAAAATTTGCCAGATTGGTTATGCTGGCTTTTGAGGCCGTATGGTAGCCCAGGAATAAGAATTACCCCCATGATGACCTACCATTTGCAAAAGTAGACAACCCAAGGTATTGCAAACAGGGTATGTCCAGTCAATTTTAGTAGCCACTTGGTTACAAACACTGGCCAAATATTATTTTTTTGCCTTTTTTCACACAAAAACAAATATGAACGCTAACTTCGGCCACTGTTTGTGACTAAGTGGCTACTACAAAAGACTGGACATACCCCACTTGCAAATGGTATGCCGTCATGGGGGTAGATCTCATTCCTGGACTTCCACACGGTCTCAAAGGTAACATTACTAATCTGGCAAATTTCAGTGTGAAAAAACTGAAAAATGGAATGTGCTATATTTGACCCTTTAACTTTCCAAAACACAGTAAAAACTGGTAATGGGGGGGTACTGCTGTACTCGTGAGACTTTGCTGAATCCAAATATGTGCTTATTTTGCAGTAAAAGCTAGCAGTATTATGACATTTACAGCTAAAAATGTAAGGCGTAACTAAAAAAATTTAACATTTCTCAGTTTTTTATTTTATTCATAATAAATTGTTTTATATATAAATATTTGATATTAAATGAAAGCCCTGTTTCTCCTGAACAAAATGATATATAATAAGTGTGGGTGCATATAATATGAAAGAGGTGAATTACGGGTGAACAGACATATAGCGCAAATTCCAGTTTTTGTTTACATTTTGTTTTGATCAGAACGTGTACTATTGACTCCGTCCTGAAGGGGTTAAAGGAGTTAATCACACCTTGGAAAAACCAGGCAAAAACGCATTTCATGATTGCGAATTCTGTAATATGTAAAAATTAGAATGTGCATTCATGCGGATAATGTTGCAAGCCGAAAACTGCTGCGTATATGCCTACTTTGAAAGTGTATTGATATTGTTGTGTGTGCTATGTATAAGTTGTCCTGCTTTGGAACAAATAAAGAATAAAAAAAAAAAAATAAAGAATAGAAGAAATTCAATTGCTTTTGTAAGAGAAAATAGTTTGTGCTTTTAACTTTATGGTTAAACTGAAGTATCATCGTTGGATACTAGCATATTTGGGCCTCACAAAAATACTTGAACAAAAGATTATTTCTTTAGTTGAGTAAAAGAAATAGTATTCACCTTTTAAAATAAATTAGAAAAAATAATTCCATAAAAACCCCTTAAGGTTCCTTTTTTTTTTTTTTTTGCAAACACCCACATATTAAATCCTAAGCCTTTATATTTGCCCACTGCAGGAAGTCACCTGAACAGTAAGAAGCCTCAAAGTCTGAAGTGTTGGATGTGTTTAACACTGCGTTACAAGGGTTAAAGTGAAGGGAATGTAGCTGATAGAGATTTCAAACATCTCTGCACAACCCTGGTTCTGCTCCGAGCAGAGGTTTCTGGGAATTGGTCAGTTATTAGCTAATTACTTTTGAAATACAAATCAAAGAACGATTTGATGGGCTTCCTTATGACCTGTATAATTTTTATTTCACACTGCAGTTTGGGAGTTGGGGACAGTAAAGGAGATTTCAGTAGGTTCGTTAACTAATGGGAAGAAAGGCAATGAGTTTAAGTTGCAGAATGCTGCAAAATATAAATTTATTGGCCATGCAAACGTTAGACCGAATGCTATAAAATTTAAAAAGTAGTAGTTGTGGTTGGAGCTTCCCTTTAAAAACACAAAGGGCAAAAACATAAGCAGGTCACTGTGATTAAACATTCAAATCTAAAATACACAGATAAAACTCGACTTTTGAAGTTTTATTTCAGGTATCACAGCTGAACGTGGAGGAACCATTTCCTACTCAGAAGAGCCCAGTACCTGTTCTCTTCTTTAAGTTGTCTTGGGATGGTAAAGCGTTCAGAGCCTTAACATCTAGCATATGCATGGGAGATGAAAAGCAAACTGGAATAAATGTAGCCATATCTCTGAAATCCATACCAAAGCCACAGTTCTACCCTCTGGAGGGAGATGTTGCTGAGACACGTCAAATCACTCGAAGTTCCTCTAAGCCACAAAGAAATGAAACAGAAGTAGAGTCCGTGCATTCAGCCTCTAAGAGCTCTCATTCCAAGGACCGAAGGGCTCAACGAGCTTCCAGCACATCCAGCACCCCTGGAGCCAGGAAAAAACTGCAACTCAACAGTAAGATATTACTCTATTAATGGTCTGAATAATGTAATAGAAAATTCATGGAGGAATGTGCAAAATTTTATTCCAGCAACAGAACAACCAAATCCAGAATTTATTGTTGCATGAGCAATGAAATGGAGGAATTTAGTCTTGTGTTTAAATTAGTGTCTATCCGGTTCAAATGATTAAACTTTATGGGGAGGTTTATCCAAATGCCATGTTTTGAGACGTGGCACAGTCTGTTGGCGATTATTCCCTTTTTGTCAACGTTGCACCACTTTTGAGTTCATGCCACTGTAATGTACTCACTGTCTTTTGAGTAATTCCGCTTCCTTAAATTTTTGTATTTCTGGAGGAAAAATGTGGAGTAACAAACATTACAGAAAAAGTGCAAAATACACTATAAAAAAGTATGTGTTAAAATGGCATTCAGCGTACCATAATCTTTTTCAAATCTTTACTGTTAAAACGTAAAAAAAAAAAGTAAGCACCACATGTGTTTGTATCTATTATATGAAAGCTTGTGTTAGCTGTCGTGGCATCTCAAGCATATGTGTAACGCAAAAGCACAACAAAAATAAAGAATTTTTTTTTTTTTTAAAGTACGCAAATTATGCCAAATACACTAAAGAAAATGTAAATATATTTACGTAACTTGAAGGATGTTTTCATCTTCAGGTCCAACAAAGTCTTCAAATGCCAAGCCAATTCACCTGGATGTTTTGATTGATGATGAATTGAAGGTTCTTGAACCCACTGCTCCCAAGAGAAAGGTTGCATTTAGTGGATTGCCCGACTCCCCACCAAAAAGGGCCCTTTCCGAAGATACATCCAAGATTATTATGCCATTAAAAACCAACCAGGAAGGACAAAAACTAAGCCTCGGTGTGAGACTTACACCACTAAAGCACGCATTAAATGAGGAACAAGGGGCTGATAAAGTTATGTAAGTATGAATATTAATGACTCCTAAAAAAAAAAAACTCAAGTCCAATGCATTTTATTTATTTATTTAAATTTTGTACTTCTATTTTTTTTCTTCAGATAATTTAAGATACTAGTTTATTAGAGGCGGCGTTTGCTTTTTTTTATGTTTAATGTATTAATTAACCCCTTAAGGACACATGATGGAAATATTCCATCATGATTCCCTTTTATTCCAGAAGTTGTATCCTTAAGGGATTAAGCTGAACTTTCCAGTCTATTTTAGAAGGCTGCATGGTGGCTAACCCTGTTTTAGGGATTATCCTTTTATATCAAATAATTTGAATATGTCAAACAGTCTTATAAGGCTGTGGGTTTATAGATAGAAGCTGCTTGCGCCCTCTGCTGGTTTGTCACTCTTTGTTTCTATTTTTTCATTTTTTATTTTATTTTTTTTTTTAAAGACCATTTATTACCTTCTGACACCTGTGTGCTGTCATGTTTCATAATGTCCTAGATTTGGAATCTGTTTGAGAATAAAACATGTTGTTTTTTTTAATTTTCTCTTAGGGGTACAGATATGGATGGAATTACCAGGATTACGCGGTCTAAGACACCACAGAAGGTGCTATCAACACAAGAACAATGTTTGCCCCAGCTTTCTAAAAGGTAGACTGCGATTTCTGGGGAATTTTTTTTTTTATTATTTTATTTATTTTTTTTTTTAATTAGAAGTAGATCTGTATGAGAACAATAAGTGAAATGATGGCTTTAGGAAATGTGTTGATGCTTAACCATCAATGAAGTTCAGTATTTAGAAAATGATTTGTAGTTGTTAAATGTTGTCTGTCAATTAATTTTTAGTTAATTTAAAGTAAATTAATAGGTGTGTAAAACTCCACCCTGATAATTGAGCAGTTTTACAGCTATATCTCTGGTTGTTTTGCCCTGTGTCTACTAGACTTGGCAGCCGCCAACATTTTTCTTTTGTCGTAGAGCATTGAAATGGGTCATGATCCTGGAGGTATGTTTTCAAGATGATGTCACTTGAGAAAGAGGTTGTGGCAGTGCAGAAGCAGACTTGGTGCTCAAGATTCTTCCACACAGAATCATTGAATACAATGATTCTCTATGGCAGACCGTGACGTTGCGGTATGTTACGGAAATGAGAGCTGGGAAAAAAGATTCCAGGCTCTCATACCCAAGGGGCTTGGAGGCGTGTATTGAAGCTACGCTCCCATGCCTTCTAATTCGTGAAATAAAAAGTTTGGGGGCAGAACTGCAGTCACTATAATAATTTCAATAAGAGGAAGTTGTTAAAGTGCCAACAGTGTTCCTTTAACCTGTGCTTCAAATGGTTTTTGAACTACAGTTCCCACAATGTTCCGATTTCATTAAACATGACCATGTATCGTGGGGAAATTTAGTTCAGAAGAGTTTAAGAACTAAAGTTTCCATTAATGGCGTGGTGTGATTTCCGACTGCTTGTCTCTTCTGGCTGCATGCCATAAACTGGCTGCTATGTCTAGACCTAAACTTGACTGTATGTTTCCAGACATGTATAAACTGAACATGTGCCCTTCTGCTTTATCCGTTCTATAACATTTTCTGCGCTTTTTCTGTATTCTCCCCTATGTAGGTTAGGAGAACAGAAGGATAACGACACTCCACGTTCTCGGAGAAAATCTGCTCATGAAAGTTCCATCCGAATCCGTAAACAGCTAAAGTAAGAATCACTCATTGTTTATTGCAAAGAGGGTTTTAGATACTATTGTAATACAGTTTGTGGTCTATAGGTTTGCTAAAAATCTATGGTGGCCTTTAAAAAAAAAAAAAATATATATATATATATTTTTTTATATTAATCTGCACGTCATTGAAAGTTTGTTGTAACCTGTACTGCGTGTATGTTTAGTGAAATGGCAAACCGTGATGGAGGAGACCATGATGAGGATGATGACTTTGTCCCTATTGAAGAAAAGTGTGTGTTAATTAGCAGTGGTGAGAGTGAGGAGGAGGACAAGGATGAGACAACTTCTCCCAAAAGATCAAGAACACGGAGAACAGTACCCAGAACACCAACTTCATCCCGAAAACCGCCTGCAAGGACCCCAAATAAAACGGTAAGCTTTCTTGCACGGTCCAGTTCTTCTGTTTAATGCTTTATGGTTAAAAGCAAAAATTTGTTCTTATTTGCTGTAGAGCCCCCAAGTCTTTGCAGCTTCTGCCAGGAGCACATCCCAAATTATGAATTGACAGTCATTCATTTGTGTTTAAAATTATAGAATAGTGCTTCATAGGCACAGCAAGGTTTTCATGGGAGTTGTAGTCCAGTTGTCAGCTGAACTATAAATCCCAGGTTGAGGGGAAGAGTCGGGAATAAGAGACCTAAGAAACATACAAGTTTAATATAAAAAAAAAAAACACTGCCACACAACAGAAATCTTGGGTTTGTACTTGAATATTAAGACCTCTTAAAAGCTACACAATCCCCATAAAGCATGGGGATGGAGAAGAACCCAATTGCTTAGCCAATTCTATCAGCCTCACACCAATACACAACTTGTTTGTGGCCACTAGCAAGCACTGTCCCATCACAGAAAGTCAAATGAGTCATTTAAGGGTAGATATCTGGCAGCACAGCTTAAAATGTCAAATCCTACACTACTAGCCAGGCCTTAATAGTTACTGTCAATGATACACTTAGTATGGCTGAATTTTCATTTGGCAATGGTTAGTGGTGATTAGAAATTGTGATCAGAGTCTGGCAGCAAACTCCATAACATTATAACACCTTGTACACTGGATACAAGCTGAAAGTTCCCTAAGGGTAAAGGGTTCTGATTTCATCCAGAATTGTACCCTCCAGATACTGTTCAGGATAAACTGACACAACCTGTCTATACAAAAAAGTTATCAGTTTAAAGAGTGCTCCAAGCATCTTTGCCATTACAGCTTGCTGTAGCCGGGCTTTCATTTTAAAATGTTGGTAAGTTAACAAGGAAGTGAAAAACAGATTTTGAGATGCCTGGTGCTTACCCACAATGTAAGGCTTCTTGTTAAACACACTAACCCTTGAATACCTGCATTGTTATCAGATGCCTGTCAACAATGTTAGGTCTCTTGTACCTCTTTTTAGTGCTGATAATCAAGGATTACTGTGCATACAAGTGGCATTTAGAGTTTATAATACATGCAGTCTGTTGTATTAAATAATAAATGATGATGGCTTTCCTTTAGGGACAGCGCTCATAGCCATTTTAGTAAGCTGTAGCGGTTTTGGTACTTGCAGGGTCGATTTAGTGGCTTTCTGCATTTGTGTAACTGTTACAGGGTTATCCCTGATCTTCCACGGATTTGCACTAAGTGCAGCTCAGAGATGCCCTGTGGAAGAGGCCAAGGGAAGTCCGCAGGGTGAAGCTGAACAGAGGAACCACAGTGGCATTAGATTGGTAAAACATAGCGAAAGATTGTTATAAATGAAGCTTAAAAATGATAAAAGGCATTAAAATATTAAGAGGGAGTTCCATTCAGACAATCTCAAACGATTTATAAAGTCTTTCTGAGGACTATTGCGTTTCCTATAAGTGGTGGCTGGGGACTTTTGCAGGCAATAGTTTCAAAAATGGATTTAAAAATGAAGTCTGTAGGCCATATTATGGAAATCTATTGAAAAGGGAGCAGTGTAACCCATGTGTGAATACACTAAATATGGTCTCATCCAGGATAATCCCTCACCAAAATAACCAGTCTTCCACCAAAGGAAGCAAAGCTCAAGTCAGGACTATGGAAACCAAATTTTTTTTTTTTTAAATCATGCATGTTCTATATGAAATAATCATTCCAGCCTTAAATGTTATGTTATGTGAGTTATCACTTGACTGTTGCATTTAGTTACACAGTCTGTCTGATTTGTATTTCCAGCCTGTAACCAGAACACCTCATTCTGCAACTCCCAGAATTCCAGAGAGGAACCAGCCTGTACAGACACCTGCCAATGTTTTAGAAGAGGCCAGGATTAGGTAAGATCAGTGAAATGCCATTCTTTCATATTTTAGGTACGGTGTGCGTACGTTATTATGCAAATCTAGTCTTTTCTGCAACTTAATACAACCCAAAAAAAAGGACAATATTTTTATAGCAAATGTGAGATTTAGTGAAATGGTTCACTGACAGATTTATAAGAGAGCTGTATTATCGGAATTTTTCTTTTGTGGCTGCAGCATATTTATGCTCATTCTCAGAATGAATCCACGGCAAAAGGCCTGTTGTAGACGGTCAGGCCACTGCATCAGTATAATCCACCAGAAGTGAGTGGTACTTACATTTTTCTCTTGCCATTCTGGAGTTAAAAAAAAAAAAAGCTTTCTCTAATTCCTCCTGTATAGTTTTGTTTGAACCAGAAATTAGAGAAAAGAACCCAGTAACTGAAATTTGGTATGTTATTCTAAGATGTCCTTATTGGTTTGTGGGTACTATTCATCGTGCTTTAAAAAGAGGGAGAGAGTCACACAAACTCCCTGCCTCCTGGTCATCCCACCGGCTTCTGTCCATTTTAAAACCTTCATTATGTCTGCCTGCTGAATTTTGATCCTGCTCTCTGAACTTTAGACTGCTGCTTGCCTGTTGATAAATGATGGTAATATCTCCAGCATTGTTTTTTATTTTATAATTTTTTTTCCTGTGTGCAGGCTCCATGTCTCGGCTGTGCCAGAATCTCTGCCCTGTAGAGAACAAGAGTTCCAAGATGTGTATAGTTTTGTGGAGAGCAAGCTGATGGATGGCACAGGGGGGTGAGTGAGATCAATAAGTGAATAGAGTAATGGTTTTTTTCCTATGCCTACACCCAGGACAATCTCATACTAGCTGCTAGGATAAGCTCAACATGGTGGTTCTTATAAACAGTCACTTCTGGAATTTGGCTGCTGTTCCAGCTGTTTATTCAATGACTGAGTGTCAGCTCTGAGCCCATGAATGAAACTCACTGTGCAAGACGTATGTACAAACTGACATTAGCCCGCATGGAACTCCATTTCTTGGTTCGCTAGTGAAGGTTGGTGGAGGTGAAATTACACCTCCGGCAGCAATATGAAACATCTAGGGTTTTCATACTGAAACACTGAAAATGCAGGGTCATAGCACAATGACAACTTCAAAACAGTGATTGTGGTTGTGATTCTTTAAATAGCAATATAATAATCTGCCTTTAATTTACAAGATTTTTAAACTCCTTCCCTTTCATGGCCAGCTTTGCCTGATCAGTTGATGGTCAGAAAACAAAAATGCTATCTAATAATAGATGGTGGGGCAATGGTTCCTTGAAACATTTTGTCTGCGAGTGGGTGCATCTTGAGAAATATAGCAACCCAAACAGCCACAGCCTGTGTCACTAGGACTTACAGGGTTATACACTAAAGTGAATCTCAAATTTAAGGTAGGTGAACTGGAATCAACACTTAAAGAATTTTTTGAGTTAGGCTGTTTTGACTTTTAAATTAACTTTCTCACTTATTGAAAAACCCTGTAAATTCTCCCTTAATAATCAAGACCGCTAGAATTCTTCATTTATACTACATACCTTTTTTTTTAATATATCTTTTAGGTGTATGTACATTTCAGGAGTCCCAGGTACAGGGAAAACTGCCACTGTGCACGAGGTAATCCGTTGTCTGCAACGAGCTGTGGAAGAGGAAGAAACTTTACCCCCCTTCCAGTTCATAGAAATCAATGGCATGAAACTGACCGATCCTCATCAGGCTTTTGTGCAGATTTTGAAGGTGAGACTTGTCATGTACGGACATATTGCACTGTACTATACGACAAAACTGCGTGGGGGCCAAAAGGGATTATAGAGGTACAATAAGGCAAACGATTCACAGATACAGGTCTTTCAATTACTACAAACTGGACAATATCAAATTATGTACAAAATGAGCTGAGGAAAAGAATAGCGGTGGGGGGCTGGGGAGAGGGAAATAAGGAAGAATATATTTTTAAATATTTAGTTTTGTTCTGGACTAAATATTGTCAAGCCAGGGATCTATAGCATTAACAGTGGGTAGGTCATGTAACCAACACAAACGTGGGACATCTGGTCTCCTGTCAACCAGCCTACCTCTCAACAATACAGCATCCCCTCTCCAACTTGCAGACCCGTGATTGTCATTTAATTTCCCTTTTCATGTTAATGTTGTTTTTCCGTCAGATATAATGTTCCATTCATACACATATTAACTAAATCCCCATAGCAAAAACTTAACAGAATGTTTAACTGCAGAAGAAAAGGGTACTATTTATGTTAATTTTGGTTCTGACTTCACTTTCCATCAGACCTAAATTCTGAGCATAAAATTGCCATTACTGGCTTCTATTCAGAGACCTTATTGTTGTGGGGACTCTGTGCATTGTAAAAATCTGATTCCTCAATTAAGAGTATCCAGTCTGTGTTGCCATTTAAGAAACACTCCACACACCTAAAGCATTTTAACCTGTTGTGTGAAGACTGTGTCCTTTCATTAAAAAAAAACCTTGTTACATCCCTCTGGCTGTTAGTCAGACAACCAGTCCTGTTACTCCCTGGTTTGTTTACCTCGCGGCAGCTAAACTTAAGAGGTCGTGACTAATATTCCAAAATAGATATTTCATTATCCATAGAACATTTTTTGTTGGTCATTAGGTAATTTTACTTTTCTCCAGTCTTGTAACACCAAACTATTTCTTTTAGCTCCTTACTGGACAGAAAGCCACAGCTGAGCATGCAGCAGCCCTGCTTGAGAAGCGTTTCAGCACATCTGCCTCTAAAAGAGAGACCACAGTGCTGCTAGTAGATGAGGTAAGGGGGAAATCTTATCTGATACATTGTGCTAGCCTATTAACTAATGGAACACATGTCAAAACAACTTAAGCTCTGAGCCAGCTGAATTTCCTGCAAACATTTCTGCATATGTATTTTTGGTTTGAAGGATTTAGCCTAAAATTGCAACCCTGTTGTCTATAAATCATGTTTGAGTTTATTCACTAAACATTAAATTGTAACCAGAATTGCAATACTCTGAAATATTCGGTTTTGGTCTGTATCCTCTTGCTTTGCATAATAATTTCTCCCCTTGCAGTTGGATTTGTTGTGGACCAGGAAACAGAATGTCATGTACAGTTTGTTTGACTGGCCAACTCGAAAACAAGCCAAGCTAATCGTTCTTGCAATTGCCAACACCATGGACCTACCAGAGAGGATCATGATGAATCGTGTCGCAAGCAGACTGGTAAGGAATGAGAATATCTCCATGGTTCTTGCCGTTTTTCTTTTTACGCTTTAAATTTTATTATCTTGTTAAACCGTATCTCCCAGTGACATCTTTTTCTATATTAAGGGTCTCACCAGGATGTCCTTCCAACCCTACACACACAAGCAACTGCAGCAGATCATCACGTCTCGACTTAATCATGTCAAAGCATTTGATGATGATGCAATCCAGCTGGTTTCCCGAAAGGTTTGTAACTATATAAAATTATATTGGATATCATAATTTCTCTTCCCCTCTGCTGTGCAAAAGCCTCTATAAACTAAATTAGATGTAAAATAAATTATATATGTAAACAAAAACTAGTGGGATTCACTGGTTCAGCCTGTAAAAGAGCAAAATTCAGTGACTAATACATGCCCTCACCATAAGTGAGAGAAAGGCAGGAGTAAATCGAGCAGACACTTTGGTATTAAAAGAGTATGTGCAGTTAAAGAGCCTGATTATGCTGCTCTGCTCAGTTACCTGACAAATGGAAAGAGCCCGCTGTCATTACGGTTTGCTGTAGATGTATATTTTTTAGTTAAGCTAACTGTGCCCACATTTTTCATTTTAATGACTTAGAATGGAAATCTTATGAATGATTTAATTTGGACAATTATGTGCCATGATTGCAGTGCTTGGTGGTATTACCAGCTGTGCTTTCTTTCTAGGTGGCAGCGTTGTCTGGCGATGCACGCCGCTGTCTGGATATCTGCCGCAGGGCCACCGAGATCTGTGAGTTCTCCTGCAAGAAGTCAATAGTAAGGATGCCACATGTGATGGAAGCTCTGGATGAAATGTTTTCTTCACCATATGTCATCGCAATCCGGTAAAGACTAGTAACTTATTACAAAACCACAATGTGTGCAGTGCTTTTCTAACCTTGTGCTAGATCACTGGAAAACCCTCAATTACCAAGCTAAACAAATAAAGCTAGTCTAATTTGTCATGGTTTAAACGTTTGTATCAGAGAATTATTATGGTATGTTAATAGTTAAGGTGAAATGATGGCTTCCCAGATGTATTTTTTTTTTTTTTTTTTTTTTTTTTTTTAAATCCTGAATTGGAGGTTTTCTTTCTCCCAGTTCAGAAAACTTGTTCTGCGTGTTGCTGTTCTGTCAGTTTGTGGTTAAAAAAGTAAAGTTTTTAAATGTGTGTGCTTCTTTTATTTGTTTAGAATTCACATATCTGGTTTTCTAGGGAATATATTTTTATACAATTTCAAATTTTGAAAAATACTGTTGTCGTTTTTAATTCCTCACAGACTTTATCTGCAATTATGGTTGGAAAATATTTAGAAATAAATAATTTAAACCTAGTCTTTAAATCCTGAATTATAATGGTCTTAAGTAAACTGATTCAATCACAGGGATTCTCTAATAAAACAGTAGCTATACCACTAGTATGGTAATTCATATTATGTATATTTCTTCCTTGTAACTTTCAACAGAAGCTCGTCGGTCATGGAACAAACATTTCTCAGAGCTGTGATTGCAGAGTTTCGAAGATCTGGACTTGAGGAGGCCACATTCCAAAAAGTAACTTTATCTACCTTTAGCCTTAAAATGTATCCATGTGCTTTATACATTGCTTAATTCACAAGTAAAGTGATTTGATTCAGGTCTGCAACAAATAAATATTGACTTGTGTGTATACATACAGGAAATTCAATTTGTGATCTAATGCTACTAGCCAGACCTTAAAAGTTACTTGCCAAGCAATCAATAGGATACCCTACTAAGCTGAATTTCTACTCGCCAATGGCTGTCTATAGATCTCTTAGGTGGCCTCTTTTTTTTGTCCTACAGTACATGAATTGAGTAGCTTAACCGTTTTAAAAATGGTTAAAATTGTTAATTTTCACAATCAGTCTGTTAAAGGGATACTTCAGGCTGTAGTTAACCTCCTTTATTAAGATTTATTGAGGTAAATTACCGTACTAAAAATTTAGAGATGCTTTCAAGTTTCCCATTTGCTGCAAACCCCCAGGATCTGCAGCTGCTAGAAATTTGCCTGTTGTACTACAAGGTCTGAACAGCAATTTTCATGTATCTTGTTACAATTGACCATCCCTTTGTTACCTTGAAGCTAATGGCCGTGTTTTCTTGCAGGTATATTATCAAAACATTGCTCTGTGCCGCATAGAAGGTATGCAGCCACCTTCTATGTCAGAAACGATGGCCGTGTGCCTAAGGCTTGGGGCATATCGTCTCCTTCTGGTGGAGTCTAGCAGAAATGACTTGCATATGAGAGTGAGGATCAACGTGAGCCAAGATGATATTATGTATGCCTTGAAAGATGAGTGATCTGCAATGTTCTAATGTCCTAGTCTTTTCTTCTATCAACTGGTTTCAATGCAAACAAACCTTGTATATACTACCCAACTCTACAAGAACTTTTAAGTAATTTATAATAAAGTTTTCTCTGTATTTTTATATGTTTGATTGTTTCGGAAATAGTTTTTTTTTTGTTTTTTTTTGTTTTTTAAATGTAAATCTTTGACATTATTCCAGACAGCCGTTATTACATTTCGTTTCCACCCAATCTTTGAAACAAGAATGATAAAGAAATAAAACATGCCAAATCCAGCTTTTAATAATTCAAATCTGTATAGTATTTCATATCCTGCTATTCATGCTCACTTGCATTTATAGGACACAGCAAGGTAGCATTTTCAATGCACTATAATGCACTGAGTTACTAATGCAAAAGTATGTTTAAAAAAAAAAAAAAAAAAAAATATTCTTGCATGAATGTGTGTTAGACAGGATCCTTTTTCTCTGACGTGACTAGTGAAATCTTGCCAATCCCTGAGCTCCTAAGGGAGAAACACAACAAATGCTCATTTACACACTGTACAGCTTACCGTGGCTTTCGTTAAAATGAATGGTCGTACTGTCCCTTATCTAGCTGCGCTTACTGTTATTGATGGAGAACTGCCAGGCACGTTTAGTTTCGAACATCCATGAACTGTCTTCACATTTATCAAGTGAACTGAAAGACCCTTCCCGCTAACTCATGCAATGCTCATTTGTATGGTGAAAACTATGCGCATTAAGAAAAATAAAGTTTGAAGTGGAAATACTAGTGGCTCACATAACAGATCTGTTGAAAGACAAAAAAAAAAAAAACTTGACACTAAGTGTCTAGTGCTACTAGTAGGTTGGGAGTGAGACGCCTGTTTTCTGACACGGTTTGCAAAAGATCTAAAAAAACTTTAAAAACATTCAGAGGAAATGTAGAAAAATTAAATGGAGATATTTCCTGTTTCACCTGTTCCTCTTGTGTAAAAGAAGCAAAACTGCATTTTAAAGTTTAACATCCACAAATTCGGGATTATTTCAGAAAATTATTCCAGCAACACACGTCATTTGGAATATCCTTCACCGTATCCAAGATCCTGTACTCAGAACATCATTGAAGTTGGGAACGAACAAAAACCAGTGATCACCATATTGACATATACTACATTTAGCTCTATATCATTGTAAATTCTCATTTATGTTTAACGTTGGTGTATCTTACATGCAGCCACAGTTTTTACCCGGTAATAGTTTAGTTACGTCTTGAACAGAAGATAAATCTTTTCATTTCTCCTCTGTATAAAATATAAAACAGGTGTACCTTTTCCTACTTTGGTAATACATAAATAACAAAGTTGAACAATTATCAGGAATTCAAATTACCTTTAATTTTATCTCATGTTTCTCAAACTAAAAACATAAATGAAAGAATTTTTCCCAATTGGTTTATAATTAAAAACTTGCTTTGAATTCCTGACAAACTCTACTTAAGAGGCACGGGTGGAGATTCTCTTCATATGCTTACATTTACACTGGAGCAATTGGAGGCATGCCTGAATAATAGTAATAAAATGAAACTTTATGTAAGAGATCAGACTCCTTTCTGAGTCATTCTGCCCAAATCTGAAGCATGGGTAGTTTGGCAATTTTAGACTAAATGGCTCAGTTTGGAGAAGAACACTGTGCCCTTGCTCTTAGCAATTCAGGTTTATTTACTAAAGTGGGAAGTGGGGAGGAAAGAATATATAATTCCTATGGCAATTCTCTCCTACTCTTACTGTCACTTTAACAACCTGTATCCCCTGTGTCTGTAATGAAAGGCTTGCTGTGTCCATTTATCTTCTCCCTCCCAGAGCTGCAGTGTTACTATATGATGTTACTGTCACTTTAACACCCCCCCATGATGACACAGAGTGGGCGGGACTGAGACTGGCTGGTCACATGACCGTGCCCGCGCGTGCGCAGAGCTTCCCATCACGTGTTGCCTGACAGCGCTCTCTGCATCTTCCGGGACCGCTCCTCCACCTCCTCCCCGGCAGGTAACAGACCACCATAACCACTGCACCTCCACCATAACCACTACCACCACCTCCTCCTCCCCGGCAGGTAACAGACCACCATAACCACTACCGCCTCCACCATAACCACTACCACCACCTCCTCCTCCCCGGCAGGTAACAGACCACCATAACCACTACCGCCTCCACCATAACCACTGCCACCTCCTCCTCCTCCCTGGCGGGTAACAGACCACCATAACCACTACCACCTCCTCCTCCCCGGCAGGTAACAGACCACCACAACCACCTCCACCATCACCACTACCACCACCGCCTCCTCCTCCCCGGCAGGTAAGAGACCACCATAACCACTACCACCTCCTCCTCCCCGGCAGGTAACAGACCACCATAACCACCTCCACCATCACCACTACCACCACCGCCTCCTCCTCCCCGGCAGGTAACAGACCACCATAACCACTACCACCTCCTCCTCCCCGGCAGGTAACAGACCACCATAACCACCTCCACCATAACCACTACCACCACCGCCTCCTCCTCCCCGGCAGGTAAGAGACCACCATAACCACTACCACCTCCTCCTCCCCGGCAGGTAACAGACCACCATAACCACCTCCACCATAACCACTACCACCACCGCCTCCTCCTCCCCGGCAGGTAACAGACCACCATAACCACTACCACCTCCTCCTCCCCGGCAGGTAACAGACCACCATAACCACCTCCACCATAACCACTACCACCACCGCTTCCTCCTCCCCGGCAGGTAACAGACCACCATAACCACTACCACCACCTCCTCCTCCCCGGCAGTTAACAGTCCACCATAACCACTACCACCTCCTCCCGGCAGGTAACAGACCACCATAACCACTACCACCTCCTCTTACCCAGCAGGTAACTGTCCACCTCTACCCTCTACTACCACACTCTTCTCCAACCAGCCACTTCCCTCCCCCCTCCACCCCCCACCTTCCCGAGCAGGTAACCGGCCACCACCACCTCTACCTTCTTCTACCACCCCCTCTTCCAATTTATAACCTGCCGCCACCACAACCACCTCCCCCCAGCACTTATCCGGTCACCACCAAACACCCCCCCCCCCTTAGTGTAGCCCTCTTGTACAGGGCAAAACTCTCCAAATCTCTCCACATGAAACTCTCTAACACTCTCCACATGCTTTTCAAATACAAGCCTCCCCCCCACCCCCCCTTGTTTAATTACAGTAGAGAACAATCAATTCTTATATATGCAGCCCACCTCCTTCCAATAACATTTACAGTATAGGTTTTGTGCCAGGAACCCCTTTAGTCTAGTAGTACACCCCTGCTCCCCCAATTCTTTCCAACCCTTACCCAATAATTTCTGGGATATGTGTTCTAACCACTTTACAGTAACATTACATACAATCCCTGTCCCCGATTTGTTTTCCACTTACAGACCCCAAAACATCTTTGCAAGAATACTTTGCACAAAAAGTATGTCATTTAACAAAAAAAAATTGGGGTGGTTCAGAGCTAAGTTTTAATCTGACCAATCATTGCTCTTCCACTCTAGGTCACTGAAGACCCCCATTACTTTTTCATGTGTCTACAGCTGTGAGCTGACCCCCTCAGTCAGTAAGTGAGATTGTTTGTTTGTTTAGTGTTGTGCAGTTTGCTGAATAATCCGAGTGTCTAAATATCTCTTAATACCACGGTGTTTCAGATGAGTTAATTTCCCACCAGTCGTTCACAGCGCGGTGTTTTTTATATTGCACACTTAGAACACATTTGATTTGAAAAGTCAGTGATTTCAATCAGAATTTGAAAATACAGAATTTTAGTAGGAAAAAAAAAAGTTGTTTACAAAGTTTTTACTTATTGTTGCGACATCTGGAATAATTCCGATTTTGATTATTGTGTCAGTTTGAGAGAAGAACGTGTTAGTGGGCCATATGATAAATCTTTTTGTTGCCGAGCTGTAAATGTAGAACAATTTTAACTACAGGTTCTTGTAACTTTGTCAAAACAATGACAGATTCCCAAACTATTTGTGGCTAAGCCCTAGAAATATTTCTGCTGTAACAGAACCTTTATATGACACGATCACTGTCTTCAAAGTACTTCTCGATGACCATTGCTGTGAGAATGTTTAATGTAGATAATTTGCCTCTATTGATTGTCGCCTTAAGTTGAATGTTGTGCTGTTGGAGGCTAGTCCTTCTGGTGAATAAATAATTCTGTGTTTTCTGTTATTTGCTTACCTGGTGACTGGGTGTGTGGAGACCCGTTTGCTGAAAGCTTAATCATTTGTGTCTGTGAGCCGAACGCGTCTTTGTTAAGCACTCAGAAGACTAGTTTGCTCTCTGGAAGAAGGAGCGATCAGAAGAGGTGATGTATATCTCTGTTTAGTGAGTAGAGCATCGATGCCCAAAAGAAAGATCACCAGATGTAAAACTACACCTCCCATGATGCTTTGCATGTCTTTAGAATGACAGATCCCCAGATGCTTTAAAACTACAGCTTTCATGATGCTTTACCTTTTGGGCATCCCTGTTGTAGAGAATAATGTCTTACCCTGTAGAATTGTGGTGGTCTCTGGTGCTAGGAGGGAAGGGATAGACAACGTAATGAGACCAGTCTGGATCCCAAGCTGGGAATAAGTCTACTCTTTTCCCGTTATACAATGTAAGATATCATTACCCAGGACTCAAAGTTTCCACTGGCCCCCTAGACATTGGCGAGTGAAAATTCAGCTCTGGCAAGTAGATGTGTGTATATATATATATATTTATATACACACATAACTACACACCACCTTGTTGAGTGTGTCACTGATCCTCCAGCTTTTTGTGACCAGTAACTGTTAGGCCTGTCGCATAGGACTTGGAACTTTGATCCCTGTACTTCTCATACTGTATGAATAAATTGACCGTTTAGCTACGCTGCAGAACTGAACTTTTCTAAAATGTGGAAACCTTAGACACAAGAAATACTCTTTTGTCCTGATCTAAATTAGCACTACACCCCAGAGCCCTGTTCTTTCTGTCTGTTCTCGTTTTTCACCGTACCATTTCATTCCTCTTCCTGATATTCTAGTTACTCAAGATCTGGCAATTCTGTTGCTCATTTGACTCAAAAGAAAATTCCTACCCATTGAAAACTTTAGAGCAATCAATATGCAAATCTAATTACAAACTCTGTATTGTTTTGTCCTTTGCAATGATACAGTTGCAGTGTGTTTCAATTTTTTTTCTCCTCTCAACATTCTAATACAGTTGTTGAAAACAAAAACAGGATGTCACATGCTATAACTCCAGTCAACATAAAACGTAACCAAATTGTCATATTTTTTTTTTTTTTGTTCCTGATGACAGAGGACTGGTAGAAAAGTAGGAATAGTATAGATGGATTTGTTTTAAATGATCTTCTGAGGCACAATAAACTCTGTAACTTTTTTTTTGTTTTTTTTTAACTGTCTAACTGTAGTTGTGTTCCCCATGTGAATGTCCTATTTATTTGCCCCGCTATAATACTGTTGCAACCACTTGCCATATGTTGGGGTTTGCATGTTGTATTGTACAGACGTCACGCAAGGCAGTGAGTAATGCGATCTGAAGATGTTTAGTCCTTATAAACTCAATTTATATTAGTGGAGAGAACAATAAATTAAGGTCCTTTAATCCTTTTTATTTATTGTGATTTATATGCCCTGCTTCATACTGTCTTATTGTGTATTCCAATCTGATTTTTTAAGTGGAAGAAAACTTTCAAGGTAAATATAAATATTTTTACCTTGTCATCTCAGTGCAGGTTACTCGTTTTCTTGGCACTATAGTGCCCTGAGGGTACCCCCATCCTCAGGGTACCCCTCCCGCTGGGCTCTAGAGGGAGGAAGGGGTTGAACTTACCTCTTTCTCCAGCGCCGGGCGGGGGAACTCTCCTCGGCTGAATGCGCATGCGCGGCAGGAGCCGCGCGCACGCATTCAGCCAGTCCATAGGAAAGCATTGAGAATGCTTTCCTATGGACGCTGGCGTCTTCTCACTGTGAAAATCACAGTGAGAAGCGCGGAAGCGCCTCTAGCGACTATCAATAAGACAGCCACTAGAGGCTGGAATAACCCTATTATAAACATAGCAGTTTCTCTGAAACTACTATGTTTATAGCAAAAAGGGTTAAACCTAGCTGGACCTAGCACCCAGACCACTTCATTAAGCTGAAGTGGTCTGGGTGCCTATAGTGGTTCTTTAATGAAGCAGTTTTAGTGTATAGATCATGCCTCTCAGGTTTCACTGCTCAATTCACTGCCATTTAGGAGTTAAATCGCTTTGTTTCTGTTTATGCAATTCTTGACACACCTTCCCTTAACCCTGAATGACACACCTGCACAAAAAAAACCTGGTTTCATTTTCAATCAGATGTAATTTATCTTAAACAATTTTATCTCTTGCTCTGTAAATTGAACTTTTAATCACATACAGGAGGCTCTTGCAGGGTCTAGCGAGCTATTAACATAGCAGGGGATAAGAAAATCTAAGTTAAACAGAACCTGCAATAAGGGAAGTATAAACATTAGATGAGTCTTTAAAGGAAGTGTTTAGGAAAGTTGTGCAAGTCACATGCAGGGAGGTGTGACTAGGGTTTATAAGCAAAGTGATTTAACTCCTAAATGGCAGAGAATTGAACAAGTGAGACTGCTGGGGCATGTTCTATACACCAAAACTGCTTCATTAACCTAAAGTTGTTTTGGTGACTATAGTGTCCCTTTAAATGGTTTGGTGATGGTGGCACCTTTGCAGCAATCCCTCTGCACCTGGGTCTGCTTCTCCTGCAGGTGCTCATTCAAAGTGAATTTGAAATTAATAGCCCAGCTGGGAAAAATCTCTCATGATTTCAGTTCCGCTACTCTGGAATTAAATTTGAAATTCACTTTGAATTCTCACTTAACTAAATTAAATCTTTATACATGCATCTTGTGTAAGGTAGTTCTGCTCAGTTCTTTAGAGAAATTCCTCCATCTGTTGCTAATTAACCCTTCTCTCTCCTTGTAGAAGTCTGTTGATATTTAGCAAGTGCAGATCATTTGATAGATTGCGTCCATGAGCCGCGATGCTGGGGAGAAAAGCTGGAAAAAAGAATGCCCAAGTCAAAGGCCAAGGGGCAGCAGCTGCCAAGCAGGTACCAAGGATGCCGTGATGGAATGTTTGGTTTAATTCCATGTAATGTATTCTGTGTAGTTTTAGAAGCCATGGTTCTTGAAGTTTGTCATAATGTATCATGTGTGCATTACATTTAGATTAAAACAAAAAAAAACATGTAACTAGATTGCTGATGTATATGTATGGATGTACCAGGATGCAATGGACATTCATGACATTACAGAAGTAGGCTAGACTGGATGGCTGTAACAATATGTCAGCCATAGTTTTTCATATTTTCTTTGGACATTTACTGTCCGTGGTTGAATCTGTCACACATTTAGGTTTACTTGACCTCCTGTGCATTCTTTGTCCACACAAAGCAAATAATGCCATGCACATTGTCACAATAACTACAGTCAGGTTTCCCTAGCACTGACAGTCGTCCGTTTTCACTCACAGCCTTACATGCCAATACACAGGTTACAGTATGAGTGATCCAGTTCCAATTTGTGGTCGGCGGTTTCACCCTTTGCAGGGGCTTTGATTCAATGTTGGAAAAGCCTGCGTTAGTTTAACATTGTGTTGTATGTTGGATCTGTAAAAAGATACTCTAAGCACCAAAACAACTTTATTTAAGCCGGCTCTTTCACCTTCTGTGAAATCTGCATATTTTGCTAAGACCCCAGCTGCTATCAGCATTCGGTGGGTCCTCTTCAGCTTCTGGTGGTTCCAGGAACCCATGCCCGCGCAGTATTATCACACTGAGACCTCTCTCTATAGCCCTGTCGTGGGTATTGTTGGCCCGAGAGTGCGTTACCTCTATATATGTTAAACCCGGCCACGCTAAAGTATAACACTTCTCTTGTATAAAAGTTATATATTTTTGCAGCATTTGGCCTCTGTGTGATTTCTTGTTATGACTAAGGTAGCTCTAAGAGTATCAGCATTTTAAGGTATGGGAGGGAGGAGTTAATTGTTTTAAGTTTTTTTTCCAGTTACTTGCCCATCATAAGTACATCCCATAGATACTGCTACAATATTAAGGGAAAAAATTATTTATGATAAGTAAAATTGCAGCACTAAGTCTACCTTCAGGGGCTGTCTATGAGACAGCCACTGGAGACGCTTCCTGGATCCTAACAGATTTTTGGTCCAGTACCTAATGCTGGACAACCTCACGCTCTGCATGAGAACATCCAGAGTCTTCTATTTCCCCATAGGAAAGCGTTGATTCAATGCTTTCCTATGTGGAGGGCCTAATGCGCTTGTGGGGCATCGGTCCTGGGATCAGGTAAGTAAATAAGATAAGTAAGTACGTTTTTTTTTTTTTTTTATTTTATCGCTGTTTGCTGAGCATGAGGGAGGGGGAGGTAGAGGGAGCTATAGTGCTAGGAATACAATTTTGTATCCCTTTAATCACACAGAGGAGGCCAGGAGATAAGACATTCTACAAACTGCAATAACGGATACACTTTTTTTTGTTTGGTTTTTTTTCACCCAAAGAAATGTAGAGAGGCTGTGTGACTAGGACTGCATAAACAAAGGGATTTAATTCCTACATGGCAGGCAATTGAGCAGTGAGACTTCATTAAGCTAAAGTTGCTTTGGTGCTTAGTGTCCCTTTAAACTTGGATATGTGCTGTGCTAATATCATTTATCCCACGAATGCACAGAGAATATCCAATTTGTTCGTTGTGGTGTGAAAACTTTTCATATTATCTTTACAAGGGATTGACCACAGGCGCACCCACTTCTTCAGTGCTGCTGAGTACTATTCCTAATCTCCATCTTGATGTCACCGCTTCTCTGTTTTGGTTCCCAGATGGGGCTCTTTGTAGATTTCAATCCTGATGACATGATGATGATGGGAATCCCCGATGACGCAGATGATGCCGACTTGGAGGCAGAGCTGGCAGCACTGACTGGGGCAGAGGCCGTTTCAAAACCAAAGTCCAAAGGGAAAGGTGAGCATCAACAATCAAGTCCTTTAGACGGCAGATTAGTATCAAACAGCCAATATTTGTTAAACAGTATAATAAACGTCGAATCCCATGGATTCAGATGAGTGTTCTGTGTTTAGCCTTCATTTGACAAGGCTACGTACTTTGCCCAGGTCATTAGGAAAAAAACATATATGTTGACCATAAGTAAGAAAATTAATATTAAATCCTAAGAATGGTGGGAAGCAGAGTGACTCTGGAGGCTGATTTTAGTCAGTCTTTTTATTTATTTATTTATTTAAACAAGACAGGAGACCAACTTGGAGTATACCGTGATACAGCGCAACTAGTAACCCCTTTTAGGGTTGCTTATCCCATGAAGAAACAAAGCACATTATGTGATACTGCATGAAATCCTGTGATACAATATATCATCTTCCTGAGTATGAGGCAGGGGTTGCTGATCTCTTTTACAGGAAACAAAATAAGCTCACGTGACAGAGCAGTGAGTCATGGCCATGAAATTAGATTGCTGGGTTATTTAATTTCTTTTCAGTTTCATTTGGATTATCTCGATGTGATGAATTTCATGTAATTTCCCCTGACAGCTCCTCTCCCAATGGAGCACATTGAGAAGCTGGCCCAGGACTGCATGAGAGACTCAGACGGGGACGATTTGGAAGATGAGGATTTAGAACAAGATGAAGATTTGCTGGTAACACCCACATCCTCACCCTGTAAATTACCTAGACTTGTGATGGCTAGTTCTTTGTGATATACATTTCCCATCATGCTCAGAGAGACGCTTGGCTGACTGAGCATGATGGGGAATACAGTACAACAAACTTTTGTGGTGCAAAGTATAGCCATCCCAGACTTAGTGTTGTCTGAATGTTCTACACCCTGTTCCAAATTATGCAAATTCTATTTAAGTGTCACAAAGATTAAATATTTTGTTTTTCAGTTTAACTCATGGATGGCATTGTCTCTCAGGGCTCTTTTGATCACTGAAAACAATCTCAGACACCTGTGATAATTAGATTGCCAGGTGAGCCCAATTTAAGGAAAAACTACTAAAGGAGGGTTTTCCACATTATTAAGCAGAGCAACGTTTTCATGCAATATGGGGAAGAAAAAGGACCCCTCTGCTGCCGAAAAGAGTGAAATACCCTTCTGAAAAAAATAAAGGGAACACAAAAGTAACACATCCTAGATTTGAATTATTAAATATTCTTCTGAAATACTTTGTTCTTTACATAGTTGAATGTGCTGACAACAAAATCACACAAAAAATAGAAATCAAATTTTTCAACTCATGGAGGTCTGGATTTGGAGTCACACTCAAAATTAAAGTGGAAAAATACACTACAGGCTGATCCACCTTTGATGTAATGTCCTTAAAACAAGTCAGAATGAGGCTCAGTAGTGTGTGTGGCCTACACGTGCCTATATGACCTTCCTACAACGCCTGTGCATGCTCCTGATGAGGTGGCGGATGGTCTCCTGAGGGATCTCCTCCCAGACCTGGACTAAAGCATCTGCCAACTCCTGGACAGTCTGTGGTGCAACATTACGTTGGTGGATGGAGCGAGACATGATGTCCCAGATGTGCTCAATTGGATTGTCAGGCTACCTCTGGTGAGCACATGGAGGACTGTGTGGCCCCCAAAGAAATGCCACCCCACACCATTACTGACCCACTACCAAACCAGTCATGCTGGAGGATGTTGCAGGCAGTAGAACGTTCTCCATGGCGTCTCCAGACTCTGTCACGTCTGTCACATGTGCTCAATGTGAACCTGATTTCATCTGTGAAGAGCACAGGGCGCCAGTGGAGAATTTGCCAAACTTCGTGTTCTCTGGCAAATGCCAAACATACAGCACGGTGTTGGGCTGCAAGCACAACCCCCACCTGTGGACGTCGGGCCCTCATACCACCCTCATGGAGTCTGTTTCTGACTGTTTGAGCAGACACATGCACATTTGTGGCCTGCTGGAGGTCATTTTGCAGGGCTCTGGCAGTGCTCCTCCTGTTCCTCCTTGCACGAAGGCAGAGGTAGTAGTCCTGCTGCTGGGTAATTGCCCTCCTTCGGCCTCCTCCACGTCTCCTGGTGTACTGGCCCGTCTCCTGGAAGCGCCTCCATGCTCTTTACACTACGCTGACAGACACAGCAAACCTTCTTGCCACAGCTCGGATTGATGTGCCATCCTGGATGAGCTGCACTGATCCACTTGTGTGGGTTGTAGACTCCGTCTCATGCTACCACTAGAGTGAAAGCACCGGCAGCATTCAAAAGTGACCAAAACATCATCCAGGAAGCATAGGAACTGAGAAGTGGTCTGTGGTCACCACTTGCAGAACCACTCCTTTATTGGGGGTGTCTTGATAATTGACTATAATTTCCACCTGTTGTCTATCCCATTTGCACAACAGCATGTGAAATTGATTGTCACGCAGTGTTGCTTCCTAAGTGGACCGTTTGATTTCACAGAAGTGTGATTGACTTGGAGTTACATTGTGTTGTTTAAGTGTTCCCTTTAATTTTTTGAGCAGTAGTAAAACATTAGATATTTCACGAAAACTTAAGCGTGATCATCGCACTATTTAGAGATTTGTGGCTGATTCAGAGCACAGACGGGTTTGTGCAGATAAAGGCACATTGAGGAAGATTTCTGCCAGATCCATGCATCGGATCAAGAGAGCAGCTGCTAAAATACCATTACATAGCAGCAAACAGATATTTGAAGGAGAGGAAGTCTCCTATTGAGAACCTTTCGAGCATCCTCAAGCAAAAGATCTATGAGGGTGGGAGGCAGTTTACATCCAAACAGCAGCTCTGGGAGGCTATTCTGACATCTTGCAAACAAATTCAAGCAGAAACTGTCCAAAAACTCACAAGTTCAATGGATGCAAGGCTTGTGAAGCTGCTATCAAATAAGGGGTCCTATGTTAAAATGTAAAAACAAAAAATAATGTTATCATTAGGAGGTTTGTTCAATAAAATTTGAATTGTACTCTTAATAGTTGATAACATGAGAATTATGCTTACTGTTATTTACATCAATTATTTAGGTAAATGAGAAAAATATCATTTGCATAATTTGGAACAGGGTATAAAGACAATATTGCACAGTTTTGCATTAAATACATACTTTCTAAATGGTGTGCCATGCTAAGCTCCTAGGTACAATGGCTCACCTCATTATTTGTTTTGAACCTTGTACTCTGACCTGTCTGTGGGCTGCAGGCTAACACAATGGGAATTCCAAACTAAGATAGAGCTGTTAAACTAAGTTATAGTGTGTTTATATTCTCAATACATCAATGGCAAGAATGGAACATTGCCTGCTAAGCGCAGGCCCAAAGGTGCTTTTCCCAACTTCTGGAGAACTTCAGCTTCCAGACCCAAGGCATTGTGGGAGTTGTAGATCTGTAACAGTTGTGGAAGCCACTATTAGGCCATCCCTATCTTGTAATACTTTCTATTTAGCTATATGATGCACTGATTGGCCGCTGTAAGCTTTTATTGTGGTTCCTTACACAGGCTGAGCTGCAGGAAGTGGTAGGAGAAGAGATGGAGGTGGAGATGTTACATCCTGTGTCCTCTTTAGCTGCACCAGACGAACCTGCCGAGCCTGTGAAGCCGCATACCTCTCCAGTAATGGAGCAGCAGCACGTGTCCCAGGTAGGATTCCAGTGACTGAGGATGTCCGGTGTTCCCTTTGCATTCCGAATTCTAGATCGGGGCAGGAAGTGATACATTATTTACATTGGTATCTAAACGTCTCACCTGCAGTTTCCTGTATCGTGTCTGATGACACATATAATGATTTGTTTTTCTATTTATTTTTTTCCCTCTTCATTTTGGCTGGTTAAAATCGAGATACAAAGTTTCTATTAGTTATTTCTATTTGGACATAGGGCAAGGGTGTTAAACCAGGAACCTGTTCAGAAAAGCAGATTGCTAACCAACTATTATGTGCAGCCTGGGGTAAAGGAGGTGACATTGTATTATTATTATTATTATTATTATTTATTATATAAATGGAATATTCAGTACATCATTGCAGAGCCTAAGTTCATTTTATTTGGAAATTATGTTTACTTATAACTTTATTAAAGTAAATAACAAATATGTATACTGTTAAAACCAAACAGAAGTTTATTCATTAAACATCATTGTAGTGAATTGAAAACCTGATTACAAAACTTAGTCAAAAATAGCTGATTTGGGGAAAAAAAATCTCCATTACCTTTACAGTCACAGCTTGGTTAATTTAGTGTAAATTTTGATATCTGGTCTTTTGGTTTTCACTACAATTTTCCATTTTAGTAAATAAACATAACTGTTTTTGTTGAATGTCTTGAAGGTTTTAGATGCTTGCATTTTGCATATGTTGTCATGGTTTGTGTCTCTGGAACAAAGTGTTTGTTATGCAAGTTGCTGTTTTGTTTCCCTATCATCACACCCCTCCTACTAGTGAAACACAGTATCTATTAAATAACATTTATATTGGCATCATGCAAGCATATCTGGATGTTTTACAAAGTGTTCTATCATTTTATTGTGCACTTGAGTTTGCTAAAGTGGTTATGGTGCATTGACCCGGTACCTGCACTCTTAATTTTAGACGTTTATCTTCAGTGACTATATAAGCTTTGATTTGGAGCATGTAGCCCCTCTTTCTCATCCGACGACTGCGCAATTTTTCTTCCTGATTAAGATGATCACTTTTTGTCCAACTTTTGTGCATGTAAATGTGTTATTGGTTAGAAGATCTGTACTGGTGTTTGAAAGGGCTGAATTCCTGTTAAAAATGATTCAGAGCTTAAAGGGTTAAAGTTTGTTTCTAACTGTTCTCTCCTGAAAAAATGTAAACTGTAGTATTTTTGTTACATTTACTTTGCTCCCTGAAACGGCAGTTTCAGTAGTTGTAGTTCACTGCGGGCAGTTTGTGCACCACTCCCTACAGTGTCATACAGAGCCCCCTCTGTTCTCTTGCTTTTCTTCGTCTCTGAGTCTAATTTTCCGGTGCTTTTTATTTTTTTTATTTTCCTTCCCATTTGTGCACTAACCTAGCCCTCTATAAAGGAGAAGTCACCATGCGACAAGCTCATTAGGACCTGGAATTAAATTCCTATAGAGCTGGCTGGGTAATAATCTTGGGATTTGCCGAATTTTCAGCTGGACTATATTAAACTGCTTAATTGCCGTGATAGAATAGTCCTAGAGATCATGCATCCACTTAACAAGGTACTTTGACTTTGCACTTTGTTTTTAAATGCCAAATATTATATTGTTTAAATGCCAACATTTGGTGGTTCTACAACTGCTGGGTGAGAATCAGGACAAAGTGATATGACCGATTCTTACCTTAATAAAGATATTGGGCACCACTCCCAGTACTCGTACTTTGTTACTCACAGTGCCGTAATCTATACAGAGTTTTATTTCTTTTATGTTAAGGTTGGTGGTCATGTGTGCCGTTTGTGGTAGAGAGGGGGTACTGAAACTGTTAAAGGACTGGCATACCTGCACCATTCCTGTTCCATAAAGTCTGCTTTTTAAACGGCTTCTGTTTAACTTAGTGGGAACAGTGCTGGTGTGAGGATGGGATGCATGCTTGTACTTGTACAGTATTCTCACATCAAAAAATCGCTAAAAACCCACTTCTTCATAAAAGCGTATCAATTAAACTGTTAATAGCTCCTGACTGATTCCTCTTCTGCAACTGTCACTAGTCTAATACTATCCTTACCTTTTTGTGTCACTTTACCCCACTCCCTCTAACATGTAAACTCACTGAGCAGGGCCCTCAACCCCTCTGTTCCTGTGTGTCCAACTTGTCTGGTTACAACTACATGTCTGTTTGTCCACCCATTGTAAAGCGCTGCGGAATTTGATGGCGCTATATAAAAATAACATAATAATAATAATAATTAAACGTCTTCCTCTTGAATTGATAATTGAAAGTGCAGATTTCATCCTTCTATGTATCGATATTTCCTGCAGTGTCTTGCCTAATCTGTTATAGAATAAACCCCTTTGGGGATATATATATTTAGAGATGTGCCTTGGCAACATTCAGGTGTCAAATTACCCAGACTGCGGACTGTTGACAAGGAAATTAAATAGGAAAAAAGTACAGTAGTGGAAAAGTACATAACTCGGAGCAGCCCATTTCGAGACCTGATCTGTGTCCCTCCAGCGACAGGGACTGAACTGAACTGCCTAACATACACCAAGGTGGAACATCGTAAAAACAAGTTTAACAATTGTACTGCTTCAGTAAGAACCCTGCGGAAGGCTGTGTGCAGTGAGATTTGGAGTAAAATACCATAAATATTGGAAGAACAGGAGGAAGTAGAATTTGTGTTAAGTGCTGAAAAGTTATCTCACTGGGAAGAGAGAAAAAATAGTAAAAGAGTAAATGTAAAAGATGGATATATATTTACTTCCTTATTTGTGGTTTATTTTTGTATATATTTTTTTAATATTCATGAAATGCGAGAGTTTGTGGCATTTTGTGCACAATTAAAAACTCCCTTATGATTCCCAGCACACGGCTTATATCAGTGTGTGCAAGGGATTCATGGTAAATTAATATCATAGGGCATCTCAGGGTAGATGGCACTGCCAATTGCCAGGAGAAGCTGAAGTGCTGCAGTGGTTAGTTGGTGAGGGGGAGTTGTAATGTGAACAATGGAGTAAGTTCTTAAAATTTAGCTTTGGCATTTGCCTTCGTTGAAAGATTAGGCTGCTGTCCATTTCATGATAACATTTTACAAAAATATTAGACTTGTGTCTAACCATTAGAGGTACCTGTCAATTCAACAATGACTTGTCCATTCTGAGATCTATATCCATTTCACATATTGTGTAAGAAAACCTTTATTAATGTACTCATTTATGACTTGTTTTGGTTTGTTTCCGGTTGCAGGGGACAGGAGGGGGGCTTCTGCAAACGTTAGAGGAGAGGATCTCTAACTACAAGACTGCTATCAGCAACGCCAAACTGGCCAAGGAGAATACCAAAGCCAGGCGCTACGAGAGAGGCCTGAAGGTTAGTATGGAATTCCATATATTCTGTATATTACAGCTATTTATTGTAGTTAATGTTTGAAATATATCACTCTGTGACAGTTACTGATGAATAAAATAACCTGCATAGAGCATTTGATATCTGCCATTTGCGGAGTGCCTCCTAGTTAATACTGTGCCCAACAGAAGCAAAGACTAAGTGGCATTTTATAAAGGGAAACGCAAAGCAGTGATCATGGTGCAGTTTAATGAAAGCATATGGGGGGGGGCTGCACTCAAAGCTCAGTGGAACTATAACCTCTGCAATAAGTCGTTAAAGCTGCGATGCTTGCAGTGTCCCTTTAACTCATTTTAAACCATGTTTTTATAGGTTTATAGTGCTTCTTTATTGTGTATATAAAAGGTGTGATGACACGGTTTACTTGTAACAGACAACAGGGGTTTTGTGTAAAGAGCATCAGGGAAACGTTTTAAGTGTGTAGCGACTGACCGGACCAATCTGTTGGTTTCCATAGCGATTACTCAGCCAGCATGTTGGCCCAGAATTGACTATAATACAAAATCCCCAAATGGCCTTTAATTAGAAAAGTGAAAACTGGAGCAATCACCTTGGGAACCAAAGAATCTATATTTAGAATTTTGCCCCAGAAATGCTCCAGCCTTGACTTTCCTCACGCGCGAGAAGTGGTTATCTCCTTTCGGATTGCTGGAACACACCCCGTGCGCTAACAGGGCAAGGATCACTGTTATTTGTTTTACCCAGTATAGTCCTATGGGGATTTAGCATATAAACATAAGTATTTGTTTTAGGATTTGCCTATTGAGAAACTGTACAAATAACCCGAGTCAGACCAGCTGTTTGATAATGTGTATCAATCGCTTTGCATGTGCTGTCATATTAAAAATAAATAAAAAGGAAATAACCAAGTTAGATTGTGTTTCTATCACGTGTACATCTCAAGGGATAGTAGTTACAGAAGAGATTTCTAACCTCCCGTACTTGGAACAGCCTTCCAGTAAGGGTTACAGAGACTTGGCATTGTAAGGCTTCCCGAAATTACCTTTTTGTAGACGGTGAGGATTTCAGAAGTCTGTGAGAAGGTTTGATAATACAGCGATGCTGTAGATCTTCTATTTTTATATCACTAAGTGATGTAGGAGAGAGAAAGCGGTTCTTGGCTATCACTTTTCCCTCTGCTCGTGGATCCCATGTTTATTTAACTCGTTTGTTAGTGTTCCACTGATGTGTTTCAGCCTGGCCTTACTGGATGAAATGGGCTGAGTAATTTGTGTTTCTTTCATTTGCAGACTCTTGAGTCCATGCTGGCATCGGTGAGACAGGGCCGGGCTGTGAACGAGGAAGAGATTCCTCCCCTGGTGTCTACAGGGAAAACTGCAGACAGCTCGCAGGCTGAGCCTCCTGAGAGTATCGCTCCGCAAGAACAGTTAGTGGACCTGAGCATTTCCTCTATGGAAAACACAGAGATTAGTGCAAGTCAAGGGCCAACCGGAGGCATGGTGGCTGAAGTTGGAACAAGCGATGGTCAGGCTTCTACCCCCGCTGACATGGGTACGAAATCTAATAAACAGGAAATTCTCAATTAATTGACTTCCAAACATATATCCCTTTTTCTTTTTTTGTTGTTGTTGTTGCTGTGATGACAATTCAATAACTAACATAAAAAAGGAATCGAGTTTAACCCTACTGTAACAATGACATATCAATGGATTATATTTTATGTAGTTTTGGAAATGTTTGTGCTGTGTGTGTGTGTGTATGTGTGTGTGTGTGTGTGTGTGTTAGAGTTCTTTGTTTACACCTTAAAATGTACTTCCTAAAGGTATGTAGGCAGTGCCACACACTGGCCAGGCAGCTGAGATTGCCTTTTGCCAAACTTGGGATCATTCAGTAAATTTGGTTTCAAATTATTTCTTGGCTATAAAATGGCCATAGAGATTTGTGATCGGAGAGTGATTGCTAGAATTAGAGTATATCTGTCTGGAAAGCTCTTTGAAATGAATTGCCTACATAGTCAGTCACGTTGTACAACTCTGACTGTGAAATAGTTCAGATCCAAACTAATTTTGCCTGCTGGGTTTTGTTATATAAATCAATGATGAGGTTACTGCTTGTACATATGTATTGTGTGAAACACAATCCTTCATTTGTAGTAGTAGGGTGAAACTATGGGCTTGCGGAAAAAAAACCTTGAAACGATGAAAGAATTCAAGGATTCATTTGGAGAACAGACATAGAATGGGGCAAGAAGTGGGAGTACACACAGTGGCCATTGTGTGGGTTTGGGGTCAGATTGTTTAAGGAAGAATTGACTTCAACATAACAGATCTTGGCTGATCACAGAATGGCATGTTTAGTGCGGACAGCATTCTGCTCTTTACATTACAATAGGGGGCAGTTGGATTAATGGTTGTTGGAAATCTGAAATGTGCTGTGATGGACCGGGAGAGAAAAATGCTGGGTTACATCTTTAGACATGGGACTAGTTGACATGGACGCACATTTAAGGCCAGGTTAAAGAGCTGCTACACCAATTGGGGTATTTTAATGCACTATTCTACTCGCTTAGAAAATCTTTAAATTTGTAGGCACGTCCGTATCCAGTAATAAGTTACTTAGTATGACTAATTTATACATGTGTGTTTGTATATATAAATATATTTATAGAGCGAGAGTTAAAGCCAGCCTAAGTTTCTATAGCTGTGATTGAATGATGTAATGTTATTTATTAAGGGCAGTGTCAGGTCTTACTATGGAACCCAAAGAAATATATCTGCTTCCTCCATTATATTTATAAACTTTCTCAGCTATGGATGTTTTGGTAACCCCTTTGTTCCATCACAGTGGTAAACGTCACATGCAATACATACATTTTATATTTACTTTATAACTCAAACTCATCGATTACCAAAAATAATCTAAATAAAATCTGATGTTTGACTCCTATATTTGTGTAGACTCGAGAACTCTGCTGCTTACAAGACAAGGAGAGTATAAAGTAGCTGCTTTGAAAGCCAAGCAGAGCGGGGACGTGGAAAAGGCAAAGGAATACATGAAAATTAGCAAGGTAACGAGTGCAGAATGAGAGGAGTAAATGCTGGCACAGCATTCTAAATATGGAGCAGTAACCATGGAAACCAATGATATATTTATGTGCGCACTTAGAGCATTGTCACACGCACACACCAAAGCCTGTGTAAGGATAGGGGCTTATTCAGTGAGTTGTTTCATAAAAATATGTGAAAATTGTGGGCCAAAATAGCCCAACTGTGAGTTCTGAGTTGCAGAATTTTAATTTTTATTTGACTTTATTTCAATGTGAGATCAAACAATGGTAACCAGTGAAAATAACGACACAGTCTGACGATCATTTTGTATGATACACCTACACTGACTTTATAGTATCCTTGACGTGTTCGGCATTCTATACGCTGATTCCCAGCTCTGAAGAATCCACCCCTTGCAATGCAAAGGCAAAATATTCTCCTGTAGACAGCAACTATACCTAAACACACTGGCACTGCATGGTAGTTTTTTGTTCTTTTTTTTTTTTCTTCATAGAAGATGCATTTCTAAGGGCAGAGATTTGGAGTATGCGTGTTTTGATATTACATTTTGATTTGGGATAGGGCGCCATTTGGAGTTTGCGTGTTTTGATTTGGGATAGGGCGTCACTTGGAGTATGCGTGTTTTGATTTGGGATAGGGCGTCACTTGGAGTATGTGTGTTTTGATTTGGGATAGGGCGTCACTTGGAGTATGCGTGTTTTGATATTCCGTTTTGATTTGGCATAGGGCGTCACTTGGAGTTTGCGTGTTTTGATTTGGGATAGGGCGTCACTTGGAGTTTGCGTGTTTTGATATTCCGTTTTGATTTGGCATAGGGCACCACTTGGAGTTTGCGTGTTTTGATATTCCGTTTTGATTTGGCATAGGGCACCACTTGGAGTTTGCGTGTTTTGATATTCCGTTTTGATTTGGCATAGGGCGCCACTTGGAGTTTGCGTGTTTTGATATTCCGTTTTGATTTGGCATAGGGCACCACTTGGAGTTTGCGTGTTTTGATATTACGTTTTTACTTGGGATAGGGCGTCACTTGGAGTATGTGTGTTTTGGTTTGGGATAGGGCGCCATTTGGAGTTTGCGTGTTTTAATTTGGGATAGGGCGTCACCTGGAGTTTGCCTGTTTTTATTTGGGATAGGGCGTCACCTGGAGTTTGCGTGTTTTGATTTGGGATAGGGCGTCACTTGGAGTTTGCGTGTTTTGATATTCCGTTTGATTTGGGATAGGACGTCACTTGGAGTATGTGTGTTTTGATTTGGGATAGGGCGTCACTTGGAGTATGCGTGTTTTGATATTACGTTTTGACTTGGGATAGGGCATCACTTGGAGTATGGCTGTTTTGATATTACGTTTTGACTTGGGATAGGGCGTCACTTGGAGTATGTGTGTTTTGATTTGGGATAGGGCGTCACCTGGAGTTTGCGTGTTTTGATTTGGGATAGGACGTCACTTGGAGTATGGCTGTTTTGATATTACGTTTTGACTTGGGATAGGGCGTCACTTGGAGTATGTGTGTTTTGATTTGGGATAGGGCGTCACCTGGAGTTTGCGTGTTTTGATTTGGGATAGGACGTCACTTGGAGTATGGCTGTTTTGATATTACGTTTTGACTTGGGATAGGGCGTCACTTGGAGTATGTGTGTTTTGATTTAGGGGAGTATGCGTGTTTTGATTTGGGATAGGGCGTCACCTGGAGTTTATGCGGTTTTGATTTGGGATAGGGCCACCTGGAGTTCGGTTTTGATTTGGGATAGGACGCCACTTGAGTAGCGTGTGATATTCCGCTTTGATTTGGCATAGGGCCACTTGGAGTTTGCGTTTTGATTTGGGATAGGGCGCCACTTGGAGTTTGCGTGTTTTGATATTCCGCTTGATTTGGCATAGGGCACCACTTGGAGTTTGCGTGTTTTGATATTCCGCTTTGATTTGGCATAGGGCACCACTTGGAGTTTGCGTGTTTTGATATTCCGTTTTGATTTGGCATAGCACCACTTGGAGTTTGCGTGTTTTGATATTACGTTTTTACTTGGGATAGGGCGTCACTTGGAGTATGTGTGTTTTGGTTTGGGATAGGGCGCCATTTGGAGTTTGCGTGTTTTAATTTGGGATAGGGCGTCACCTGGAGTTTGCCTGTTTTTATTTGGGATAGGGCGTCACCTGGAGTTTGCGTGTTTTGATTTGGGATAGGGCGTCACTTGGAGTTTGCGTGTTTTGATATTCCGTTTGATTTGGGATAGGACGTCACTTGGAGTATGTGTGTTTTGATTTGGGATAGGGCGTCACTTGGAGTATGCGTGTTTTGATATTACGTTTTGACTTGGGATAGGGCATCACTTGGAGTATGGCTGTTTTGATATTACGTTTTGACTTGGGATAGGGCGTCACTTGGAGTATGTGTGTTTTGATTTGGGATAGGGCGTCACCTGGAGTTTGCGTGTTTTGATTTGGGATAGGACGTCACTTGGAGTATGCGTGTTTTGATATTCCGTTTTGATTTGGGATAGGGCATCACTTGGAGTATGGCTGTTTTAATATTACGTTTTGACTTGGGATAGGGCGTCACCTGGAGTTTGCGTGTTTTGATTTGGGATAGGGCGTCACCTGGAGTTTGCGTGTTTTGATTTGGGATAGGGCGTCACTTGGAGTATGCGTGTTTTGATTTGGGATAGGGCGTCACTTGGAGTATGCGTGTTTTGATATTCCGTTTTGATTTGGGATAGGGCGTCACTTGGAGTATGCGTGTTTTGATTTGGGATAGGGCGTCACTTGGAGTATGCGTGTTTTGATATTACGTTTTGACTTGGGATAGGGCGTCACTTGGAGTATGTGTGTTTTGATTTGGGATAGGGCGTCACCTGGAGTTTGCGTGTTTTTATTTGGGATAGGGCGCCACTTGGAGTTTGCGTGTTTTGATTTGGGATAGGGCGTCACTTGGAGTATGCGTGTTTTGATATTCCGTTTTGATTTGGGATAGGGCATCACTTGGAGTATGGCTGTTTTAATATTACGGTTTGACTTGGGATAGGACGTCACTTGGAGTTTGCGTGTTTTTATTTGGGATAGGGCGTCACTTGGAGTATGCGTGTTTTGATATTCCGTTTTGATTTGGGATAGGGCGTCACCTGGAGTTTGTGTGTTTTTATTTGGGATAGGGCGTCACTTGGAGTATGCGTGTTTTGATTTGGGATAGGGCGTCACTTGGAGTATGCGTGTTTTGATTTGGGATAGGGCGTCACTTGGAGTATGCGTGTTTTGATTTGGGATAGGGTGTCACTTGGAGTATGCGTGTTTTGATTTGGGATAGGGCGTCACTTGGAGTATGCGTGTTTTGATTTGGGATAGGGCGTCACTTGGAGTATGCGTGTTTTGATATTGCGTTTTGATTTGGGATAGGGCGTCACTTGGAGTATGCGTGTTTTGATTTGGGATAGGGCGTCACTTGGAGTATGCGTGTTTTGATATTACGTTTTGATTTGGGATAGGGAGTCACTTGGAGTTTGCGTGTTTTGATATTCCGTTTTGATTTGGGATAGGGAGTCACTTGGAGTATGCGTGTTTTGATATTACGTTTTGATTTGGGATAGGGCGTCACTTGGAGTATGCGTGTTTTGATATTACGTTTTGATTTGGGATAGGGAGTCACTTGGAGTTTGCGTGTTTTGATATTCCGTTTTGATTTGGGATAGGGAGTCACTTGGAGTATGCGTGTTTTGATATTACGTTTTGATTTGGGATAGGGAGTCACTTGGAGTTTGCGTGTTTTGATATTCCGTTTTGATTTGGGATAGGGAGTCACTTGGAGTATGCGTGTTTTGATATTACATTTTGCTTTTTATAGAAATTCAGCGCTGTGATGGAAGCTCTGGAAAGTGGGCAACCTGTGGATCTTAGCAATATGCCACCAGCGCCAGAAGGTAAGGTTAACATTTTTGGTTGTTGGGGCACAGCTTTGGTGTGACATTGACCAGACTAATTGGGTTTTATCTGCAGAGCATGATGTAAAGGTGTCTGTGCCGGTACCTGACGATCCCAACCCCACAAGCACTCAGGGTAAGACACAACAACTCTGTTTAAAAATGGTTGATTATCTCCATTGGTGATCCCAGGGAGAGATGTGTAGGTTGAGTCCATTAATGATAATATTTAGTGGGTAATGTCTCCTGATCTAAGCAGTGGATTTGTTTAATAATTGACTAAGGATTATGGTGCAGGAACTAGCAATGGGCCTCCCAGATCCTGCAAGCCGTGGCTCCAGAAATATTACTTTAGGCTGTAATTTCAGCATTTTTACTATAGATAGACTGACTGCTTAGCCTACTGAGGAAAGACTTGCAAGGCACTTAAAGTTCACTGTGGCCCCAGCTGTTGCTACAGTTCAGATGTTTCTGAAGAACCATTTTTTTTATTCTTGTGCCGTAGGAACTCCTGCGGTGTTACAGGCTCTGCAGCAAAGGATGGAAAAATACAAGTCTGCAGCGCAGCAAGCAAAGTCTGCTGGGGATGACAGGAAGGCCAGGATGCACGAGAGAATTGCCAAGGTGAGGAATCATAAAAGAACAACATTCAGGAAAAGTGACCTAGTGAGCATATAAAAGACAGGTGGGAGGTAGACATTACTCCAGACACTATTGGCTCTGGTTGTAAAGCCACAGCTTATATAATGGGTTTTGCTGAGCAGGTAGGTAGGTTACGCTAGGAGGTAGGTAGTTGACTCTAATGGCATTTTGCTCGAAAGTCTGTAGCAGCTTGCCACTCACTCTGTAACCAGCGATTGCCAACATTCGTCGGTAATCCTCCACTTGGCATAGTTTAATAGTTTGTAAAGTGGATTTGTCACAGCCCCTATTTTATTTTATCTTGTAGATATTTAATTAGATTCAATCAAAATTCTGTATTTTTTTACCTTTTTGGACATCACTTTTCAAGATTCCCATTATTCTACACGGATAAGCAAAGACAGGGGACTTTCCATCCATGCTGTGTAGGCTCATATAAATTTAACTCCAAATCAACACGGTATCATAGGTGTTCTAGTTCTGCAACAGCTAGGCAGAGTACCTTTTGGTCACCCGTCATTTAGATTAGCGTGATTGGTCTGACGGCTGATTCTTATTGTGTTTTGTTAAGGCCGGGTGTGACAGAATGTCCAGTCAACTAATCCTCCGATATTCTTTGTCTTTAGCAATACCAAGATGCTATTCGTGCTCACAAGGCAGGGAGACAAACCAATCTGGCCGAACTCCCAGTTCCTCCCGGTAGGTTTATATTATTTTAATTATAAAATCTAGTCTGTACTTCTTAGACCATGCAAAACTCCTAATGTTATGCAGGTAAGACATGGCGTCTCTTTATAAAGTACAGGATTCTATATATTGTTTTTTCCATTTTATAAATAATAATTTAGATACCTTTTTAAAGGCCCACCAGCTTAAACCTATTTATTACAGAGATGATCCTTTTGAGGCTCCTGCATTTGTTTTACAGTGCTTATTCCACAATCACTCAAAATGTGCCCAGATTTTCTTTCTTCCTCGGCCCATATCTGATGATATTAATTGATTTATATTTTATTGATGAAGATTAAATATTTAAGAGGACAGCCACATCAGATTTATGAGAGTCTCTTATAGAACATGGTTCTAAGAATCATGTTTAATCTTTTATTTTTATCTTTCAATGTGTGGTTGTTGATTACAGGATTCCCTCCACTCCCCGGATTGGAAGACAACGCTGGTGAAATGAGCGTGGAGAGTGCGCTGGAAACTGCCCAAAAACTTGCAAATGCAGACGTGGATGAAGGCGAGGAGGTTGATAAGTATTTTGTATTTCAATCTTGACATCTAAAGTATAGTATCTACTATCTTCAGACCGTTGAAATCTATGGAGTTTGTCTGCAGTGTTTTTGCAATATAATTATTTAGGGGTTGGCATTCTATTTAGATTGAAAGATAGTTTAAAGATTATTAATTAATCAGTCCTGGTGCTGTGTTCTAAAACTGTGAAAATCAGTAGGAACATTCCATGGGGGTTTCAGTAGTGATTGCCCCAGAATTGTTCTTTAGAGAAGCAGATCCTTATTTCTACAAGCGTACAATTTGCTCTTATGGTGTCTGGCCAAAGATTACCAGAGATTCAGGTGTAGTTGCTATCTATAGGAGAAACTGTTGCCTTTGCATTGCAAGGGGTGGATTCTTCAGAGGTGGGAATCACCGTATAGAATGCCGAACACGTGAAGGGTACTATAAAGTCAGTGTAGGTGTAACATACATACATAGATTAGAAAAGGTCAGGGTGCGTCCTAGGTGTGTTTTTCCAGCTGGTGAAGGGAACGAAATGCACAAAAATATCGAATTCCTTATCTGTGCGAGTTCCTTCTGAGCACCATGTCTGGGTATTCCATTCTAGTAATGCTATGCAACAAAAACCAATATCTCATACAATGCTTTGTAAATGTAAATCTCGATAACTTTGGTAATATTTCGATTTAGCGCCGTTTCCTATTGATTCATAATGCAGGATCCTGAACTAGAACTTTAACAAAAGGATTTCAGTGTTTCTTCAACTTTCTAGTATTTTGCATGTTAACATATTAAGCAGGTTGGAAAGCAAGATGTCTTTCTGATTTTTAGTCATTACGCTTTGTTGGCTCTTTCATGAGATCTATACATTACCTATTTGGAGATCCTAAAACTGGTATTCGAAATTAATCTTACTTCTAAAATGTCCATTTTCCTAATATTGACTGCCTTGATTAATGAGACACTGTGTATCTGCCGTGCTAATTTTGTGTATGTTGTATAGTAACATTATTAATTTCCATATATTGTAATAACATTTACAGAAAAAGAACAACTTTAGAATATGTTGGTTATTTTACAGAAGTAGTCTTTCAGATGTTTCAGAGTAGTTCGATAGTGACACTTTTAAAAAAATAAAATGTTTTTTTTCTTTTTAAGGATGACCAGCCAGAGAAGCCTCCTGTTCCCAAAAAACCCACCCAAATAGTGAAACCGCTATCTCCTACCGTGCCACACATTGAAGAGACCTCTGCTAATGCCAAATCTGAAATAAGCATTGAAAATACCAAACCTGTGGAGCATCTATCTTCTGAGGGTAATTCTGAAGTCTCATGACCAAATGTTCCATGTGTTCTCAGATGTTTCTGGGTCCATGGCCCTCACTAACCATGAGGTCTCTGCTTTATCAGGACGAGATCAGCTGGAGTTCCTTGAGAACCGGAGGAAACAGTACAGGAGAGCCGCTCTTCAAGCCAAGCAACGGAATGACCTGGAACAGGCCAAACAGCACATGAGAGTGGCTCATACCCTTCAAGTGTCCATCGACCAAGTGAGGAGCGGAAAGCTGGTGGACATTTCCAAGGTGAGAAGGTTGATTACAAAGCAGGCAAATTACAAACTACTAGGCAAATTTGGTAAAGGGTCTATTTAGTCACTTTAGCTTAATGAAGCAGTTTTCGTGTATAGATCATACCCATGCACTTCTACTGCTCAATTCTCTGCCATTTAGGAGTTAAATCGCTGCAGCCCTAGCAACATCTTCCATACCATACACACTTTCCGAAAAAGAAGTGTTTATGTGGAACCTTTCTTACATAGGTAGTGTTTAATTTAGAAGTTCTTATTTCTTGTTCTGTTAATGGCCTGCTAATGCAAAGCAGTCTCTTATGTGAGATTAGATAAATAAGGAATCATTTTTGTAGTAAGATTTGTCTGCACCATTAGAGAAGCATAATGTGAGTATTACAATTTTTTCTTATAAAATGTATTTCATTATGTAATATTGTTGGGGTTTTGTTTCTAATATCTATTTTCATGAATGCTTTTATGGCTTCCAGTGTGCTCGTAATCCACAATGATGCTCTATGAGAAGCATTTGATTGGACTCTACCCATCATGAACAGGGAAATTAGTGCTGGGGTAAAGGGGGTTGTGTCTACTTGGCTGCAGAACTTTAAAAGAGGTGGGATTGAGGAAACTAGGAAAAACTATTTCCTAGTATAACTTAGAACTGATGCATTATTTTTAAAATGTATGCATATTTCTTTAAAAAAAATAAAAAATGTTTTACTTCCGTTGTTCCTTCCGATTTGTGACATTCATAGTTTGTTACATATAATTTTTTCCCATATTAGTTGATTTCGAAAGTATACACAAAAAGATTCATTTTTTCCAAAGTCTTTTCTCGGAAGTGTCTCTAGTGGCTGTCTGGCTGTTTTATTACCTAATTAGAAGTCATTGGTCAGTCTGCAGGGTCAGGATCCCTACACCATAACCACCACATACAGATATAATGGTTTTGGTGATGTCCAATTCAGTTGCAGTCATTTATTGGAAAACCAACACATTATTATTTTTTCTTTTTCTGTACCCACTGTAATTATAGGGGGCATAACAAACCTAAACCACTGTGTAATTGTTTGACCACTGATTCTTTTTCTAGCTGCTTATAGACACGTTCGTTATTTAATTCTCCCTAATCTATGACTGGTTTCTTGTGGTTTTATCCCTTACCAGATACCAGGTCTCCCACTGGACGAGGACAATGACTTTGTTGTTATTGAACCTGAAGATGCCAAGCCACTTCAGAATTCAGATGACGTTTACTCTCAACTGCTGAAAATGCTTCAAGAGCAACATGAGGTGGGAATTATGTTGGTTAGAGATGAAGGACTGCATTTGTCAAGCTTGCATAATTCCGTGGTTCCAGGACTACCAGCACTCCAGAGTTTAGGCATTTCCCAGTTTTGTTCTTAATCCCGGACCATTAGTGTGTCTTGAGGACTGAGTTGTGAACCACTGACGTGGATTGATAGAATCTCCACTAGAACTTGACTGGCAATAGATTGTCCTACTGTAACCAGGATATGTCCCCACCCTTCTAATGACATCCACCTCTGTCACCGGTAAACTACCACCATCTCCATAGACAACAAGTGTCTTTTAAACAAAACAAAAATAAAACAAGTAACATTTTCCCTTGGGGAACATATAAAAATATGTACAATCTTTGTAAATGTATTCGCATCAGGTTTTAGCTGATTTTAAAATATAACCTTCAGTCTAATCTTTTACTTCTTCTTTCATAGAAATGCTTGCGTTACTCCAAACAGTTTACACAAATGGGCAATGTTACAGAAACAACCAGGTAAGTGTTCCAAAGTAATTTTTATTTGAAAAAGTATCCTCTTATTCCTTAACAATGGGAGTGTCTGTTTCAAACATTTTGTATGAATCACAATTTGCATGTATGTTAATCCTGTGTAATAGTAAACGTTTGCTCGTAGATTGCCATGTTTGTTTATGCGGTGTCTGTAGATTGTCCTTTCTAAACCCTCCTTATTTTTGAGGCAGGTTTGAGAAAATGGCTGAGGACTGCAAGAAAAACTGTTCCATTTTGCAGCTGTCACAAGCTCAGGGCTTAGACCCTCCACCTTATCACTTTGAAGACAAAACTTTGAAGATTGTCAGGTAATAAAATTGTTTAAAGTGACACTGTTGGTAATAGAAAAATTCCATAAATTACCTTCAGATCGCTATTCATTTCATCTTCGTAAACTGTACTAAGTTTAGATGGGTTTACCAGTTACAATCTGCCAGTTTAGAGGCATGAAGGCAGCCATCTTTGAATAGTATCACAATTTACAAACCTTCATTAACCGTTACTGCGATAAATATACTGTTTTGTCAACATCCAATCAGAGTTTGTGATTTGAAATGTAGCTCCCAGCATCCCACTGTGCATGGAATAGGGAATGGTTCAATGAGCTATGTGATGATGCTCTGCCCAATGCTTGTAGGAAATATTTAATAAGTAGGTTGACATTTGACTTGAGATCTGAAAGTTGCTGAAGAGCAGGTCATGCAGTAGTCTGCAGAAGAATCTTTTCATTTCATGGTCTAGGCACACGATGCCGGTTTATCTTTATTTTGTTTGCACTTCTGCTTTCCTCAGGGTTTTCTCTGAGCTGAGTAGCACAGAAATGCTTCTTATAGTCGTCCGAGGAATTAACCTGCCGGCTCCGTCAGGTGAGGAGTTTTCTATGACTTTTACCTTCAAACCTGTGTCTGAAATGGAGTCGCCATGTTGGTTCATTTTGTGATTCTCTTTCGTTGACAGGCACAGCACCCAATGATTTAAACGCGTTTGTTAAATTTGAATTCCCTTACCCAAGCACGGTAAGAAATATTTCTGAGAGAGTGCGTGTAATGTAAAGAACGTATTGCGTCTATACATAGAGCGAGATTGATTCACAAGTCACTGTTTGTTTTCCAGGAGCAGCCTCAGAAGAATAAAACCTCAGTTATTAAAAACACCAATTCTCCTGGTACGTTGCGTTCTTAGTGTGTGTTTTAGCAACTCAATATTGCAGCCTGACGACATCATTCACCTTCTCCAGAAATAGACATTTTCAGCATCACGGGACTCATGTTGTCATCATCCAGATATGCAGACACATTGTGTTATGTTAATTACTTTAGAAAAAAAAATCACCCCAAACTGTGTGTTTTAAAAAAAGAAAATTGGGAAGTAGAGGGTTTTTAAAAAATATTTTATTGAGGGCGTTGCCTTGTTTATTGGGATTGGGGGGGGGTGTTCCCTTTAACTCTAACGTATGATACTGAAATATCTCTTTAGAGGTATAGAAGTATAGGCTTAACAGAGAAAAATATAAGTTTAATAAATATTTTGGAAGGGGCTTGATTTTTATTCAAATCAGTTTTTAGCAGAGCTCCCACTTTTCTGTGTTGAAGGGTTAATATGCCCTATATCGCTTGGTATAATCCTTTTTTTTTATTTTATTTATTTTTTTGTTTGACCATGTTTTTCTATATGATTTGTATAAATTAAATTGTGTTTCTCTCTCATTCTATTTTTTGGGGGCAGAGTATGAACAGTCTTTTAAATTAAACATCAACCGTAACCACAGAGGCTTTAAGCGAGTCGTTCAGACCAAAGGCGTGAAGTTTGAAATCTTTAACAAAGGGTGAGGCTCCTCTCCTGTATCTGTTTTTTCTGTGGCCGCCATACTATGCCCCGGCAGATGACCATGTGCACCAGATCACAGCTGGTATACAGTTTTTGAGTATTGGGTACAAAATAACTACCCAATTTTTCATAGTTATTCTGTATCAAGGGATTTATTTATATGTGTGATGTGTGTTGTTGGGTATACATTAGGCACCATAACTGCTAAAATGAATTGACACTGAATGGAGGGACAGTGCCAGGAGCCCTCAGGCACTATAAGCAATTCAATGAGATTAAATTGTTATAGTGCCTACATTGTCCCTTTTCAAATAACCTCTAGCAGGAGTACAGACGCAACTAAATGAATGGGAAATGCAACCTCTACCATGGTTTTATGTAAATTACTAAGCTGCCATTAGCTGCTGGGCTGCCTTAGATCATTATCCATCCGGTACAGAGTAAATTAATGAGTGAGCGTGTGTCCACCTACACCACCTGCTTTTACAAAGGATTTGCAGATGAATGTATGGTTTGCCTTATTTATAGCACAAAGTCCTGAATTGTACAGAGTTGAAATCCAACTGATAAATTTGCCTAAATAGCGACCATTTACATTTCCGTTAGCTGCAATTATGAGTTTATCAAAGTAAATGCCTGCGCACTTGCTAGATTTGTGAGCATACTTTTATTCAAAGCAACATTTAAAGAAGATCAATGAAAGCACTTCCTGTTCAATTTAGGACAGGAGGCGCGCTCTGAAAGAGGAGGCAGAAATGGCATGAGACGTGATGGTGTCATATTCTCGGCCGTGTAAGTGCTGAGGCACAATGCCTAAACAACCAAAATAACACTGCTTTGCTCCCCCCAACGGGAGACTAAGTGATATTGTGCAGGAGATGTGACTAAAAATTAAAAAGTCCATAATGCGGACAGTCACTCCGATAGAAGTTTCTCACATTACAACACATTCTGGAACCCAAACCGCTGTTGCCAATGGCAATACTATATATAAAAGTCCCCTCTCATGGCGCAAATGCTGAATCCCACTTTCTATGTTTGTGCTTGTTAAAGGCTCAGTAGCAGTGCCGAAATGTTGCTTTGACTAATAGACTGCGCAATAATACAACTCCTAGTGATGTGCTGTATCCGGGTCTCGCCCAAACTGCCTGGCTGCACCTGAATGTTCTGGATTGTAAAGTGTGTGCAATCTCTTTGATGCAATTCTGAGTTTAGTAAATAAGACCTTCATGTTGTAATCTCATATCAGTAGTAAAAAAAACTCATATTGTTGGAGGTCTCTGCTTAAACTAATTGCCGTTTTTGTCTTCTAATCATATTACACGATGAGACCCGTTGAGTTAATAGAGAAGGGTCTGCACACAGTAGACTCCTGGTGCATGTTTACATAAAAACAAAGAATGTGAGAACTCTTATGTTGACACAAACCTATTGTACAAAATGCAAATAATGTTCTACAAACCTCTCTGTTATTTAAATCCTCTGCCTGTTAGTTTTACACTGCGTCTCTCCGTTTTCACCACAGGGTTTTTTTGCTGAAGAGTGATAAACAGATTGGCACGGCAAATGTAAAACTGGACAAGTTAGAATCTCAGTGTGAAATCCGGGAAATCGTGGAGGTAAAATCTAGCCTAGACTAAAACACGCATTACACCAGTGATGGCTAACCTTGACACCATAAATTGTTTTTGGACGACATTCCCCATGATGCTGAGCTAGCTTTTAGACTCTAAAAGCTGAGCATCATGGGAAATGTGGTCCAGAAACAATTTATGGTGTCAAGGTTAGCCATCACTGCCCTACATTTCTCCTTGTTAAAGTTATAGCTGTTCATTTAAAGTGAGAACGGCTCCTAAAACAATCAATATATAATTTATCCTAAAGATTAACCTCAGTTCCATCTTTTTGTGTTCTAATCTGAATTGGAGATCACTGCATGTGCTGTCCATCCATTCCATAAATATGACATTCTGTTCCAGGAATAGAGTGCTTAATCAAACAGTGTTGGAGATTCCTCATATTGTATTACAATATGTTTTGGCTTAGGTTTTTGATGGCCGAAAACAGACTGGTGGAAAACTAGAAGTTAAAGTCCGGCTGAGAGAGCCCCTCAACGGTCAGGACCTTCAGACAGTGACAGAAAAGTGGCTGGTACTGGGTCAGATTCCTCGGAAGGTAGTTATTGTTTTGCATTATGTGTGTTCTCCACTCATAGATCTAAAACAGACGTTTTAGTGAGCTGCAGTACAAGCCCAGCTTGGACAAAAAAAACCACTTTTATATTCTACAATTTAAAAAAAAAAAGTTTTATGGACCATATCTGTAAGATCTGCTTGCTTTTATTTCAGAATCTGCGTCTGTGATTTAGGATTTCCTTGCCATTTAATGGCCATTTGCCCCTTAAACATTTATTTCCTATTGTTTTCGTTTTCACATTAAATCAAAGATGAATAGGGCATGATCATAATTAAAATTAAATTTGGTGTGTTCAATACCATATTTAAATAATGAAAGTTCACTATGACAAGTGTGTTTATATATTTTTTTTTTATAGTATAATTTCTGATGGCAAATGGTGTAGGTTGGGCTTACTGAAAGAAACAAACCCCACTACGTCTTTATTCTGCTTTCCCCGTTTGTAGTGTAACCAAGAACAGGAAGGAAATATTAAAGAGAAAGCAACGCAGTAACTGAAAGTACTAACAGAAACGTCACAGGCAATGTAATTCACATGATTATAAACTACAAGATGGTGGCAGCCGATGAAGAAGCCATTATGTAGAGAAAGTCCATGCACCTAGCCATGGTGTCCAAGTCTCCCAACACGGAGATTCCAACAGTAGAATTTTTAAAGATGGCTTAATAACTAACAAAGTTACCTATGGGTTGTGCTGTTCAAAAAGAAAAAGAAAATTATATATATATATATATATATATATATTTTTTTTTTTTTTTCTTTCCTTTCTTGATGTGTCATATGGCACACTGTGAGGGCACAGGATGCTATAAAAAGGATTCCCAAACACACGTTCCTCTTATTAGATGCTCATTTGTGCTTAGAGCATTATGGGGAGAGGTCGGCCTGCAGGCAGGGTAGTGTTATGGGCACTCCTGCCCCCACTGAACAGGGGTGAGCGAATAGAGAGCTTTCATTATGACTAACACGGCAGTTCAAATTCTGTCAGGACAGATTCCCTTTAAATACCTCTTTAAGCAGCCAGTATAATTTATCATAATGATAAAGATTACTTTAGGAAATGATAAATACATCCTCTCCAGTCCCGTGGTGGTTGTGGGTGTAATACCAATATATCCATGCCCTACCCTACATTATTGACTCTGCCTAGGGTCATTTCCCGATGCAGACTGCATCTCTCCCATTGCTACAACAATATTAATTCAAGGTGACAGCTGACATTCATACTCTTACAAAGTGTGACATGCACTCAGCAGAAGAATAGCACAGCTGAAGTTGTGGCAGAACAGGAGAACCTCTGGTCGAAGGGTTCTCCTGTCCTCTTGTCACTCAAGTTTTGGCATGTAAGTGTATTCTAAGCCTTGAGGAATAATTGAGGACCTTATTTGTTTGTTATTGTGAGACATATATTTGCTAACGATTCTCCTAGCACAAACTAAAAATAAAATGTTGGTCCCTGTAAGGTTATGGACAACTATGTGCCCCATTACACAAAAACTTTAAAACTGCCCTGCAGCCCACCATTCTAAGTTCCCTTGTGTAAAGTGTTTAGTTTCCACACATCCTTTGTAGATACATATACAGCGATGCAGACATTTCTATGTATTTCCCCCACTCACAAACCTGTGTCTAGTTAACTACACTTATGCAATCATTTATTTAACATAAAATCTGTTACCAACATGCATATGGCAGATGTTTTCTGAACTATGGTGATTTGTAGGTAGTGCTTTATCAGTAAAACAGATTGCAGCAGCACTTAGTGTCCTGGACCATGTCATCATGTTGTGATGCTTGGGGGCGGGGGGTGCCTATGCTTTGCCAATAGACCACAAACTAACCTAATTTGCAGGGTACATGTTCTGGCTGTGCCAGGACAGGAAGGAATGCAGTGTAAGGTGGAAAAACAAACATTTAGCAATTTAGAAATGGCAAAAAAAAATCAAAAACAAACACCTCACATTTTGACAAGCTGCTTTACATTTTCTACCATCTCCCTCCATGACTGTAATGTTGGGTGAGTGATAAATTCTAGATTTACAAGACAGCAGCTGTTATGGGATTTCCCCATGGAGATTATACACAATGTACTAATAATTCTTCAAACCTGACACAGGTGTACTTACCTCAAGCATAAGTGACATTTCAGCTGTTTCTTACACATGTCATTTTCTCCCCCTTGTTAACAGTAAGGAAAGCACTAGGAGTGGAAGGCAGCCTAGAGATGGAGACGTTGCCTTTTAAAATAAACTTCTCATGCGCCAACAGTATGATCTTCCGGTCAGGAAGGAAATCGGAGGGGTTGCATACCAAAGACTCATTAGTATCTCCTATAGCAAAGCAGCACGCCAGAAAATGCATCAGCCGCAGAGAGACTAAATGACTTAACTTTACATAGCAATGCAGAATGTTTGCAACTCCCAGACTGCACTGACCGCAAGACCTTATTAACCATACAACCGCAGAGCTTTGTGGCACCAGGATGGCATTGTGCCCACACTGGCTTCTTGTGTTGAATGTAAACTGAAACCAACGTTACGGAGACTCATGCACAAATCCGATGAGGATTCTGAATGTCTTGCAGTACAACATACTGCTCTAATAACTGTCAGATGGGCAAAGTCCCGGATCTCCGGCCCCTTGGAAAAGAAGGGGGCTAACAGATGAAGGTACGATACTTTGCATAACACGGTGCCAGAGAAATCTGACGATTGTGAATGTGCTGCTGTACCAGGTGCTGAAATCTGCAAATATATCATTTTACAATTAACATTATCACTAACTCCATGTTAACTGCACACACCAAATGTCCTCAGCTGACAGACGGGATGGAGGTCTAATTTATAAACGGGATACAAGTTTTACACTGGCTGCTTCAAATTAAAGTGTTTTTTTGTTTTTATCCCAGTCAGACCTAGACCCACATTAGTTTCCTAAACAATCCTCTTCTCCTTGATAAGTTCATGAAAAGTGCTCCCTGCAGTATGTGGCATTAATATTCTGCAAGAAATTGCCATTCTGAATTGAGTTTTTTTTCTCCCTTCCTACAGCATACAAATGCTACATACAGGGTACCACTTTCCATGTGCTGGCCACAAGTACCAAGAAGCAGTAGATATGCTCAGGACAACATGGTAAATGTGGCCACCCCAACTTCAAACCACTCGAAAGAATCATTTTCAGAGTAGGGTTTAACAGGTCCACAATTGCCCCAGCGCATAAGATGGTAAAACTCACTTTATTACTCAGAGAGGTGCTTTTCAACCTGTCAGGGAAAGGTTTAACTCTTCAAGTGCCATGGAGACATGCTTACCTACGGCTATGGGCGGAATAGCCTGTTTAAATGAGCATAAATGCAAATTCTGCTCTAAGCCCTAATATTACTTTATGAAGTGGAGAAAAATTTCTAATTAAGCCAATATATATATGCCAAAATGGCTGTTCGGCTACCCTGTAAATATACCTTAAAAAACATGACACTCCCTGGCACTCTAGGGTTTATAGACGTTTGGAAGTGGCAGAATTCAGAAAGTCTCCCCACTTTCCCTGTAAGTGCCTTTTAAAGAAATCATTCCGTCAGCTGCCGGTCACAAAGGTTTTATCTGGTAAGTCCTCTTGCTCTAGCGCAGTCCGCTTTGCGTGCCTTTTTATTTTACTTTGAGGGGCAGGAACTCAAAGTTTTAAACAAGCTGTAAACGAAGGAGGGGGAAAATAGAATAACAGTTGCAGATACATTGGATCTCCTTTAGCAGGAGCAGATCCTGCCTTTGTAGTCAATGCATTGCAGACTGGTGTATAGTGGCTGCAGCAAAGTCATTCATTACCTTTTATTTATTTCTGCATCGTTGTAAGAAAGTAGCCTGTGCCACGTGTGAATCATTGTTCAGACTGTTAGAAAAAGCCATTTTTATTTATTACACATCTTGCACTTTGTTCGTTAATGGAACTGTTTTATGTATATGGTATTAAATTTAAATGGTGAATCAATTTGTGTGTGTTTTGTTTTTAGTCTAATAATAAAATATATACCATCGCGCAGGAGCTTCTGGCTCTGGCAATTTGTCAAACCATTCGCATGAGTTTTACTACTTTGGGATAATGGCACTCCAGTGGACATTAAGAATTATTGTGCATGGACTGTTTCATTAACAGCCAAACAAACAATGCTTTGTATGGACACTAAATTATTCATATGGGGGGTGGTGGTGGTGGTGTGTGTATGTATGTATGTATGTATGTATGTATGTATGTATGTATGTATATATATATATATATATATATATATATATGTATATATATATATATATATATATATATATATATATATATATATATATATATATATATATATATATATATATATATATATATATATATATATATTCAAATTTAATGGACAAGCAAATATAGCAGTGATAAGCCCTTAATTAAAAAGACATCCTGTCCCATCCAGGGAGAGACCAGAAAACCGGGCCCCAGCTCTCTACCTTGCACAATAACCACTAATATAAACTGTGGTGGTTACTGTAGGCTAGAATTACCAGATTGTCTAAAATGTGAACTTCCTCATTTTAATTCTCTGCCGTTGACAGTTCAGTGAAGCAATCCAACAAGTAGAACATTTGCGTACATGGAATTATTTTTACTTACCTGCACAAGGTGTCCTCAGCCAGGATGTACTTGAGACTCTTTTTATTGGCAGTGTAGGAAATACAATGTTGTTGCATTACAAAATAAAATATTTTTATTAAAAGGAAAATACATTTTATATTCCAAACCAAAAAAAGTCAGGTTACATAATGATATCATAACGCAAGCAATCCATTCTCCTTTGCATTAGAATACGTGAGGTATAGTAAAGACCTTGGTTATTCCAGTGTGGCAGGACTGAATGCCATGCATTAGATCACATGCGGCTATTTTCTCGAACAGCACAAAGACTGTGCGAGACAATGCTGTGTGTTCACACACGTGATATTAGGAAAAAAAAATAAACAAACATACAGTAAGCATTTCTCCTTATCCATGTTTTAGAAATGGCACTGCATGTTAAAACAAATGAGCCCTAGACTATTACTATACAAATATGTCAATGTTTGCTATACAGTAACAGTGATGTTTGCATATGGTAATAACATGCAACAAGCATAGTCTGTTAAGCTAAGGCATAGATTGCTATATGCTGACACTTCCTGCACATGGACATTACTCCAGCCATGATATAAACTGGGGTATCTCACCCATCGCTCCAAGTAGATAACACTTTGTGACTAGCACAGAATTATGGGAAATGGAGGACTTGATATTTACTTTGTTGCCTCAGCCACTCCTCCATTTTGAGATTAAATTTATCCTTTAAGTGACAGTAATACTGTAATTGTGAATTTTTTTTAAATTTTTTTTTTTTTTAAACTTGCTGGGATTAATAATTTACACGTTAAACGATATGTACAAGTTAAATGACCTATTTTTCATTTTTATTTTTCCAGAACAACTAGCAGACAAGGAGCAACAATTTAACTTGCTGCATTTTAATTGTCTGGGTTCCTATAGGCTGAAAACAAGCCATTTAGGCTAGATTGCGATTGGCTCGGTTATATTGTATTCCTCCAATTATTTTACGGATTAACTGCTCACTCTAAAATCTAAGACTTACAGGGGCAGTCTAATTTCTAAGTGAAGTAGTTATGGTGCCAAAAGGCTATGGGTGCTGTCCGTCCAAATCGTTTTTCTGGCTAATCATGGCAGCATAACTTATGGGTAGCTCCGCCTGCCCCTTTCTGGGTTTTTAATCAAATAGTTCCCAAACAATTTGACAAAAAAAAATAAAGCATGAGGGTGGATCAGCACCGATTAGACTACTGGCAGCATTACTACTAGAATTGATCTATAGGTGTATGTTACAGTGCCAATTATATGCACTAAAATGCGTACAAACCGTACTTTAACTTGGCATTTGACTTAATTAAAAAAGTCATTCGTATTAAGGCATTACTAATTATTTAAATCCTACTCTAATGGAGGTGTAGGTAGCAAGTAGCCATTACTGGTACATCATGTTCCTGCATAGCGCCTGATCAGTAAGAATTGCATTACATTTTTGCGCTCTGTTTGGCACTGACCTCTGCATAAACGAAATTAATCTTCATGGAAATGACAGACTAACACGCAGATAAGATACGAAGGGCCTGGAGGATCAAAAGTAGGACAGGACAAATGGTAAAATCAATGAACAAACCTAAGACAGTTTCACTTCCAATTCCTCATTAAACCCTTTAGGACACAACGTGTGGAATAAAAGGGAATCGTGACGGAATATTTCCATCATGTGTCCTTAATGGGTTAAACTGGATGGAGGGTTTGTAAACAAAGAGCCAGGTAGCTCTGTCTGTCAAGGAAGATGTGAAACCATCATAGAACTTCAATGAATGTTTTATTCCCAAGTTCTCAGGAGAGCCATGGATTGAAACACACACATTACACAGAGAAAAAACAGGATTCAGGACACACAAGACAGATGGCATGTTTAATTGTCCAAACAGACATCAAAATTACAAAGTCATGTAGGAAATATTTATACGGGGGTCATAATGTCTGAGGATACAAATCATGGTCTGTATTTATACACCAGTTCAATATCTGTAAACCAGAGATGGAGCATGCTCTGGTACTGGGCGAACCTGGATCTCAGTTCAGTTATATTGGACAGATCCATTCCTTCTTATTGAGACAAAATCGATTATTCTAGGAATCGGCTCAGAGTATCAAATAATTACAGATGTTCGCAGGGCACTGGTGGGTTGGATAAACAGCATTCTAGTTCTGAGCACCAGGCCCATTTTCCCCAGTTATTCAAAAACTCAGTTCTCACCTCAAACCCGGCGAGCTTATTCCCATACTAGTCCATATTTTGCGTTAAAACAAATATCTGCATTAAGTTAACTAGTAGGATATGGAACGCCACCCCACCACCGGAACCATCTATACTGCTTTGATCATGTAGTGGCATTCATTGCTAAATGATTTTCTTTAATACTAAAATTCCAAATTACAAGCATGAACTTCGAAATAATATGAACAGGATACTACGCAAAAACATTGACTGTAAGGTCACAGTGCAGCATATGTACTGAAATAACAGCCCCCAGAAGCCCCATTGAAAAATTGGCAGAGACGAGTGAGACTCCATGGAAGGAGCATCTCATAAAATCTCAATGGCTAAGCACCGCCATTTCTTCGATAATGTTATGAACTGCGTTACACTTGTTGCTGATTGGACATTGGATTAAATCGAAGCTAAGGGTGCATTACACAGGAAAACTAAAGGGTTACTCCAAGCACCATGACACTTCAGTATTTTGAAACTGTCATGGTGCCTGGAGTCTGTAGGGCACCTCCGGCGGTGTCATCAGCCAGACTAGTGTCAGTTCTGTGCCATTTTCGATGCACAGAATGACAGTCATAGTCTGGTAGCAGTCAGCTATCCCGTGATTTCCAGCGAGCATTGAAATCAGGTAAGTGGTGCAAACTGTTGCTAAACATTTTTCCCTATTCATGAGAACTTGGTTAGAATACAACTGACATTATAAACACTAGTGGCTATGGAGTAACCCTTTAACAGTGCCAATTAAAAAGGGCTATTTACCAAAGTGAACATTCAAGTTAAATGCACAGAGATTTCCAATTTAAGGGGACAATAGCTGAACTGGAAAATATGTCAGCAATAATTTCAGCTCAGCTACTTTGGCCTTAAATTTAAATTCACTTAAAATTCACCTTGAATTCTCACTTCAGAAGATAAAACCCTGTTGGACAGATTTTGCTTTGCTACAGAACTGGCATTCATATATAACGGGCAGTATTGTCCTAAGTGGTTTTATAACTTTGGCCCTGGAATTCTCTTTAAGCCTAACCCCCATTCCTCTAATAGTTTGGAGATGAATGGCATCAATTAAACGTGAGGTATATATTATATAAACTAATTACAAAGAATCATTTTCAGAAGGGAATTCATAAATGAAATATTTTTGTATTTTAATGGTTTTCATATGTATCAAACACAGAGAGGCTCAGAGTTTGCCTCACGCATTGCCTCAACAGAAGGAACTGCTTATAAAAAGGCAATATATGAACTATTTTAATTTTCAGGGACTTCAATGTACAAATTGCAAATCCTAGCAGTAGTTTTATTTAACCAAAATGCTAAACATATGGGTGTAGTTGCTCTGAACAGTATGTGCAGATTTTTATCATGACTTCTTTGTTGGAAGGGGGAATTTTGCTTGAAACGCTGCACTTACAGAGTTTAACCCCTTTTATGCCAGAGGTATAACCCCATCTCTGGTAACATCACTGGGGTGCCGTTAGCCAGCTCGGAACAAGAGTTCTGGGCTGATTAATGTCAATTCTGTGAATGGGGACTGGATTAGCATCCGGCTTCTGTAGATCCTGGATGTATGTCACCAGAGCAGGAATGACCCTCGGCGCATATCCATGTAAGATTGCAAAACAGTTTGCCCCATCACCAGGAAATGGGGCCACAGTACTCCGGGCATCATAATCACTACAGCAAGACACCGTGATTGTGATGCTTAGAGTAACCCTTTTTTTTAAAAAGGGAACTTTCAAAATGCTACTGTATATATGATTCACCTGCCAGGCTCTGCTGTGTTCTACACATTACAAATATCTAGCACAACAGAAACTGCTGGCTTTATATAAAGAAATATTAGTTTGAAGGAAGTAAAAAATAAATACAAAATAACTGTATAGTGCTTACATTTAACTACAATGTATCACCAAATTGTATACTAGGTATCGCTTACAATACAATGCTCCATAAAACCTATAGGGATTGTGTATTCAAACAAATGGAAATTAACGATACTCTGAGTGCTGTATAAAAAAAACAAAGAAAAACAAACTATAGTGTAGTTTAAAGCTGCTTCAGTAAATGTGGATTTCATTCAGTCCCTCAGTCCAGAGTGGGGTGCGCTGTAAATTTGCAGATCCCTCTCTACCAACCAAATTCAGTAACACAAAAAGACATAAAATCCCACAACTGCAATGAAGAGGCATATTTGGAAACTGGATTTTTTGTTTATATAATAAATAACTTAAATTAAAAAAAAATGCTGAATAGTTTATGTTAAGCTTTAAATATTCTACAAAGAGTTCATGATATTTTGTATAGCGTTAAGTTTTGTCTCTCACACAGAAACCTGTCTGAGCACACGGTAACTAGAAATTCGGCGACACAGATCTGGTTGGGTTTTTGACATTTACCAGCAGCTAGAATAGCTCTGTACAGCTCTTTAAGGAGCAATGTCTAGTGAAATTTGATGTTGTGGCATGGGATTCTTACAGACAAACAGTGTGTAAACAATAAACCCTTTACCTTCCAGACAGAGCACGAAAGATTATTACTTCACTCTGAAAACAAGTGTTAGACAACACAATGTACACAATTGTGATTATTTTCCAGATCTCCATGGCTCGACAAACAGATGCAGTTTATCTCCTTGCTTGCAGACTAAATAAGCTCACAACGATTCCATGAGACAGACGTGTTAATGCAAATCTTGTGCGCTTCAGAAAATGTAGAAAAATAATATTGCTGCTCCTGAAGAGAGAGAAGCCAGCCCGAGTGGCAGCGGTGGGAAACATGCATTGGGGGCAAGGTAGTGGATTTTGTTACTCCAGTCTCTAACTGCACTAATTGGGCTGTGATGCCATGCACTGTTGCGGGCGTTGCAAATCAAACCGTAGGAGGCGGCTTAGGCTGGTCTCCACAATGTAAACTTGAGTAAAAAAAAACAAAACAAGGCAAGCAGGAGTTTGCAGCAATGGTTCGAATGAGGTCAGAGTGAAATTCCTGATTGTATTTTGATTTAGGGTAATTCTTTGTTTCGTGCCGACAATGAGGGTCTTTCTGCCCATTTTTGAGCCAGTGAGTAGGAAAGATTGCGGCTCTGCATACACTTTGCTGGCATCAGCTCAGACTTCGCCCCTGACAATGCATAGAAGGTTTAAAGAGTTTCCAGTGACCGCTCTGGGCACCCTGACCTAATACTAGTGTTAGCAAAAAGAAAAAAACGATGAATCCTCTGTGATTAAAGTGCAATTGATCGGATCAGTGGCAGTTTGTGAAGAGACGCCCATGTCTTTCCTATGAGATGTTCTCGAGGAGATAAAAGATTAGTTCCATCGTGACAGGTCCCTCACTAAGCTGACACGTGTCTCCATGGATCACTGGCACCAAGGCACTGTCCAAGTCATTGGTGTATCTGGCAGGCAGGGGCTGCCCATTGCTTCCTGCCTGGTAGCCAACCTGTCAATTAGAACATATAGCAGAGTTTAATGTCTGGGAATAGATACAAAGTATATACAGTGCTGGCAATATAACTTCTTCAAACAGGAAGTACTGGCCTTCTTCCCCATCAAACATGGCAGCATTTACTTATGTTTTAGCTCCTCCCCTCATAGCAAAAAGGAAGGAAATAGAACTCTGAAATTGGTATAAACAGATCCCTCCTCCCCATCAGCCGGTCTATTTTTCCTGAACTTCAAGACTGCTTAAGCAGGCCTACATTTTTATTTTATGCTTTTTACAGGCCTTGATTTCTGTTACCTGTGCATTTTAGTACATATCCACTTTCATAGAGTGGAAGGTAAAATATTGTTTTGGATCTTCTTGTGTCTCTAAATCAGCATACAAGACCAATGTAGCCTCTCTGTATGAGCGGGAAAGCCCTCAGTATATGTGACTAATATCTCTGTATTAAGATACACCCTTAATATTATTATTATTATGTTATTTATATAGCGCCATCAAATTCCGCAGCGCTTTACAGTGGGTGGACGAACAGACATGTAGTTGTAACCAGACAAGTTGGACACACAGGAACAGAGGGGTTGAGGGCCCTGCTCAATGAGCTTACATGCTAGAGGTAGTGGGGTAAAGTGACACAAAAAGGTAAGGATAGTATTCAGGAGCTATTAACAGTTTAATTGATACGCTTTTATGAAGTGAGTTTTTAACGATTTTTTTGAAGAAGTGGAGACTGGGTGAGCATCTAACGGAGGAGGGAAGCGAGTTCCACAGGAACGGTGCAGCCCTCGAGAAATCTTGAAGGCGAGCATCAGAGGTGGGAGTATGGACAGAAGATAGACGTAAGTCTTCAGCAGATCATAAGGGCCTATACCGGACATACTTGTTTATAAGGGAGAATAGATAGATGGGAGCAGCATTATGTAGCGATTTGAAAGCAAGAACCAGAATTTTAAATTGAGCTCTATATTTTATAGGAAGCCAATGTAGGGACTGACAGAACGGTGAGGCATGGGAGGTGCGGGCGGACAGGAAGATGAGCCTCGCCGCTGCATTCATTATGGACTGTAAGAGTGTGGTTATGAGGGTATTGAAGTAATTAACTTTTGCAGAGGAATGAGCCAAGCTGTATGAGCTCAGCATATATTTATAGTGGAGAAAGTCAGATGCACAGTGAGACTTTCTCCAACAGCGTTCAGCAGTTCTGGAGCATTTTTGGAGGTATCGAGTGAGCTTGGTGTGCCAGGGTTGTTGTTGTTGGGGACGCCTGCGGCGTTTAAATGTACAAGGTGCCATGATGTCTAGTTCAGAGGAGAGGGTGGAATTGTAGAAGGAGGTTGCAGAACTAAGTGAGGTTTTATATAGGTAAAAGGAGAGTTTGGAGATTAGTGGAGAAATGCTCTAGGTCAAGACATTGGAGGTTTCTGTGAGAGTGATGTTCAGATGGTGGTTTTAATTGGGTCTTAGGTATGCCAATGTCAAAAGTCAGGAGTGGGTTTAAATAGGCGGACATTGTGAACTTCAAAAGAAGAAAAGGATAGGACAGGGGGAGTTATGATTGGTTGAAAGGTACATTGAGGGGAGAGAAGGATGCCTACGCCACCTCCTTTACAGTTGAGTCTGGGAGTGTGAGAGAATTGTAGCCCACCAAAACATAAAGAGGCAGGAGTAGCGCTATCAGAGGGGGACAGCCAGGTCTGTGTAAGTGCAAGCAGTGTGAGTGAGTTTGAGATGAAAAAGTCGTGTATGGTTGTTGATTTTACATTACTGCAGATGGAGCGGGCATTCCAGAGTGCACAATGAATTTTGGTAAGTGAGGGTAAAGGGCAGGGTATTGTGATGAGGTTTGTGGGGTTTCTGGTTGTCTTAGTGTGTGTAGAGAAGGTGAAGGGCCCTGGATTGGGAGAGACATCACCAGCTGCTAGAAGTAGGAGGAGAGAACGTGACAGGAGGTGTGAATGGGTTTTGTATGCATGGGGTCTAGGATGAGATCGATTGTGGGTCGGTGTATATGAGGTGCTGTTAAAACAAATCCTCAGTATATGTGATTTGTATATTCTGTGTGCAAGATGGTGGTAATTTACAACCCCAATATATGCACGGCTCTAGTTTATTTAGTATATGCAACTTGTAGAAGATCTATGTATGAGCTGAAAAGAAATATAGCCCAGTTTCACCAGAAAATGAACTATTACTGGGTAAGTACCTAATAAAACTGTGGCGTTTCTCCTTCTGTTTTCTATCTAAATGAAGATAAGAGAAACATGTTGCTTTATATCTTTGTATTCGAGTTCTCCTACCACACGTGTGTTTCAGTATAAGCAATGAACCACTGGAGATTGATTGTAGGAGAGCTGGTAATGTTCAGTAGCGGGATGTGGTGAGTTCTTCGTGCGCACATGCATTTACATGAGAAATGTTGCTACTGCCAGGTACCATCTCCTCATTGCTCATGATAATGATTGTGATGTTTTAAGTGGGACATTTTTTATCTTGGTATAGCTTGCTGATTGCAGGTGTACCGTTTGGGCTATTTATTGGCTCCCACGAGCATTTTACTCTCTGAAGCAATTACCTGTCTGTTTTCATTGGTGTGATTGACTTTGTCAAGGGAAATCTGACTGATTTAGATGATTTGAAAACTAGCTATTTGTTTACCAAGTCACAGCTGTTTATTAACAATCATTAATTACTGCAAGGTTGTACTCTGCAAATATACTATTCCTGCTCAGATTTATCATTTCAGACTCTGTGCCGTAGAGTTGGTTTAGAAATTCCTGTAGAAGCGAGTAAAGCATAATCTGTACAACTGAGAGAATATGCTATTTGCTATAGATATATATATATAGAGAGAGAGAGAGAGATTATTATTACTGGAATTTATATAGCGCCAGCATATTCTGTAGCGCTTTACAATATTATCAAAGGGGGGGATTTAACAATAAATTAGACAATTACAAAAACTTACAGGAACGATAGGTTGAAGAGGGCCCTGCTCAAACAAACTTACAGTCTATAGGAGGTGGGTATAAAACGCCGTAGGACAGGAGGTAGCAATTGAACAAGGTGGACTGAAGCAGGGCTGTAGGAGAGAGTAGAGTGCTGCCCTTTAGGAGACAGCAAGAGACAGGTATGTGAGGTAGAGGTTACTCTGGGAATCCCTAAGCTTTCCTAAAGAGATGGACTTCTTAAATGATTGAAGACTAGGGGAGAGTCTGATGGCGGTAGGCAGGCTGTTCCATAGGAAGGGAGCCGCCTGCGATAAGTCCTGCAAGCGTGAGTTGGCCGTACGGGTGCGAGCAGCGGACAGGAGAAGGTCATGGGCAGAGCGGAGAGACCAAGAAGGGGCATACCTATGGATCTGTGAGGAGCTAATGTAAGGACTGACAGAGTGGAGAGGTGTGAGAGGAGAGGAAAATCAGTCTAGCTGCAGCAATCAATACAGACTGTAGGGGGGGCAATATGGTTTTTGGGAAGACCAATTAGGAGGGGGTTACAATAATCCATGCTAGAGATTACTAGAGCATTGGCAAGGTCCTTAGTAGCATCTTGTGAAAGAAAGGGGCGGATGCGGGCTATGTTTATAAGGTGGAATCTACAGGATATGGAAAGAGACTGGATGTGAGGCTCAGATTTGAGGCCAGAATCAAGTATGACGCCAAGACAGCGCGCTTGCAAGCATGGGCTGATGTGGGTACCACCAACTTGAAGGGAGAGCAAGAGAGAAGTATCATTATATGTCCGGAATGGAATGCTCTTGGTTCTTAAGGGGTTAAGTATCAGAATTTCCCAGAGATTCCCCTTTTTTAATTTTCTCAGGGGGAACATTATATATTTACTGCAATAAAGTTCAGACTCATATACTCCATGTAATATTGATGCTGTATATTGTAAGTATTTTAATTGCCAGTCCAATGTCTCTTCAGTCCCCAGGCCCTTTTATTCTTTCATGCATTATTTAATTCGATAAGGAAATAAACAATAAAATAGTGGCTAAAAAATTAGAGTGGTGCAGGTGAATCATCTTTGGACCAATCACTGAAAATAATTCAAACATCAATGCAAAAATAAACCCTAAAAAGTAAAGTGAAAGTGTACTTAAATTACATCATTATTACCGTCCTTGCTGTGAGTTGGGAAGCTAGTTACAAAGACTGCCTGGTGGGGAGGGCGTGGATCTATTTTTTCTATTTCCTATTCTTTTTGTGGTGAGGGTTGGAGCTAACCTATGAGTAAATGCTGTCATATACCATGATCAGGAAAAGAAAATTACGGTAAGTATGAAACAATTGTGGTTCAAAACGTATTGATTGATCGATCACTATCTAAAATTACTAAATAATTAGCACAACAAAATCAACCTCAAGAGACAGTATTTTTTTTATTTAAGAGATGCACAAGTAAAATATGTAAATAAAACATGTTGTAGTATGCAAGTAAATTGGAATGTAATTTTACAGATTCGCACCCATGTATTCTGTGCACACTGTCATTATATGGTGGAGAAATCGATCATAGCTGCATCAGTTTAACCCCTTAAGGACCAAACTTCTGGAATAAAAGGGAATCATGACATGTCACACATGTCATGTGTCCTTAAGGGGTTAAAGAAAAGAAAGTATAATGTTCACAACAACCTGCTTACTGAGTTGGTACCCGGATGGAGAATCTTAAATATAATTTATCACACTTGTACCATTACAGAGAGAATATTTCTCCTCCCAGAAGGATTACCACAACTGTGCTAAAGGAATTCAATGTTAACATTTGACAGTTACAATTTAAAAAAAATAAAATACATTTTAAATAGAGAGATGGTAGGTATTCTCGGCATTTAGAAATATCACCTATTACCTGGTCTGCATCCAATGTGACTCGCAGTCCCAGTCTGGTCATTCCGTCCTCCTTTAATAGTTTGAGGTGCGGACACAGAGCCAGGCAGAAAGCTTTGGCCACGTTTTCAGTCAGTCGGCTGTGGTCAGCAGGGTCACTCAGGCCGCTCTGCTGCTCTTCATTATCCAAGTAGAAGACCTGTTGATAGAGTGGGTGAAAGGCTTAGTACAAATAGTTGAATTTAATCATGATAATCGATAGAGAACTTGGCTCAGGGAAAGGCAACAAGTGTAGGCGGTTGTGGAACTACAAATCCCAAGAAGCCGTTCAAATCTTTATTAAACACACAAGAAAAAGAATTCCTGGCTACCTATGGTAGTTAACTAGGTTTTAACTGCATCCTTTCAGCTATCGGGACAGGAAGTTAAATGAAGGTATAGTAAGATGTTGCTCCTAGGGGTATTCCTGTCAATTTCTGTTTAGCTGATAAGAAGATTCAGGGTTTTTTGAAGTCATGTTTTTTCTGGATGGCACTTAAGAGCAGCTCACCCCTCTCCACTTGGAAGAAACTACATAAAGCCAATAGTGAGGTCTCTAAACTTCATTTATTGGTATAGTAAAACCTCTAATGGATCTCCCTCATTCTATGAAGTGGAATTTTTATATTGTGTGATTTCCTTCAATATGGTGCCCATTCTTCTTGTTGCTAAGCGCATGCACAGTCAGTCAGCATTTGGCACCATTTGTCCTCATTTTAATATGATGGGTTAAAGGGGGAATGATCACTAATGGGATTCATGTCATTTAGCTGTATACTTGAGTTTATTTTGGTAAATGTCAAGTTTGTGTTTGGCCTCTTCGCTAAGCAATGTTTATTGTTTTGATAATATTTATATTTTCAAATACCATGTTAAAAAAAATATGACACGGAGTGCAATCGTCTGCAGCTCTAACCAATATTATTAGAGAAAAGAGAGTACAGAGGCAAGTGTGTTGGAAGACGGTTTTACCAACATTGAGAAAGAATAGCCAAACAGCATTCCTTTGACTTAGTTTTTTAAACTCTTTCAGATCCTGCAGAACGGTATATACCTCTGTCCAGCGGATGATTTTCCCGTTGGCTTTATATTCTGATCCATGGAAAATTTTGACGCTTGTTACAGACTCCAATGTTTTTCCATCAATAGGACTGGAAACTCTGAACAGGAAGGTAGACAAATAGTGAGAGGTTATTCAGGAATTTACTGTAAAAGCCTCTTTTACTTACATTACACATGTGTTCATACTCGCTAATCATGCTATTGATACAGTTAAACAATGTATTAATGTACAGCAGCTTTCTCACACTCAACAGCTCAGCGGGAATCTGAAAACTACGTATAATGGAGTTTGTATAAACCCATACATTCTGCGGTTTATAAAGTAATTTGTGACTAGCACAGGACAGAAATAATAGCCGATGCATCTAGTGTTCACGTCAGTATGTGATAGTAGTAATTAGTAGACCAGACTTGTTACCAATCTAAGGCAAAACTCCCAAAAAACGAGAGCAGTGACCTCTACTGGTGGAAGCACACACACTTTCCTGAGCAGCAATAAGCCTAACACAGGCATATTTGATTTATTTAAAAGTAATCACATGTTACAAGTGAGCTAGCATGTTTGCCCAAACGCTGGCACAGCTAAGCGAACAGTGCTGGTGTATACTGCCGCAAGCTTCCCAAAAACGTCAGTTAAAGCCTTTGTGCAGAAGTCTCTGATTGTGCCACATGGTCATGAATTATATAAATATTATATGAAAGAGAATGCACACCAGAACCAAAAAGAAATATATACAATTATTTAATGGACCAACAATAGGTTAAACATGTATGTTACAAGAAAATACAAAATGACAATAAACAGGCAAACGAATAATCAACAGTAATAATTTCTCAGAGTTCTCACAAGCCTAATAGGGCAGAAACACAAATCAAAATAACTCCCCAACGTTTCGGCACCAACATGCTGCCTTTTGCAAGGGCGTGTATTTTGGGGGGTTATTTTGAATCATGTTTTCCAGGTGCCCGCCTCCATCCCCGCCCACAGGAATACACACACACACACACAGACACAAAAGGACATAGGCACACACAGAAAGATACACACATACTAACAGATACAAATACTGAAACAGACACACACATACACAGACACATACAGACGGACACACACACGAATAAGGAGATACATACACACACACACACATACATACTGACTTACAGACACACACTGACGTACATTCATACTCACATACTGACGCACACACATACATACAGACAGACATACATACTGACAAACATACATACATACACACAGACATACATAGTGACATATATACATACACACATACATATATACATATATACACACATACATACTGACAAACAGACATACATACACAAACAGACATGCATACATGCAGAGACACACCTCATTTTGATGGGAGCGGATGCCTTTCCTCTCCTCGGCTGTCTCTTCCCCTGTGCGGAGTAAGCTGGAAGGAAGTGACCGGCCGTCACTTCCTCCCAGCAGCACTTGTGGTCCAGCCGTAATTTTTTTTTTAAAGGGACCCGGTCGCGCTTTTACACGGCTACAGCGCTGACCGGGCCCCTGAAGATATAGGGCCCACCGGGTGGCCCTAAATCGGGCCACCGGATGGGCCCCGGTGCAAATGCACCTGCGGCAGTTTCGCCGCTCCACGTAGGGCCTGGGCGGCTGGACCACCAGGGCCGTGACAACCGTCATGGTTGTCACCCCCTGATGGCATGCCCTGCTGGAAGGGCATTTTTTTTTTTTATTGACTGGGCAAAAGTGATAAGAATCCTCAAAAGGTGTAAGGGTACCTCAGGGGTCTGTACTTGGACCCATTCTCTTTAATATTTTTATTAGTGATATTGCAGAAGGTCTTGATGGTAAGGTATGTCTTTTTGCTGATGATACTAAGATATGTAACAGGGTTGATGTTCCAGGAGGGATAAGCCAAATGGCAAATGATTTAGGTAAACTAGAAAAATGGTCAGAGTTGTGGCAACTGACATTTAATGTGGATAAGTGCAAGATAATGCATCTTGGACATAAAAACCCAAGGGCAGAGTACAGAATATTTGATAGAGTCCTAACCTCAACATCTGAGGAAAGGGATTTAGGGGGTGATTATTTCTGATGACTTAAATGTAGGCAGGCAATGTAATAGAGCAGCAGGAAATGCTAGCAGAATGCTTGGTTGTATAGGGAGAGGTATTAGCAGGAGAAAGAGGGAAGTGCTCATGCCATTGTATAGAACACTGGTGAGACCTCACTTGGAGTATTGTACGCAGTACTGGAGACCGTATCTTCAGAAGGATATTGATACCTTAGAGAGAGTTCAGAGAAGGGCTACAAAACTGGTTCAGGGATTGCGGGATAAAACTTACCAGGAAAGGTTAAAGGATCTTAACATGTATAGCTTGGAGGAAAGACGAGACAGGGGGGATTTGATAGAAACATTTAAATATATAAAGGGAATCCACACAGTAAAGGAGGAGACTATATTTAAAAGAAAAACTACCACAACAAGAGGACATAGTCTTAAATTAGAGGGACAAAGGTTTAAAAATAATATCAGGAAGTATTACTTTACTGAGAGGGTAGTGGATGCATGGAATAGGCTTCCAGCTGAGGTGGTAGAGGTTAACACAGTAAAGGAGTTTAAGCATGCGTGGGATAGGCATACGGCTATCCTACTATAAGATAAGGCCAGGGACTAATGAAAGTATTTAGAAAATTGGGCAGACTAGATGGGCCGAATGGTTCTTATCTGCCATCACATTCTATGTTTCTATGCCTCTTGCAGAAAAATAAGAGGCTCGTACTAGCTTTTGGAGAAAAGAAATATTAGTATGCTGGAAAAATAATAATAATAATAATAAGAGACCAAAAGTTTTTCTACAAGGGTTTGAATAAAGAGAAATGACCAACCATATGGGGTAGGTGGTAATGTCCAGGATTTAATAATAATTCTGCTTTCCTCCATCCAATGAGAACATTTGGGATAAAACCCTCCAGGTCCCCCAAACACACACAAAATGTGAGTGTGAGAGATCAGTGGAAAGGCTCACTCAGACTTGTCAAAGTAAATGTGATTAAAATGTTTACCATTTAAAAGTGGAAGATGAGGTGTAATTATTATTAACCTCCAACCATTATATGATAACCTGGGATTTATTGAGCTAATCCAATTTAAAGTTCGCTTGTAACCACCAACTGTCCTCTTCCTGTACATGTGTCTATTATTTCTCCACAGGGATAAATCAGGGTGAGCTCAGATTTGTAACAATTTGATAGACTTTAGTCTTTTTTCAACCTGGACAACTATGTAAGAGCTAGCGTCAGATAGCAGCCCAGTTGCTGCCTACCCTTTATTGAAGTTCTTGTCGTCCTCCACCCATTGCACGTAGACATGTTCCTGTGTTTCCTCGGCATCTGCTTTCCCGCATATAATATCAAAGTCTTTCATTTCTCTCAGTGCTTGTCTCAACGCATCCATGCTTTCTGCTGTTATCTGCACCATCACCCCATCTGGGAAACAGACATGAGAAGTGGATTTACAAAAGCACAAATACAGAGAACACAGGATGTGTGTACTGTGTGTTTCTACTTTATTCTGGTAGTTTAATTCATATTATATATGATTCTTAATCTGGTTTAAAAAGAAAAAGAAGAGCTAGGATGGACACAGTTTTCACAATTTAAATGTGACCGTTTATAGGTAAATCAGTTTTAAAGGGACTCTCCGGATCCCTATAGCACGTTAGCTTGCTGAAAAGCTTTGTGTGTGAAGGGTATGTGGACTTTTTTCAGTTTGCAAAAAGTTCAGATTTCAATAGAAATTGGCACTTTTATAAACTAACCTTGTTACACCCTGGAGCAATTTAAATGGAGTCCAAGAAAAATGGGATTATTTAAAAGTTGCACTATTGAAGGCAACAGAAAATTGCATTAGGCTTGTCAGTAAAAGCAAAAAATTCAAGAAACCACTGTAGTACTCCGCAGATGTGGCCAAAATAGTTAAAAACAAAAAGTTAGCATTTAGGAATTATAAAAAAAACCCAGAGTGAGGGAGACAAAATGATCTATAAGATTAGGCAGAAAGAGGCTAAGCAAGTTATAAGAGCTTCCAAATCACACACAGAAGAGAAAATAGCACGGTCAGTAAAAAAGGGGGATAAAACATTTTTTAGATACATAAATGAGAAAAGAAAAGTAAAACAAGGATTAGTTAGATTAAAACAAAAGAAGGAAGGTATGTAGAAGAGGATAAAGGTCAGGCTGACTGCCTCAATGAATATTTTTGTTCTGTATTTACAGAAGAAAATGAAGGAAAGGGACCTCAGTTGAGAAAAAAGGATAAATGAGTCATTTATTACACGTGAGTTTACAGAGGAAGAGGTTCTATTTCAACTGTCAAAAGTAAAGACAAATAAGTCAATGGGACCTGATGGAATACACCCAAAGCTATTAAAAGAGCTTAGTGGTGTACTAGCAAACCCATTAACAGATTTATTTAACCAATCATTGTTAACAGGTGTAGTCCCAGAAGATTGGAAGTTAGCGAATGTTGTGCCCATTTACAAGAAAGGTAATAGGGAGGAGTCGGGCAACTATAGGCCAGTAAGCCTTACTTCAGTAGTGGGGAAAGTGATGGAAACCATGTTAAAGGATAGGATTGATGAACATCTAAAAACACATGGATTTCAAGATCAGAGACAACATGGGTTTTACTTCAGGGAGATCATGCCAAACTAATCTTATTGATTTTTTTGATTGGGTAGCTAAAATTATAGATCAGGGTGGTGCAGTAGACATTGCTTACCTAGATTTCAGTAAGGCTTTTGACACTGTTGCTCATAGAAGGCTTATCAATAAACTGCAATCTTTAAGTTTGGATTCAAATATTGTTGAATGGGTAAGGCAGTGGCTGAGTAACAGGCAACAGAGGGTTGTAGTTAATGGAATATATTCGAAACTTGGACTTGTCACCAGTGGGGTACCTCAGGGATCTGTACTTGGACCCATTCTCTTTAATATTTTTATTAGTGATATTGCAGAAGGTCTTGATGGTAAGGTATGTATTTTTTGCTGATGATACTAAGATATGTAATAGGGTTAAAGTTCCAGGAGGGATAAGCCAAATGGCAAATGATTTAGGTAAGCTAGAAAAATGGTCAGAATTGTGGCAACTGACATTTAATGTGGATAAGTGCAAGATAATGCATCTTGGACGTAAAAACCCAAGGGCAGAGTACAGAATATTTGATAGAGTCCTAACCTCAACATATGAGGAAAGGGATTTAGGGGTGATTATTTCTGATGACTTAGGTAGGCAGACAATGTAATAGAGCAGCAGGAAATGCTAGCAGAATGCTTGGTTGTATAGGGAGAGGTATTAGCAGTAGAAAGAAGGAAGTGCTCATGCCATTGTACAGAACACTGGTGAGACCTTTCTTGGAGTATTGTACACAGTATTGGAGACCGTATCTTCAGAAGGATATTGATACCTTAGAGAGGGTTCAGAGAAGGGCTACTAAACTGGTTCATGGATTGCGGGATAAAACTTACCAGGAAAGGTTAAAAGGATCTTAACATGTATAGCTTGGAGGAAAGACGAGACAGGGGGGATATGATAGAAACATTTAAATATATAAAGGGAATCAACACAGTAAAGGAGGAGACTATATTTAAAAGAAGAAAAACTACCACAACAAGAGGACATAGTCTTAAATTAGAGGGACAAAGGTTTAAAAATAATATCAGGAAGTATTACTTTACTGAGAGGGTAGTGGATGCATGGAATAGCCTTCCAGCTGAAGTGGTAGAGGTTAACACAGTAAAGGAGTTTAAGCATGCATGGGATAGGCATAAGGCTATCCTAACTATAAGATAAGGCTAGGGACTAATGAAAGTTTTTAGAAAATTGGGCAGACTAGATGGGCCGAATGGTTCTTATCTGCCGTCACATTCTATGTTTCTATGTTTCTATGTTTCTATGTTTCACCCCCTGGCTGTCAATCAGACAACAGAAAGGTGATTGGACAGCCACAGAAAGTCTGGGCAGGGTTAGAAGGGGAGGGTTTACAAAGGCATCATACATGAGAACTTCAGGGTTACAAGCTGTTTTTAGATATAACTCCAGTGAAAATATGCATAATTAAAGACATGCACGTTTTTATTTTTTGCGCTATTCCTACTAAATGAAGATTTAACATTTTTAGTATTTTGGCAGTGGAGTGTCTTTTTAACAGCAATTACTGTATTTTTCCATGTATAAGACTGTTTTTTGTTTTTTTCATCTAAAATTGGGGGTCGTCCTATACACGGAATGTCACTGCGGGGGTAAAAAAAACAAAAAAAAAAAAACACTTGTGAGCGGAGCCTAAGCCAAGATGGCGCCTGCCACGTTCCAGTGTGCCACGACCCACACACATACATGGCCTCTCTACTGCCGATCCACTTCTGAATGCTGTGGCAAGTAGGAAGAGGGAGCTGCAGCAGACGTCAGCATTTACCACCAACGGAGCTCCAGAGACATCCCACACCATAAAAGGAGCGGCCATATTAAGGTATGCTCCACACCTTAGGTAGGTCTTGCTTTCTGATTTATATCAATGGAGAAGGAAATGGCGATCAGAGGGAATACTGCTGCGATGTCCCAGCATGTGCTCATACCACCTGCTGCATTGTGGGAGCTGTTTAAAATATTTATTTCTTAATTCTGGGTTAAAAAAAATAGGGGTCGACTTATGCATGGGGTCGTCTTTTACACGGAAAAATACGGTATATTATTTATAATCACAGAAAGAGAATGTAGAATGTAGTGAATCTCTTCTGCCAGATGTATTTCAGCATACTAGATGTTATTTTGACATTGACGTTAAGAACCAAAGTTGACCTAGGATATACAGCAGAGGTGTTTTTTTTCCCCAAATAATTTTCTAATATAGCTACATTTCAGTAAATTTTTATTAGTTTGTATAGAAAATATTTGTATACCTTCTACAATGCTAGACTTGGCCAGGAATCCTGATGAAGTCTTGAGCGCTCCACTAAACACGAAGAAGCTGGCACCAGTTACTGAAACAAATAAAAAAAATTTTTAAAAAACAATCTATTATTTTTTATTCTGAATTGCTTTTATGTCATGTCCTCCTACAAATCTGGCACCAAGATTTTGATCTTCTAGCGCTACTCTGTGTCTAAAATGGAGCCAGTCCTCGTGGGTACTACACTGAAACATCAGATATTTATCTCACTTATTCATGTGTCAATTTAACATACTGTGCTTGCTTTTCAGATAAATTTTTTGTTTTTCTGTTTTACATTACTATTATTATTATTATTTTGAGGACTGTTTTTTTTTTTTTTAAATCGCTCAAATAACAGTTACATCTGGTTTGTTTGTTTTTTACATAGCCCGATTTTTAATTAAAAGTGAGCTACGGCGTAATTGTCAGATATTTTATTTCTTAATTGACACGGAATGCCAGGCCACCAATTAAATTAAATCTCACTCGTACAGCTTTGCTTTGCAGTTGAACTAGCCTGGAGCCTCACAGAGAAACTTCTCAAACACCTGTGCACTCTGAATCAATACAGTGAGCAGACTTTATTGCAGCAACATCATCATCCAGAACATGGAATGCTACACGGAAAGTGTGTTTGTTTTGTGTTTTTATTTACTTCTCCATTTCTCACCCTCGTAAACTCATCAATAGCATTTTCTATAATGAGGGAATGAGGAATGGTCACTTTCAGAGAACTGGCAGTTCTGCTTTACATATAAAGTTACAGAGCTGGAAAGAGACTTGCGTCCATCAAGTTCAGCCTTCCTCACATTTGTTTTTTGCTGTTGATCCAAAAGAAGGCAAAAAATCTAGTCTGAAGCACTTCCAATTTTCCCACAAACTAGGAAAAAATTCCTTCTTGACCCCAAAATAGCAGTCAGATGTCTCCTTGGATCAAGCAGCTATTACCCCACTACTTAGAAATTATATCCCTGTAGGTTATGTTTTTGTAAGTATGTATCCAATTGCAGTTTAAACATCTGTATGGACTGTGCTAAAACCACCTCTTCAGGCAGAGAATTTCATATCCTTATTACTCTTACTGTAAAAAAAACCTCTTTGCCTTAGATGAAATCTCCTTTCTACCAGCCTATATGTGTGACCTCGTGTCCTGTGTATAGCCCTGTTTATGAATTGATTTCCAGATAAAGGTTTGTACTGGCCCCAAATATATTTGTATAAAGTTATCATATCCCCTCTCAGGCACCTTTTTTCCAAACTAAACAAATTAAATTTTTTTAACCTTTCTTCATAACAAAAATGCTCCATTCCTTTCATCAATTTTATAGCTCGTCTCTGGACTTTTTCTAGTGCCATGATAGCTTTCTTTAGAACAGGCGCCCAAAATTGCACAGCATATTCAGGGTGTGGTCTTACCAGCGATTTATAAAGAGGCAAAATTATATTTTCATCCCGAGAATTTATGCACCTATTTATACATGACAAAACCTTACTGGCCTTAGCAACTGCAGATTAACATTGCATGTCTAATTTGTTGTCTATAACAATTCCCAAATCCTTCTCGTGTGTGGTTATCCCTAATTCACTACCATTTAGTGTGTAAGTTGCTCGTGCATTCTTGACCCCGAAGTGCATAACTTTGCATTTCTCTACGTTAAATTTCATCTGCCATTTTAGTGCCCAGTCCCCCAATCTATCCAAATCCCTCTGCAGCAAAGCAATATCCTGCTCACATTTTATTACTTTACAAAGTTTTGTGTCATCTGCAAACACTGATACATGGCTTTCAATGCCTATTTCAAGATTATTTATAAATTATTAAATAGAAGTGGTCCCAAAACAGAACCCTGAGGGACACCACTTAGCACTTTTGTCAAGCCTGAAAATTTACCATTAATGACAACTCGTTGTACTCTATCCTTAAGCCAATGTTCTACCCAAGAACAAGAATATTCATCTAGACCAATTTCTTTTAGTTTGAAGACTAACCTATTGTGAGGAACCGTATCAAATACCTTGGCAAAATCCAAGTAGATCACATCCACTGCACCACCCTGATCTATACTTCTACTTCTTCGTAGAATGCAATTAGGTTAGTTTGACATGACCTATGTTTCATAAAACCATGCTGATTATTGCTAATAACAAAGTTCTTCCCAATGAATTCCTGAACATTATCCCTTAATAGCCCTTCAAATATTTTCCCAGTTACAGAAGTTAAGCTCACAGGTCTATAATTTCCAGGCAAGGATTTTGAACCCTTTTTAAATATAGGAACAACATCTGCCTTCCTCCAATACAACACCTGAAACAAAAGAATCTTGAAAAATTAAATACAGGGGTTCACTTATTTCCCCACATAGCTACTTAAGTACTCGTGGGTGAATACCGTCAGGCCCCGGAGCTTTATTTATATTCATTTTCTTTAATAGCTGTAGCACCTTATCTCGAGTTATCCAATCACAAGTTATTTGCAAGTTTTTTGCAGCAATCATTTGCATATCTCTTGCCATAGGATCCTCATTAATATATACTGAAGAAAAATAGTCATTTAAAATTTCTGTTTTTTCCTGGTCTTCATTAGCTAATAAACCCATCTCTGTTTCCAGTGTACCTACACTTTAATGTTTTGTTTTTTTAGAATTGATGTACTTGAAAAAAAATTGGGGGGTTGGTTTTGCACTCTTTAGCTATCAATTTCTCATTTTCTAGTTTAGCCACTTTGCCTTTTTGCAAGCGTTATTGGCTTCCTTATATCTTATATAGGATGCCTCTGATTTGTCTGATTTAAATTCTTTAAATGCCATTTTCTTATTATTTTTTTTGTGCATTTAGTAGAATACATTTTAACCCTGTATTGCCACGACAGCAACGGCAAGCCTGGTAATACAAACAGTTGATTCTGTACATGGCAAATGCGATAATTCTGCACATTTTTAAAAGTATACAGTGAACAGGCTAAACAAACATATCTAGGTCAGGTTGCCAACAAGAGATAGGTGTATATTGTAGATCGACATGCGAAGATTAAACATACAATTAATGATCAAGCTTTTTATGATGTAAGCTGAGTTATACAGGCTAGGTTTAGCTTTTGCATGGGACTGAGTAGTGGGCGGAGCCGGGCCTTCATCCGCAACTGTGTGGCCCCCATGTAGGCCTTACAGCTGGTATACCGTTATCTCTGGGCTGCTGGTCAGTTATCTGTGCATCTTCAGGGGCTGCCATCGTCCAGGCTTATGATGGTGAGTAGGCTGCTTCGTTATTTTCGGTGTTCCCGGCCCAAAACCGGCCTCGGTTTGGTATCCCTATGAAGCTTGGGTGTTTCTCGTTAATTATATGTCTCTTATTTCTGCTTTGGGGTGGTCTGAGTGTGGATTTATTGCAGTTCTCCCGGGCTCAGGCCAGGAGCCATGGTGTTCTGCTGCCTTGCAGCTCGGCGGCCCGGCCCCGCCCCCTCCCCCTCCCCTTTTCTTATTTTTAATCTCTTGTTTTACTTCTCTACTAAGCCACATTGGTTTCAATTTGTTTCTTTTATATTTATTACCCAATGGTACATACTGAGAAATGTACCTTTCTAATATTTGTTTGAATAGTTTCCATTTATCCTCAGTGTTTTTTTCACAAAGGAGTTTATGCCAGTCGATATGTTGTAGAGCTGCCCTAATCTTATTGAAATTGGCTTTTTAAAAATTATATGTTTTAGTATACCCCACGTGCTCTATAGCAACAACTCTGAAAATATTAAGGGGTAATAAAAACCTGTAAACGTTTACAACAAACCATAATTCCCCAACTTGATCAACTGATTTCATGTCACCGCGTCCTTCACTGAGCATATGACTTTCATAGAACATATTGTGTAATGCCCCATCATCTTTAAGATCCATATATGTCACTTAAGAACTATAAACACCTTAAAAGACATTTGAAAACATTTGGAGTTAATTGTTCCCCAGAAGTGATCTATTGATGTTCTTTGCCAAGCTGTATCAGAGACAAGGCCCTCGCTCACAGCCACGTTGACGGTCTTACATCTCCATGTCCGTTGCCATTACCATGTGGCACTCACCTTTGCGCGGCTGCTTGTGAATACTGATAGCTTGAGTCTGGTAATTGCCATCATCGTTCTGAACGCACACCAGATGAGAGTCAGCTTTCTGATTAAAACATGCGCCTCCTGCCAAAACATGCTCATTGGATTTATTCATGGCTTTCATCATCTACAAGAAAGAAAGAGAGAAAAAAAAAGGCAGGAAATTATATACAGAAATAAAAATAAGGAGCCATAGCACGTGCTTTTAAATAGAACTGAATGAATCTGGAGTGGCACTATAAGAAGAACTAGATCATTTATTTCAAGGAACACGGATCAAAAATGTGCAAACTGCTATACTCCAATGAGGAAATATAAATCCAAGCTAACATGACTTTCAGGGGCTGGGGAATCAGAAAAGTAGGTTATTGTCATAAAGATAAGGAAAAAAGGAGAAATGGGGGCAGATGTAAACCAATCTCCATGTGCTACAAATAAGTATCAGATTACACTCCCTTTACTGACTCCAACCCAGCAAAACTAATGGAAATCTGATGTGGACTATGACATAAAACGTTGGGAAACTAGATTTAACTTGCATAAAATCATCTATACTTGTAGAACAACATTATAAAACACTATCGATGGTACATGGTACAGAGCAGATTGAAACAGATGTTTCTGAACACCTCTTCCATATGCTGGTGCTGTGGTGAGGGCTTTACTGTATATGTGTGGTGGCCCTACGTGATCCTACAAACCTTTCGGACGGCCATCCACCAATTTATCACCAGTAAACTGGGGCATTCGTTATCTTACCCACCCGAGACGTACCTTCTCTTAAGATTATCTAATGAGCTGCATAGATGTGAATTGAAGCAAATTATGCATATAGTGCTCACGGCTTAACGTCACATTACGATTATACCACTGCTATCTAATCTGCTCGCAGAAAGACAAACAAAGCTCCTATAAAAGGCACGTCCCATCTCTCATCCCTCCCTCGAAACCTGTCTCAGAAGCGTAGGAGCTATGGGACACATGGAGATCGGGTACCTAAAGAATTCTTTATATAAAATGTGCTATATACTTTCCAATATAAACCTCGATAATCTCCCCTGTGCATAGAAGTAATTTGATGGGTTTCAGAGCTCGCTGCCCCCCGGGAATTATTTTATATTTTCTACAATTAATTGGTTGGATTACCGTGTCGATGACAACAGATTTTTTAGTTCCGATTTTTGGATATAGACTACCACCAGTGTAGGGGCCCCATACTGTTTAATAGACTTTTATCCAGGCACTTTGATATAGTTCAATCCTGTCATTTTTTTAATTGACTTTATGTATGATCAATGTTATATATTAATTTCATGTGTATGATTTACAGTGATGCCATGTCTAGTTATGAGACTATGTTGATATGACTAAATTTTAATATTTTTTATTGAATAAATAGCTATTTTCATCTCCCCACATATAGCATGTCGTGGTTATAGATATTTTTGCTTTATGAATATTTGATGAGATCCATTACCATACATTAACATATCTGTTTTTTTTCATATAAACCTTTTTGTGTTACTTTGTATTCATAATATTTTATACAAATTGCTTTTTTGTTTACCGCTGGAGTGCAGACTGAGAACGGTGTTTTTATTTGGAGTGCTCACATAGTTTTGTAGTGTAGCTGATATGCCAGAATATGTGTCAATCTATAGATTAAATGAGTACACAATCAAATGCGTGTTATTTTTGAGCACTTGTTCCTACTGGAATGTACACGTCCCTATGAGACAAGCCGTTATATGTGCTGTTGTTTAATCCCCCTCTCCCCTTTTTTTATTTATCTGTACCCCCTTCCCTGCTACATGAAAATTATTAAAACTTTCAAATGGGACAAAAAAATGGGGTCAGATGTAACGAACGAAACATGATGGATAAACTTTAACAAGGAATAATTTATAATCTATACCTCATTGTATCGATTGCTGGGTATTTTAATGCTGGTTTTTCGAACTTCCATATCCACCACCAAGCCCTGGACCACAGGCAGGGTGTACTGGTAGTTTCGGAAATCCTAGTGAATCAGGAAGCAACAAAGAAATAAGAATTGGAAGGAAAAGCTTATGCAACCAAAGTATAAAAAATAAATAAATAACAAACAGGTAATAAATGTGTCTCTAATCAAAGAAATTGTCTTATTTCCATGGGGTAGGTCCGGAAAATAAACAAGGAGAAGGTATGAGTGGTCATTATATCTTAGTGACAATATGTGCGTGCATAAAGCGGATAACATGAATAGTGCAGGGTTATTCAGTCATGTGATAATTCAAAGAGAATTTCAAATTTAAGGTCAAAGTAGCCGATCTAAATTTTATTCTGGCTCAAAATTTGAAATTCACTTTAAGTTCACTTTGCCTTCTTACTCTAGTAATAACTCTGTTAGTATTCATATTACTTAAAGGTTAATGTAGAATTGGATTTACGAATTAGATCAATGTGCTTCAACAAGCTGACACTTACCGCTAGAACATTAATGATGGTATGGCCGGTCTCCCCAAACAAAGGTTTTCTGAAACGGACACTGAACAGCGGACATGGATATACTTTAAAAAAAAAAAAAAAGTAATACATTTAAACCTATTCATCACAAGCGCCAAAATAAGGAAATACAGACGGAACATCCTTGAAATAGGATCTATTATACTCACATCGATATTCTGCTCCTAAGCGCAGCATGAGCCGGATCGGAAACACTTTAGCCCACGGGGTCTCCCACTTCTGAATAAGAATTCCAAACAGGTACGGCTGGGCCGGTAGAACCAGGTCCTGGAGGGACTGGTAGGTGGGGGTGACATACAAGAATCCGCCATGTTCCTTGCTGCCCAGGAAATTCTGGCTCAAGAATGAGTGGCCCAGGTTGCCCACCACATTCCCTAATGTTAGATAAGATTCATGCACACATTACAATTAACTGAGTGCATATTAATGCAAAACAAAAAGGATATTAACACAATCCCCACTTTTAGTACAATTACAGAACTACTAAACTACAAATCAAAGTTGCATCTAGCAGAACATGTTATGATAGCTAAAAAATAGTACTTCACAGTTATCATGCCATCCCCCACCTCAGCTGCTGGATCGTCGTTCACATACCTGCTAGGCCTTCTCGATAAAGTTCCACAAAGTGACAGAATAGATCCCTGGGCATGCATTTCTCATCGGGTAGGCACTGCAGCAAGATGACGATTTCAGCCTGGCCCACAGCATGCATCCCCTTGGTGGTGAAACACCAGCACTTCCTGTTAACATCTACAGGATACAAGAAATACAGAATCTATCAGGAATTAATAAAAGTATGTCAAGTGTCTAGTCACAACCTACACGATGGGTTGAAAACACAGCTCAGCTACCAGTCTTATAGGGTGAACACACTGACTACAGTTACATATCAGAGAGATATAATAACACGCCATATGATGTCAGATCAGGCATATAAAGGAATATTATAAACTGTACAGACATATGAAAGTTAATTATTAAGTCACTACACGACTAGCTCATTTTAGGCTGGGAATATAGCTATACCAAAACGTGATTTGAAGAGAGACGCACTATAAGTATTCGTACTTCCTATGGGGTCATTTATGGACAAGTAGCTTCCCTGTTCCTCGTCTCCCTGAATTCTGTCGCTTATATTAAAATGTATCTGGCTGCTCCCCTGTAACTATTTCTTTTACTGGATGATTACACCTTCCAGAGTACTTTTGCTGAAGTCATGCAAAGGTTAATACGTACAAATAGTATTTATGGAGCTTTATGGTAAGCCAACACTTTATTCAGTAAACAGACACAACATGCTGCCTCAAAAAGTAGAAACAAACATATTGCAAGCAAATAGAAAAAAATATATTAATCAAATGCCATGAATCAAAAGGAATCTTGGTTTAGTAAATGTAAAAAAAAACATCGTTTGGAAGTGGGTTAGTTGCACACGAAGCTACTTCAGACATCGACTTTTCAAAGAGTCACTCTATGCACCAAACCACTTTAATACTGTTTTTTGACCACTGTTCTTCCAAGGTGCAAAGGTCAGAGGAAGAAGAACTAGAATTTGCATGCCCCTAATGGACTATAACTCCTATCATGCTCAGTGACATTCTAATTAAGGTTGGTGGGAGGGAATATATATATATCTGATGTAATGGGATAGTAAAGCAACCACTTGCTAAACCGGGTATGAAAAATATAAATCCAATCAACCTCAACCAGCGGTTAGCTCAGTCAGATTGAGAATTCTAGTCTACAAAAGTTTTGTACAACAAGAGACCAGGAAAGATTTGTCTGAATTCTTTGTAACAATGAATTATACGCAATAACATTTATTATTTCTTTTTACAAAAAACGCATTTTTGGATAGTTTTCCTATTATTACTGAAATGCAAAAAGCAGAGGGTCCTTGGAGCACAACAGGGGAGAATTTTCCTCACACTAGTTAAAATTTATCGCGTATTATTTAACCCCCATTGTATATCAGGTTTACTTTACTTTCAGCTGTTTGCAATGAACAAATCACACAAAAGCAATTGAAATAGCTCAACACAACAAATTCTTTAAAGGACCACTATAGTGCCAGGAAAACATACTTGTTTTCCTGGCACTATAGTGCCCAGAGGGTGCCCCCACCCTCAGGGTCCCCCTCCCGCCGGGCTCTAGGGGGAGGAAGGGGATAAACTTACCTCTTTCTCCAGCGCCGGGTAGCTCTCCTCCTCCTCTCCGCCTCTGATCCTCCCTTTCGGCTGAATGCGCATGAGCGGCAAGAGCTTCACGCGCATTCAGCCGGTCTCATTGGAAAGCATTTACAATGCTTTCCTATGGACGCTTGCATGTTCTCACTGTGATTTTCACAGTGAGAAGCACGCAAGCGCCTCTAGCAGCTGTCAATGAGACAGCCACTAGAGGATTTGGAGGCTGGATTAACCCATTTATAAACATAGCAGTTTCTCTGAAACTGCTATGTTTATAAAAAAGGGGGTTAATCCTAGAGGGACCTGGTACCCAGACCACTTCATTAAGCTGAAGTGGTCTGGGTGCCTAGAGTAGTCCTTTAAGTGGTTTCCCCAATTCAACTGAAAATGCTACTTATAACAAATGCTACAGTTTTAAAAGCTGAAAGTCTGTAAATTTTGCCAATAAACCTGATTTTCAATGGGGATTGAATCATTTTGTTTACAATTGTGATATTATACAAGATCCAGCACACTCACTCGTTCACTAAGTAGTAATTTCAAACCTCACAGAATGTAATGTTTTTTAAGAAACCCCTAACCTAGGCAAAAACCCTGTAGACCTCACACAGAGGCCTGGCTCACACAGCGCACAGTGTCTCCCTGTAGACCTCACACAGAGGCCTGGCTCACACAGCACACTGTGTCTCCCTGTAGACCTCACACAGCACACTGTGTCTCCATGTAGACCTCACACAGCACACTGTGTCTCCATGTAGACCTCACACAGCACACTGTGTCTCCATGTAGACCTCACACAGCACACTGTGTCTCCATGTAGACCTCACACAGCACACTGTGTCTCCATGTAGACCTCACACAGCACACTGTGTCTCCATGTAGACCTCACACAGCACACTGTGTCTCCATGTAGACCTCACACAGCACACTGTGTCTCCATGTAGACCTCACACAGCACACTGTGTCTCCCTGTAGACCTCACACAGAGGCCTGGCTCACACAGCGCACTGTGTCTCTCTGTAGACCTCACACAGAAGTCTGGCTCACACAGCGCACAGTGTCTCCCTGTAGACCTCACACAGCACACAGTGTCTCCCTGTAGACCTCACACAGAGGCCTGGCTCACACAGCGCACTGTGTCTCCCTGTAGACCTCACACAGAGGCCTGGCTCACACAGCACACTGTGTCTCCCTGTAGACCTCACACAGCACACTGTGTCTCCCTGTAGATCTCACACAGCACACTGTGTCTCCCTGTAGATCTCACACAGAGGCCTGGCTCACACAGCGCACTGTGTCTCTCTGTAGACCTCACACAGAGGCCTGGCTCACACAGCGCACAGTGTCTCCCTGTAGACCTCACACAGCGTCTCCCTGTAGACCTCACACAGAGGCCTGGCTCACACAGTGCACTGTGTCTCCCTGTAGACCTCACACAGAGGCCTGGATCACACAGCACACTGTGTCTCCCTGTAGACCTCACACAGAGGCCTGGCTCACACAGCGCACTGTGTCTCTCTGTAGACCTCACACAGAGGCCTGGCTCACACAGCGCACTGTGTCTCCCTGCAGACCTCACACAGAGGCCTGGCTCACACAGCGCACTGTGTCTCTCTGTAGACCTCACACAGAGGCCTGGCTCACACAGCGCACTGTGTCTCCCTGTAGACCTCACACAGAGGCCTGGCTCACACAGCACACTGTGACACGTACAGTTGACAATCTTCACCATTGCCAAAAGATTTGCATTAAGGACAAACACGAGTGGATCAGGACCCCCATCTTCCAACTGCTGCATGACTGACATCTGGGAGGGATGTTCCTCCACTGCATAATCTGGGGAAAGAGCAGACAAATATTGTGTGTCATTATTCTCTGTCTCCATCCATGACGAGAGAGTCAGCACATTCTAAGAAAGAAGCAATGGGAAACCGATTAACAAACAATCAGACAAAAATGTAAGAAGCCCAAACTGCCAAACCCCAGTTGATTGTTAGATCAACTTGTGTGTGTGATGTATAGATAGAGAAGGTTGAAAGAGGGAAACACAGATTTGACAATACAGAAAGAGGAAGAATAAAGGGAAATAACAGATGCAGGACATCATACTTGTTCTCCCAACCATTAAATTGTTTCAGATCTCTTTAATCAGGTTAGGAAGGTTTGCCAAACTGGTAATATTTTGTCATCATGGAAACTTTCAATTTGAAAATCCATGGTTTATCCGGAGCATGACAGGTGCAATTCTTTAGGATACGATTATTTAGCCAACACACCTCCTTTCACACCTGTGGAGATCAAGATAGGGGGAAGACCATCCTCTGGTATAAGGTTCATTGCACTTCCAACCTGAGTTATGCTGCCGCAGAATCCAGAGGTGCTCTCACCCTGAAAAATCAGTGAACAAAATGAAAAAACAAATCAAAAAGCAAACAGTACAGAGAGGGTCAGTCTTCAGGCTCTCCATATCCTGTTACTTAGAACCTTCAGACAGTTTGCATCAGTAATCAGGTAAAAACATTGTTTTCTTACAATTCTTATTCCCTCCCTCGCAAAACCAAATAAGGCTCGCTTACAGATAACACATGGGCACACGACATCCTCTTTACATACAGCAGTTTGGTTACATGGTAAAATAACGTACAGAGAAATGGAATTTTACAGTGGACAAATTATGACTGGGATGCTGACTATTGCATGAACTGCTGAGAATCCCAGGTTTATTTCAAATTTATGCCAAAATAAGAGAACTGAAAACAAAGCGGACTTGAAAATATATATGGCCTAAAATTCTGAATGAATTATCAGCATTTCACACATTCTTGTGAATATCCCGGAATATCTAAATGAGATAATTTTACACGCCATCATTTTCCATCAGGAGCAACATTTATCACGCAACACACGACGGGCATCTCACAAAATATTCAACAAATGTTTCGCCCAAACTAACAACTTCTGCAGCTACGTTGCCAATTTGCCTGTCAAGCATCATACATGACAGTTTTTAAATAAAAGCCAATTGTAAGCTGGCAACACAGAGAATTACATGGGTCACATGGGGGTAAAGTGGCGCACTCCCCAGCTATTTCCACCCAGCCGGTGTTGCTAGGGGCGATGGGGGGAGGGGGTGGGATAGCAGTAGTAACGTTTTTGTGCTCAGCAATGAAGGATATATGGTTACAGTTAGATATACAAATAATATGATTATGTTTTTGGGAGATCGGACTACAAATTCCTCCATATTACCTCAGAAGGTGGAGAGTTACTAGGTGTAGACTTGTTGGCGTCATGGGCTACCGTTAAGGTCCCTACTGCTGGGGATCCCGTGGCTTTCTCCGCATCAGCAGCTTCTCCGTTTGGCAAGATTCCATCGGCAAACCATACCCTACGCTGCTCCCTGGACTGAGACACTATAAGAAGTAACAAACGTACAGATTTAAACCTCATCTTATTTATATTTTCATCATTATCAGAATACCTCTCCATAACATATTATACATAATAAATAGCCACATCAGCACCATTATTTATAAAATATTTTACCAGGAAAGATACATTGAGATTTCTCTCGTTTTCAAGTATGTCCTGGGTCCACAAAATGATACATTATGGTACAATGAAATACAAAAACAATATTAATACACAATATATACAAAATGTAACATAGAACAAGTAGGAAATATATAATCAACCATGGCAGGTGCATTCTGTTTTGAGGTATGTAGAGAGGGATCTCTTAAAGGACGTTAAGCTTGGGGAAGATTTTAAAGTGTGCAGGAGGTCGTTCCACAATTGCGGCGCTCTGTAGGAGAAGGAGGATCGGGCTGCATTCTTTTTGTATTGAGGTAGACTAAGTAAAGTGTTAAAGGGACACTATAGTCACCAGAACAACTACAGCTTATTAAATTTGTTCTGGTGTGTAGAATCATTACCGTCAGGCTTTTTGCTGTAAACACTGTCTTTTCAGAGAAAAAGCAGTGTTTACATTACAGCCTAGTGATAACTTCACTGGCCACTCCTCAGATGGCTGTTACAGATCCTTCCTGGGTCATGGCTGCCTAAAATACATCCAAACATTCAGTATCTCCTCCCTCTGCATGCAGACACTGAACTTTCCTCATAGAGATTCATTGATTCAATCCATCTCTATGAGAAGATGCTGATTGGCCTGTGTTTGAATCATGCTGGCTCTGCCCCTGATCTGTCCCCTGGTCAGTCTCAGCCAGTCCTATGGTGAAGCACTGTGATTGGATCAGGCTACCACTTCTGATGATGACAGCAGACTGCTTGTTTTTTTGAGACAAACAGCATACAGAGTTACAGCTTCAGGCTTGAATAAGAGTAAGATTTTTTTACTATATTTATGGAGGCATGAGGGGCCCAGGGGGGCTAGATGGTGGTTTTAACACTATAGGGTCAGGAATACACGTTTGTGTTCCTGATCCTATAGTGATCCTTTAACCTCTAATTGCAATCTTCATTAGAAATCTTGCAATCAGAACGAGCAGTGGTGAATGTGCTTTAACGTCGCTATTTATTATGAAATACTGGTACACTGACTGTCTTTCTAAGTGATCCTAAGGTGGGAGCAACAATTAATGAATTTAGAAAAGCATGTTGCTGCAGGAGTGTGATACCTGCTATTTTTGTACAGAGAGCGCTACCTTTTCTCTGTTTTCATATATTCTCTCCATAACATAAACGTGTATCTAAGATTAAAAGACCATTTATATAAACCATTTATATAAACCATTGAATCCGATGATCCGGCAGGGTCCATTGGCATCAGCAGTTTATCAGTAGAATTAATTCTATTCCCAAATAGCCACTTGTTTTAAAATGTGTCGCCCACCTCCCCCAAGTCCCCAAAGCCCCCTCTTTCATTTATTGTTTTTTAAAGCTAATAAAATGGAACATATGCAATTGCTATATTGGCTGGCATCCTTACATATATGTAAACAGTGCAGATCAATTAGGAATCGTGCTCACATATGCTTTTGTGGTTTAATTTTGTGTTACACAAAATTCGCTCTGGAAACCAACAATATATGCTAACCAAGCAGAATGGTCTTAGAAGAGAAAAGCCCTGTATCAGGAAGTCAGAGAGACACACCTAAGGGTGAAGCATGAATTGAATGATTGGAATTTAACCCTTTCCTTGCAAACAGAGCAGGAAGTCAGTCATCAAATCCCCATGCTGGAAACCACACTCTGTAGGAGTATTTCCTGCCCCTTGTTTACTACTCTCTACAGAGCCACATTAACCCCTTCATACCAAAGTCAACCATGGAAATGTGCTTTCAATGTCAATTTATGAATGGCTTTCCTTACCTTCGGCTCCTGGGTGCTTTAACACTCCCACAGGTACCATGACCGTTGGAGGGGGTGAGCTGAGGGCACCAGAGGCCTGTGCTTGCTGCATGGGTGGGATGGTGGAGCAGTATTCAGAGGGATTGTTGGGGTTTGGGTTCTGAATGGACGCACTTAGCATGTTTTCCCAAGCTTGCGCTGAAACACATACATGGAGAATAATTACGCAGGTTTGTATGGGCAAATTCCTAAATAAATATTTTACATAGCTCAATTGCAGAACAATTTCCTAAGGGGGAGGAGGGTTATCTCTGCTGACACCTTCCTTTTCTTCTAAGATAACTGTATTGTGCCTTCAGGCAATAGATTTCAAAATGATGTACCTGTATCTACTTGCATAGCTTCCTTATTGCTGGGGTTTGGGGGTTTTACCATACGTTTCAATAATCTTCAAAATAATGTGTTAAAAAAACAAAAAGCATGCAAAGAGTAAAACTCTATTATTGAAAAAGTGACTTTTACATATATGACCAGAGAATGGACTTTTTTTACCTCAATATTTTAGCTTTTAATTAAATCCTAGACTTGTAATTTATTTGTATGAGACAGAGATATGCTGGAGCACCAAGTAAATTGTAGCCTATAAGTGCTATAGAGGCTCGAACAGTGCATGAATTTGAATTTAAGGGCTTGTTTAGAACATCAAAATTATGGAGAATTAAACAAGGGCATTTCATATTATTTGGTCACAACGTGCAAACTCAATTTATTTGTCAGGAATTCATAGTAAACTTCATATTTTCCACCTGTTTAGCCTAAAAAATTCTGCACATCAGCAAAGTACACACTGATCAGCCACAACATTAAAACCACTGACAGGTGAAGTGAATAGCATTGATTATATTGTTACAATGGCACCTGCCAATGGGTGGGATATAGATAAGGCAGCAAGTGAACAGTCAGTTCTTGAATTTCATAAGTTGGAGCACAAGGTCTGGGTGGCTTTACAAGGGCCAAATAGTGATGGCTAGACGACTGGGTTAGCGCATCTCCAAAATGGCAAGTCTTGTGAGATGTTCCCGGTATGCTGTGATTAGTACCTACCAAAAGAGGTGCAAAGAAGGACAAGTGGTGGACCGGCGTCAGGGTCATTGTGCCCAAGGCTCATTGATGCATGTGGGTAGCGAAGACTAGCCTGCCTAGTCTTATTACACAGAAGAGCAATAGTAGCTTAAACGGCTGAAAAACATAATGCTGGCCATGATAGAGGGGTATTAGAACACACAGTGCATCGCAGTTTGCTGCGTATGGGGCTGTGTAACCGCTGACCAGTCAAAGTGACCATGATGACCTTTTTCAACCGCTGAAAGTGCCTTCTAATAGGGGACCTGAGGGTCAGAACTGGACTACAGAGTAATGGAAGAAGTTTGCCCGGTCTGATGAAGTGAGTTTTATTTTAGATCAGAGGAATTGCCGGGTGCATGTGCATCCTTTACCTGGGGAAGAAATGGCAGGTGGATGAAAATTGCCTGACCTAGCCAGAAAACTGCCTCTGCCAGCCTGACTCCCAAGATGGCCAGACACAACTGCTAGCTGCTCTGGCATCTGGGAACAAAAATTGACTTAAAGCTGCATCTAACCGTTTGGAAACGACCTGGAGGGTGTACTAGGGTCACGGGTGATTGTTAAAGCCTGCTCTGAACTGCACAGCGGACATCATACCTTATCTTGACCATCGGTATACCAAGTTAAGCGCTTGACGGCGAGAAGAGCGGCCGCTGTGGCAGTTCTCCGGCAGCCCCGTTACCACCCTCCCCCCTTTGGACCGGTGGGGATATCCCGGTCCCCACTGGGGAACACAGATTCAGAGGTGGGACCCTACACAACAGATCCCTAAATAAACCAGGTGGTGTGACCAGGTGGAGTTTCAGCCTTGCAGAGCAGGCATTGTGGGTCAACAGTGGAGAGACTCATTTGATGCCCGGTTCCACACTATCTGCCAGGCCTTCTGGCATCGAATCAGCAACCAAACCAAGGTACTTACCTTTTCTACTACACCAACAACTATAACACCTGATCCCATCACCTGTTCCTCTTTTGGTCAAGGGGCCCGCCTTGAGCAACGCATAGACTGCCGACCATATACCTATAAAGGTACCCGAGTCAGGGGAACACTGGTGGCACAAGACCCTGCAGCCCGGAGACAAAGAATCCATGGACATGGGGCACAAGCACCCTACAAGCCCCAGAGCCGCAGCTACGTGGCCAAATGGCAAGGCGATCTAATCCACTTCATGCAGATTGACACTCATCAGAATCAGAACAGTCCTGGCGAGGAGCTGTCCTTTCGATTGTGACCTGTCGGCGTCAGATGAACCGCTGATGCTTTGTAGAGCAGAGAACGTTCAAGAGGTTTCATTCAAGTCACAGTGAGAAGACGCTGAACATCCATAGGAAAGCGTTGAGAAATGCTTTCCTATGGGCGGTTTGAATGCGCCCGGCTCTTGCCGTGCATTCGGCGCTGACATCGGCAGAGGGAGGAGAGTTCCCCAGCGCCGAGGGAGCCTGGCGCTGGAGAAAGGTAAGTGGCTGAAGGGGTTTTAACCCCTTCAGCCCAGCGGGAGTGGGACCCTGAGGGTGGGGGGACCTAAATACCCTATAGTGCCAGGAAAATGAGTTTGTTCCAGTATCACTCAATACCCAGCCTGTACTCTTCATGTTTATATTACCTTTTGTACTTACAATTCTGCCCAATGTATTGAGTGCCTAGCCTCATCAGAATATATTTATTCTTTGGTATTGAGTGTGCCTGGCTTTCACAATGTTTTATTATTGTTTCATCATTAATTCCAGTGCATGTGTCATGCTTTGTGTTGTCATGACCCCTCTTGTTACAATTTGCACTGAGCATTTGAGTTTAATTCCTACCCTTTAAAAAAAAAAAAAAATGCAGACTTCGCACTAATGTCCTATTATACATCTGTCTATTCTCATGTAATATTACATCCTGTGGACATGTCACTTCAAGCCTCTCTGTTTATCACTGCATAACATACATAAAGGATGTAAAAGATACTGTGTCTTATACCTAAACCTTCCCTCTAATATAGATTTTGCAGACATAACAATAGAACGCTAAATGTTTAACATAGGGTATTAAGTGGAGGTAAATTGCTTATTGGCCATTGTCTTTTTGTTTGTTTTGTTTACCCTTCGTAGAGTTTAAAGAAGTATAGCAACTGGCTTTTAAGCTGTAATGCACAGGGCAACAGTATGTGTTTAGATTCCATTCAAAGTATCCCATGCTTGTAAGTTATCATGGAGGATGAGGTCCTGCAGTTGGTGAAACAACAAGGGTGATTCTGGACTATGGTGAATTATGATATGTTGCATCAAGAGTTTGTTTTTTTACTTTAACCAAAATAAAATAAATAAATGTAAAAAAAGGAGGGTGACCACTATCTCAGCTCCACCATGAATCTGCCAATACATGGCTTGTATCCTGCATAACAACAAACAATCTCTCTTCTTAAAGTTATTTGTGGCCCTAAATAAGAATTTTAGACATCTCACCATGCCTAACTGGCTCCAGGTTTTTACTGCTGTCATGTGGGACTACCTTTGGCATAAAATCTGGGACCACTTTCAAATGCCCTTGTCCTGTTAGAAAAGAAAGGGGGAAAAATAGGGAGGAAAAATACAAAAAACAATAAATGGTTGGTTAAACGAGAGGGGAGGGGGGATGGACCTTGTATTCCAAGGTCAGCATGTTAACAGAAGGATAAAAATCGAGAGAAGTAGTGATGCGTCATTAAATGGTTTAAACATAGTTTCCGTTAAAGGCTTTTTAAAACAAATACTTGGTGCCATGTTGGAAGCAACAGAACTTAAGAAATCAAACAGAACCCTTTCCATATGATTCTGTGGGCCGTGACACTCCCATACTGGTTTGCAACGTAAATATCTGAACCCAAGGTGTTCTGCATATTAAAATACAATAAATAAATAAAAGTTATCAGTAATGCTATGAACAATCAGGAATCTCGAGCTAGACTAGTAGATGACATATCTTCACCTTGGTCCTTGGGATTATTTTATAAGATTAGAGAACAAACACAAAAAATACACCTTTTTTTTACCACAATCCACCAACCGGCCAAGACTGCCACTCAATAGTAACCTTTAAAATGACTCCATGAAAACAATGGTGAAATACTGGGGCTTATATCAACACAGAATCTGTTGATAACACAAGAATGTGTTATTTGAAAAGAATATCCTGTAGATCACAAAATAAAGGCTCCATGCTTTCTTGATTTTACAAATCAGGGCAACAAGAAGTGGACATCAGAAATAAATGTAAAAAATTAAAACCCTGAAAAAATACAAGATTGGTGAAATAAGAAGAACTACTAAAATCTGGGGTACACAAAGAGTTATGGGGGGGGAGCTCACTCTTCTCAATGAGAACGGCCAAACATGATTAAACAACTGGCAGCTCCAAAACTCACAATTCCATAACTACAGCTAAATCAATAAGGAATTTTCAAATAATATATTATAGTTGGTGCTTTCTGTACTGTTTAGAGATAGGGGGTCAATTAATTTTGGAGCACACTAATACATTAATGCTTGGGAGTCCTACACTAAAAATGGCCATCATCAAACAAAGGATGTACCATATAATTAAGGCCATCCAGCACACCACTCCAGGTCACAGATTCACTAAAATACATTGATGGCTTCTAAGTAATCCAGTCATAAGGTCTTAATGAATACCACTGTATACACGAGGAGCTTTTCAATGATAGCATCTTAAAAGGTCCTTGGCAAACACCGTCCTAAAAATGTGATTTAGTGTTTCCTGTAGAGATGCTCCCATGAATACCCATTCATATAAAGATGGGAAACAACTCTGGGAGGTCCTAACAAAAATAAACCAGGAGACAAATAACGTTCTGTCCACTTGACACAGAACATATTACATTGTTTGGGATAAGACGGATTTATTAAAATTACAGATCAATCCTTATTTCAAGCATTTTAGAAAAGGGATAAATTATATTTGAAATAGATACTGAAATGAACTAGTCCCTCAAAACATTTCTGCACTATAATTAAGATTTGGGTTGGTTGGATGCTTTAGGTTTTGGGTGGTAATGTAAATGCTTTGTAGGATAAAATCTACAAAAAACATTTTCTTTTTTCATTTTCCGATGTCTTTCAAGATTAGTAAATAAAATGCTTAATTGCTGCTGTAATAAAAACATGTTTTCATTTAGAAAAGTAATGTTCTGATTCCAGTAAAAGATATGATGCTTGGTTCAGTTGTAGGCTTTGTGAGATTAGCCAGATGCAAACGCTGCCTTCCATAAGCCAACGGCACGGATACACAGCATGGATTTATGCCACAGACGTGTTTCACACTTACCATTGATGAGTACAGAATGACAGGTGACACATACACGGGCTTCCTTCTTATCCATGTAAAGGAGTTTGCATTTGAGGCTACAGCAGGCAGCACAGAACACCTGGGGAAGATGGATATTTGTACAGGTTATATACACATTACTTTTATAAAAACAACACATATAATTAAGGGGACAAACTAAGATTTTTAACATGCCCCTGCAGTGTCACACATTATCTATTATATGGCAGGAATATTAATTTTGGTTTTGTTTTATGTAGCGATAGCCTAGCCTCCCCTGCATCAAAAGTTTATATCATTTTTAATCAGATCTTAAAGGGACACTCCAGGCACCCAGACCACTTCTGCCCATTGGAGTGGTCTGGGTGCCAACTTTCATAAACTGCAATAATTACATTGCAGGGTTAACTCCTCCTCTAGTGGCTGTCTACTAGACTGATTCATAGCACATGTTTTCTGTGCTAGAGCGTCGCTGGACGTCCTCACACTGTGTGAGGATCTCCAGCATCGCTCAATTCCCCATAGGAAAGCATTTTCAATGTTTTTCTATGGAGAGCGCTGTGTTACTTGGAGCCAAGGTTTGAGGCTACTTAAGAAAGTGAGCAGTTTATTTATAGTTTGTGCACAAGTCCCTTTTATGCTACGTACTTCACTAGAAGCTGTGGCTTCCCTGTGTTTTACCGTCTTCCCTCTTGAGTGTGTTCATCATAAAGTCTGAAGAGGGCCAGTGTCACCATAGAACACAACTGTGAGAGTGACTTGAGCCTATCCTGTTTGGCTCTACATTTGTGAGTGAATCATTATCTATTGTCCTGCCACATTTTTTATATAAGACCTTATTGCACCATAGTGTCTCTTTCTGTTTATTACAGTCCTGATTATACAAGATACCCCTTACTGTATAAGGGTAAGTGTATTACATCTTGTAAATATTGTATAGCGCTCCACTACATGCACTGCTGGTAGGATCCCCACTTAATACATTTATTTTCATTGCTTTATTTTTTGTATAAAATTAACCATAAGCACAATTATCATACACAGAACCTTTTTTTCCACTTTAATTTACAAGTTGTGACCAGCGCAACAAGACGATATTTTTTCTCTACAAGCTATAAACAGACTGCATTAGATTTGTCACTCATTGCGCAATATTTTTGGCTATTTTGAAGAGGGGGAGGGGGTGGAATTCGGACAGTGGGCTCAAGTGTAGTCCACCGATTGGTTACCTTAGAAATGCAGAGAGCTGAAGACTGTGTTAGTTTTAGGTATCCTAAGTATTATGGAACATGTAGCCTGCAAATATGTGCAAGGACAATGTCATCACTGGTCTAGAGCAGGCAAGAGGGGGTTTTTAATTACGACAGCGCATTTTTTAATCACTTTGAATCATTTTCAGACAACAATGAAAAGGTGATTTTCTGCAGCCTAAATGGTTATAATTAAGTTAAAGTGACACGGTCATCAGAAATTGCAGATGTATCATCTAATGTGAACAGATGAAGAAAAAAATTTAAAAAATAAAAGGTTTTAGCTAACTTTTACCTTACAAATCGGCACCTTTTTTTTCAGATTTCCTACAAAGGATGAAGACAGAGTGCTACTCAACAAGTCACTGATTCTGATTGACATGATTTCTGCCACTTACTGTATATAAGTTGTTGTCATTGGTTAAAGATTCCAATATGGCCGCCTTCTTTTAGGAAGTATTCTAGAATCATTCTTTTTCATTGTCTTTGACTAGTAGTTTACTCTGTACATTTTTGGAAATTGTATGAATAGTATAATGTCCAGCCTAATAAGATGCTTGCTATTCCCTGGACGAGTAAAATAACATTATGTATTCGTTTGAGCTGAAGATTTAATCACGAGTACTCAGAGTTTTGCCATCAATACGCATTTAAACAAGAAAAGTCAGAGGTTGTTTTCTTATTACAACTAAATCCAGGAACAATATTGTTATTTATAATATATTTAATTTTCTATACTCTAGGCACCATGACCACTTCATATCAAATAGTAGTCATGATGTGTGGAGTAACCCTTTAAAATTATGTCAGAAGTCTCCAGTAACATCAAATTTGGAAAGATGGTAGACTTGCCTTAATGGAAAAATGTCCTAATTAAAAAAAAAAAAAAAATGTATTGCCTCTATATGAATAAATTAGTAATTTGGACATTTAAGTAAATACTTAATTTCAAACATGCTCTGGATTGTCGAAGCCATATTGACCATCTCTTTTGTCCGAAGCACCACTTAACTGACTAAAGCCCATGGAGGTACTCAAGAGCTACCTATATTTTTTTAATTCTAGCATCATGTGCATATACTGGACATCTGGAAAGTATGCTCTGGATACATTTTAACAGTTTCAATAAAGCATAGTTTTGGAGCACAAATGGTTCTTCTCACCAAAGAGGACTTAATGATGGTATCTCCCATGGAGCAAAGATAAATCAGGGAATGAACTGAAGAGAAGTATTTAATTAAAAAAAAATACACAGAGATGCTATAACACATGCACACATTTATTTTCAATGCGGAACGCATAAATCCTCAAAGCCATTTAAAACACGAGTCCTTAATAACTGGGTTGAGACAGCCCTGACATAGAAATATAGATTCTTATCTTAGAAAATATATTTTTACTTAAAATGTACATTATTGTCTAGAGTAATTTTCACGATGTAACTGGATACATCTCCTACAAGCCTCGGTCAGGTGACCAAGATAACGAGATTACACAACTGGCATGACCTGTGGTAACAGGTTGCTCAAAACATCTCTAAAATTGATCTACAGTAATAGGTTCTGGGGTTTTTATTCTTCATCATCATTATTACAGTTAAGCCAGTATTTCTATTAAAACAGAAGACAGGTTGAGTACAAAGTAAAATACATGCCAGACTTCTTGAGTCAATTTGCCCTGATAAATTCCCATGAAAAAGAAGTTGTCCATCTTTCTACGTACCTTTCCACATGCTCTGCAATGGTGTCTCCTTTTGGTAAACGTAAACCTGGACTCACACTTCATGCAGTTCGGTGCCTGAGAATCTGGGACCCACACAGGAGCCACCTCTCCTAGGGTAGAAAATGGCTTACAGACAGGATTCCCAAACTGCCCAGCAAGGAGATCATTGTCTGGACTGTCTGCGGACACAGCAAGGCACGGGCTGCAAGGGCCCCTATAATCTCCCAGTTCACCATTACTATCAGTAACTGGGCTGCGCAGTGCAGCTTCCTCACGAAAGGCTTCTGAAGCCAGGTTGTCACCTTGATTTGACTTGTTTAACATGTCATTTTTATTCTTTGAGCTGCAGCCCGCATTAGGTGGAACTAGGTCACTCTGTAACATTTCAGACAATGGCTTTGGGATTTGCAGCTTCAAGTGAGTTGGTTGTTTGGGGCGAGCTCCACCAAAGGGGATACTAACAGGTTGCATGCTGTTGGTCTTTTTTGGTGAGGTTTGCCCATGCACAAGTTGACCCTGACCGCACAAGCTGTGCAAGTGGTTTTTCATTTGGTCACCATTGGCATTTAGCACAAGCACTCCGGCTTCCATGACCTCCTCGTCTCTCTGCGGTTCGTAAACACTGGAATAATATTCTGATTTGCACTCCTCAATCTCTTTCTCTTCAGTCACAGAATCTTCTTTTGATGGTAAACTCTTTGGGTTACGAGCTACAGAGGGGTTTTGCATTCCATAGGAATCACACCCATTGTTCAGAGACATCAAGACATCAGCTCCGACAGCCTCCGAGACTAAAGTCACCTCCGATTCATCTATACAAGGGTCTTCTAAAAAGACATTAGCATTCACTATTTCTTTATGTTGTCCACGGATGGGACAACTGTGATTTTTTTCTTCGGTCTCTATATTGTTAGTCTTGTGGTAGCTTCCATTAATCTCACATGGTTCTGTGAAATGCTTCCTCTCACAGATTAAATTGTTTTGCACAACCTCTTCAGCTGAAACAGGTTCAATATCAGCAGAAAAGGGCTCCCTTTCCAATTTGCTATTAGATTGTTTGGCTTCATGTAAAGTGAGAGACAGTTTCTCCTGCTGCTTGATGCTAACTTCATCCACAGTCCCCTTGATCATAAGATTTGGATTTTCTAACTGAAAATACGATTCCTTTGTGTTATTCTCTGAACAGAGAATATTAATGCTGGATGAGGAAAAGTCTTGTGTAGACGACATTGAAGATCCAACTTCTGGTTCCTGTGTTATTTTCAACTCTTTAATACTGTGTGCAATACTGAGAGCCACTTTTGTACTTGTGCTAACACTATTCTGTGTTTGTGCAGTGGAACAGGTACTGGTTTCAGAATTAGCAGTGGCATTAATGTATGCCGTATAGTGAGTATCCGAGTCTTTTGGTTGTTGGTTGTTATTTTTGCCAACTAACTGATTGTGAGTGGGCTTCTCATTGTCTAGAGAAAAACACAGTGTGTCCATGAGAGACTGATTTGTGGGACTGTTACAAGGGGACAGACCATCTCCCAGTAGAACATTCTTGTTAGAGTCCATATTTTGCGTAACATCGGCAAAGTCTGATTCCACGCTGTTGTGCACAGCAGGGGTGCCTGACACAATTTCAGGCTGACCACTTTGATCAATCAGTTTTCTCTCTTCCATGCTGGAGTCTCCAGTCACCATGGTGGGCATGTATTGGGCCACACATATGATCTCTCCATTTTCACATAGGGACTTTGGAGGAGATGACAGGTTTGTTGACCGGTCTTTTAGTTGAGCCTCAATGGCAATGATTGATTTGCTAACACTGTCAAGCACTGGGTTGTCAGCCAGTCGGTGTGAAGGGGGGTTTAGGATCTGATTCCATTTAGCTTCCAACAACCTTGGAGAAACAGTCTCATCTGAAAGGCAAATAGTTCACATTAACACAAACTTAAAAAAGGAAAAATACAAACCAAAATGTCCATGTTTATGTCAGTATATTTAGCTGTGAGAAGAGAGACATAAAAGACACGGGTTGCTTACACTCCCTATATGTGTTTAGCTGGACATCAGTCCTTGTGTTCAGCAAAACACACTAATACAAATGGTGCACTGCTCTGCTGAAAGTGGTGTTTCTCAGTTGTATCAGGTAAGTTTGCTTTGTTGCAACAATGACACAAGAATATCTTTGTCACTGATTCCTGTGATAGAACGTTCATTGTATGTGGGACAGAAAAAACACCATGGGTATCAGGTTTATTATTGTGCCAAGGTATACATAGTCAGTTAAGGAGCTGCTTTGTTTTAGGAATTTCTACTTGAAAAAGCAGAAACTGATCACCAAGATTATGAAAATATTTTTAGAGAAAGGAATGTGAAAAGGTCCTTATCAAGAGAGGAAAAGGGGTGTAAACTGCAGAATAGGGACAGAATTTTCAAATCCCTAGAAATTAAATTATGCATTAAGTAGAGGAAAACAAAAATGACTAATGAGTGGTTTACAATTGTAGCAATCGATTCCTCACTTACAGAAAAAGACGGCATATTTGGAATGTTTACCTGAATTGTTATTCACCAATAAACCAGCTGTTAAAGAATAGGATCAAAAGGGAAGGGCAGTTCTAAATACTTTAGTTGCAATGTATTTATTGTGAATCTTAAAGGAACACTATAGTCACCTAAATTACTTTAGCTAAATAAAGCCGTTTTAGTGTATAGATCATTCCCCTGCAATTTCACTGCTCAATTCACTGTCATTTAGGAGTTAAATCACTTTGTTTCTGTTTATGCAGCCCTAGCCACACCTCCCCTGGCTATGATTGACAGAGCCTGCATGAAAAAAAAAACTGGTTTCACTTTCAAACAGATGTAATTTACCTTAAATAATTGTATCTCAATCTCTAAATTGAACTTTAATCACATACAGAAGGCTCTTGCAGGGTCTAGCAAGCTATTAACATAGCAGGGGATAAGAAAATCTTAATTAAACAGAACTTGCAATAATGAAAGCCTAAATAGGACTCTCTTTACAGGAAGTGTTTATGGAAGGCTGTGCAAGTCACATGCAGGGAGGTGTGACTAGGGTTCATAAACAAAGGGATTTAACTCCTAAATGGCAGAGGATTGAGCAGTGAGGCTGCGGGGGGCATGTTCTATACACCAAAACTGCTTCATTAAGCTAAACTTGTTCAGGTGACTATAGTGTCCCTTTAAAGTACTTAAAGGGACACTCCAGACCCGTAAAGCACTTTAGCTTCCAGGAAAGCTTAGTGTGTGAAGAATGTGTCCTTTTTCCATTTTTTAAAAAAAAGTGCAGATTTAAAAAGAAATTGACACTTTTATAAACTTAAACAGCTAAAAACAGAAATCCGACCTAATTACTTCCTGGTTTGGTTAACTCAGTGGAGATAAACTCAAGAGGCAGCAATTGCACAGAGCATCTGCCTTGCAAAGACTTCTATGTCTGTGATTGGACAGTCACACAAGGTTTGAGCGAGGTAAGAAGGGGAGGGTTTGCAAAGACAGAAGACAAGAGATCTGCAGCTGTTGCAAGCTGTTTTTAGATATACAGTCAATAAGAAAAGCATAATTAAATGCATGTAAGTTTTCATTTTGGGTATATCTACTAAACACTGATTTATTTTCTTCTATTTTGTATTTGGGCAGTGGAGTGTCCCCTTAAAGGGATACTCCAAGCACCAAAACAAATTTAGCTTAATGAAGCAGTTTTGGTGTATAAATCCTGCAGATTCCCTGCCATTTAGAAGTCAAATCAATTTCTGTAGGTTTCATTTTCAATCAGCTTTCAATCAGATTCATTGCGTCTCTATGAGGAGATGCTGATAGGCCCAGCCAGTGACCCAAGCAGCACTGGAAATAAGATATGTTTTCTTACCTTTGGGTAGGGGGGGGTTAAATGGTGGTTTTAATAATATAGGGTCAGGGGTACATGTTTGTGTTCCTGACCCTATAGTGTTCCTCTAAACAGACTGTGCAATAAAGCATTAGATCTCGCTTTACAGGACTGGATAAGTGTGGACAGGGGAAGTTTTGCTAGGGCTGCATAAACAAATTGATTTAACTCCTACATGGCAAAGAACTGAGAAGTTAGACTGCAAGTGCATGATCTATACACCAACATCAGTTAAATGCTCCTTTAAATAAAAATAGCAATACCAATAAAAAAATAAAAAAAAAACCTTTATGAAAAACTCGCATTGCCTACTTTGGAATTTCACTGATATCCCAATCTAATCAAAAGAGATCGTAAGACAAAGTGGGACTGTAATGCGGTCTTTTCTAAACATTTTCTATAATGACATTAACTCATTCAAAGAAGAGAAACACAGGCAGCACTCCAGGATATAGAAGGTAAATTTATTTGTGGGTTCACCACCTCACCAAAATAAGTGCGAAGTTTCATCTCCACAGAGCCTTAAATCATGCATTATGAACTTTTAGATTTGAGCTTTAAATATTAACAACAACAATACACAAACACTTTGAGCACCATACCTTCATTCTTTTCAAACTCATCCAATACTTTATCCAGGTTGCATGATTCTTCTTCAAAATAGTTCTCCATTTGACAAGAACCAGTCAGGCTTCTTTCTGGGCCTTAAAGAGAGAGAGAGAAAAGCAGCATTAATATAGATTCACTTATCACTAAAAATAGACAGAATGATATACAACCTCTGACGTAACAAATGTAGAGTATCACAGAGCTCTACAGCCATAAAAGATTCATGGTACCATGCAGTGTAAATGTATGTGACTCAAGCAGGGCTATTCACTTTAAGTGTGAATCTTCAGGAACCAATAGTGAATTTAAAGGAATACTATAGGCACCCAGAACACTTCAGCTCATCGATATGGTCTGGGTGCACTGGCCCAGGTCCCTTAGCAGGTAACTATTGCAGTTTTTAAGAATCTGCAATAATTACCTGCTAGGGTTAACTCCACCTTTAGTGGCAGTCTACCAGACATCCACTAGAACGACTTCCGGCTGTTAGGTGACTTTTGGTCGCCTGACACTGGACGCCCTTACGCTCTGCACCCAAAACCCCATAGGAAAGGATTAAATAATGCTTTCCTCTGGGGAAATCCAAATGCAAGCGCAGTCATTGCTGTGCATGCTCATTAGGTGTCCCCTGCCAGCTGACGGTGGTGGAAGCTATAGTGCCAGGAAAACGAGTTTGTTTTCCTGGCACCATAGTTTCCCTTTAAAGTGAACTGTCAATTTGGCAAAACCTTCCCCCCACCCCCCTTCTTTCCTTCTGTACCCTCCCCACCCTTAATTTTTTCTCTTCAAAAAATAAAAATTGTCAAATTCAAAAAAAATAAGAAAATAAAGTGAACTGTCAATTTTTAGTCCCAAAAAAGCCAAACTGAATGCAAATATTTACAATTCAGCTATTATAACAGACAGGATGTGCAGTACATATTAGTTTTGTCACCCCCACATCTCCAAATTGACAATTTTTAAATAATTCATGTAAGGAATAACATTTATGTCAGACTCTCATAGAAATATATATATTTTTTTTTTTTTTTAAGAATAAGCGTATGTGAGCAACAGGGTCTCTTTACGTAATTAGTGTTTTTCAAATAATCTAGCATTTATATATTACTTTCTAAAAATGTAAATGTTAAAAAATAATGCTATCGAGACGCACACTCAAAAACTCATTGACACTCCCACCATCTTTATTTGCAACACAGTCACTCAAAGACAACACTTACAATCTTGCATATCGTACACTAGCACTCTTATTGGACTCACACTCTCAAACTCACAGCCTTCTCATACACTTCCTTAAACAGATGCACTGTCCTATAAAATGCACAAAGAGAACTGTCTCACCCCTTCTCTGGTATGAGTTTATGCTGGGCAGTTTGGAGTAAAGTGCAGAGACCCTTCTAGCTCTTTCAGTATTTGATCCTTTGGACTCTATAAGGTACTGGAATGTCACAGAGCCAGAAAACACAGTTTTAGGACTCCCTCACAGGGTAATAAGAGAAAGCTCTCACCCACACAGCACTGCCAAGTCACTGAGCAAGGGCGCATTGGCAGTCATGCTAATAATGGCCATTCCTGGACGCATTAGCCAAGATGTGATAGGAGGTCGTGGCAGCCACTGTCAGTTCGCACCCTCTGTAACGGCAACAATAAAACTCACAGTAAGGTGGCGTTTGTATGAGTGTATTGGTGGGTAAAAAAAAAACTGAGTGAGCCATGCGCAATCTCAACAATAAGAATCACAGTAATGTGTGATGTGGAAGAGTATCAAGAGTTCCACATCTATAAAAATGTAAAATTAAATGTGTGAGCTAACACAGAGCACTAGAAAAGCATTACAATTAAACAAGTAGAATGAGTTATGGTAATCATGTGCCAGTTATGTACACTTCCAGCAGCTACTCTCAGTAAACACTGAAAGAAAGAAAGAAAGAGGACGTGTAACCAACAGAAAAGTAAATATTTTTTAAATTATACACGGACATTTAAAACAAACAGGATTTATATGGATTATTATATATTCCTGAAGCTTAATGGTGAGGATATGATCTCTAATGACAACTCCTATCGGTCTTAGCTATCCCAGCACCCTTAAAGAATTAAATTGTATTTTTATTTTCAATAAACCCTTTATTTTCACAAAGTACAAGTTTCAAACCTCCTATGAAAAAATATCTATATCTAGCACATCTGCCTGCTTCCTGAAACTAATACTCTTTAGCACATTGCATCGTCTTACTCTGATTGGTCAATGTATTGGTAGTATGTGGAAGCCAGCGTGTTTAACTTTTATTAGGAAAATAACAGTCAATGGAAAATCTCTCTTATTCATGTTCTATTAAAGGAACAATATAGTCACCTAAATTACTTTAGCTAAATGAAGCAGTTTTAGTGTATAGATCATCCCCCTGCAATTTCACTGCTCAATTCACTGTCATTTAGGAGTAAAATCACTTTGTTTCTGTTTATGCAGCCCTAGCCACACCTCCCCTGGCTATGATTGACAGAGCCTGAATAAAAAATATAAAACTGGTTTCACTTTCACACAGATGTAATTAACCTTAAATAATTGTATCTCGATCTCTAAATTGAACTTTAATCACATACAGGAGGCTCTTGCAGGGTCTAGCAAGCTATTAACATAGCAGGGGATAAGAAAATCTTAATTAAACAGAACTTGCAATAAAGAAAGCCTAAATAGGGCTCTCTTTACAGGAAGTATTTATGGAAGGCTGTGCAAGTCACATGCAGGGAGGTGCGACTAGGGTTCATAAACAAAGGGATTTAACTCCTAAATGGCAGAGGATTGAGCAGTGAGGCTGCAGGGGCATGTTCTATCCACCAAAACTGCTTCATTAAGCTAACGTTGTTCAGGTGACTATAGTGTCCCTTTAAGGTTTGACATATGCCAAAATGAATAGGCAATCAAAATAATAAATTGAGATTTTTTTTTATTTTTTTTAAAACAAGAGAATACAGTAATTCCATTGTACAAAGTAATGCTGGGATCCATGACATTCAGTAATACTGCCTGATTTAGAGGCATTTGTTGGGGAAAAGTGACATCAGACATTACTAGATTCACTCAAAGCTTGTTAGCCACTCCTGACTCTAATGGAAGAAATGTTATCCTTAGAGACAGGAAGGAGCTTTTCCGGATTCACTTGTGCATAACTTGTGTCTTGGCGTCATGCGAGCCACAGAGTCACACATGTACAAAATAAATGCCATTTTATCAATGTAAACATTCCAGCACTGTTTAACCCCTTAAGGACCAATCTTCTGGAATAAAAGGGAATCATGACATGTCACACATGTCGTGTGTCCTTAAGGGGTTAATAAAGTAGGTGTCACACTGCACTGGTTTATCTTCCATTTTTTGTGTTGGGCAAATTTCAAATACTGGATCAACAAAGAATAGCAGAAAACAAATATAATAATGTTGTGATTGTCAAAACTGATGGCACATATACTCTCACAGACATTCTCAGACACACTGTGCTACTGTCAATTGTGCTCCCTATTGTTCCTTATACTCCACTCCTCTAGACTGTAAGCTCATCTGAGCATGGTCTACCAATTGTACCTGTATCATTTTGTAATAGTCCTTCTTATTGTTAAATTTCCCTCTTCCATAATACTGTAAAGCGCTGCGGAGTAAGTTGGTGCTAAATAAATATCAATAATAAGAATAGTGAACACATTTGGTGAAGGACTCCTGCTACGTACATTTAGACCAACCCTTTATCTGTGTTTATCACAGTGGACACTTTGGTTCTATACAGGTTTTATTCCAGATAACTAAAACAAGGATTGTGTCATTTATTTAGCTAAGTAAATGGTTTCCTGAATTTGCACTGATGTCAGTGATATTATGGAACTCTGAGTGTATCACATATCTCTGCAGTATAACAATTATGTCATGTGATCTGTAGGTATGCAACACGGAGCTCTGTAAGACAACTGACAGCTGTGTGATGTGTTTGCATATAACACCCGAGCTCCATAGCATTACAATTCTGAATAATACAGGTTTATAAAAATTTAACTTTTCCAACACTTCAAGGCGGCTCTGTTACCACTGTCAAGGTTTGTCACTTTGCATAGCCGTCGCTAGCGTCAGGAGCTGAAGACGACGGCTCCTGCAGGAGATAACATCAGGTAAGTAAAACTTACATCTGCTGCACCCTCGAAGGAGAGTTTAAAACATACGAAGACCTCGGAAGGTGACAAAGCTGCAATCACTCGTTGGGTGCAAAGTGTAGGCCAAGTTACAGCTATATTTTTAATTAAACTTGTATTTTTGTTTATTTTTTGTTTTGTTTTAATAAATAGTTTTGCTTAATAAATCTACCCTTCCTGCATTTCTCAGCATATTATATCACCTTTTTTGCTTCAATATGATCATGCATGGTGGGTACGATTCTGTCTCAGCACTGCCACAGTTACCCTGATTTGTCAGTTTGGTGTTTAGCACCCAGGATTACCCAAATCGTGTTGTTTTGCATGTTGGTATGTTCTGGTATGAAGTGGGATTCTTTGATCCAAAGCGCACCCTGCTGTGCCTGTAACCTGGATTCTGCCATATAAATATAGAACTCACATATGCAACAGAATGCTAATAGTGAACTTTAAACTTTCACCCCCAAAACCAAGTCACAAGCATGCTTGGAGTAGTGTGCTTGTTACCAGTACAGCTGCATCTTAACTTAAAAACTTAAACACTACCATAAAAAGTTAAGAAAGGCTCGTGGGGAATTGAGGAAGTTACTTCCTGATCTGTGCAGAGTTTGCTTTAATATTTTGCAAATCGAGTGAGAAATGTTTTATTGGTGACTTGTTGAAGAAATCGCAAGCAAGATATAAGGTCTTCGTTTAACATACAAAAACAAACAAAACACAATGCTACTAACAAATGCATAATATTTATATAAAAAAGAAAATGCCTCTATTTTAAACTAATTCCAAGTACCCTCAAAGAGTGGGATGTACAGAAATTAAACCATTATCACTTAAAGTGGCTTACCCACCACTTCTCCAGTCATTTCCTGACAGATAAGACTTACAAAAAAGCTGTTTGTCAGAGAGAAAGAATACTATGTTGATCGCACTAAAAGAGAACTGATGTACTAAATCCAGAGTACAGGGCAGAGGTGGCGAACCTTTTTGAGCCCGAGTGCCCAAACCGCAATACATGCCAACTTTTTTCCTTCAAAGTGCCAACACGGCAATTAAACCTGAATATTGAGGTTTAGGTTTAGAAAAAACAACTCATACAGTTGTCCAAACTAATTCTCCTCTTTCCCCTAGCATTTCCTCGCATCACCCCTTCTCTCCCCTCCACTACCCCAGCATATCCCCCTCTAGCTCCCAACACATAAATAATGTTTAATTTTTTTTGGTGCCGGTGGGGGTTTGAAGTCCACCCAGGCTCCTGCTGCTGTGAGGGGGTGTGAGCGCGAGGGAGCACTGACTTACCTGCTGCTCCAGCACTGCTCCCTCTGCTGATGTCGCCGGGAGAAAGGAAATTCCATCAATCATCCGGCGGCGCCTGATTGACATAATTTCCGGTCTCCCGGCAGCATCAGTGGAGGGCGCGAAGGGAGCAGTGCTGGAACAGCACGTAAGTCAGTGCTGCCTCGCAGCCCTCCATCCCACTCACGATACGAAAGCAGAGTAGGTGCCTGCCATTTTGGGCAGGCAGGTGCCTACTCTGTATTGGTGACTGGGGGGGGCCTAAGGCTTCCGACCGGCACCCCCATAAGGAGCAGTGGTCCGGCGACCTATGGCTGTGTGTCCACAGAGAGAGATTGGTGTGCCAGCTGTGGCATGCGTGCCTTAGGTTCGCTATGGCTGGCATAGGGGCATCGACAGGACATAGGAAGGTTAAGTAGGAAGCAGCATTATGTAGAGACTATAAGCAAGTACCAGAAATGTTTCTTACTGGAAGCCACTGCAGGGACTGACAGAGGGAGGAGGCATGGGAGGACAGGAAGATCAGCCGCGCTGCCGCATTCATTATGGACTGTAACAGGGCAAGTTGGAAACAAATAAGACCATTGAGAAGTGGACTGCAGTAGTCAAGGCAAGAGAGGATTGTGGCATGAGCCAGCACTTAGCAGGTTAGGAGAAGTACAGGGCTAGGAGAGAGAATAGAGATCTTTTTCCTGATTGCTGAAATCAAATCAGTGAAGTGAGTTGTGAAGTGCCTGTTTTCAATATGTGCTAGCTTTATAAGTCATAACACAGGTCAACAAAGACAATCTTTGCTTGTGTCACAACGGCATTTGTACAATTTACACATTAACCACAAACAGCTATAACAATGAACACAAACGTCAAAATAGTATCCCAGAACTCTACAGAACTCTGCTAACCTTAAATAGTCAGGGCATTCCAGAGGTAACATTTTCTATTTTTTTTATTATTTTTTTTGCAGTGCGTAAACTGAATACAAACAGGCTTGAGGTACCCCAACGGCAGTCCTCGAGCATCGTAGCATACGTAACAATTGTGGTATTACATAGGCAGTGCACAATTTTATAATATAATCGATACAGGATGAACATTAGGCTTAGGTTCTTCGTTTGCAATGCATGTAAGTAACGCTGTAGAGAGCAGCATGAGTAGTGCATCAGGAGTCCGCATAGAGTGTATAACGTGACGTCATGTGAAATGCCCTTACGTGTTAAAAAGGTGGAGTGTGCATGCTTATGTTTCAAAAGATAAGTACAGCTACGTCATCCTATCAGGCTAAACAGTCATGTCTAAGTATAGAATCAGGCGTTTAACCAGTAGTTTGCCATAGAAATTACAAAGGCTGTCTAGTGCCTGTAGTGAAAGGAAGCATATAGCTTAAATATATAGAGCATAACATTCTGAATTGGGATCCTATACGTTTAAAACGTGTCATGTACCCCTGTATCTATAATGCATGGACAGTAAAGAAGACACTTTTAGGACTATTAGTTGTCACATTAGGCCATGTAGCGCAATTAAGCTATGTAGTTTAGGTCAGGCTAGGTACAAGATAAGCGTGAGTAACATATTAGGTTGACTTCTGGCTGAGGTAATAATAAATCATAATACTTGCATGGTAAAAACCCATAAGATCAGGCTAAACAGGGCAGCGAAGGTTAATGGCATGATATGCTCAGGATGCTGGAACAAGCTTATGGAACTTTCTAAATGCACATTGTGGGTTCACAGGAGAGCAAGGCTGTGCTATATAAAGATAAACTTTAACTGAACATGCATGAAACTTGTTATGGGGACAGGTATGATATTTAGCCTATACCCTGGCTGGGTACCAGTCTGTCCTGCGTGTATAGTCCACTGAGGCGAGTCAAGTTGCAGTGCGGAGGTGAAATGCTACTCCTGCCAGTGGCCTATTCCAGTTCCTGCTCCACGATGCCGCGATCTTGTGATCTCATTGTGACCTAGTAGTTTCCGTCCGGGAGCTGGCAGGTAACTCCACCAGGCTTGTATAGGTGTTGGTGTCTCTTCTCCTCCGCTTGAGTGGACGGTGCGCCATGGGTAGCACTCTTCTCCTCCGCAGCTCGTGGGGTAGTGTATAGGCCTTTCGGCGGTGCAAGCTGGATGAGCATCGAGGATTATGAGGTAAATCAGGTGACAGGTTTGCAATCCTTGGCTTCTCTACAGGCAGGCTCGGTCTGCTCTCCAAGCTTCTTCCAGAACTCTGCAAACAGCCTGTCCATTCTGACTTTGAGTGGCTCCAGTAGGCCTCGTGTGGTGGAGGCAAGCATGGTGTCCGCCATCTTGTCTGAGGCTGCACAGTGTGCCGCTCGTTGTCGGGTTACCCTCCGCCGCAAGATAGAAGGCAGTGGGCGAGTGCCGGGATATCCCTCACCGGCAGGGGGGGGCGGGACCCCTACCACCTCAGGTGCTCCAGCAGTGATGTCCGCGGGGAAATCAGCTCCTTCCCACATCGGTACCCACAGATAGGCCGCAAAGAGGTTTTGAGTGTAGACCGCCAATCCGTCCCTGCAACACACTGAAATGTGTCACCAAGATGTACAGAGTGGTCTCTACGTTCATAGGTTCAGGATTACTCCAGCTTATAATATATTACGATCAGTTTTTCGGTGGTTGTCTACGGAGCTCACTCCAAATGCTGCCATTCAGCTTGGCAGCCAGGCCCGCCCCCAACATTTTCATTACTACCAGACTGTTTAAATTTTGCCACTAATTTAGCACAATCATACCTCCCAACATTTCAAATGGATAAAGATGGACACTGTAATTTTATTTGTGTGAGTAGGGTATGGCCAGGGTCAGAGACAATATAAATTACATTTTTGTTGCATAAATTACTAGTAAGCCACTTAAAATATCTCATAACCAAAAAAAAAACAAAAAACAATATAGCACAGACTATTTTTGAAATACATTTATTTTAAGAGGGACATTTAGATTTGGGTCCAAAATAGAGACATTTGGGAAGTATTCAATGCTCTCTCTCTTTTTGTACATAGTTTTCCTGGCATCACAAAATCTGTAGCAGCCCAACAGCCTCTAAAGTATACTCTTTCAACATCCGTATTTTTCATATAGAGTTAACCAACATGCACGTGTCTGCATATTAAATTATATGACAAGCTGCATGTACTCCCCCTCCCCTTTTCAGATTATGAAATACATGTTTTATTGATTATTTATTGATATGTTTTAGATCTTTTCTGCATTTTAAACCTCCCCATCAGTCTATTTACAATTTCCTGTTCTAGATTAGAATATAAAACATTTTGTTTTGCTGCAGGAAGACGCTTATACAATAGGTCTAATTCAGATGTCAACTTATCTCCATTCTAAAGAGGTTACAGTTTAAAGGGACACTCCACTACCAAAATGCAAAACAAATACAAATCACTGTTTAGTAGATATACCTTAATGAAAGCATGCTTGCATTTCATAAAGCATTTTTTTTCTTTGGGGTTAATTTAAAATAACTTGCAAAATCTGCAGATATCTTGTCTGCAGCCTTTGCAAGCCACCCCTTTCTAAACACACCCAGACTTTCTGTGACAGTCCAATCACAGACTTTCCAATGCAGCTCAATGGGAAGTCTTTGCAAGGCAGATGGTCTGAGCAATTATTGCCTATTAAGTAGTAACAGTATTAACTAGGAAGTAACAGATTGGTTGGCTGTCTGATTGATAGTCATGAAAGTGTAACTAGGTTCATTTATAAAAGTGTCAATTTCTGTTGAAATCTGCACTATTTGTAAAAAAAAAAAAAAAAAATTAAAAAAAAGAGAGACACACTCTTATAATGATAGCACAATACGTAAAAACAAAACTGAAGGTTAACATCCAGTACATGGGCTGCACATTCAAGTTTAACCAATTAACTTTATAAAGGACGTGATTAAGGTTATGCAGGGCATATCCTCACCTTTAATGCTATATATTGACAAGTTAAAGGTGACAGTATTGGCACATTGCTGATTAATAGAGGTTTGTTATTGCTAAAGGTGGTAACTGAGTGCAGGGGCTAATTAGCAAAATTCTGATGACCAATAGCTGCACCAATGTCATCAAGGCCCTGAGTCAATCCTGCGTGCAATGACATCATACATTAAAATCATTTATATAGAAATATTGGACTACATGAACCAATTTTGATTGCAGTTCTCAGTTTAGTAATGTAGTTTCTACACAGTGACCAGACTACTAAATACATGAGGGTTTCCTAAAATAGCATTGTCAGGCAGCAACATTATTCAAAGCCTGAAATTATAATGAAGGTGAAATAGGGCTTGTTCAATGACAGGAAGATGTAAAATTGCCAGTAACACAATGTCAGGCAGGATGGGCCATGAAATCGGTTTCTAGGACAGAGATCTTACAAGTGTGTTATTTTACACAGCTTTTAGACAGCAATGGGATTTGCAAGTAATTATGTAGCAAAGTAACCCTGTAGAAGAAAATGTTAATGTTCTTGGTTAAAAAAAAAATGTTTTAAAAATTAAAACAAATGAAATTAGAATTAAACCAGTTGCCCCATTTTCAAGTCAAAGAAACTACACGTAAATGTAATCAAGCCAGTTGGACACAGGAAACATCTGCAGTTTAACCCCTTAAGGATACATGACATGTGTGACATGTCATGATTCCCTTTTATTCCAGAAGTTTGGTCCTTAAGGGGTTAATGCTGGTTGAACGCAACTACAGCAGCAGAAAAACAATGCTAAGACGGAGATCTTAGCACTGCAGTAAAAGCAGCAGCAATACTGCTGTGAAGTAGCAAGAATGTCGGAGAATTACATACCCTGGTGCTGTCCCCTGGTTTTAAATCAAATCATTAACAAATGGTTTGCATAAAAACCATGATAATGCAGCAATAACACTGTCCCATTATCAATGTGTATTTCATCCAACCTGGGCGATACTGACTGGCTGAGAGCATTGGGCTAAGCTGCCCCTTACACTGTCTGCCAACATCACACAGGCTGGATGAAACTGACATTTTTAAAGCAGAATTCACACTTCCACATTATCAATGTGGCCAAGGAGCCCAATGTGTCTCTACTCCAGGAAAAGCCCCAGTTAATACAACCCTAGGCAACATAATCATTACAGCAGATCACAGGGGCACTCTAATCAACATGACCACTAGGTCTAAACAGAGCTAGATTTGTGCGTTTGTTTGCAAATGAATCACAATTTGTCCTAAATTTTGGCAATTGGCGACTTGTACAAATTCCATAACTCAAAACTGCCATATGACCTAACCAAGAAACAACAGAACAAAGAATTAGCTATTTCATTTGTTTCCTGGTTCAGAGTTCAGTCTTTCACTCAATTCTTTTTATTTTTGTTCCTACGCATTCCCGACCACCAGAGATATTCCATTGATTAGAGGTGGATCTGAATTCAGGAGGGGAACTACTGAAATTTGTTTCAGGTTTTTATCTTTAAGAAATGGACACATACATTTACAAAGATACAGTGACAAATACCTCAAAACCACACAAGATTCACACATATAAAGAAACACATATCTACACACACATACAGACAACCACACCAACATACAGACAACCACAGAGAAATAGATCCATAGTTACAACACGGCTGCAGGCATTTGGTGGGCGAGGTCATTCACTGAGCCACTGCTGCTGGCCATACAAATTCTCCTGACTTCTCAAGGGGGCATTTACCCTGCTGCCCCCCTGATTCCAGCAATGCCAGAGATGAATAAATAATAGAAAATAATGCATGCCCATAGAAAGCATTAAGGGCCTACTTGAAGGAACACAAACCTGCATTATTAACGCCATCGTGCCCCTGTCCACCTATGTTACATATATAGGTCCCTCCCGGTTGCAATAAAAAGTAATACAAATGTTGTACTTTCCTTTTACCACATCTGCTCAGCCATGTTTGCTGTGAGCTTATAGCATCCTGCTTGTATAGTAGCAGTAACTATACAGCATAGCGGTCACTAAATGGGTGTGTAAAAACTGTACCTATCACAGTTTAGAGAAACCAAAAGCACATGCAACTCCATCTACACAATGTGCTGATAACAAAGGTGTAGGTTATTCCTCTCACTTGTAACTCAGAATAGAGGACTGTGAGCTCTGTCATAGCAACTGGCATCTTTAATATGTCACAGTGGTTCGCAAACAGATTGAAAAGGGGAAGAAAAAAAATTACAAATGTTTATAAGGTGACGCAGTGAGTTCAATGGAAATCAGGTCAAGTGTAATTCAATGCATCTGTTGACTTTTCAGAAATATATGTAACTTGAAAGATGGTCACTTTGTATGATTTTAATGTGTTTAATGATCGTCTGTATTTAATACACAAATACTATATATATCGTATACTAAACCCACATTGTTTGTTTCAATTTCATGATCTTTCCCAAGTAAGTGGGTTAATCTCATAAGAGCCGGCATTAGGTTGTTAGAGTAGGGGCTGCCAAGAATGGAGTACATTGTCGTTGTGGCAGGCTTATGCAGTGTATGATCATATAATGTAACTAAAGCCACATTGTTTCCATTTCGATTTAATTATCTTTGAAGTTAATGTTTAGTGAGTGAGGGTGTGCTCTGTATTTTGTGTGTGTACATATACCTGGGGTCTTTCTATTCATGCAGAGTGAGATATATATAGATATATATATATATATATATATATCTATATATATACACACACACACACACACACACACATAAAATACAGAGCACTCCCTCACTCACTAAACATTAACTTCAAAGCTCATGAAATTGAAACAAACAATGTGGCTTTAGTTACAGTTTATGATCATACACTGCATAAGCCTGCCACAACGACAATGTACTCCATTCTTGGCAGGTCCTACTCTAACACCCTAATGCCGGCTCTTATGAGATTAACACACTTGGGAATATTTCCTCCTGGGACTCTGCAGTGCAAAGTTAAAAAGGGCCCTTAAATGAGGCACTTGTGACCGGAGGGGTGCAAAGCCAAGGGAGTTGGCCTGGACTCCCAAATATATTTACATACAAAAGGGCAGCACTCACCTGAACATGCATTTATTACAAGGATGCAGCAGTCTTAAAATGTATGCATGTTCAGATTATGTGTACACATGGATGTAGCTCTGTCCCTTGCCCTGGTAGCATAGTGAAAGCACCCAGCTAGGAAGAGAAAACAAACAATATTATTTCTCCTTCCCATCGGCAATAGGTGTCCTGGTGGCTGACTGAATAGTGATGACAATTTTTTAATCTTTAATATAAATGTAAAAGATAAGAAGGATTACATGACAAAAAAAAAGCTAACAGGTTATGGGTATTTTTTTCAATGTTTTATTGGGCACCACGTGCAAACAAGAACGGTCACATTCGCTGAGTAAATGGGGAGAATGTACCGTAAATAAAGACTTCAACAATGGGACGGGCTGCAAAGAAGGAACATCTCTGTCTAATGAACAGCTCAGTTAGATTTGCAAATGCTGAATGGGTTCTGCGATTTTACTTTGATACAAAGCTCTTTTGCCATTTTGGAAAATGATATAGAATTGCTTTTAAGAGAATTGAAATGCTGACGCTAATTATTGTCAAGCACCCTGGGTCACTACTTTGCACCATGCGCGATACAATAGAAGTTTTAAACGCAACCCCTAGCCCTCGTCTCCTGCAGTGTTATTTATCGCTTTGCTATTCATCTGCTGCCAGTGTTTAACACCAGAGCAGTCAAAGAAATTTGCCACTGTAAAGAAACCGTAACCGCGTTTTCAAATGGATTTCAGGAACATCAGAGCCCAAATTCAATTCACGTCACTGATAGAGTCATCAGGTTCCAACTGTTGTATTGATACGGTGACAATAAACTAAACTTCAGCTGAATTCTGGGTAAATTAAAGAGAATAGAGGCTAAGATTTCATTAAGCAAACGTACTGCCATTGAGGAATTGTGCAGAAAGATCGTAACCTGGGGTCTTTCTATTCATGCAGATAATCACAAAAACAAGTAGGAATATGGATCAAGGCTTTAACGTATTTAATGAAAAATGTCTGGAACATAAAGTAGGTTGTGGTAAAAACGTAACTGAATCTGATTTTTTTTCAGGCTTGATGACTTTGTAAATTTCTGTTGTGCGTTTTATATTTCCCATATTAGTTTTTCCAAGTCATTCTTAAGGATTTGTGCTTACAGGTCCACTCAACCTGCACTCACTGCATAGGTTAGGTGAAAGAAGTCCCCTATTAATACCAATTACCAGGCTAATAAATAATATACAACGAGCTGTGCGATATATATTGAAATAACCCATTAAGGGTCAGATCCAGAGTAGAAGTCAATGCTAGTGATTTCTAATAGTCGTTACATTATATATGAGGTCAGTAGTGTAATAACCAGGGGGAGGGGGGGCAGAGCTCTATCCCAGGTAACAGGTGTCTGTGTCACCTAGTCATCAAGGCATGCACCTGTCTAGTGGCAAAGGTTGCCCACGGAAAGTGGCTGCTCTGCAGATTCCATTTGCTGATCTTGCAAGTTGCGGGGGAGCTGCGCTGCTCCCTCGCAGACCAAAACCAATGAGGAGAACCAAGGATGTAACTTCATCATAGTCCTGGTGTCAGTTTGGAGCTGCTCCCTGCAGCAAACCACAGGATCATTATTTGAAATATTATCCAAATAAAAATCAAATGTGTGTGAGTGTATATGAATTTGAGTGTTTGTACAAATATTTATGTGTACATGAATGTATGTTTTTGTAAGTTCCCTAACAAACGTGTGTTAGGAGCATTGCAGAGAGACAAATTAATATTCATATTCACCCCAACAACCAGATAACGTAGGTACACACCTACATTATAAAACGTACCAGAACAAAGATAACAGTTACATAAAGAGATAATCCAAATGTGACTTTGAGTATGCAAAAACAAACTAGGAACAACGCAGGTCTACTATTAGAAAGGTTGGACTAGACTGAAAGAAACATGTGGAGATGATATGATGTCAAAGGCTCGAGTGCCGATATTTGTTATAAATAGCTGGGTTTCCTGACAGGACAAGCAATGTAAAGGAAATACTTGAGGGCATACTTCCAAAATACTTGCTACGTCTCCCAAGCCAAGTTTTATTGGGCACCACGTGCAAACTCTTAAGTGTACCTGAAGAGTGACCACAGTAAGACCGTAAAATGTACCTGAAGAGTGACCACAGTAAGAACGTGTGGTTAATAGGTCTACAGAGAGGGAATGTTATAGTCACTATAGCAAAGTATAGCTAATAGGTCTACAGATAGGAAAAGTTATAGTCACTATAGCAACGTATATCAGTATCTATCGATCTATCGATATGTCCCATCAGATGGACGATTAATAACTGGTACACACTGACAGCTAACCTTGCCATCCAGATACTTCTAAAATATATTTACCACAGTGCACAATCACCGCTCACCTAAACAAAGGTAATCTTTAAAGAAATACAATCATTACATACAGTCCCAGTTTAGTATTTCACAAATCATACATAATTACCGATTGTTACCTATATGTTCTGTGGTCATTCTAACAGTGAATGTCATAATACTGTTTGCTTTTACTGCAATAAAACACATATATTTGTATGCTTTTATGTCCTGCAAGAACAATGATGCCTCCATGTACAGGTTTCATGGTGTTTTGGACAGTTACAGGGATCATACTCTTCATGGAGGGTAAGTATGCCGGCTGCCGGGAAGGTCCATGCTATGCAGCCCTAAAGGCGTTAAAGCTCTCCTTTTGTAGGACAGCACAGCATGCCCTAATGGCATTAAGGGGTTAATCATTTTGTTCATTGGGAATATATCTAAAACAGTTAGTAAAACCTACCTGCAAATCTCTTGTCTGTATCCTTTGCAAGCCCTCTCCTAATCTCCCAGCCCAGACTTGCTGTGGCAGTCCAATCACAGACTTCCCAATGCATCAGCTCTGGGCAATTGCTGCCTCTTGAGTTTAGCTCCACTGAGCTAAACAACCAGGAAGTAACAGAACCGATTGTGTGATTGACAGCTAGAAGGGGCATAACAAGGTCAGTTTCTAAAAGTGCAAATTTCCAATGTAATCTGCACTTTTAGTAAAATAAAAAAGGGCACACTCTTCAGACCACTAAAGCTTGCTGAAGTGCTTTATGTGTGGAGTGTGGAATGTGGAAGTAAAACCTCTACATCATCTCGGAAGCAGCAAAGGGGCCAGGCTTTGGGTGCTGAGAGAAAGACATCATCCAAAGACTGCTTGCACAGCAGCATACATTACAAGTTGTAGTGATTATGGTACAGGAAGAGACATATTTGCGACATCACTATAAGTGAATATTTTTTTGCCCTTTGTCCTAGCCTGGTCATACTGGCAATTTAATGCTTATACACTTATGACACTTGTGTGGCTCTAAATACATTAAAACCAGTGTCCAGTACCTTCAATATATGATGTCACAATAAAAATGTATTAAATGGTTGAATTGCATGCAAGAAAACATCTTTTGGGGTTTGTTTGTTTTTTTTGTTTTTTTAAACAGAAAACGCAGAAATAGATACTCATAGCCGTGTAACAAAGCAGATTCTACTGCAAAGGCTTAATATGAAACCATCTGTCAACACCAGCCAAATATGCTGCAGCATGTGTAATATGTTGAACGTGACAAGACGCCATTGCATGCTAGCATACAAATAGGATGAGATACAGTTACAAAAAATGTTCACCAGTGGATAAGCCGATCATCATATTCACTATACATAAAAGGTTTCACACTACGGACAGGAAAATTAAATCTTTCAGCAGAACAGGAATGGATTTCATAATCTGGGAAATTTTTGTAAAGGCCAATGTGTGGTTTATTTAATGTGTAAGTACAGGCCCAATAACGTTACATAGTTACATAGCTGAAAAGAAACTTGAGTCCATCAAATTCAACCTTCCTCACATTTGTTTTTTGCTGTTGATCCAAAAGAAGGCCAAAAAAAACAGTTTGAAGCACTTCAAATTTTGTGACAAACTAGGAAAAAAACTACTTCTTGACCCCAGAATGTCAGTCAGCTTTATCCTTGGATCAAGCAGTTATTACCCTACATTGAAAGATTATATCCTTGTATATTCTGTTTTTTGCAAGTATGCATCTAGTAGCTGTTTGAACATCTGTATGGACTCTGATAAAACCACTTCTTCAGGCAGAGAATTCCACATCCTGATTGTTCTTACATTGTACTCCAAATTCTCACAGCACTTCATTGTGTATTCCTAAAATATGGAACATGCTTTCACATGCCATTAATTAAGAAATGCACCAATATATGAATTAGGTAGACCAGTTAACAACCAAATATGATAAAATATCTTTGTCAAGGATTTCCACAATTTGGTGAATTATATATATATATATATATCGTATTTTTCTAAAAAAATGTAGTCCAAAATTGGGGGTTGTTTTATACATAGAATGTCACTGCAGGGGTTAAAAAAAAAAAAAAAACACTTGTGCGCAGGGCATACACCAAGATGGCGCCTGTCGCATTTCGGTGTGCCACGGTCCACAACCACACACATACCTGGCTTCCCTCATGCCGATCCACTTCTAAATGCTGTGGCATGGAGGAAGAGGTCCCTTTATGCGTGGGAGCTGCAGCAGACATCAGCACTTACCCCCAGCGGAGCTCCAGAGACATTCCACATCATAAAAGGAGCAGCCATATTAAGGTTTGCTCCACCTCAGGTAGGTTTTGATATCTGATTTATATTTATGGGGGAGGAAATGGGGATCAGGGAGCAGAGGGAATACTGCTGTGATGTCCCAGCATGCCCTCACACCACCTGCTGTATTGTGGGAACTGTAGTCTCACGGCATGCACTATACAGCCATTATCTTCACAGAGTCCTGTAGCACAGGGGAGGCATTAGAATCAGAAGTCACTTCTAAAATATCAAAGTTGTTCTATTTGATGTTTAAAAAATGTATTTCTTAATTTTGGGCTCACAAAACTGGGGTCATCTTGTACATTGACAAATACGGTATATTTATTACACACACATAATGGCAGATAACATAGCAAGATATCGCCAAATAAACAGATTTACATTAAAATTACATTTTCGTAATCCCACAAAGCACAAATACATTTTTTTAAGTAAATTTTATAACTGTCACTGTAATGCATTTGAAACAAATTTTGTAAGTTTTCCCAACATTTGGTTCCAAATTTAGCAAACTTTCTACTCATCATTTAGTCAATAAAACCAGCACCTGTGCCGAAAACACCGCTGTCAGGAGGGACACTAGACATACACCACAACTGCACAATAACAGGTTATTTACCAGGAATTCAAAGTGAATTACAAAATATAGGCCAATATAGACAAATTAGAAGTTTCAGTTTTTTGGCCTTAAATTTGTAATTCAATTTGAATTCCCAGCAATCCTCACTTAAGCAAATCATTTTGAGAATGTCTAGGGCTGACACCTATATGAGCCAGAATATACTATTATTACACAAAGAGAAATGAACCGGAATTGGATCAAATACTACAACGATGGGGCTATCCTGGAATTCCAAATGTGTCTACATTATATCTTTCAACGATGTTCAGCAAACTGGGAAACATAGTTCTGAAACATCTGGGGTGCCAATTCAGGCATCCATCCCTCTGCCCCTACTGTAAGACTAGAGCAACCCACACACAATTGCTGCAAGTTGATCAGATGATGTATAAGAGTAAGTGAGTGAAGGCTGCAAGCGACCTACAATGAATGCAGTTGTTTATTACCATAAAGCAGAGTACACACAAGGCAAAGCAGCTTCACAAGGCCCACCCATGTAATGAGACACGCTGAGATGGGATGATCTCATACCAACAATGACCTACAGAAAGCATTGCATGCGTGAGAGCGTGTGTGATTCAGCCGGGAATAAAAAGCATGCCACTGCACTCCGCATCAACACTCCACATTCATTAATATTTATTTTATTCACAATCAGGTCGTCGACACACTACAGAAAATCCTGCCGGTTAAGGCCAGGGCATTTACTTGTACAAACAGATGGAAAAATTACAGAGGGCTTCAAGCGACGGTGTTATAGTAACAAAGCAAAAAATGCATAGCAAGTGTTACAAATGACAAACACTAAAATATGAGATAAACGTTATAGCTATATACAAACATGCTAGAGTACATCTTAAGAATACTTCTAAACTAAGGAAACATTATTGTGTCCCTCCTCATTTTAAATGAGAAGTCAATATACCAAACTTGTGAGAAGCACCTAAATATTTATAAACATAAATATATTGATTTTTTTGGGGGGGGATAATCACCAACAACTCTAAGAATTACTTGATTATAGCATTATAAAATACCGACAGGGTTATTGATTAAAGTAAGAATTCCCAGTGAATTTCAAATTTAAGACCGAAGAGAGGTCCGATCTAGAGAAATTTCCCAGTTTGCCTATTTTGAGGTTCACTTTGAATTCTCACTTAAGTGAATAACCCTGTGTAAAAAGGGTGCGTAAAAGTTAGGTATTTATTTAGAATGCCTTTACCCTGAAAATGACAGAGAGATTTCACGTTTGTCCTGGAATGGGCAATGTGGTATTGTTACAAGGTTACATATTATACACGCATTACAGATAATGTATGAGGAGTGTAAAATGTAAACACTACGTGATCCATGAGTAAAGGTTATAAGGCATGAACATGACGCAGAGAGTAGAGAGTGCTGGTTAACAAAAATTATTCCAGCGTCATTTGGGTTAAATACAGTAACATCTTTTATTGGGGAATGGTATACCTGGTGTTCTGTGCTGGGTAATAATACTCTGCCCATTATCCTGTGCTGAGTAATAATACTATGTCTAACATCTTGTGCTGGGTAATAATACTCTGGCGTTTTTGGATGGGTGATGATTTTCTGCCTGGCATCCTGTGTTGGGTAATAATACTTTTCCCGGCATCCTATGCTGGGTAATAATGCTCTGTCCAGCATCTTGGGCTGGGTAATAATACTCTGTCCAGCCTCTTGGGCTGGGTTATAATACTCTGTCCAGCCTCTTTGGCTGAGTAATAATACTCTAACATCCAGTGCTGGGTAAGAATACTCTGTCCAGCCTCTTGGGCTGGGTGATAATATTCTGCCTGGCATCCCGTGCTGGGTAATAATACTTTTCCCAGCATCCTGTGCTAGGTAATACAATACTGCTCAGCAACCTGTGCTGGGTAATAATACTATATCCAATATTTTGGGCAGAGTAATACTATCTTGCCTGGTGCAGGTAAACCTCGTATTGGATAATAATACTCCGCCTTCCATCTTGTATTGGTTAATAATAACCTAAATCGAAAGTTTAAAGGACCACTATAGGCACCCAGACCACTTCAGCTTAATGAAGTGGTCTGGGTGCCAGGTCCTTCTAGGGTTAACCGCTTTTTTTTTTTTTATAAACATAGGAGTTTCAGAGAAACTGCTATGTTTATGTTAGGGTTAATCCAGCCTCTAGTGGCTCTCTCTTGACAGCCGCTAGAGGCGCTTGCATGCTTCTCACTGTGAAAATCACAGTGAGAAGACGCCAGCGTCCATAGGAAAGCATTGCCACGCATGCGCATTCAGCCGAAGAGAAGAGGGAAGAGAGGAGGAGGAGAGCTCCCCGCCCGGCGCTGGAGAAAGAGGTAAGTTTAACCCCTTCCTCTCCCCAGAGCCCGGCGGGAGGGGGACCCCTCAGGGCACTATAGTGCCAGGAAAACGAGTATGTTTTCCTGGCACTATAGTGGTCCTTTAAGGTGTGCTGTGTCTTTAAGACAATATTAGTGAAAATTGCAACATGCCCTTAAAACAATCAATCAATTATGGTGTATATATTATAAAGTGCAATAGTATTTTGGTGCAATCACAATGCAATATAAGTGTCACAATTCATGAAAAAAATGTGGATCAGTGTAACATACAAACTTACATATGTATTATTGTAGAATATTGGTTGATTTCATTGGGAGAGCATACATGTAAAATAAGAATAAAAAAGACCCTCATAGGGCAATAGCACGATAAATTGTATACAATATAAAAGTTTAAAAGGGAACACTCACAAACATAGAGCAGAGAAGCCTGCTCTAAGCTTTAATAGCTCCAAGATATATCACTCTGGACTAGATGATAAAGTGATATTTCTTGCAGCTATTAAAGTTTAGAGCAGGCTTCTCTGCTCTATGTTTGTGAGTGTTCCCTTTTAAACTTTTATATTGTATTCAATTTATCGTGCTATATTGCCCTATGAGGTTCTTTTATTCTTATTTTACATGTATGCTCTCCCAATATTCTACAATAATACATATGTAAAAGTTTGTATGTTACACTGATCCACATTTTTTTCACAAATTGTGGCACTTATATTGCATTGTGTTTGCACCAAAGTACTATTGCACTTTATAATATATGCACCTTAATTGATTATGTTTTAAGGGCATGTTGCAATTATCACTGATATTGTCTTAAAGACGCACCTTAAACTTTTGTTTTATGTCTAAATAGTGTTTCGTAAGCTTGTACACTATAAGGTGCAGCTTTCTTACCTATAATCTATTTTATTGTATCTGTTTAACTTGATTTTGTTGTTAATAATAACCTGTCTGACTTTTTTTGTTGGGTTTTAATACCATGCCTGCCACCCCGAGCTGGTAATTAATACTCTGCCGGGCACAATGCACTGGGTAATAATAATCTGTCCAGAATCCTGTACGGACAATAATTCTTTTATTTGAACTCTGCTTGGCACCCAGTACATTAATGCTCTGCCTGGCATGAAGTGAATGATATTAATGTTCTGCCCAACATGCAATGTGGGGTATTAATGCTCTGCCTAACAAGCAATGTGGGGTATTAATGCTCTGCCTGAAACTCCGTGCTGAGCATTAAAACTTGGCCTTGAACTTAGGGTTTACTATTAATGCTTAGCGCTGGATGCCAGTCTGAGTATTAATACACTTATGGGTATTAATACTGTATCTAACATGCTGTGATGGAAATTATTACACAGCCTGGCATCATGTGTTATAATGATACTCTGCCTGGCACCCATCGCTGGTTATGGTGATACTCTGCCAGGCACCCAGTGCTGGTTACCGATACTCTGCCTGGCACCCAGCACTGGCACCCAGACTCTCTGCCTGGCACCCAATGCTGGGTATGAACACTCCATCAGACATACTGTGCTGGTGATACTCTGCCTGGCACCCCCTGGCACTCAGTGCTGGGTATGAACACTCCATCAGACACTCTGTGCTGGAGACACTCTGCCTGGCACCCAGTGCTGGGTATGAACACTCCATCAGACATTCTGTGCTGGTGACACTCTGCCTGGCACCCAGTGCTGGGTATGAACACTCCATCAGACACTCTGTGCTGGTGACACTCTGCCTGGCACCCAGTGCTGGGTATGAACACTCCATCAGACACTCTGTGCTGGTGACACTCTGCCTGGCACCCCCTGGCACCCAGTGCTGGGTATGAACACTCCATCAGACACTCTGCCTGGCACCAAGTGCTGGGTACGAACACTCCATCAGACACTCTGTGCTGGTGATACTCTGCCTGGCACCCAGTGCTGGGTATGAACACTCCATCAGACACTCTGCCTGGCACCCCCTGGCACCCAGTGCTGGGTATGAACACTCCATCAGACACTCTGCCTGGCACCCCTGGCACCCAGTGCTGGGTATGAACACTCCATCAGACACTCTGTGCTGGTGACACTCTGCCTGGCACCCAGTGCTGGGTATGAACACTCCATCAGACACTCTGTGCTGGTGACACTCTGCCTGGCACCCCCTGGCACCCAGTGCTGGGTATGAACACTCCATCAGACACTCTGCCTGGCACCCCCTGGCACCCAGTGCTGGGTATGAACACTCCATCAGACACTCTGTGCTGGAGACACTCTGCCTGGCACCCAGTGCTGGGTATGAACACTCCATCAGACACTCTGTGCTGGTGACACTCTGCCTGGCACCCAGTGCTGGGTATGAACACTCCATCAGACACTCTGTGCTGGTGACACTCTGCCTGGCACCCCCTGGCACCCAGTGCTGGGTATGAACACTCCATCAGACACTCTGCCTGGCACCCCCTGGCACCCAGCGCTGGGTATGAACACTCCATCAGACACTCTGTGCTGGTGACACTCTGCCTGGCACCCCCTGGCACTCAGTGCTGGGTATGAACACTCCATCAGACACTCAGTGCTGGGTATGAACACTCCATCAGACACTCAGTGCTGGGTATGAACACTCCATCAGACACTCAGTGCTGGGTATGAACACTCCATCAGACACTCTGCCTGGCACCCCCTGGCACCCAGTGCTGGGTATGAACACTCCATCAGACACTCTGTGCTGGTGACACTCTGCCTGGCACCCAGTGCTGGGTATGAACACTCCATCAGACACTCTGTGCTGGTGACACTCTGCCTGGCACCCAGTGCTGGGTATGAACACTCCATCAGACACTCAGTGCTGGTGATACTCTGCCTGGCACCCCCTGACACTCAGTGCTGGGTATGAACACTCCATCAGACACTCAGTGCTGGGTATGAACACTCCATCAGACACTCAGTGCTGGGTATGAACACTCCATCAGACACTCTGTGCTGGTGACACTCTGCCTGGCACCCCCTGGCACCCAGTGCTGGGTATGAACACTCCATCAGACACTCTGTGCTGGTGACACTCTGCCTGGCACCCCCTGGCACCCAGTGCTGGGTATGAACACTCCATCAGACAGTGCTGGGTATGAACACTCCATCAGACAGTGCTGGGTATTAACACTCCATCAGACATTCTGTGCTGGTGATACTCTGCCTGGCACCCCCTGGCACCCAGTGCTGGGTATGAACACTCCATCAGACACTCTGTGCTGGTGATACTCTGCCTGGCACTCAGTGCTGGGTATGAACACTCCATCAGACACTCAGTGCTGGTGATACTCTGCCTGGCACCCCCTGACACTCAGTGCTGGGTATGAACACTCCATCAGACACTCAGTGCTGGGTATGAACACTCCATCAGACACTCAGTGCTGGGTATGAACACTCCATCAGACACTCTGTGCTGGTGACACTCTGCCTGGCACCCCCTGGCACCCAGTGCTGGGTATGAACACTCCATCAGACACTCTGTGCTGGTGACACTCTGCCTGGCACCCCCTGGCACCCAGTGCTGGGTATGAACACTCCATCAGACAGTGCTGGGTATGAACACTCCATCAGACAGTGCTGGGTATTAACACTCCATCAGACACTCAGTGCTGGGTATTAACACTCCATCAGACACTCAGTGCTGGGTATTAACACTCCATCAGACATTCTGTGCTGGTGATACTCTGCCTGGCACCCCCTGGCACCCAGTGCTGGGTATGAACACTCCATCAGACACTCTGTGCTGGTGACACTCACCCTCTCTGAGTGGGCACTCACCCGTGGGCTCTTCATGCCGGGCCAGGAGCAGTGCCCGGGGTCCGGTGGGATACTCCAGGGGCAGGCTGCACACAGGGAGCCTCAGGCCAGTGTGTGAGTGCGGTGCGGCCCCGTGCTGTGTCCCCCCAGCTCCGGAGTGTGAGTGCGGTGCGGCCCGTGTGCCCCCTGAGCCGCTCTCACTGCCATGTCCAAACTGCCGAGAGGAGACGGAGGAGGAGGAGGAGGAGGAGAGGCCTAAACAGAGCCGAGGGGTGCGAGCGCCCCCTGGCTGGGAGGAGCAGGCACTGCACTGACCTTGTAAGGGGTGACATGCTGCCTCTCCTAGCAGGAAACCATGGCTAACATTTACTAAATGGGGGTCTGGCAATGGGACCCCAAACTTTACATTAAATTAAAGCTGCTTCCAAGTAGGCCATGTTGGTCTCATTATTTTTACACCTGACATTTCTCCTTAATTCCTGGTTTAGTGAATTGATGGATTGCTGTAAAGTGGTCAGGTGGCAAAACAGAAATTATAATTTTTAAGCATAAACATAAAAAAATATCGGCGGAGCCTGGCAGCGCAACTGAATAGACGCCATTTTCATAGCTCCGAGCGCTGATCAGCCTAATCTCTAAAATATCACCTGCATCCGAGCCAAACCGCCTGCACAGAGGGCAGAGTTCGACGGAGCTAACCGCCCTGAATCTGCCGATGCCTTTTTTACACACCCCGGGCAAGAAATACCAGACCCGCGGCACCAAGGCCTACCGCGCCATCAAACACTCTCCGGCAGCATACGGAGGCCCACTAGACTGGGACGACGCCGACCTTCTACCTTGGCTAACAGGTAATATGGGGAGGAAAACCCCGAAACCGCCTGCTCCCATGCCCAAGACACAGCAAAACATAAGTCAAATGCTGCAATACATGGCGCCAGCGACAATTTCACCGGCGCAGGAGGCCTCACTTACCCGGGAGCCTTCATTCGCACGAGACAGCGACGAGACCGCGCATCAAAGCCTGAAACCGATACAAAGAGAACCACCCAGCCCAAAGGAGACAGAAGCTCCGGCTACAAAACGGGAGCTTAGAGAAATGCTCACCGGTCTCCAAAATAACCTTAGGGCAATGTGGGAGGCAGACCTGGCAGCTCTCACGACCGAAGTACAGGCCGTGAAAAGGCGCACACAGACAACTGAAAAGAATGTGACAGACCTGCAACAAGGCCTCAAAGAACTGAGCGATAAAGTACAAGGTATCCAGACTACACAAGTTGAAACAAACAAGCAGGTGCTCATCCTGGATGACAGGGGCAGAAGAAAGAACATAAAGGTGAGGGGAGTATCAGAAACTATACCCCTAGAAGAATTACCGCACTTCATTAGAAGGCTAGTGTCGGCACTACTATCAACAAGAGAGGCTAAATACCTCTCCTTTGATGGGGCATACCGAATATCCAAATCCCCAAGAGCCCCTGCAACCGCACCACGAGACATTATTCTCAGGTGTCAAACAATGTCCAACAAATTAAGCCTGCTAGCAGCGATAAAAGGGAAAACGCCATACGAATTTGAGAACTGTAAAATCTCGTTCTTCCAAGACCTAAGCAGGGCTACGCTACAGTGGCGGAAAACCATGCAGCCCCTCACGCAGATCTTGCAGAAAGCGGGCCTGACCTACAGATGGGCGACACCGCACACCCTATGGATCACTAAAGAAGGAAAGTTCTACAAAGCTACGGACCCAGCAGACATTCCCGCAATACTGGCAGCACTGGACTTACAACCACAACGGGGCCTCGAACACGCATCATCGGACACACAACCTCTACTGGACACTGACTCAGATACGTCCTCATCCGACATTAGAAGAGACAGGAGGCCAAAGACTTGAATTAATCAACACACCTGAGTACCTCAAGTTATAGGGACATTCGAGAGACTTTCCTAGCTATGCCATGACTTTTAATTTAATTTTTTTTTATTTATTTTTTTTTGTTTGTTTGTTGTTCTGTTTCTGTTTATGCAAATCAACACACAAATTCTTAGATGCGCACAGAGATTCAAGGGCACACACAGCGCCCACAGCACGCCCAGGGACTTTCTCCCCCCCCCCCTCCCTATGACACCCAACATGCCAGAGAGACACGACAAGGGGACAAGGGACCACACAAGGAAGAGGGCCACACACTAAAACTAGGGTCAAGAGCAACTATCACATAGGGCTGACAACACATAGGAACCAATGCGCCTCAGATCCATAAGCACCCAAGAGAAACAAACTCGCAAACCTCACTGGCATATATACTACGAGATGTCACACATAGCGGGAGTTTAACAACCCATACACTGACTAACTCGTTACAACCCAACAGACTACCACACTATTAAAAATGTGCAACATGATACCCAGCCAATGTCTTCATATGTGATATGTACACCTGTACCAGACTAGATAGTAAAACTTATGTATCAAGACTTGAACGCAAAATGTATGTATGATACATGCTAACATGCACCAAAAATAAAGAATTATAAAAAAAAAAACATAAAAAAATATCAAACGTAAGCAGCCTACGTACCATAACTCCTATGTGCTGATGCCGTCACCGCTGTCTGTTTTTCAATTAAACGTTTTTTCGGAGGTTTTGACTGGAACCAGCGGTCCCACAGTCCAGCCCCTTTTCACCGGAATTACTAAAGAGAACGCTCCACGTCCACGTTAGCCATATCAATTTAATCCATCTTTCAATGCTGTCCATTTACAAAGTGCATTAGCCAATGGGATCAGTCAATAAATAGTATTAAACGTTTGCTTGATATTATATAGATTGATATTGCCAATCTGGACGTGAAACTTGCTCATTAGCAATTCTAGCAAGCATTGTCAGCCAGTCCACACAAGTTTTGTTCCCCTACATCCCTCTTACGTTTTCATATTAAATCAAGAGCATGTGAAGAGTAGGGGAAAAAAAATAATAATTATATATATATATATATATATTTATATATATATATATATATTTTATTTTTTTTTAAATCAATGGGCCTATTCCATGGGCATGGGGCTGGAGCTGCAGCTCCATCAGTCCCTATGTTAATCTGGCCCTGTGGACAGTCTGTCCCTAGCGCCACCCTACTGTTCTGTAGCAAACTGTGTTTGAGGGGCTTGACATAAATCAAGGGTCCCTTGTTAGCTTGGGCCCTTACTCTGCAAATTGATGTTGTGATATTTACACATCTGCATTAGCAATACAAATTATTATTAATTTATTAGTAGTAGTATTTATTTAGCTACAATATTTTTCGCAGTGCTTTACCATTTGGATCAACAGCAAAGGAAGGCTGAACTTGATGGACGCAAGTCTCTTTTTAGCTATGTAACTATGTAATTAGAGGAAGGGGAGAGAGGACCTGCTCAGCTTAACTTACCATCTATGGTAACCTATTTTGTCCAGACATTTTTAATATCTTGTGATCTTTCCATAATTCTTCGTTCAGTCTATAATTCCTTAAGACTTGCTGGATGCCAAAAAATCTCTTAGATACTTATTCATTTGAAGGAACACATAGTGTCAGGAATCCAAACATGTATTCCTGACACTACAGTTGTAAAAACACTGTTTATCTTTCCCGCCCCATGCATGCCTTTAAAAAGGCATTTTACATACCTTTATTCCCACTCAGCACCGGTCTGGTTGCAGCTCGCCCTGCCCCCTGCTCGGCCTCCTTGTCTGAGATCTTCAAACTTGACGATCTCAGCCAACCAAATGCTTTCCAATAGGAAGGCATTGGGAAGCTATTGCACATGCGTGGAAAAATAGCGCAATGTGCTAATCAACATCTCTATAGGGAATGTGGGAAATACTCTAGTGACCATCCGAGTAACTGCCACTAGAGGTTTTATTAGGCAGTAGTGTTTCTTTTCTCTGGAAAGACAGTGTTTAGATTAAAAAGCCTGCAGGGACAGGCTGAAGACATCAGAACAATCACATGAATCTGTTATTGTCCTGATGACTATAGTGTCCCTTTAAAGCTGCTCTGTCACTTTGCATGGTTTGCCGTTAAATCTATCCTGTTTTGCCCCCTTGTTTTTAAAGGACAACTGTCACCTCAACACTTTTTTTTAATATAATAATCCTTTCATCAACTTTTGAATTTAATTTTTTTTGTTAAATAAGGTATATGCAAAAAAATAAAAATAAAAGAGAAAAACGCATCCAAACCTTTAATATATGAGAAGATCATTCAAATGACAGACAGTGTTTGAAAACTTCTATATAGTCTCTACGGTGGTTTTCTCTGCTTCACTCCCTGCACAGTACAGTGACATCATCAGACAAACCAACTATCAAATACAAACACCGTCTGACCCAAGGTATATGGCTAAAGGATCCTGTCGGAATTCTAAGCTCACATAAAGTAATAGTTTTTCCAAAACCACCTGACTTAGGCAAAAATAATGGGTATAATGCACTATATGATCATACATTGCATAAGCCTGCCACAACATCATGTAGGCAGTCACCACTGCGACCAGGTCCATCACTCCAGGGACCTTGGGCCGCCTGCATAACATCTTGGCAGGTGCACAGCCGCACCGGCCTGCGGCCCACAGGAGGGGAGATCTGTGCTGTGCTGCTCCCCTCCTGCCTGTGTGTAGAGTGCCAAGTGGTCTGACAGGAAGTTCTCAGTGAGAGACCACTTCCTATCAGACCCGGAACCACAGGGGTGAGCAGGTAGGGGGGAAAGAATGACACACATGGAGTGTCTGGGATTAATACATAGCGGAGCTGGGGGGATACATAGAGAGGCGGGGGTGGGCTGGGGGGATACGTAGAGGCACTGGGGGCATGGGAATGATACATAGATGGGCTCGGGAGATGGGGATGATACATAGATGGGCTCGGGGATCGGGAAGATACATAGATGGGCTCAGGAGATGGGGATGATACATGGAGAGGCTAAGGGGGCTTTGGAAAGATGCACATCGAGGGGCTTTGGGGTTGGGAATGACACAAATTGGGAGCCTGGGGGGTTTGAAACACATGGATGGAGGGGCTGGGGGCGAATGAGACGCATGGAGAGACTAGAGAGGAATGAGACCCGTGGAGGGGATGGTGGGGGGAATGAGACGCATGGAGGGACTAGAGATGAATGAGACGTGTGATGGGGATGGGGGGGTAAGACATATGGAGGGACTAGAGAGGAATGAGACATGTGGAGGGGTTGGGGGGGATGAGACGCATGGAGGGACTAGAGAGGAATGAGACGCGTGGAGGGGATGGGGGGAATGAAACACATGGAGGGGCTGGGGGGGAATGAGACGCATGGAGGGACTAGAGATGAATGAGATGGGTGGAGGGGATGGGGGTGGGATGAGACGCATGGGGCAGACTTCAGGGCAATTTTTGCCCCGGGCGTCCAGTGATTTCTAGTTATGCCTCTGAATGTACGCCATTCTTGGCAGGTCTTATCCTAGCAGCCTAATTCCTGCTTTTACAAGATTAATCCACTTACTGAGCGAATCGTTCTTCGTGGGGCTCTCTGTAGTGCAATGTTAAACAGGGCCCAGGAATGACGCACTGGAGTCCCTAATATAGTTACATATGAAAATATATATATTGAAAGTGTAAATATAGTGAGTGCACACAGCTGGGTGAATGCACAGTTAATAATAATAATAATGTTAGAAGTGGTTGGGGGGGTTAAAATTATATAGGGCTTATTGTCACAGTCAGATGACATAGGGTGTTGCGTATTGAGAGGATTAAACGCTTGAGAGGGGCTATAATAACTGTGATTTTAGGGCTAGAGTTAGGTTAAAGTTAGTATTGGGGAACATGGTTAGCTCCTCCTGCTAGGCATTTCATATGTGAGAGGAGAGATGGGAAGTGATCCCTTCCACTTCTTGTCCAGCCTCACACACAGACACTGGAGGATCTGGGACGGCACTGAGTTTTACACCCTCTATAACTGTTACGGCAGTTCTGCTACCAAACATAGGAGGTTGACTGGACCACAGAGGACACAGGCCAAGGCTGCTGGTACTTATCTCTCCCGCATCAGGCTACTTAAGCCTCAAAAAGGCACATTATAAGTGCTGAAAATAGGCACCCCCTGCAGGACAGGTGCCTCCTTTACTTAATGTGAATTCAGCCTTGCACGCAGCCAGATCCAAACTGCCTGGCTGGAGACATAGGAGAGGGCATTTTTGTTCTCTCCTCATCCCCGGCTTGCCAAATTATATTTTTAATTTCTGCTAGTGCCGTCCAAGCGGACAACAGTAGAGATGATTGCTGATTGCGGTACACAGTGAGAGGCAGCGCGGGGAGGAAGGGATGTTACACTACTTCCTCCCAGCACTTGTAAATTGGACCTACGCAGGACAAGCTTAGCCCACACCACAAGCAGCCCTGTGAACGACCAGCACAGATCCCTGAAAAAACACTTTCCTGCTGGTAAAATGGTAAACAAAATGGAAAGTGGCTAGAATAATGTTATTGAGAATGTGCGTGCAGTAGTGTATGTATATAGCAGTATATGTGTTTAGCAGTGTGTTGGTGTGTGTAGTAGTAGTGTGTGTATGTAGCATTGTGTGTGAGTGTCTAGAAGTGTGTGTGGCAGTGTGTAACTGTGTGTATGCCTGGCAGTGTGCATTAGGGTCGGTGTGTGTCTGGCAGCACGTATTGGTGTCTGTATGTGTTCGGAATGCATACCTGTGTGTGTCTAAGTGTCTGTGACTGGGAGCATATATATACACCCAGCATCTTATAAAGCCTCACCAACACACAAACACTTCAAACAGTCCACACACAAACACACCGCATTACAGCAGCCCCCAGCTACACACATACAACAGAACTGGCAGGCTACATACTACTACTACAACCACACAAAACCCTACAAGCAGCTCCCTGCACACACACAGAACATCGCACACAATACAAGTCATATGACACAGGCACAAGCAATGCACACAGCACACACACACGTAGCTCCATACACAGCCCACATACAAAACATTCAAAATACCACATACTGCTCATACATGTATACAATGACACACAGGCCACATTACACACACATACAAATCTAAGGGACTTCAAAGTCTAGTTTTGGCATAGTGTTACTAAAAGGTTGCCTACCCCATGTCTATATAGTCTGTGTCTTATATTTGTAGAGGTAATATTGTTACAAATGTGTTTACAAACCATGATTCAGGTTTATTGCTCAGTTGCTGAAATTCTTCCTTGGTGTAGTGCTGAGCTAATTAGAAACAGTAGTGTTAAAGTGATCGTGGCGATGGGGGAGATGCAGGAAAATCAATATGAGCAAGTCAGAGTAATTATAAATCCTAAACTGAATCAGCACATATAGACCTACAGAGCAAATGCCACAAGGCCGGAGGACACCTGGGCAATATATATTTTTCCACTTCGTAAAGGCTCTTTGAGAAAAAAAAAAAAAGTAGTAAATAATTTGAGTGCAAAGGGTTAATTGGCCACTGTGGCAATATTTAATTATCTACGTTATTAAAAGGATGCTGTTTTACCACTTCACTTCTGCTTCTGTCAGATTTATTGCCCCATTCCTCCATTTACGATTTATAAGATTTAAAGGGAACCTGTCAGGCGAAAAATGCATGCACATTATATAAGTTTACGTTATTGTCCTTAAAGAGGCACTGGCATGGGGTTTTTTGTGTGTGTGTGTGTTATATGCCTGGGATCATAAAGATTAAAATCCCACCCATTGCCACCAATAGATGGATTGTGGAAAAATGAATTTAGTTACTGAAATGGAACTTTGCTTAAAGGTCACTTGTCACTTCAAAACTAATACAGTAATCATTTCATCAAGTTTTGAAAGGAAATATTTTTTTTGAAAATTAAAGGACCACTCTAGGCACCCAGACCACTTGAGCTTAATGAAGTGATCTGGGTGCCTGGTCCAGCTAGGGTTAATCCATTTTTTCATAAACATAGCAGTTTCAGAGAAACTGCTATGTTTGTGAATGGGTTAATCCTTCCCCTATTTCCACTAGTGGCTGTCTCATTGACAGCCGCTAGAGGCGCTTGCATGCTTCTCACTGTGATTTTCACAGTGAGAGCACGCAAGCGTCCATAGGAAAGCATTATGAATGCTTTCCTATGCGACTGGCTGAATGTGCTGCAGCTCTTGCCGCGCGTGCGCATTCAGCCGACGGGGAGGAGAAGAGGAGGATCGGAGGAGGAGAGCTCTCCGCCCAGCGCTGGAAAAAGGTAAGTTTTAACCCCTTTCTCCTTTCCAGAGCCGGGCGGGAGGGGGACCCTGAGGGTTGGGGCACCCTCAGGGCACTATAGTGCCAGGAAAACGAGTATGTTTTCCTGGCACTATAGTGGTCCTTTAAGTATATGTAATAAAATGAGGAAAAGCTAATCCTTGCCAGGATCCTTCAGCCATATACCCTGATCATCTACAACATTTAAACCCTTACCTAATATTATGTAGGTCCCCATCGTGCTGCCAAAACAGCACTGATGCATAAAGGCATGAACTCCACAAAACCTCTGAACGTGTACTGTGGTATCTGAAAACCAAGACATTAGATGTAGAGATTTTCTGTTAAAGGGACATTCTAAGCACTCGTGTAATGGTTATGCTGCTAATAATTTCTTGTTTTATGTCAAACACTCAGAAGCTAACCCGACCCGGCACTGTCGGGAAATCACTGTCCTGCAAGTTGGACAAAATTGACACTGATAACGCAGAAGTGTTAATTAGTCATTACTTACCTTTGCTCCCTTGCCACAGTGCTCTCTCAGAGATCATGAATCTTGATGATCTTGGCCAATCCTATTCTTTCCGATATGTAAGCATTGGGAAGCTTGTGAACATGCATTGACAAAAAAAAAACACGCTGCGCCGGTCAAATGGTCTCTATGAGCCACCTGATTGAAATAGCCAATTTTAACTCGCTTATTTTGGAAAAAGCACCTCTACAGCAGAACAGCAATGTTTTCAGTTGCCGGGTTAAAACAACAGGGGTATGGCACCCAGTCCACTTCAGTATGATGCAGTGATTTGGGTGCCTATTGTGCCGCTTTAAGGGAAACGTTTGTGTAATGTTTAATTGAAACCTGAGGATTTGTCTGCAGGGTGAAGATCAGGACAGCAGCAAAAAAGGAAAATAGGTATAGGGCTCTAAGTGCTAGATTTCATGACCTTGTTTTGTGGATGCCAGTTTCACATTAAATATAAAATTGGTTAGCCCATATCCAATTCAGATTTCCTTGCCTGTTCATTCATGAAAACACACAACAGCCGTCAGTACCCTGATTTACAATGTTAAATCTCAGCAGAGTGTGAAGTTTTACATCTATACCATATGTTCTGAGTCTGCTAAAATGCAATGTGACACACTGAAATAAGATATCTCATTAACAAGCAGATACTATTGCTAACAAGCAAATATTCTCAAAGGTTAGCCACACCATTTATTTATTTATCCCCCCCCCCCCCAAATTCAATGACATAAAAAAAAAATGACTTTTGAAATGTAAGATACTTATTAAAGTATCACTGTCACTTCCTTTTTTTTATATATAAATCCTATTTTGTCCCTCTTTTTCCATTTCTTAATCATAATCATTGTTTTACTTTCCTTTTCTCATTTATGTATCTAAAAAATGTTTGATCCCCTTTTTTACTGACTGTGCTATTTCCTTTTCTGTGTGTGCTTTGGAGGCTGTTATAACTTGCTTAGCCTCTTTCTGCCTAATCTTCCTCACTTTGTTTTTTTTTTTGTATAATTACTAAATGCTAATTTTTTGTTGTTTTACTATTTTGGCCACTTCTGCAGAGTACCACAGTGGTTTCTTAATTTGTCTGTTTTTACTACAAGCCTGTGGCGTAACAGACCTCGCCACGTGTTCTTGGAGGGGGCTGCTTGCCTGCCTCCTACCTTCTGACTATGGCCCTGGCATATATGGCATTTGAAAACACTATTTGTGCCCTGTGACAAAACTGGAGATTGTGCACAAATATGACTATTGTCCATATTCTTTATGATTCCCTTCGTTTATTGCACTGTTCCCCATGTGTTTCATCTGTTGGTTCGGCTGGATAGACTACCAGACAAACTGTGGAGTTACTGGGTGGCCACCATTTCATGTATCAGAGGTACATGGTGAGAACAATGGATGAAGCACATGGTGAGAACAATGGATGAAGCACATGGTGAGAACAATGGATGAAGCACATGGTGAGAACAATGGATGGTGGCCATTTTAACTCACAGACACTGTTTGGACTTTTCTACATGGTGCCATCTCGCCGGTATTTGGTGCACAAAGACATTGTTCAGTAGTTTTAAACTACAGAACAGGGGACACATTTAACAGTAATTATTTTTCATATAGCCTGTATATGTTCTGCGGAATCTGCATTAAACTGTATCTTCCAAACTACTGAACGGATCTGGGTGAATTTTGGATATGTGGTTCACTCAGATCCCCCGGTTATGAGGATATATATTTTAATGGGGTTATTGCATGTTTTGGGGTCCCTGTGATATGTTTTCTAATACTGTATCTTCCTGCCTGTGATAATTAAGTTAGTCTATTGTGTTGAGATAATTGTATCACAGGCAGAGGGGAGGATTTCTGATGTAATGAATGGGAGTGTTAGCTGTGTTGTAATGTGTTGATTGGTTGTTCTTCAAAACCCTGTGGGCAGTACTATGTTTGTAGAATGTGAATAAAAGAGGCTGTATGTGCCAGTACAGAGAGTTCTTCTTGACCCTCAACACGTAGTCTTGTCTCGTGATTGGAGGGGACAGCTATATTCACACTGGGAATTGCTATGCTCTGCATACTTCCCTTAGCTTTAATCACTTAGCTCTTTTAAGAGCTTGTTCCTGATACGCTCTCCTGGAGGAGAGGTCTTCCCCACACGGTCCTGGAGGACAGAAGCTGATCCAGGGTGGACAGAATACAGCGAGACTCCAGTTAAACTACGGCGGTTGTGGAGTCTGCGGTGGTTTTGGTGTCTAGTGCGGTGCTTGTGGTCCTCGGCGCAAGCTAGGAAGCGTCCATCAACAGAAGGTACTCGGTCGGAGTATGGGGAGTTCCGTTACAAAGCCTAATGGAATTTTCTGTTGCTTTAAAGAGACACTATAGTCACCAGAACAACTACAGCTTATTGTATTTGTTCTGGTGAGTAGCATCATTACCTTCAGGCATTTTTGCTGTAAACACTGTCTTTTCAGAGAAAATGCCGTGTTTACATTACAGCCTAGTGATAACTTCACTTGCCACTCCTCAGACCGCTGTTACAGATCCTTCCTGGGTCATGGCTGCCTAAAATGCATCCAAACATTCAGTATCTCCTCCCTCTGCATATATACACTGAACTTTCCTCATAGAGATTAATTGATTCAATTCATCTCTATGAGGAGATGCTGATTGGCCAAAGCTGTGTTTGAATCATGCTGGCTCTGCCCCTTTGCCAGTCTCAGCCAATCCTATGAGGAAGTATTGTGATTGGATCAGGCCACCACTTCTGATGATGTCAGCAGACAGCTTGTTTTTCTGAGACAAACAGCATGCAGATATACAGCTTCATGTTTGAATACAGTAGGATTTTGCTATATTGCTATGGGCATGAGGGGCCCCAGGGGAGCTATATGGTGGTTTTAACACTATAGGGTGAGGAATAAATGTTTGTGTTCCTGACCCTATAGTGATCCTTTAAGTAGTGCAATTTTTTAATAATCCCATTTCTCCTGGACTCCATTTAAACTTCTCCAGTCTGATAATGACTCCTTTACGGATATTCTAATTTTAGAAAAGTCTGTTTTTCTAAAGTCTAAAACTTTTGTTTTTGTGTGGTGTGACTCAGTCACTGTTCTTATATTAAACCACACTGACTGATGATCACTGGATCCTAAACTTTCACCTACAATAATATCTGATACCAAATCTCCATTTGTAAACACTAAATCTAGTATGGCCTCTTTACGAGTTGGCTCCTCAACGACTTGTTTTAGAGGCAATCCCAGTAGGGAGATTAGAATATGTGTGGCTCAAGCATCTATTTTGGTTTTCCAGTTCACATCATGAAGATTAAATTCACCCATGATGATAACTTCCTCCTTCATTGTCATTTTAGTGATCTCCTCAACTGGCAGATTATCTAATGCTTCTATTTGTCCTGGGAGCCTATAAATCACACCTACACGAGTTACTGTGTGATTACCAAATCATCGTTATCGATGGCAATCTCTGACAATGGACGGGGCTTAAGCAAGGTTACTTTTCAGTTGCCAAAGTAATTTCCCAACAATCTAATCTAAGGGCAAACTGTAGACATCAGAGGATAACAAAATGGCAGCGCCCAGGTATTGAGATCCATTGCAAGAAAGAAAAGATAATAATTACAAATAATGGCAAGGGGCGGTGCAATAATACAAAAAGGAAAAGAAATCTCTAACAGAGTGATGTCACGTTACTCTGTTCTTATACTCCATAGCCAGAGAGTTACCATAGTAACCACAGCGCATTTGCTGTGGTGGTTATGAGTGGAGACCAAAGGGACGTCCTGTGGGAGGTCTTTTCTATTCTCTCTGTATCTCAATTCTTGGCATTGAGTGCCTGACGATGAAGTGAAAAAATTGATGGGAGAAAAAAACATTATATTTAAATATACTTCTCTCCCAAACTATAGATTTCCTAGAAAAACTGCTAGCACAATGTATAAATGGGATTTGAAGTCCTATTAGAAGAACTAAAGTTACTGCGGGCATGACAATTTTTCCTTTAATTCAAGAGGCATCAAGTGTTTAGAGCACCGCCTTGCAAAGACTTCTCCTTGAATTACATTGGGAAGTCTGTGATTGAGAAAATTTATATTATTTATTACGCCAATGCTTCAATAATCTATAATTTTACAAAAAGTGCTGATTTTGTACTGAAATTGTCAGTTTTATAAATTAGTCCTGGCTGTCAATCAGACAATCGATCCTGCTACCTCCTGGTTTGGTTAGCTGAGTAAAGCTAAACTCCATAGGCAGCAATTGCCCAGAGCACTTGCCTTGAAATACTTCCCATTGAGCTGCATTGGGATGTCTGTAATTGGACAGATACACAAAAAAAGAAAACCATCTGTCTGCAACACTCACTAGTTTTCCAAACTAACTCTGGAAAAAACATCAGCACAGGATTTGTGTGACGGTAGCTTCATAAAATGGGTTGCGTTGGCCGAGCAGCTATATACAAGCATCACATCAACATGCAAACATCAATCTTTTGGTGGAGACGTGTAAAACACACCTTCACTGGACTCTGGAGTGATGTATCACACTTCTTTATCTGGCAGTCTGGTGGAAGAATCTGTGTTTGGTGGAAGCCAGGAAAGCACTACTGAAATGCACAGTGCCTACTCTAAAATAGGGGTTGGATGCCTATTAGGTGATTTTAACTATGTGGCAATTTTTTGGGGGGGAAGTCCTTTACCTATTGCAGCATGACTGTACCATGTGTACAAAGTAAGGTCCATGACGATTTGGTTTGAATAGTTTTGTAGTGAGGAACTCAAGTGGCCTGAACTTTGTGGCAACATTTTGGGGATGTTCTTTTCTATTGCACCAATGACTGCGCCCTGTGTACAAAGTGAGGTCCATGAAGACATGGTCTGAAGAGTTCGGTGGTGAGGAACTCAAGTGGCCTGAACAGAGCCCTGACCTCAACCCAGTGAACAGATTGCGATTCAGTCTTTTGTAATACACCTGACCTTATGAACATTATTTTGGTTTAATGTGCATAATTTACCACAGGCACATTACAAAATCTTGTGGAAAGCCTTGCCAGGAGGGTGCCGTCTGATATAGCAGCAAAGGGGTAGGGGCAACTCCATATTGACATCCGTGGTTATGGAATGGGATGTCCAACAAGCTCATATAGGTGTGATGGCCGTGTCTGGTGAGTTTCTTTTCCATTGACAAAATGTGTCATATATTGGTTTAAAAATTAGAAAGCGAGAGATGGAATTACTTCCATGTTTTCGCAATGCTCAAACACATTGCTATAAAAGAGTGGATATATCTGTACTGGGGTATAACGACTGGTTAATGCTCCTGTTTAGATGTTCGAATGTTTCTCTGTTTATCCAATATGTTTGATTGACCTGTCTTTTTCTCTGTAGCTATATAGAATTAAGAAAAGAAAGTAATATAAAATATGATCCACGTGTCTGGAATACAATGGTGATAAAATAACAAGTGATTGACAGATACAGGAGATATCTCCTCAGATAAGCTTGCACTCTTGGAGAAGATCACGAAAAACCTGGGACCATGCTGGTGTTATCAGATTGTACACCAACCACATTGAAATATGTGTGCCTAAATTACTGCAACAAGGGTCAAGGTGTTTATTTTATGTTGGTGTTAAGATTGTTAAGGCCTTTTCATTTTGAATACTGCAGCTGTAAAGTACGGACTGAGATGGAGAAGATATTCAACCAGATTTCTTTATTTTGTTAATTATTACTGGTACCAGTATTATTACTGGTATTTATATAGCGCCAGCATATTCAGTAGCGCTTTACAATATTATCAAAGGGGGGGATTTAACAATAAATGAGACAATTACAAAAACTTACAGGAACGATAGGTTGAAGAGGACCCTGCTCAAACAAACTTACAGTCTATAGGAGGTGGGTGTAAAACACAACACAACAGGAGGTAGCAACCAAACAAGGTGGACTGAAGCAGAGCTGGAGGAGAGAATAGAGTGCTGCCCTTTAGGAGAGAGCAAGAAACGGGTATGTGAGGTAGAGGTTACTCTGGGATCCATACCTGCATCAAGGCCTTTTCATTTTACTCAGAGGCTCTACCCATCCACCCTGGTTCCTTCTAACTATATTACTTGTTACTCTCACATGTTATCAGCTGCTGCAGCAGCTACTCTATTAACCCTCTCTGCCATCACATACAAATCCTTCTGTTCCCTCGTCTCAACTCCCCAGTTTAACATTTAGATTGTAAGCACACGGGCAGGGTCCTCTACCTGTTGTAACGGTCTGTTCTTATTGTGTTGTCTTTCCCAATTGTACAGCGCTCCAGAATACGTTGGCACTTTATCAATGCCAGTAATAAATAAAAATTGGGTTGAAAAATGGGTTGCCAGTCTAATACCATGTAGACTTATGCAGAAATTAGTTTGGACCAGTTTGTCGATTTGTTGGGTTGCTGCCAAAAAAATAAAAATAGCCACTCTAAGCACTTTGCATTATTACATGGTGCTCAAATCCGTTTTGTCCCAGTATACGTGCAGCATGAACACACAATAAGGAAAGAATTAAACTAGATAACCAAGTCCAATGTTTAAATGCAAACAAATATATATGCTATATTTTGTTGCGGGGAGGGGGGGGGGGAGGCTGATGGTGTGAGATTCCACCATGTTACTATTAGACCAGGACTCCGGTCTTACACATTTTAAGCGATTACCACTTCATGTATTTAAAAAAAAAAAAAATTTTTGTCCCAGATGTATCAGGATTTGGTGGACAGTCCTGTTTTAGTTTTATAGAAGTTCATAACAAGTATATCCATATATAGACAAATGACAATCACCTTAGCGCTTTTATACATCATACATTCATTAATACACAGAAAAAATGCCATCTCAGGACAGAAGTCTATGTACATAGTTAAATTACATAGAAAAGCAGGAGACCTTCATCACAGCATCACTGTGAATAACCCGCAGATGGTGTGATTAGTTCTCTAGCAAGGAAGCCTTCCACCACTTGCCAGCATATAGAGCGCTGACAATGTAATGAAGTCATCACGGATGAGGGCGGCCCTGCTTGGGGAGGTATTCCTAAAAACGGCATAGGAGGTGGTGCAGGTTGCCAGAATCCCTCAGTTATAGAGGCACTGGCACACTGGAGAAATTAACAACTGCTTCTGAATTAACAAAATACTTCCATTGTTAAATTATACATTTATTGTTTTACGAGTCTGTTTTGACAGGTGCACTTTAACCCCTTAAGGACCAAGCTTCTGAAATAATATGGAATCATGACATGTCATGTGTCCTTAAGGGGTTAAAAGCCTTGCCAAAAAAAAAAAAAATTACTAAATTGTTAAGGCCAATAATAAAAATTTTAAAAAAAAAACATCCTACACCATTCAAATCCAGTCTTTCTCTTCCTTTGTACATTGATAAAATTGCTGAAAATTTAAACAGATGGAGGTAGCTCAGATCATGATATAAAATAAACTTAACATTTTGCCTTTAGTTTTTGCAATTAACAAGATGTTTAATTGTTTAGTTTTAGAGAAACTGCATACTTTTCAAAATATTAGAGTCAAGTAGTAAGTTGTGTGAGGGTAACACGAGCATTGTAAATTATATCAGCAGGTGATATGGGGTGTAGTGGTTATGGTCCCAGGTGAGCCTTGATGCCTCTCCATCATAGGCAAGTCATTTTAGAACGACATGACTCTTTACCCGTTTTTCTGCATCCAGGCTTACAGTTCTGTGAAAGTGTGGAGCAGGGCCCCTGCAGATGCCAAAAAATAAGTCTTCCCATTGTGGAAAATCCACACTTCTGTTTTCAGGACAGTTTTATGAACTTTCTAATCATTCTCACATTAGTTTGCTGGAAGGCAGCCTAGTCCATGCACGTTACCTTTGCAAATGGTATTTTTGAAACCGATCATATTTAGAGTACAGGCTATTGGTAAAATATTCTGACAAACCTAAACCCACACGATTTCATGGCTAGAGCAGAAATGTCCAGTAACTGGAGTCTGAATTTACATATAAGCGGCTAATGGTTTGGATGGATGTCAGTTTTGTCTTTTTAAAACCAAATAAGCCGTGTCATCTCTCATCTTAGTTTGAATGTAGCAGGAATAAAAAAAAATAAACACTTTTTCCAATGGTACAAGAGTCAATCTGCTCTTGGCACAGTAAGAGTATATTAACTTCATGAACTGGGATTAAGCAAATCTCTTCTGTGGTGATTATTCTAGTCCTGCACACCGTAACAAAAGGTAAAAAGGAGAACATACCATTTATTAGAGCACACAAGCTACTATATTTAAGACTGCAAGGCCTCAATCATGTATGATAGTTAATGAACTGCTAACAGGCTGAAACATGATTACTGGGTGTGGGTGGCACATAAAATGTTTAACCCAATTTATGCTGTCAGACTGTTCCTAACGAGTTGTTCGATCATTCGTCTTGAAAAGTTGATTGAAATAATTTAAAACCTGTATATGAATTCTATGAAGATTGACCTACAGATAAGGTGCATCTCTATTATATGACTGTTTTAGTTTAACGTGTGGACACACTTTATTAAGTACAATGAACTAAGACGTAACAGATCAGCTTTAAACCAATATAATAACAAATACACGGGCTCGGGTGTCTACAAGAGATGACAAGAAGCAGAAAAGACCAATTTGACTTTTATCAGGTTATGCCATCTGAACAGTTATAAGGCAACAGAAAACGCATCAATTCCCATTAATTTAGCTGCTCCAAAAATACAGTTCTAGGCAATAACCTTCCTTTGTAGGCCTTGTAATTAAAAAGTACTTCACCAGCACAATTTAAAATAAATATAACAAAATCTAAAGAAGTGTTTTATTTCTACATATGGGACAAGAAATAAGATGTTATATAGGAGCCTGCTGCTCTCCAAGTTGATTGTTAGAGCAGACACAAACGTTGCCAGTAAAATTAAAATTTTGTTTATCCATTTTGTCCAAAAGGTCCAGTCCCAGGGAAGTGCAAAACGCAAAATAATCAGCGAGAAAAATGCTGCGGTAGCATCGTTAAAATACAAAATATTTATATTATGGAGCTATTAACACATGATCTTTGCTTGTAAAACTTTGAAACCGCACAGCTGATTTTCGTTTTGTCAAAATCAAGTCCATGTCAATTTCCAAGGATCAGCAGGTTACACTTCTCAATTTGCTTCATTCTTGGAAGCTTCATCAAAATTTTCTACAAGTTCTGTAAAGATAAAACAAAAGCACTCAGAGGAAAGAAAAAACCCTGAAAACAATGTATGCATCGGCCCATGGTGGGATAGATTAGTAAACGAATTCAGGCTGGGGAAGTTAAAACACCACGTGCCTATGGATCTAAAGGAAGAACTCAAACCCAAATTATACTCTTACCACTTATCAAGAAGCTAATGAAAACATAAAAACAGACTTAAGTACTCTAAATGGTATTCGTATTTATCAAGAACCAACAAGGTCCAGGCATCACTTAAATGTTTTAAATCCTTAATGCTAAACATTTAGCAGTTCAAACATTTTAACTGACTGAAATTTCACACACTTTTCTAAATAGCAATTAATGAACCGCAAAGATTTTCAGTCTCTGCTTTTTACAAAAAAAAAAAAAGCTTATTGTACGTTCTACATTAACCCAATATCTCCTTTGCAGAAACAGTTACTTGGCAGTACCCACAATTTGAATTATTATTTTTAAAAAGAAAGAAACTTACCAGGAACATCATCATCTTCCTCCTCTATGTCCTCTGGTTTAGGCGCTTTACTATCCAACACTGCAGAGAGAAAAAAAGTTTTTACACACACAAAAATAAAAATAAAAAAAAGCCTCACAGCTCAGGACCTGGAGAATTGTTAGCACATCTCAGTTGTAGCATAGTCACCGAATTACAGCCATGTCTCTAACAACTTCTACACATAGCCATAGCTGTAATGCCAAGACTTCCCCAGGAGCAAGGAGTTATTTTAAAACCACAAAATACCATGACATCTCATCAAAAATAAACTGATCTCTGTGCAGCGCCAACACTGTTAGCAAAAGAATGTGATTAGAATCTTTAGCGTGCATTTCCACCCTCTACTCATTCACAAATGAATAGATGAAAAACAGTCAACTGAAGTTCATTTCTGGGTCGCATCACATGTGGGGATTCACACGGATCTCACTAAAAAGCACTACTGATATTTATGTCATGCCAGTGGCATAAAATGTAAAAAAAAAACCAAAAAAAAAAACCTACTATAGATTAAAAAAAAAAACCAAAAAACAGTCACGCTAACAATTAGTGTCATTTTGCACAACACTGTTGGACACATGCTATTTGGGATTGCTGTAATCTTCATTTGGATCAGTATGGCTGTGCCTTACAACAGCTTTAACCTTGATGCAAGAGATGTGGCATTGTTTGCCATCACACTCAGACGCCAAAGAACAAGAACGATTTTGATGAAGTCATGTTGCAACTAAGCTCCAAGCCATGTCTGTGGTAGCAAAAGCAGTTAAACAGGTTTCATAATACATTCCTGTTTTATAGGAGAGTTAAAAATTATCCAGATTAACTTACACAGCGATCAAATTGGAATTACGTCTCCAAAAAAAAAAAAAAAAAAAAGTTTCTCAATACTTCAATAGCAGCTATTGAATTATTTACTGATGTGTAAAGTTGAAGAATTATAAAACACACAGTGCAGCACTCCCATGTCTAGAAAGCTATGGACATGCTTATATTGTTTCGCAGCTCATATGAGTCAGGCATACAACAAAAATAATATACACAACCCGTATCATACTGTGCAAAGAATTCAGGTGTGGTACACCATTTTTCTTTAAGTGAGATCGTAAAAATTACATGTGAATAGAATACCTAGCATATATTAGAAGAGATTTATTTCAAAAATGTAATTTAAAGATATTTACTCTGATTCAATTCCATAATAAGAACTGTGACAAGAGAAAGCAGGAGTGTCCTATAACAGGATTAATGGGAGATGTGTACATGCAGAGTAGGAAAACCTAACATAGGACGTAAAATGGAATAGACGTCAGATGCAAGCTGGTGCTATGCATTCGGCAGGCTAAGGTAGATACAGACTAAATTAAAACACAAGTTTTGTTGAAAGAAAACTTTGACACGTTGTGCTTGGTTAAACTTTGGAGAAGACAGACGGTATTGCACATCGAAAAGCAAACCTGCCTAAATTCAGCTGACAGACTAAAAATGGGATACTCACCCTGCCTGGGGAACTGTTCTGCTAACTTGCGGAGACTTGTGAGACTGTCAGCGCCCAGCTGGCTCAGGATCCCTGGGAGCATTTCTGTGATCTGTTTAACTTCTGCGTGGCCGGTGATTGCAAATGTGTTTGCTGAGAGGGAAGCTTGGACCTTGGGATTGTTGAAATGGATAACTGTGCCATCATCTTTTATCATGTTCACCTTTAGAAAGAGAAAACATGCAACATTATAAAAAGGGACAAATGTAACTGCCAACATCTCTTATAGGCAGATCGCAGAACAACTAGGAACTCTACGTGTAGTAAATTTTTGTTCAATATAATACAGAAAGCACCACAAAGTCTACAAGACTCCTGTATAATAACTTGTGGATAATAAGTCTATGTTGAATTCAACATTAGCACCATGGACCAGAGTGGTTTTCAGCTAAAAGTGGGTCTGTTAATTTTCAGCAATTTATAAAGAGTGTCTTTATGAAATACTCATAACTGCTGTGAGTTCATGGAAATTGCACTGCAATCAAGATATAAGAAAGACAGTACTACCTTGTCTTATGGGCAAAGACCAGGCTGATAAAAAGTGTAGCTTACACCATCAGCTTTTCTCAATTCCGACAGCTATTGCAAGTATTGGCAGCGAGGGTAGGGTCTTGTTATAGTACATGTATACTTTTGAAGTCTTTTTATAGAGGTTCGGGTGACTTTATAGCTAAGTGCTCTCCGTGTTCATTGAGATTCACCATTTTATTAAGCACTGTTTTTGTGATTTTGTTAATTGGAATTATGGGTGTGAAAATATATTTAGAAACTAGTAATTACAGCACACTAGTTTTTTTGAGCATCATGGGTCCTCTGTGCTGACTCTCACGCAATCCAGAAAGTCATTACAGGTCTAAGGGAGCTGCAGCAGGTCCTTCATAGGAACGCGCCATTAGGCAGGCATTCTGCTTAGATGGTGGCATTGTGAATGAAGACCCAGCGGGACATTACAGAAAAAAGGTAACTTGCACTGGGGCCAATAATGGTTGTGTCTGTGTGTGAATGTAATTTGATGACTGAGCTGCTTCAGCCAACTGTATAGAGCGAAATACAATATGCATAGTAACAGCTGTAGTGTCAAAAGGTTAACCATTAATAATCTTTAAAGAATTATCTACAACTTTGCAGCTCTTTATGGGAATTGCGGTTAAGGAATTGGCACTCACCCTAAATGATCACAGAAAGATTTATGAACAAGACAAATAACAGTGGAAAGAAATTGGTCTACTAAACATGACTAGGTACACCCAATGGTGACACATTGTGGGACATAAGGCCTGTGAAGGTCGAACATCTAATGACAACTTTAAACCATGCTTTGCTAGGACTAAAAATAACCCTGGCACAGTTACCTCTTCAGCAGTATTTTATTCCAAACCCCTCGACACATTTACAGTGATGCAAACTATTCAATCTACAAAAGGTTTCTGAAGGTGGATAATAAGCACCCTTAATGTGTGTGCATATGAATGTCTTTACGGAGATAGCTTTAATTAAGGAAAACTATTCCTGATGGCTACTACTCTGCCGCTTCCACATTCCTCTCATCGGGAAAAAAAAAAGCCCTCTTGTTCTAATACACAACAGAAAAATATATTTTTATGGTTTCCAAATAAAGGATTGTTGCATTTCTGCTATGACCACTTGGGTGTAAAATGAAACACACAGACTAGCAATCTACACAGGGCAACATCTGATTATTTCAAAAGATTTATACGTTTTATTATAAAGAACAATATACGAGGGGTTAAAAAAAAAAAAAAAAAAACTATTTAGAGAGGAGTGTAGTACCTAACAGTTGTACAGTAGCAATGAATATCACTGCACTACAAGGGCTGACAATCCATGTGGCACCACAAAAAAAAACAACTAAATAAAAAGAAATAACTGATAAGGGAAAGACATAAAATATATATGTTATTCAAAGATCAAATGAGAAATGACCATTAGCGGGGGGAAAAGGTGGGAGTAGAATATAAATGAAATAAATATATATTTACATATTTAAGATAGATATATATTTTTTACTGCTGCTTCTCCGCCTCCCTGGGTTACTGCTCACTTGATCTGTACACCAAAGGACAGGAACATGCACCTATTTTGCAGTACACCATAGTTGCATTGCATGCACCTTTTTGGCTTGTCTTACTTTTTTTTTTTTTTTTTTTTTAAAGTTCCTCAGAGACAACACTAATTATCTGAGGTGCCAAATCTCAAAAATGGTCTTTAAAAAGACACTTTAGGCACCCAGACCACTTCATCTCACAAACTGGTCTTGGTGCCATGTCCAACTTGTTTTAACCCTGTAATGTAAAAACATTGCTGTTCTGCAGTTACAATTTGCCAGTTAAATGGCGGATCTAACTAGCCGATATACTCAACAAATTCATTTTCACTTTAGTGAATAACTATTATCAGGAAAGGTAGCCAAACTGAAAGCACAGCATACGGTCTTCAAATTGGGTTACTTTGGCAATATTCATGACAATTCTTACTTTGGTGACTAAATATTTTTTTTAAAAAAAGCTCCACCAATGGTCATGCTAATGGCACTTCATTATTACAGACACTTTCTTTTATTCAACACTAACAAAGTTCTTTATTTTCATCTGTATTTCATTTATATGTTCCTGCAATCCCTCCTGCGTTACCCCCTCATGACCACAGATTAACAGCGCGAATGACAACTGCGGTGTAACAAAGCAAAATCTAAAAATGTCATTTTTGAAAAAATTTGTCACAAAACTGATGTCCACTAAAAATAACCTACCTGAACAGCACTGCAGAACATGCTGGTGATATGAATGCGATAAATTCATATAATAAGAAGCCTTACCTCCTCGATGCCAGCAATATTATTTACTGCTAGTTTCTTCAGAGAACTCTGAAGTTTTTTGTCATCAGCAGTTGCTGTCCTGTGTACAACCTTCTTCTTTCTGCGGGCTGTACCCTGGAGAGCAGAACACAATGTAATTTCCAAGTTAGAGTTTAAGGTTAATGGAATATATTTTGTACACTGTTATAGATCACAAGTGTTAGAGAATGTTTCTAAAGCTCCTGCTACTGTGGAGTACAGTGTGCCGACATGCAATTATGAAGACATACTGCCCATGCCAACAGCAGCATAAGGCCATTAAAGATGTTAAATTACAGCAGCAGAGCATACAGAGCAATCCTCGATACTTTGTGCTAGAAGGACAATCCAAACAGAACAGGAAGGCTAATTAGGAATTAATTTGCTTAAAGGGCACGCTAAGCAATTTTACCATTATAGTGCACTGTAGTGGTTATGGCCAGGAGCCCCACAATATGTTGTCAAATTGTTTATGACCAGTGTTTGACACTTACCTGGCTCTGTCAGCTACCCACTACCCTAGTCTGCACTGATACGCTAATGCAGAAATTCATACTTTGCATTATCACTATCAATTTTGTGCCCCTCTGAATGTTTTCAATTGGCAGAGAGTATCAGTAGTCAGGTCTCTTTAGTTAGATCAGGGATTAAGTTGGAGTGCCCAACAACCACTATCATAAATCATGTCTGGAGCTTAGGAAAACTTGCAAGACAGATGATTGTACTTTTTCTCTTAATATATATTACACAAAACTAGAGGCAACAGCCACAGTGGCTAATTTTGCCATTGTGGGACTGCGTGACCCCTGCCATAGAAATGGGACAGTAAATATTCAGTGTTAAATACATTTCCCTATTTATTTTTGCAGTAAAGAAAAATCTGCAGCACTACAAATGCATCTTGAAAGGGATTCTATATAGTGTCAGAAATATGACTTATTCCTAACACTATGGTGCCCCTTGGTATAATCCCTCCCTAGCGGACCCTCGACATTCCACCTGCTCCGAAGTGAGACCTAATGAGCATGCACTGCGAGCGTGTTAGGCCCTCCCCTTGGAAAAGCACTAAGTTAATGCTTTCTTATTCGGATTTTACAAACACTCAATGTCCTCACGTAGAGCGTGAGCACAGAAATGAAAAATAAATGTTACTGAACTCCATTTATTCAAGAGAATTATACTTTTCTATTAAAAGAAAGAGGCTGCTAGCTTACTTTTTCAGGGGAGTACGTTAAAATCGACACTAACCTTGCCCCCTATTCGGACTTGTGCCTGCAGCTTTGCGAGTTTTTCTTGATTCATGATGAGTCTGAAACAAAAAAAAAAGCAATACACAGTGAAAACCCAGCACAGTTACTTGCAACTTTAACCATGAAAGAATTTTAAGTTCATCAATGAACAGTTTTGCAAATCCCCTATTGCTGTGGTACAATACAGTATGATCAACTTGTGGTCTGTTTCTCATAAGGATGATGGACACAGAAGTAAACTAATGTAATCAGAGTTAACTGAAACCAAACAATCTATTAGGGCACAACATTGTCAAGGATGCACACTGATCTAAGATATACAAAGGATATTTGTAAACTAGATGAAGGATGCAGGGATAAATTACATAAAATCAGTCTAAACTTGTATAACTCCAACAATATATTTATGCGTGAAAGGTACACTCGAAGTACCATAAACACTACAGCATTCTGTAGCGCTTATGGTGCTTGGCACCCTTTCCAAATATAGTGTTTGAAATACAAAGCTATATTCCTAACACTATAGTGTCGCTACTCCCAGTGGCACAAAGGATTAAAAACCCTTTATTCATCTGATTCCAGCACTGATTTCCCTCGGAGCTGGGTCCGCCAACGTCATCTGATGGGGGGCCAGAATGTGCATGCGCAGAGAGTGCCGCTCGTGCATTAGGACATCCCCTTAGGAAAGCATTTACTCCATTTTCTCCTATGGGAATTTCACTGAAGCTGGATGTCCGCATGCAGTGCAAGGGAGTCAGACTTCGTTAAAATCCACGATGTGCCTCAAGTGGCTATCAGGAAGCCAGTCACTAAAGACAATGTTCTCAATAACTGCAATTTATTACATTTCAGGACAAATGGGAACAGGGACATTGCTCCCAGAATTCAATGAGATGAAGTGGCCTGGGTACCTATCGTGTCCCGGCAATTGCAAACAGCCTAACAACTTATCTGGTGTGCCAGTCACGTCTTCTGATAGCCAGAAGCTCTCTGTACAGCACTAAAACAATCAGCTGGCACTGCATGACATATTTTGGAAAGGTAAAAGCTCTTATGATTAGCTTCCAGTCTCAATAGAGTAAGTGACCTGAATCTGGCCAGCACCATGACTACAGAACGTTATAGTTGTCATGGCCCTAAAATGGACACTACAGACCACTTCAGCTCATTAAAATGGTCTGGATGCAGGGTCCCAGGTCCATTAACTCTGAAGTTGTATTTATTGCAGTTTTTAATACACTGCAATAATTACCTACCAGGGTTTACTCCACCTCTAGTGGCTGTCTAGAGGGACTTCTGGGTCGTCAAATATGATGATCTCAGCCATTAAGGTGAGTAAAAAGTCATGTTTTTAAAAGAGGGTCTTAACCTAAATACCTATCTAACCACCATAGTGCCAGGAATACGTATTTTCCTTTACGTGCCCTACATGACTGATTTGGTGCAATAACAATGGGAACCATTAGAACATCACTTAACATTGAACACCTTGCACTCAAAATAGCCCCCTTTATTCATTCTAAACCCTCCCCCTATCTTGAAGTCCCTTGGCATGCTGGACCCTTTTTTTTTTTTTTAAAAAGAAGTGTGTATGTTGCCATATTCAGCTTGTGTTAGGTATGGTTGTTGCAATTGCTTGGCTGTGTTGTATTTGTGTGTATGTGGGCTGTTACATTGTATATGTTCATGAGTAGTTTGTGGTTTTGTGCATGACAAGGCTTGACAAATTTGTTTGGAATCTAAGCAACAGCTTTTATTTTATTAAACTAACAGTTTAATTTTCAACAAGAAAACTGCAATTCTTAAAGAAACTCTAGTCACCAGAAACCCTACAGCTTAATGTAGTCTGTCCCTGCTGGCTTTTCAGAGAAAAAAAAAAAGCAGTGTTTACATTGCTTCCTAGTAATACCTCTAGTGGCACTCACTCAGACGGCCACTAGAGGTGATTCATAGTCCACTGCTGCACAGTGCACATACGTTCAGCGTCTCCATGCTCTAAGTAGAGGAGCTGAATGTTCCCCTATAGAGATGCACTGATTCAACATGTCTCTATAAGGAGATGCTGATTTATGCCGCATTTTGCTACGCATGCTCAATATCCTTCCAGTGCTTTCCTATGGGAAATCATTGGCTTAGCAGAGATCATAAAGACTGATGATCCCAGCCACTGAAGCAGGGGGAAAAAAAATAGGGAGTAAAAACAGATTTCTCATGCGATCGGAGGGGACAGGTACCTAAACACATTTTCTCACACACTCAAAAACCTGACATCTTTAATTTAAATCCACCCAGCCTTCCTACCATTGGGAGAGCTGAGTGGATCCTTTCCACTGCACTCTAATCGATCTGCAGTTCCTCTCTACCCCATTGTGCGTACTCTGTAGTGACGTCATATTCCAGCTCCCGGCATTGCAAAACTGTGTGCGATGGAGCGGAGAGGAACTGCAGGAAGATTACTGCTCCTTCGCTAAAGAGCTAACAAATCCCAGGATGAAAATTCTAGTCTCCATTGAGACATGGATTTTGTCGAGTCCTGGTGTATTATTCTGCAGCTCTGTATATCTAGCAGTGTGGCTGGCTTCTCTGAGGTCAGTGGGTACCAGGCAGGATCTGCTATAGCTGCTGCAGTCTGCTCTACTTCAGTGCAGATTTCCAATCATAAGTGCTGGGAGGAAGTTATCTGAGGTCACTAGACTACTTTTTGCACCAGTAGATACCTGAAGTTCCACTGGGACACCTGATAGACCATAGCAGCATTGCGAGCTGTGCAAATGCACCTCAAATGACAGAACTGAAACACCAACTTTATGTAAGTATGGATTTCAATAAATAAATTATTTCATAAGAATCCTCGAGTTCTGGCTCAATAAAGAGATAGATATATATATATATACACACTAATTTCACAAACACTGGAGAGGTAGATGGTATGAAGTACCAGTTTTCCCAGATCTCAAGGTTAGGAAAACTGAGCTTTTCAACTGTAAATTAACTAAGACTATTTTTTAAAATTTTAAGCCAAAATGTTATTTAAAAAAACAAAACTTGCAATATTAAACAAAATTAAAATTGAATGTCCCAGATTATATTATATAATGTAGAACAAAATTAAAATTTAAATGAGCCTAGTCAACCATAAATGGATATATAATCAGGAAAGTAACCTATGCAGTTTCGCTGCATTCATGTTGCAATTCCACATTACTTTGTGCAGATCATTATCTATAGTACTTCATATTCCCACCGATGGCCGGTCAGTACTCCCGGGGACAGAGCGCGCCGGTGGCTTCCAGTACCCGGGATAGGCTGCGCCAGCCGGGTGGCTTCCAGTCAGTACCCCGTGGACAGGAAGGCCACCGGGTGCGGTCGGTCAGTACTCGACAGGGCGCCAGCCGGTATCGCGTCAGTACCTCTGTGATGAAGCGCCGGTGGCCGGTCAGTACTCCCGGGGACAGTGCGCGCCGGTGGCCGGTCAGTACTCCCGGGGACAGGGCGCGCCGGTGGCCGGTCAGTACTCCCGGGGACAGGGCGCGCCGGTGGCCGGTCAGTACTCCCGGGGACAGGGCGCGCCGGTGGCCGGTCAGTACTCCCGGGGACAGGGCGCGCCGGTGGCCGGTCAGTACTCCCGGGGACAGGGCGCGCCGGTGGCCGGTCAGTACTCCCGGGGACAGGGCGCGGGGATGGCCGGTCAGTACCCGGGGACAGGGCACGGGGATGGCCGGTCAGTACCCGGGGACAGGGCGCGGGGATGGCCGGTCAGTACCCGGGGACAGGGCACGGGGATGGCCGGTCAGTACCCGGGGACAGGGCACGGGGATGGCCGGTCAGTACCCGGGGACAGGGCACGGGGATGGCCGGTCAGTACCCGGGGACAGGGCACGGGGATGGCCGGTCAGTACCCGGGGACAGGGCACGGGGATGGCCGGTCAGTACCCGGGGACAGGGCACGGGGATGGCCGGTCAGTACCCGGGGACAGGGCACGGGGATGGCCGGTTAGTACCCGGGGATAGGGCGCGGGGATGGCCGGTTAGTACCCGGGGATAGGGCACGGGGATGGCCGGTTAGTACCCGGGGATAGGGCACGGGGATGGCCGGTTAGTACCCGGGGATAGGGCGCGGGGATGGCCGGTTAGTACCCGGGGATAGGGCGCGGGGATGGCCGGTTAGTACCCGGGGATAGGGCACGGGGATGGCCGGATAGTACCCGGGGATAGGGCGCGGGGATGGCCGGATAGTACCCGGGGATAGGGCGCGGGGATGGCCGGATAGTACCCGGGGATAGAGCGCGGGGATGGCCGGTTAGTACCCGGGGATAGAGCGCGGGGATGGCCGGATAGGGTACAATACTGAGCGCCCTGTGATATGAAGCCAGACCGAGGCCCCGGCGATCTCCCAGCAGGCTCCGTGCCCGGGCTCCCCATCCCTCCCTCTCTCCCTCCGGTAACGCAGAGCCCGCGGAGCCCCGGCCGGTGTGATGACGGACAGGGGAGGACCCGGAGCGGACCCGGGAGAGGAACTCACCTGACTGAGCAGCTTCGCACCAGCACGAGGCAATCAAGATGGCGCCGGCAGTAAGAGAGAGGAGGGACGCTGCGTCCGCACAGACGCGGGAGGCGGGGCTACCAGAGGTCGCGGTGACGTCACGCACACTAATGTTTTCCTGAGCAACCGCAGGTGCAAGGCTCACTAATGGGGCTGTAAGAGCTTCTCCCGTGATGCTCCGCGGTGGTTGCTAGTTCCGCCATGTTTGTCCCGGGCAGGGTTTCCATCTGCTGCCCTACACACTATGTATGTGGAGAGTCCCTGATCTCTGAATAGCACAATGTGGAAAAAACAGCTGGCCTGATATCATACCCTCAGTGTGGGATATCACCCCCTCAGTGTGGGATATTACACCCTCAGTGTGGGATATTTCACCCTCAGTGTGGGATAATACACCCTCAGTGTGGGATAATAGTGTGGGATAATACACCCTCAGTGTGGGATATTACCCCCTCAGTGTGGGATATTTCACCCTCAGTGTGGGATATTACCCTCAGTGTGGGATAATACACCCTCAGTGTGGGATAATACACCCTCAGTGTGGGATAATACACCCTCAGTGTGGGATAATACACCCTCAGTGTGGGATATTACCCCCTCAGTGTGGGATATTTCACCCTCAGTGTGGGATATTACCCTCAGTGTGGGATAATACACCCTCAGTGTGGGATAATACACCCTCAGTGTGGGATATTTCACCCTCAGTGTGGGATATTACACCCTCAGTGTGGGATAATACACCCTCAGTGTGGGATAATACACCCTCAGTGTGGGATATTTCACCCTCAGTGTGGGATATTTCACCCTCAGTGTGGGATATTACACCCTCAGTGTGGGATATTTCACCCTCAGTGTGGGATAATACACCCTCAGTGTGGGATAATACACCCTCAGTGTGGGATATTACCCCCTCAGTGTGGGATATTTCACCCTCAGTGTGGGATATTACCCTCAGTGTGGGATAATACACCCTCAGTGTGGGATAATACACCCTCAGTGTGGGATATTTCACCCTCAGTGTGGGATAATACACCCTCAGTGTGGGATATTTCACCCTCAGTGTTGGATATTACACCCTCAGTGTGGGATAATACACCCTCAGTGTGGGATATTACCCTCAGTGTGGGATATCACACCCTCAGTGTTGGATATCACACCCTCAGTGTGGGATATTACCCTCAGTGTGGGATATTACCCTCAGTGTGGGATATCATACCCTCAGTGTGGGATATTACCCCCTCAGTGTGGGATATTTCACCCTCAGTGTGGGATATAACACCCTCAGTGTGGGATATTTCACCCTCAGTGTTGGATATTACACCCTCAGTGTGGGATATTACACCCTCAGTGTGGGATATTTCACCCTCAGTGTGGGATATTACACCCTCAGTGTGGGATATTTTACCCTCAGTGTGGGATATTTTACCCTCATTGTTGCATATTTTACCCTCAGTGTTGGATATCATTCACCTAATTGTTGCCATTTGGATCTAAATTCAAGCTGTTTAATAAAGAGTAAATAGTCAGGAATTCAAATGGGATTTCACGTTTTAGGCAATAATAACCAATCACAAACATGAACTCCAATAATAAAAAGGGTTACTCCAAGCACCATGACCACTTTAAAGTGATTTGAAGTGGTTATGGTGTCTGGAGTTTATATGTGCAGTATATTGAAACTCAATTTCCAGCAGCATACAATGTGCGGAACTAGAGGGTGTTTTTTTTGGAGGTTAATGTCAATTCTGTGCATATTCTTTGCATGTTCCAGCACTGGACTTCATTACTGTTCACTGGAGGACCCAAAGCGCCTGTCGGGGACCCAGGTATGACGGCAAACCGCTGCAAAACCCTGTTGGCCCTGTTACCGCTAAATGGGCCAAGGCACTAATGCAGACTTTGATGGTTGGACTAACCCTTTAACTCCAAATTGTAATACATTGTAACCTAAATGACATAATGTTATCACAGCGTGAATATTTGCAAATTTCAGGGCCAGAGTTTGGACATCCCTGAAGTGCAGTTAAGAGGTTTCTAAATGAACCTGCTAGTTGGCTTTGAGAATGGTTCCAGTACCGTTACTAAAACTTGAAATTCACTTTGAATTCAAAGCAATTTACACTTTAGGGGGGAAATACTGCAATTAACCCATAATTGACAATGGACAGTGAATGGCTGATATGTACTTGGTGACAAAGGTTATACAGTGCTATTTAAAGCCGTTCTTGCTGCAATTGATGAAACTGTGGAGAGTCATAAATGGGTCGCAAGAGAATACTGAGAACGGGCAGCAGCTGAAATAGCCTGCCCTTCGGTCGGTCCCCGCTCAGTTCTCAAGCTGATTTTTGCTCATCTTGTGCCATTACAGAGAGAACATATCTGAAGCATATCAGACTGGTCCCACCCATACGGGCAGTCCAGATCCGAAACGCCAGCAAGTTCTCTCTGCACGAGAGATACAGCAACCCCAGACGATAGTTTCAGCCTTGTTAGGCATCATCAGTGAGGCATAGTTGATATCTCCCTAGGCACCGTAAGCAAAGGGTCCACGTCTGGATTATCCCTTTAAACTTGTGGAGAGTCAAAAATGGGTCGCAAGAGAATACTGAGAATGAGCAGCAGCTGAAATAGCCTGCCCTTCGGTTGGTACCCGCTCAGTTCTCAAGCTGATTTTTGCTCATCTTGTGCCATTACAGAGAGAACATCTCTGAAACATATCACAGAAATAGAATTCTGGAAGCTCCCACATGCATACAGTTACTAGAGCAGCTAAGCCCAGCAATGAAATGCTTATCACTGGCAGCCATTGTTGGGGACCACTATTTGTGCTGTGCTGTTACTGGAAGCCTCATCACTAAAGATTCCAGTAAAGGCTTAGAATTTCAGAGAAACAAGATAGAATCTCTGTGGCAGTCTGTCCCAGCTATTCTATGCCGACAGGGACAGTTGATACCCGACTGTAATGTCGACAGCTAGGATCAGCTGTCACAGATCTATTACTGGCCTTACTAGGGATTTAAGTGCGTTGACACAGATATTATCGCTTCAGCAAATAGCATCTCTGGGAAGCAAGCACAGAAGTATGTGAAAACTAGGGCATGTCTCTAATTTGACCCTCTAAGTTCCCCAAAAATGTGTTAAAGGTATACATACGAGGCACTTATATACTTTGGATATGCAGCAAAATAAAGATCTGGAGTCTTTAAAGGGTTACTCCAACCACCATGACCACTTCAGTGATTTGAAGTAGTCATGGTGGTATGAGTATGTATGTGCAGTGTTTAGGTGTGCCAGGGGCTAGTTGCTTCCCCGGCACATGTTACTAAGGAAGCCCAGAACTCTGTTCCAAACTGCCTCATGTCATTTCTGTGCATATTTTACACCTATTGTTGGCGACAGACATGGTAATCTTCTCCCTTGCAGGCAGAGCACCTTAAAGGGGAAAACTACTATCCCTCCCCTCCCACTTACAGAGCGCTCCCTTCCACCATTGCAGAGTTCTGCTCAGATTGTGCGCATGTGCTCTGAGCTAGCGAAACTGTCCAATCCCAGGCTTATCTATGAGAAGTCAGTGATTGGATCTTGCGTAGCTGTGTTGATGTCACAGAGATGTCAGAAAGAGCAAAGTGGCACTGGGTGACCCTTTAAAATAGTAGGACATACAAAGCCTGTGAAATTCCCCATGAAATTGCAATGAATTTACACTGATTATCCACAACATTAAAACCAAACGCTTAATATTCTGTATCCCCCCCTTGTGCTGCTAAAACAGCTCTGATGTGTTGAGGCATGGACTCCTCTGATCGTTTCCGGTGGTATCTGGTACCAAAACATTACCAGCAAATTCTTTAAGTCCTGCAAGGTTTCCCAGCAGAATATTGCCCAGAGCATAACACTGCCTCCGCCGGCCTGTCTTCCCACAGTGCATCCTACTACCACCTTTTCCCCAGGTAAATGACACACACGCACCCGGTCATCCACCTGATCTAAAAGAAAATGTGATTCATCAGACCAGGCAGTTTTCTTCCACTGCTTCATGGTCAAGTTCAGACACTCTTGTCCCTATTGAAGGCACTTTCGGCAGTGGACAGGGGTCATCATGGGCACTCTCAGTGTGTCTGCAGCTACCGAGCCCCATATTCAGCAAACTGCAATGCACTGTGTGTTCGTACACCTTTCTATCATGGCCAGCATTAAGTTTTTAAGCAATTTAAGCTTCTGTGTGATCGGACAAGACTAACTAACCTCTACTAACCATGTGCATCAATGAACTTTGAGCGCCCATGACCCTGACGCCAGTTCACCAGATTGTCCTTCCTTGCACCACTTTTGGTAAGTACCAACCAGTGCAAGGAACACCTAATAAGCTATATATATATATGTGTGTGTGTAAGTGTGTTTGTGTATAATGTTTTCAATTCAGTAAGCCTAAAATTCTAAATCCACTTTGAATTCCTAACATTTCCATCTTTAGTGAATAACCCAGGCAGTCAAGGTTCCCAAACTGTATGCTGCGGACAGGGGTGCCGTGGAATGTTTCCCCGGTGCTATATTTATAGCACCGGGGAAACATTACTGCTGAACACGGCCGGGTCGGGTGCCGCGGTCTTTTAAAGGGACACTGCAGGCACCCAGATAACTTCAGCTCATTTAAGTTGTCTGGGTGCTGTGTCCCTTTTGCACTTAGTGCTGCAATGTTAAACATTGCAGTTCCAGAGAAACTCTGTTTACTTTGCAGCTCTAAGTCTGCCCTCAGTGGCTGCCTACCAGACAGCGACTAGAGGGACTTCCGGAATCCAAATGAACTTTTCGCCCGTTATCTGAAGCTGGACGTCCTCACGCTCTGCATGAGGACCTCCAGCATCAGATTTTCCCCATAGGAAAGCATTCGCATTAGGTCTCCCCCACTGGCTGACATCGGCGGGGGAGGAGTGTGTGCAGAGCCTGACCCAGCGGTGAGGGATATCGGCGCTGGATTCAGTTAAGTGACTGAAGGGGTTTTAACCCAAACCCCCTCAGCCCCGCGAGAGAGGGGCACCTTTTAAACTTATAGTGTCAGGAAAACAGCTTTGTGTTCCTGGCACTATAGGATCCCTTTAAGACTGCGACCGAGCACCTGTAATGTCGGCCGGCTGGGAGATAGTGACAGCCTGTCAATTCCTCCCAGCGTCATGCAGGGAGAAAGCAAGGGAGGGAGAGGAGCATTGAAGAACTCTAGACCCCTCACTCCCACTAGGAGCAGGACAAGGGCTCCAAGCCACCCTTCTGGACACACAAGGTAAGCTAACAGGAGGGTGGCTGGAGATGTGTGTGTGTGTGTGTATATATATATATATATGTATATATATATATATATATATATATCCCATTGTACAGCGCTACGGAATTTGTTGGCGCTATATAAATAATAAAATAATAATAATAATATATATATATATACAACCTAGAAGCCTTGGAAAAATATTGAAATATTAAGGGCGCCTAGAACCTAAAAGGTTTGGTTACCACTGTTACAGAGTATACCAGAAATGTACAAGGAATATCAGATTGCAGGTAAAAAATTGCTGACCTGGAAAACGACCATAATTTACTAATCTATTTGTTTGCCCTAATTGCTTGGAATTTCCAAACTGAGACAGACCGGATTAGCCGTGGTGGGAGTTTCAGTCCCACTGACAGCTAGATTGCACTAGATAGAAGATAATGTAATCAGCAATTCTGTGGGAACGTTCTAAAAGTGATGCAGTCACCATAGAAACAATGGAACGTTGATAAGGATTGATCCAGATTTAGAACGTTGCCCCAGGATAACTCCTGGCTCAGAATCCTTGGATCCTTACCAGTGTTTCTCCACCAGGAGATCTTCAGCTGTTTAGCAGAGCGCCTCAGAAAGCACTACCCCCAGGCAGGGGGCGGCTATTCCTCCTTCTGTTCCGCCTCCATCCGGTTCACATCACTTCCCCGGACTATTCCCCTGCTCGAGCCTGACATGGTGTGTGTGTCTCGGGATCTAGCTGTGCTCACAGCCGGCGTCCTTCTCCTGGTACTGGGGACCTTCCTGGTGTCGGCGGAGGAAGGACTAGGCCGGGGTATGTTCTTTCTTGGTGTTAGGCAGAGAGGGGTTTTACAACCAAACTGTATGAGCTATAATATGGGAAAGGGGCATTTTGGGGGTCGTGGTGGGGGAGGGTAAGAAATGGCCATAGAAATTGGGGAAAGCCAAAAAGTAGTACCAGCTGTTGCAGACACTGCCAAAGCATCATGGGAGTTGTAGTTCTGCAATAGCTGGAGGTCTATCGTTTGTCCTCCTCTAGAGTACCTGAAGTCCAGGTGAGCTTTTGGATGATTTAGTCTTTTTAATGTAGATTGTTCTATAGGACATTTACAGAGTGCAAGTGTGAATGGCCCCAAAGGTGGCAATCTTGTTATAAAGAATATAATCGTAGAAAATGGGGGTCCATGGGGCTAAGCCAGTGTTGGCTAAAATGCCTTGGCACTGTGTAGGGGTTTCCACAGATTTATTTTTGCCCAGGTGGGGGCAAAGCCATTCTCTGTATGGGCACCTTTTTAAAAGAACACTCTAACATAAATATATTTAATTTTTATGTTCGTGTTTGTTTTTAAAACATTTTTTTTTTTACTTAGATTAAGAGCACCTCTATGGAAATATTTAAAAAATAAATAAATAAATACAACTCACCTTTTATCCACTACACCTGCTGTGAGATTATTTATTGCTGCTTGTCTACTGTCCAACAGAGAATCATATGGCTCGTGGAGTACCAAAAGTTAGCTATTACTGGACTGAACATTGCATGCTCTCTTTAAAATGAATACCTGGCATGCATATTGATTAAACACTTAAAAAAATAAATCACCTGTAGAGTTATTCACTAAACTGTGAATATTTGGTCAATATAATCAAACTGAAAATATTGCTGCTTTTTAAATTTACCCCATGTAGGGGTTTAAAACACTGACACTAGTGTTTTTCACTAAATGGTGAATAAAAAGTCAGCAGTGTAGTATGGTTGTATTGCCCCCCCCCCCCAAAAAAAAAACAACAATTCTAATTAGGGATCGACCAATATAGATTTTTTTAGAGTCAATAACGATACCGATAATCTGTGAACTTTCAGGCTGATAGTTTACCGATATTCTGTACATTTACCGTATTTTTTAAAATATTTTTGCAAATCTTTTTTTTTTATTATTAAGTGGTAAATACACAAAATATACATGCCGGTCAGATTTTTGTAATGTTTTTAAGAATATTTATATGTGTGTGTGTAGTGGATGCAGTGAGAGTATTTGATTAGTAAATGCAGTGTGTTTGTGTAGTGGATGCAGTGTGGGTTTTTGTGTGTAAATATGTGCGGTAGGAACTCCACTCCTCCCCACCACTTACCTGTCTCTTAGTGCCCACCCCATTCTCCTGTTCCTCTCCCTTCTCTTTTAGTGATCCACCCCAGTGTTCCTTTTCCATGTCCTCCCTTAATGTTCCTCTCTCCCCCCTAGTGTTTTTCACCCCCCTCCACTGTCCCATAGTGTTCTTCATATATAATATATCATATATAATATTTTTATTAGTGATATTGCAGAAGGTCTTGATGGTAAGGTATGTCTTTTTGCTGATGATACTAAAATATGTAACAGGGTTGATGTTTCAGGAGGGATAAGCCAAATGGCAAATGATTTAGGTAAACTTGAAAAATGGTCAGAATTGTGGCAACTGACATTTAATGTGGATAAGTGCAAGATAATGCATCTTGGACGTAAAAACCCAAGGGCAGAGTACAGAATATTTGATAGAGTCCTAACCTCAACATATGAGGAAAGGGATTTAGGGGTGATTATTTCTGATGACTTAAAGGTAGGCAGACAATGTAATAGAGCAGCAGGAAATGCTAGCAGAATGCTTGGTTGTATAGGGAGAGGTATTAGCAGTAGAAAGAGGGAAGTGCTCATGCCATTGTACAGAACACTGGTGAGACCTCACTTGGAGTATTGTACACAGTACTGGAGACCGTATCTTCAGAAGGATATTGATACCTTAGAGAGGGTTCAGAGAAGGGCTACTAAACTGGTTCATGGATTGCGGGATAAAACTTACCAGGAAAGGTTAAAGGATCTTAACATGTATAGCTTGGAGGAAAGACGAGACAGGGGGGATATGATAGAAACATTTAAATATATAAAGGGAATCAACACAGTAAAGGAGGAGACTATATTTAAAAGAAGAAAAACTACCACAACAAGAGGACATAGTCTTAAATTAGAGGGACAAAGGTTTAAATATAATATCAGGAAGTATTACTTTACTGAGAGGGTAGTGGATGCATGGAATAGCCTTCCAGCTGAAGTGGTAGAGGTTAACACAGTAAAGGAGTTTAAGCATGCGTGGGATAGGCATAAGGCTATCCTAACTATAAGATAAGGCTAGGGACTAATGAAAGTATTTAGAAAATTGGGCAGACTAGATGGGCCGAATGGTTCTTATCTGCCGTCACATTCTATGTTTCTATGTTTTACCCCCCTCCACTGTCCCATAATGTTCTTCACCCCCCTCCACTGTCCCATAGTGTTCTTCACCCCCCCTCCACTGTCCCATAGTGTTCTTCATCCCCCCTCCACTGTCCCATAGTGTTCTTCACCCCCCTCCACTGTCCCACAGTGTTCTTCCAGCCCCTCCACTGTCCCATAGTGTTCTTCACCCCACCTCCCCGGTCCCATAGTGTTCTTCACCCCACCTCCCCGGTCCCATAGTGTTCTTCACCCCACCTCCCCGGTCCCATAGTGTTCTTCACCCCACCTCCCCGGTCCCATAGTGTTCTTCACCCCACCTCCCCGGTCCCATAGTGTTCTTCACCCCACCTCCCCGGTCCCATAGTGTTCTTCACCCCCCTCTTTCCTGTCCCATAGTGTTGTTCACCTCCCCTCTTCCCTGTCCCATAGTGTTGTTCACCTCCCCTCTTCGCTGTCCCATAGTGTTCTTCACCACCCTCTGCCCTGTCCCATAGTGTGCTTGACCACCCCTCTGCCCTGTCCCATAGTGTGCTTGACCACCCCTCTGCCCTGTCCCATAGTGTGCTTGACCACCCCTCTGCCCTGTCCCATAGTGTGCTTCACCACCCCTCTGCCCTGTCCCATAGTGTGCTTGACCACCCCTCTGCCCTGTCCCATAGTGTGCTTGACCACCCCTCTGCCCTGTCCCATAGTGTGCTTGACCACCCCTCTGCCCTGTCCCATAGTGTGCTTGACCACCCCTCTGCCCTGTCCCATAGTGTGCTTCACCACCCCTCTGCCCTGTCCCATAGTGTGCTTGACCACCCCTCTGCCCTGTCCCATAGTGTGCTTGACCACCCCTCTGCCCTGTCCCATAGTGTGCTTCACCACCCCTCTGCCCTGTCCCATAGTGTGCTTCACCACCCCTCTGCCCTGTCCCATAGTGTGCTTCACTACCATCGGATCATCGGCCAATAATATCGGCAAAACTGATAATTGGTCGATCCCTTATTCTAGTAGTTCAAGGTGAATTTTAAATGTAAGGCTAAAATGTAAACGTATAGCCACACTGAACACATAAGTGACTTCTAATTCCGAATTTTTCTAAGTCTATTATTTGACCCAATTTTTAAAATGCTCTTTAAATTCTTTACAATTCTCACTTAAGTGCATAACCCTGTGAATTTTAGTAAATTGAAAAGCGAATGCAATTGTGACTATAGTTGCATTTGATAATTTTTCCAGAGCAGCCTTATAATGGAACACTTCAAATAACCTAAACCACAATCGACCTGCTGTAGTAGTTATAGTGACAGCAGTGCCCTGGCTCCCTCCCAGAGTAAGTAGTGAAACCATTTGAGAATGGTTGGGCACCTTACATGGGTCCCGCCAGGTGCCTGCTACCACCTCCCTTGCTGCCGGATGCTCCTGTTTACTAAGCTAAACCTGGCTAGGCAGTGCCAGGCTTGTTGGAAGAGGATGCTTAGCTTACACTGTCAGCCAATGAACTGGCACTGTATGGCAGCACAGTAGAGCTAATGGAAGCTCCTCGCAGTGGCTTCGAGCACCAGGGGAGGGGGCAATGGGTACCCAGCATTACTCAAGTTATCAAACCATTCTAAAGCTAGAAGGGATCAAGGATACTCCTGGCACCATAACCACTACAACCGGCTGGTGTGATTATGGGGTTTGGAGTGTTCCTTTAATTAAATGTTGCAATTCTGTCAAATCAAAAAGAAAATATTAAAATGTTGTGATTTGGTTTGCAATTCAGTTGTTTAGACAAACCTCGTCATTGTTGTATATTCAACATATGTGTTCGTGATAGTGTGTAAAATGGCAAACATTTCCTAAATAATAAATTAGGAGTTTTTTATTTTATTATTTAAAGAATTCTGGTGTAGTTTTAGATGTGATCATTCATTATATTAGCATGCTAATGAAAGAATAAACCTTAGTCTAAGCATCTCCTGCATTCCAAAGTAATTAAAGGGCTACTACAATTACCATGAACACTTCAGTGATTTGAAGTGGTGTTGGTGCCTGGAGTCTCTACGTGCAACAGTAGTTCCTGGAGGCTAATTGTAATTCTGTGAGTGTTGCATATCTGACATCGGCATGCCGGCGAGGAATGGGCTGCAATGAGAACTTGGCGTCAGCGCAGGAACGGCGTCAAGTTTTAACTATAGTTAGTTTTATTTTTTAAATTTGACAGGCGTGGACAGACAAGCACAGCAAGGGTTACTCTATTTGCCTCTATGTATGCCTCCTTATGAAAGCACTGGTTTTTGGGTTGTTAACCATTTAATCATGTAGAAATTCTCAATGGATTTGTATGAAAACCTGTTCTGTGTTTTAGGTTTCGGGGATCACATTCACTGGAGAACACTTGAAGATGGAAAACTTGAGGCTGCAAACAGGTATGGCTATTTTAAGTCCAACATTTACATTTTTAATGTAGACTTTTTTTAAACCTATCCAATTGCAGATATTATGGCCATGCAGTAGTGATTTTGAGTTCACAAATTGAGTCAATTTTGTGGCAAGCATAAATTACTGCTACTATAATATTGTAGCCCAATATTCAACTACTAGCCCAGTGTAACTGAATGTGTAACATTGCTGATCTGGTGAGTTTTTACAATGTATCAGTTATGGCCTAAGCTTTGGAATTCGTTCAGAATGTTCCTTATTCATGCTCTGATAATGGAATATATTTTGTTTTGCATTGTAACATTGCTGGGTGTTAAAATTCAGGCTCTAGATCCGTGTTGCCTAACTGTCAGTTATTTCCTGTTGTGTTCAAACAGTCTTTGAACCTGGCAGAAAGTCATGGTAAATAATTGTGTAACGGTTTGTCATTACTTCTATAGATTTTCTTTTCCTGTCTCTCTTTTTGCAGTGGGTTACCAATCCTGGTTCTGATCCATAAGACCTGGTGTGGAGCTTGTAAAGGTAATTACGGTTTCCCTCTTTTTATTGTAGATATTTTTATTCGTCCTGGAGAGCCTCCGTTTAAACACTCTGTATATCAATGCGTAATACATTTATTTATTTTTTCTGTTCCATGATGTAGCATTAAAGCCTAAATTTGCAGAATCCAAAGAAATTTCGGAATTGTCACATAACTTTGTGATGGTCAACATAGAGGTGAGAAAATCCACCAGTCATAGAAGCAAATATTCATTATGCTAATGTTTTTTAATTTATGGTTTCATATTGATATTGTTTTTGGGGCGACCTGTTGTTTTTGTTTAGATTATGATTATTCTACCTTTTCAAAATGCCTACAAAATCAAACAGCTTTTCAAAAACTCCTGAAACTACATCTTTTGCAACATAAAGCTCATAGGTCACATAGTCTGACAGCCATCGTGAGGTAGGGCAACCAATTTTGCACAATATCCATACATCTTTATAGTGTCCCTTTAATACAACAGACATTGATTGGTCACATGGTTTAGCAGCCATATTGGAATGTGCACAATTATTAACGTCTTCAAATAATTTGTCACAACAATGCAACATCTACTATAGATCTTCACAGTTAGGCCCTCTACAACAATGTTTCACAGCAAGTTGATTTTAAAATAAAGATGGCCACCAGTTACCCTCAGGATATCTGAACTATGTTACAGCTTGGGGGAGCAGAAAAGAACGGTCATCCTTTATTTGAGTAGTTGGTGAGAGGCTGCAGAGCAGGGAAGGGAGGCTGCTGTCGTACCTGAAAAATGTGTAAAAGGGGGGAGCATGGCTAAGGAGGCAGGCTTAATGTACAGAAAGCTGCAAAACTAGAGAGAATTTAACATGAAAAGAATACAATGTAATTATTGGGTGAAAAGCTATATATGCATTAAAGGAACACAATGTTAGGAATATTAATCTGTATTCCTAATGCCATATTGTGTCCTGTCCCTAACTTGATAGGTCCCTCCCACTTCCGATTTTGAAAGCTCTGCTCTGTCTAGGTTTCTGTATTCCGTGAGGTCACGGAGATGGGCCGGACCTAATGCGCATGCGCAGCAAGCACCACACACGCATTAAAGCTTTCACATAGAAAATCATTGAATCAGTGTTTACCTTTTGGAAGTTTAGAGTTCACTATGTTTTTGTTAGATATTTTTCTTGAATGGTTTTCTTAATGTATAATCTTCCCATAGGATGAAGAGGAGCCAAAAGATGAAGCTTTTAGCCCAGACGGTGGCTACATTCCTAGAATAGTTTTTCTGGGTAAGTGGAATGGTCGATTTCGCTACTTTTGTTTCAGTTCTAGGTGAATACTTGATATTCATCAATATGTTGCATTGTGCCCGTTCCCTCCAAGGCGATCTGGCAGCCGGCTGCACGTATTGTAGGTGGACGGTGAGGGAGCTGTGATCTCACACACGCCGCTTGGTGATGTCGGGGCCGGAAGCCTGGGAACAGAGCAGGGAGATCACTGCTACCTCACCGCCTGCCACCAGTACGCACAGCCGGCCGCACACCTCCACTCTTCCCTAGCTGGCAACCCACTGGACCCCAGGGAAGGCTGATCCACTTTAGCACTCTCAAAGGTAGGAAGGCTGAGTGAACTTAGATTCATTTTAACATGTAATAATTTGTCAGTGTGTGTCTGTGCCAAAGATTTGCAGCGCATGCACAATATCTTCCCGATCCTTTCCTATGTGATATAGACCAAAAAAAACATTTTTTGTAGCTGAAAATAAAGCTTTGTAAGTTAAAAAACAAAACACAGATAGCATTAGGAATACCTCTCTAATATGTCAGTGCTGTGTTTCTAAACCACATGCAGTGATGTATTTTGGATTTGTGCTGCTCTAGGTATGATGGAACTCTGGCACCCCGTAATTTTACCTGAGGTCCAGTAGGGCTGCTAGGCTGGCTTACGGGCAAACCGGGGGCCACGCGAGGGTGCTGAGTAAGAAGAGCTCACAGATCAGCACTCCCTCACCTGGAAAACGAGGCTAAGAAGCCTGGGCATTTGGGGCAGACTTTTTTGCCACCCAAGGCAAATGCCTTGCTAGCCTCTCAGTAAATACAGCTCTAGCCACATGCACAGCTTGGCTGGACTCTCGATCTCTTAAGAGATTTCATAATTCAGTGCTGGTCAATTTTTTTTTCCTCTTTTTGTAACACCCCCACAACCCTGATAAAAATATCTGAAAGGTTAAACTTGTAACTATACCTATTGATCATTGTTATCCGAGAATAGGGGATATTTGTTTCTTGACTGCATTTAACCCCTTCACTTCTGAGCACTTTTTGTTTGAAAAAGATTAGCATACAATTTATTTCAATAATGGAGTTTATAGCTCGCACATAAAGATATAGTAAAAAGAAAAAAAAAAAGCATTTTTCTGCACAGATTGCTTTTCGGTCAAAGATAAAAAATAAAATCATGTATATTTTTATTTATTCATTCATGTTTTTATAGTAATTTTTAGAGAATAAAAAGATTTAGGCAGTGCCATTTATCTTGCAATATCCCACGCAAGGTCTGAAATATCCGTATAAACCACCCCCCCCCCAATTTTATTTTATTTTTTATTTTATTTTTTTCTCACATACAGTCAGTGTGACAAAAATGTATAGATAAAAATGTTGAATAACCGGGTTTTAGGTATTTGTATGACCCTGAAGGCATTACTAGTAGTGCAGCTTATAAAAAAAAAAAAAATGGCAACAGATTGCAAAAGGAATGTCTGCGTTTTGACGATAATGCCCACATATGGGAAATAAAGTTAAACATATATTTCTAAAGTAAATGTATTTATAAAGTGATGTTGCAATCTTCAACATTCTCTGGACTGTAAGTGAAATGCTAATAGTGAAATAGAAGAGTCTATTCACCTTCCTCCCTGACTGCAGGAATAGTATAACCCAGTGGTTCCCAAACTTTTTATGTTCAAGGCGCCCTTAATATTTCAATATTTTTCCAAGGCACCCCAAGTCAAAACTATTTTCTAGGTTGTATATATGTACAGCACTGCGGCATATACTGGGCCCCTTATCTTGGGAGTGTTACTGGTAAATTATTTAAAGAAACAATCCAGGCATAATAACCACTACATTACATTGTAGTGGTTATGGTGCCGGGATAGTGGCTGTAGTGTGTGTGTGTTGCAATATATATTTTATATATATATACACATATACGTGTGTGTGTGTACAGGGGTGAATTGCATTTGTGAAGGATGTAGTGTGTGTGTGTGTGTGTGTGTGTGTGTGTGTGTGTGTGTGGTCAGTTTTTGCATGAGGGGTACAGTGTGTGTGTGTATGGGGGGAGTTATTGTGTGGTGTGGAGTCTTTGGGGGTAGGAGGGCAAATTAATAAATATATACTTTATATTTTTTTAATTAAAATGATATCCCCCCTCCCTGCTTACCTTTGCCTGGGAGGGGGGACATTTCCTGTAATCCCTGGTGGTCCCAGTGGAGAGAGTGAACTCTAGCAGCCTCAGAAGCTGCTAGAGTTCACTCTCGCGAGATTCGGAGCGTTGCTGCGGTTCCGAGCTGGCGAAAGGAGAACCCGGCGGAGCTGCAGGTTAGAGCTCCCCTGGGTCCTCCCTCCCTTTCATCCCTGCCGGCTGTCAGCAAAGTGCTAGCGGGCCGTACAGGGAGATCTCTGGTCTCCCCTCCGGTCCTGCAGAGCCGGCAGGGGAGAGCACAGTTCCCGCTGCTATCATCATAGCACCGGAAAAATTTGCGGATACCCTGTGTGCTTGTCACACAGTTTAAGAACCGCTGGTATAACCCATTGATATAGCCTTTATTGTTTGGAAGCAGAAGGTGAGCAGAACACTAACCCTATTGTGTCTTAGTGCCCAGTTAGATTATTGCATACACACCCCACCCCAAACAGAAGTCCGTAATTTACTTACCATAACTCTATTGCTGCACCGGGTTCCATCGTGGCCGTGCGCTTCTTTTGCTGAGATAGTCAGTCCAGATAATCTCGGCCAATTCAATGCTTCTCAGTAGGGAAGCATTGGGAGGCCAGTGCACATGCGCCACATACTGTCTCTCTGCGCTAATCAAATACGCTGTAGGAGCAGCATTTGATTGGGAACCGAGTCTGAGTCGGTTTTTATAGGGGAAGCGGCCCTAGTGGCTGTTAGGAAGACATCTTAACCATGCAATCATACCATAGCTGTATCTATTAACAATGCCTTGCATTGCAGGGTTAAAATTAGAGCCGCTGCACCCACACCACTTCATGAAGTATAAGTGGTCTGGGTGCCTGTATTTAAATACGCATTTAGTGTCTTTTGGCAGAGACATTTTTTTTCCCTTTACAGGCTTACAATCATTCCTAGAGTATAAATGAGGGTGAGTGACTAGGATTTGTTCCTCAAGGTAAATGAAAGTAAAAATATTTTATAATGTATTCTGGGAGTAGCGGGGTTAAGCTGCCAGGAAGCTACAAAATACAGTATAACACAAGAGTCACTTACCTCTTTAAGAACCATGCCTGACATACAACTATTTCCCATGCAATGAGAATTTCTACAGAAATACTGGATTGTGATGTGATCCCTGACCAGTATCGATTATTGGAAAAGATGATCACAGAAATGCAGATCGTGAATGACGAATGTAACGTGACGCAAGTCAGTTCCCTGGAGTTCTGGTCTATAAATGTCACAATACTTTGTTATATTAAACTCGCTAATGCTGAGTAAAGAAATGCCTTGGACCGAGGGACTAACTGGTAATCTACAGGATCAGCGTGTAACTCGGTCAGAGATATTCCCTGAAGTGTGATTTATAAATCTTTCATTGCAGACCCCAGTGGTACTGTTCGTCCAGAGATAATAAACACCGGTGGAAACCCAAGTTACAAGTATTTCTACAGTACTGCTGAACATGGTAGGACTTTATACATATCTCTGCCTTTCATATTGGTGTCTGTTTTCTGTGACTATTTTTAATTATGCACTGTGCCAAAGCACTTTCCAGACCATCAATGGGCCCCAGTCTATTAATTTGCTAGGATCTAGGCTGTTTCTATTTCTCTTATTTAGTGCACACATTACTGGCTTCCATATGCTACCATGGACGATTAGTGTAACATTTAAAGGGTTACTCCAAGCACTGTGACCATTTCCCTGGTTTGAAGTGGTTATGGTGCCTGGGGTCTGTATGTGTAGTGTTTGGTTATGAAACGCAGCAGAGTTTAACCCCTCCTCTCCCAGAGATCTAATCCCACCTCCGGCAGCAGCATTGGGCTAAGAGTTCCAGGCTGGCTAATGTCAGTTCTGTTATAATTGTGTGCGCAGTGTTGTGGTCAACTGTGATTCTCAGCCAATGAATGCTGACTGCCTTTGGCCTCTGCAGAAGCTGGGTGTTGTGACAGCCAGGACTAGAGGAACTGCTGAACCTGGCGTGACCCAGATATCGCCCCATTACCAGAAAACAGGCCAAGTTACAACTGGCATCGTAACCACTAAAACAGACTGACCATTTAACATGTTTGTAATTATGTTGGTGAGTTTATTTAACTAGAATACTCTATCTTTTCCAGTTGTCCAGGGAATGAAGGATGCTCAGGAGAAACTCACCGGGGACTCCTTTAGAAAGCGAATGGACGAATTATAACCAATAAGTTCCACTGCAATGGGGGCTACTAAGGGCAAAGGAACATGGTCACACTTAGAGGTGTCTGCAAAGCCAGGAAGCCACTAGTACCGTCCATTTTTATCACACAGGTTATATAAAACGATTCTCACTACAGGCGCTACCACTATGCGGACAGGGGAAAAATCAGGCTTTTATTGTGATCTGTGTATGTCAGATATACAGCAGATTAAAATTTTAACATACAGTGTTTTACATACATTTTCATTTGCTGGTATCATCAGAGATATCCTCTAATATTTGGCGACATGCTATGGTTGTGATATTGGCAATTAGCATTTATATCAAGTTTGAAAATAAGAGGCAAAAAAAATATTTTTGAAGAACTGAGATGTTATGGCTATTCCACGCCCACCCCTCCCCCAGCCATAACAAGAGTGCCTGTAGTGTGGATTCCGTTGACTACAAAATGTTTTTGTTTTGTTTTTCCTCTGTATTTACTTTCAAACAAAGATCTAACCATTCATTCTACTAATGCATGCCAATGTCATATTTCACACATCTGAGGCTAATTATGGACTGCAGTACTATTGAAGGCTGCAGTGAGATTTTTTTATTTTTATTATTTTATTTTTTTTGATACTGGGAAAAATAAAAATCTCAAATCTTGTGAGTGTGAACTTCTTGTACCACCCATTGTACTGGGCCACTGCGATGTTGTCTACATAGAAACTAATTCTATAATCATACAAGTTTATTTTTATACATGTTTGCAAATCTGTCCCAGTATTAAAACTGTGATGTATTAAAACTGTGATTTGATGTCTTTTAGATAGCTAATATGATGAAGTGTTAAAATAAAACTAATTCTGATGATTGGTCGGTTTGGCAATGCAGATATTTGAGACTGGTTACAAATCATGGGTAATGTAACTCAAACAATCTGCAGTGCCAAAGCTGAACATGTTTTATACTGCTCGATATGATTCTTGTATTTGTAGAAGTAAATCAGTGCCAAGGACTAGGGCAGGTTTAAGCCATGGTGATTTTTTTTTTGTTCGTTCATCCGAGTGGCCGTCATCAAGTAACTAGGTCAGGTAGCATTGCCATCCAGCTTTTTATTTTAGGGAAACTATTGTATGTTATTCTGTTGAGAGAAAGCGGGGCTTGTTTTCCATTTGGCTTCGCGGTGGCGGACCTCGCAGACACTACTCACTTACCGACCGGGTTCCGTTCCTATGACCCGGTCGTAGAACGAATAGGTCAGTAAGTGAGGAGTTAAGGGATTCCCTGCTCTGGTGCGCTTGTCTATTTTCGGGGAAACTTCCCTGAACATAGACAAACGCACCAGAGCAGAAAACCCCTCTAATCTATGTTCAGGCAAATTTCCCCAAACATAGGTTAGAGGGATTCCCTGCTCTCGTGCGTTCGTCGGAAGTTTCCCCGAACATAAACATGTGCACCATAGCAGGGAATCCCCACGACAGCAAGTAAATGCGAGCCGTCGTAAAACAGGTAGGTTGCTAAATGAGGACCACCTGTAGTCCCAAGCTGAACACAGGAGGGGTCTATCTTTTTTTTAAGACTGTTCTCACCCCCATCAATAACCCGCGAGAACACCTAAGCATTTATATATAATGGCACCCCTGAATGGGCAGCACAGCCAAAGGTAGTGTTGCACACTGTAAAACTGGCAAATAGTGAATTGGACAAACTCTCCACATTAGCTATGGTTTTTAGTTGTTTTGGCCTAAAATTTTAAATTTGATTTCACATTTAGTGAATAACTCTGTCAGAAACCATGTCAAATAAAAAAACCCTCCTTCCTTTTCCCGAGAACCCGGTGTAGATTTTGTTTGGCCAAAATAAGTAATGTCTTTCAGCCTTTGTTCTTGTTTAAAAAGTTCTGAGACTGGATCATTCAGCAAGAACATTTCTTGTGATTTCAAGTTTGATTGCTATGCTTTTAGAACTTTTACCTTAAATGAATCTTTATTAATAACCTTCTCCGTATCGTATTTTCTGCTTACACGCAGCATAGCTTGAAGAATCCATTTAAGTCCTCTAAATTCCATTTTTGCCATTTAGATGGTCATTGCAAAGGCACGATAGACCCTATCAAAGCTAATGTGCTCTATACTAGAATTGCTGTCTGAGTACTTTATTTACTGCTAACAGTGGAATCCTATTTCTGGACTCTGATTGTCTGTTTGTGATGGAGAGTAGTCTGGTTAATTGGGGGGTGCTTTTAATCAGAGATTGGGATACATTGCTACTCTCCATCTTTCGGTGGAATATAACTGCCATTGCTTAGCCAGCATTCGGTTTGTAAAGGGAAAACAAAGCATATGGTTTTATTCTGTACAAATATGCATAATAATCCCTACAGAGCAGTATAAAACATTATTTAATTTTTTTTTTTTAAATAACTGCTACAGGTTTGTTTCAGACCATGGGTGCCCAAAATGTAGATCCCCAGATGTTAGAGATGCTTTGCATGCCTTAAGAGTGCTTTAGAAAGATGAAGCATCGTGGAAGCTGAATTTTAAAACATCTGTGGATCTACCATTTGGGCACCCCTGTTTTAGACAAACCCCAGGAAAGTCCTTTCTTTACAAGTCACGGTTTACGAATAGCAATTCATCGAACTGGGAATCATAGAGAATTGTAAATTTTTGCCCCAAATACCCGAGCTGGTAACCTTGCCATCATGGCTATCTTATGATAATCTGGGAATTGACTAGGGGATGCGGGTTGGAAGTAAGACTGTGAGGGAAGCGGTTTCCAATTTGGCGGTCTGTGAAAACACAGTTGTTTTCCCCCCCCCCCCCATTTTCTCCAAAACACCCAGTTTAGTAAATAGACCACAATACATGTCTACAGTGGGATTATAAATAACTCTACTGATTGACTGTTCGAGTAGCCTTGCGATCCTTAGTGAGAGGTTGCCAGCGGCTATTTCTAAAATGTTTAATAGTCAAATGTGACTCTCATGCAAAAATATGCCTCTGTAGGTAATTCAAAAAAAATAAATAAATATTTATTATTTTGCCCATCGCATGGAAATATATTCTTGTTACTTTTAACCCTCTCGCTAGCCCTGCACGCACACGGTTACTGTATTGTTTCTCTGAACACTGAAAAGTTCTATAGAAATTTTGTAAGATTTGTCTATAATGAAATTAAAGTTTTTCTAAACTAAGTTTCTTTGTGTATTTATTTTTGATAACTGTGGGTATAAGACAAAAGCCTATATATATTTATATATGAAAGGCAATTACAGCACAAAGTTCTAAAATGGATGGCATCACCATGGAAACAATGGAATCGGTGGTAATTTTGCACTGGTTACCGTGGTGATTACTCCAATTTTAAAGGGAGTAACTCCTTTTTTCAGTTTGTCAATAAAGGAAAAAAAAGCTGTATTGCTAACACTAAAGTGTTCCTTTGCCCTCCCCCTCTCTCCCCCTCCGTAGCACTCACACGGTTAAATAACCCTTGAATTCACTCTCTATATTCCAGCGAGATCCCTCTGCAATGGCTCCATATCAGCCTACTCCAACATCCGCGCCGATGGGGAACCTTGCCTTCCCCATAGGAAAGCATTGACTCAATTCTTTCCTATGAGGGATTTGAAGACGCTGATTGTCCTTATGAAAAGTCAAACTCCGTGAAACAGCAGGAAGTGCTTCTAGTGACTGTCTGGTAGTATTTAGAAAATTGGGCAGACTAGATGGGCCGAGTGGCTCTTATCTGCCGTCACATTCTATGTTGCTATGTGTAGCGCAAGAGATGGATTTTGCTTTCCTATTTTTTTAACATTTTATTTATTTTTGTACCGCAGAGAGGACAGGGAAAAAAAATAAAATAAAAAACAAACAAAAAAAAAACAGCAGATGATGCGTAAGGACCCGTTGCTTAGAAACGTGTATTAAATGTGGCAGGCTGTGTACAAAAGGTCACAGGTAAGAGACTGTTCTTGGAAGACCTATTTATAGTTTTGTTTGTCTGTGTCACAGGGATATGCCTTCACCGTGGGATGGGGGGAGCAGGGCAGGATTGCACTTTTTGCAAAATTTAATCTGCCGGAGGGCTCCTGCTCACAATGGTCAGTGGATCTGCCACTGAAAACTCTACATCAATTTTCTTTAATCTTCCATTTATTTTTCACAGGTGCAGACTTTTTCCCCCTGTTCCTTAAATAAATGGTGCCATCCAGTATCCTTAAAGTTGGGGTTCGTGCACTAAATTCCTAATCACAGTGAATCGAAAAATATCTTGTGAAATTTAGGGCCAAGTAGTAAAGCTATAACTAATCTTAAATTGCTGAGAATTGCAAATTTTATGTCAACATAGCGAGGCTGAAGAATGTCCAAGCATTATAAAAAATATTTTATTTGGAGATAATGTCCTGTCTATTCTGTTGGCTGTAGTGTTTAGTGCTTAATAATGGACTTTGTGGGAAGCCACTCTGTTATTAACCCTCTCACCACTGTTTCTATAGTTTTATTTATTTTTAGGGGTACATTCTATTCCTTTTGGGGTACATTCTATTCCTCTGTGGATATGATTCTTTTTTTAAACATAGATATTAGTTATAAAAATGGAGACCGTTGCATCTTTTCCCCTCTCTGTCCTGCACTCAGATTCCGCTTGAAAAACCCCCATCTAGTTTCGGGAATAAGTAAACCAGTTTTTTTTTTTGTTTTTTTTTTCTGAAGCATTTACACAACCTAGTCTGAGCACTAGAGGGAGCTGTCTGTCTGTAATGTTCATGTTGTATGTTGGTGTTTGTGGTGTGACTCACATTCTGTCTCCTAATCTTGATTGATTGAGCGGATTATATGAGTTATTATTTTAGGAAAGTGCTGTATCGGTTCAGATGAAATCTCAAATTTGGCAATGAAAGTTTTTGTTAGTGAACCTTATATCACTTGCTATTCCGCATCTTTTTGCATTGCATGAAATTAGATCAAGTTGAGTCATAGAATTTCTGCTTTTTTATATATATATATTTGTGTACGGGGTAATTAGAGGACGTACAATTAAAGTATGTAGTTCGATAAGGCCAAAGTCGGTTGAGGTGTGCCGAAACCGACGAGAGGTTAGGCCTGTAAAAAGAGGGCCCACCTGGTATATTGATGTAAATAAAAAGGGGTGAGGTGGGAGGGGAACTTCCAAACGGCGACGATAGGTATGCTGGGGTTACTGGGTTTAAATAGGAAAATAACCCCTTCCTCAAATTCAGGCATATGCCTTCCACATATATATATTTTTTATTATTTTAAAACCATAGCGATGTATATTTCCCTCTGTATCCAAGTAAGCAGTTATATGTACTCAGATATGCCTGCTTTCATCTTGTGTAATGAGTAGAGCTTCAAGTGGGGTCTGAGCTACCTAACACATAAACCGCTGCTGGGCGGAGTTATGAGATAATAAACACAGCCAGAAACGAGAATGAGAGACTTTTGATTGGTGGAGCATCTTCCTGGCTTGATAAGGTATGAACACGTATTAGCATATGCAGCACAGACTTTGAAATTGAGAGAGCCTTATGCCTATCCCACGCATGCTTAAACACCTTCACTGTGTTAACCTCTACCACTTCAGCTGGAACGCTATTCCATGCATCTACTACCCTCTCAGTAAAGTAATGCTTTCTGATATTTTCAAATCATTATTTTTAAGATCATAGAACTAAACCCCCCAAAATTACCGGGGCACTATACCAAATGTAGAATTAGTTTTAAATAACAGAGGTTTTTAGTACAACTGCAATGGCGAATTAAACGGCTCTGTCACCCCATATCAAAAATTATTATTTCATAAAGATTGGATCTTTACTAAATACTCAGATTGACTGTCTTGAAATTTTACTGAAATTTCGAACCGGTCTAAAGACTGATGAGGATGGCGGCACCTGTAAGGACATGTTAGGGTAAGTAAATCTCACTTTTCCCTGCATCACTCTGCTACTGCACCCCGGCAGCAATGTCACTCTCTGGGGGGTCTTTACAAATTATGCAATTTACAGCAGCTTAGCCTTGTTTGTTTTAGGTAGAGTCAAATCCCTAGTCCAGTAATTAGTAGATACGGTCAGCTGATATAGCGTGCTATACCTACTACTTCTGATTGTCTACTGGATGTCTAACTGACGTTCTACGATTGCACGATTCTTATGATGAACATGTGCAGTTATATCTATGGTCATGTTTTATTATGTTATGTTTTTAATTTCCTCTAGGTACAGAGATTTAGCATTAAAAGTTTGCTTCCAACCCATTGATGGCTTTGTCCGCATACTTCAGAGCATTGCAAAAACAGATTAACATGTTTGTCGGCAACGGTAAAAAGCCCAGAATAGCGCTTTCCACGCTCTACAGGGCTACTCGCAATGGTGGTATGGGTCTACCCAATCTGCAACTATATTATAAAGCGGTCATCCTAAACAATCTTGTGTCAGCCCAGCAACACTCCAAAACGCCGCAGTGGGTACACATTGAGCAATATTGGATGCAACAATGTGACATATCCACTCTGATTTGGTAAGCCCCATCCCAAAGATCTGACCTTACGCAAGCGCTCCCCACCCCGACCACAACCTTAACAGTGTGGGACGCCTCACGAACGCTTCTATGCAGCTGCCACCCTACCTCAAAGGGACTCTCCAGGTCCCCTCTCCCTCCCACCTCCCATCCCCGGTTGCTGAAGGGGTGAAAACCCCTTCAGTCACTTACCAAAGGCAGGGACGATGTCCCTCGTCGCTGCTTCTTCCTCCGCCGCCGCTTCTCCCCTTCATGACGTCAGCCGGCGGGGGAGACTGATCGCGCGCCGGCTGGGGAGGCCTAATGCGCATGCGCGGCAATGCCGCGCATGCACATTAGACCTCTCCATAGGAAAGCATTGAAAATGCTTTCCAATGGGGATTATAGCGACGCTGGAGGTCCTCACACAGCGTAAGGACGTCCAGCAACGCTATAGCACAGAAAACCTGTGGTATGGACCATGAAGTACCCTCTAGTGGCTGTCTAGTAGACAGTCACTAGGGGAGGACTTAACCCTGCAAGGTAATTATTGCAGTTTATAAAAACTGCAATAATTACAGTTGCAGGGTTAAGGGTAGTGGGAGTTGGCACCCAGACCACTCCAATGGGCAGAAGTGGTTTGGGTGTCTGGGGTGTCTCTTCAGTGGTTACACCTATCTAAGCCTTAGCCATTTTGATCCCTGATTTCAATTTCAGAGTCTGGAATAGATGTGGCATCACATACATATTTGATTTACAATCTCAGGGGAAATTACTGCAGTTTGAGCAACTACAAAATCTACATACAGTTCCAAATGCAAGGTTCTCCTATATGCAAATACGATCATAGTGGCACAACCAGGTAGTCACCCCTACCCTAAATTCTCAGACAAGTCTAGTAAATGCTTATGGCCGCAAAGCCCCCATAGAAACCCATTTCCACGATATACACCCTTTAAAGACAACCACAGAACTTAGAAATCTTCCTTGTATAAAAGCCTGGGAACGAGATTTGGGATGCCAGGTAACTAAAGCATCCTGGCTTAGATCCATTAATACCTACAAAGGTCTTACGGCATGCGCATCCCATATGGAACTTTCGCGTAAACTATTTTACAGATGGTACATGGTGCCCACACGAATGGCCAAAATCCTCCTTTCTAAATCTGATATTTGCTGATGCTGCCACAGGGAAACAGGAACATTTCTACGTGTGTGGTGGAGCTGTGCTAAAATACAATCCTATTGGAAGAATGTCATCTCCCTCATCCAAAAACACACCAATAGTCTCAGTTGTATTATTTACCAGGATACCCAAAAGTTTCCATGTGTGGTAGTACACAAGTCTAAGACCCTGTGCGCAAAATAGGGCCCATCCATAGAAATGGCAGTTTATTGGTCTAAGACCCTGTGCACAAAATAGCGCCCATAGAAATGGCAGTCTATTGGTTTTTGATATATGATCCAGATCATCTGCCAAAGTTCAACGTTGACTGATACCCACCACAACTTCTGTACTACCAACCTCTACATAGGAACGCACTGGCTCTGCTGTTCTATATCGGTGTGGTTTGACTATTTATTTATTACTTTTTGAACGTATGTATCAGATATGATATGTTGTTGCTCCCCCAAACCCCCTTTTCTTTTTCTTTACCACCAATTTTCTATTGAA